ACGGCAAATTCGGGATAGAGGCCTTCCCAGTCACTGACCCGTCCTATTCTTGGACTCTCCCGCCTATTCTTGAACTCTCCCGTTCGGGAAAATGGCGAATCTCCCCTTTCCCCATATGCCCCGTATACAACAGTTATGCTTGCCCATGTCCAGCATTCCTACGACCACGGCCACCGTTACCACAGACCCTTGAGCCTCTCTTACCGTGCATTTGAGTTTATACAATTTCTCCAAAAAAAAAAAAAAAAAAAAAATAGACGTTGAGCGCTGACTTTCGGCTCCGAGGTAAGGTACATATCTATGTGTGACCCTGGAGTTGCTTTTGGTATGTACCCATCCCGAAACTGAAAAGAAGTCATTCAGAACACAGCATCTGTGATTTCTTTTTCATTGACGTCCTTGGCCTCTTTACTCCCTATGGCTGCGTCCAGCTAAATCGGCAACGGGCGACTACGCGCCGGTGATAGAAAGGTTGACTTTGTCATTGTTGCGATAATACCTTTTCGCATACTGATTTCGCCTCCCAACATTATACGTGCTGATGACTATTTTCATGCTACCAGTTTTACCTCCTTCCAATACGAGCTTTCTGACTAAGGCCGGCCCATAATTAACCCTTTTGCCGGCCTGATAATTCTAATACGAACCTCAGACCGACTAGCAATGTGTCGCTCGACAGGTTCTCATAGTACCATGAGAGCACCAAATTCTATCCCCTTCATAGGCTAAGATTTTGCTTTGCCTATGGACTTTTTTTTTTGGCTGGCTTTCCGAACCAATCAATAAACTCAATCGTCGGCAATTGGTTTGGATTGGATTACCTGAGTCGCCAGTGACACTCCATGTCTAACAAATACAAGCAATCCATGATTCAGTTTCAAAAAGCGTTGACATCCACATGGTTTCCTTTGTACCATTTTGTATAATTCTTTCATGGAACCTGCAGCTGGGCTACCTACCCGTCCAAACGTTTTTTTAAAACGACCGTGCTGTGTTACTGTGGAAAATGACAACTCTCAAACCAAATCCAGGAGTCAGGAAAGAATATACACCTATGCTATTACCCCTAAATCTCAATACTCAGTAGCCGAGACATTTCTTTCTGCTATTCCCGAGGAGAGCTAGATCCCCCAGCCTGCCGAGTGACTCTATAAGGCAGGAAGTCAGATATGGAAAAGGAAACTCAGAACCTGTCACAAACGCCATCTGGAACTGGCTTCGATACTCTTTGCTGTCCATCCATGCATTCTCCAAAACCTTGTGACATGTGCTGAATTGGTTCTCTCGATCAAAGCTGCATTGTAAATCGACCTTCCTAATATAACAACCAAAGACAAGCCGGTGTTACATCGACCGTTGGATATCTGCATCCTCACTCCCGACCGGCTCCACCGGAAACGGCCACATTGGTAATGTTGCACTCCGTTCTCGCGATATTTTGAATTCACCCTGGGGACCACCAATTGGCCACCAGCGAACCTGTTACATGTCCAAACAGTGGCTATTGTTGTTTTTTTTAAATTGAGCCTCTGGGGACCATTGGGCTGTGTCAAGCAGAGTGGAGTGGACTGTTTGCCTCCAGATTCCATTCCTCGCCCTTAAGCGCCCCCAGGTAATATCAGAGATGATTCCCCCTTTTATTCTTGCTATCACATGGGGGCGTATTATGAGGCATATCAACCACACGAGGGTGCCGGTTTGCCGTTGCTTGAACCCATATCACCGCTCCTGAACAGGCCCGAGCTAATGCGTGTACACGTTGTCATCGGCCTACATTGTACTCCGTACAGAGTACATGTTCCACTAACTTCAACGCCTCTCCAGTGACTCTCTTATCACTCCGGTTGTGTGAAGCATGTTCTTTGGGTATGTTCCTCAATCTCCACGTGAATGCAAGATTTCTCCAACCATAAATGAGAGGGATGGTTACTCCTGAGATACCCAGAGCAAAACCCCGTTCTCTAGTTCCCCAGTCCTTGCTGGCATCGTGTGCACAGAAAGAAAGAAAAATCCCTCTCGAGAAACCAACTGCAAACCCGATCACTCTATTGGACAGGGTGTTGGATTCTCGCATACCCGTGCCTGTGCCCGTTGCGAAACGAAAACAAAACAAAAAACAAATACAAAGCAGACAAAGCCTTTTTTTTTGTCACGTAGGATGCATTGATCCCCTCCATAATAGAGACAATATGATCAACTGACTAAGCAGATCAGGGGAACGAACGAATTGACAAACTCCATATACAAGTCACCTCATACTTGATTCTAACTTTCGGGACGCCTTCTATGAGGCAACCCCATCCGCCGACAGGGAGGCCGCCTATGATGAAGCATTGATGTGCCACCAGGCTCTCCTGCCGTCCCGTCGATGCCTGCTAACAATCTCTGATCAGAGTCCAAGGCTTGTCCAACACTAGTTTATCCATATCCGAGATGATATGCATGAGGCGCGAAATCGATATTAAATTTATCTTTGTCTCACCGTGCACTTACGTCTCCATCTTATACCCCTTGGGGGCCGAAGCTGCAGAATACCGAAGTGATGATTCAGAGAACAACCGGGGCCCCGTCCTTTATACGTGTCAACCAAGGGTAAGGGAGAGGTAAATCCCAATGGGAGGCGCGCAATAAGTAATTACCGGTCGACATGAGAACAAAACTTGACAGGAGAGCCTTGCACAGCAGCATCGTTGAGCGGCGCCATGACTGGCCGCTTCACGATATACCCTTGCATGGATATGGGGCGTATTCGCCGAAGGGGTTTGATTGGCGCAATGTACGAAAACCGTTAAAAGGGAGCGCTTACGTTTGAAGATCTCGATTCCATCTGCGCATCCATGTTGTTTGTACCATGTCATCCCGTCATTCTGTGGAAATAAGCAATGTTGTATGATTGGTGGCGCACATGTCACACGCCGTTATGTCAAGGCTAAGGAGGCGGATAAAGTAATGCTATATGAGATGATATGATATGATAGCTCGGTGTCACCAGAGAGAGAGAGAGCCCCAGCTGCTGCGGTATGACCATTAAGTATGCTTTGCAGGTGGTTACTATGGCCGCATATTCTGACAACGTAGACATACTCCGTTCTTGGTGACCATAGGCAAAGGCAATAGCCAAATATAGCTTGCCGTCTATTACCCATCGTACTCTGTCCTCCTTTTCTTCCCCCATACTGCCCTTCCTCCTGGGGCCGTATTCCTAAAGCGAACTGGACGACGGAGAAGTTGCAAAAATACTGAAAGGGTCACTCTCTCAAAATGTTATTACCTGCTATTCACCGGGTATCAGGCCTTCAAACTTTCTTTTCTTTTTCCCCTTTTATCCCCCTCCCCCCTCGGACAAGACCGACTTTCGGCCTTCTGGGATCAAAAAACTACCGAACTTAGACCGCGCCGGCCACGAATCACGAGGATTTCCATGGAGGCCAAAGAAGGGATAGAATCCAGGCTTAATGTTTGATCACCAGCCTCTTGGTCGCTGGAGATCACAGTTTGGTTCAAACCCTTTTCCAATATTGTCTAGCATCAGTTAGCTAGCATCTAGCATCTATTAGAGCGTCAAGGGTGCTATGACCTGCAGTTTGTCTTTCCCGCCCGCTCAGCCATCCCCGTCTCCTGCTAAAGACTATCTAGTCCAGCTTGACCGGCAGACGACTAACCTAGTTATCCAGTCCAGCTTTACCGGCAAGGCCACGTCAAAACCGGCGGCGGACGCAAGGAAGCAAGCCAAGAGGCGTAACGGTGGGATAGATGATATCTTAACGTATGATAATAATCCCGCAAACGCCAATTCTCTCCTCTTTTTTAAGAAAAAAAAGGGAGGATCATATCTCAGCTGGCTTACGAATCCTGGTCGTATGCGTATTGCCTCCATCCCATTCCTCGTCGTCCGTTTGGAGGCGTGCTCAGCTGAGTATTATTTTAGGGTTGTAGGTGTATTCATAACGATGAGTAATTTTCTCGGATGTGGGTTGATTTTGCGGGAGAAATAGAGAGATATTAAGATGACGTCTGTTGATAGAGGACGTCGAAGGTATCGAGGTTACTTGCTGCAGGGAAAAAACCCTAACGTGATATAACATATACAAGATATCAAGTACTTATTTGCCTCAGACGCGTACAAGATATACCCATCACTATTGTGTAATTGCAGGGTCGATAATGTCACTATAAACAAGCTTTTTGGTAGAGGTATCTCCAGGCCAGGGGTGAATGCATACTCAAACCTCAGCCCTAAGAGCATGATGGGCTCAGAAGATCCGTCGCCCAGGGCTATCCTACAACATATATCCATCCATATAGACGAGAGAAACGGTATAAAGCTTTATATTGGAGTTGCAAAACATTCCCTTTTCATCTAACCCCCTATGCAACCATAGATGAACACCAAGAACCAAATATCACCACGTAGACAGTAGAGAGACAGAGTTAAGCCTCAACCACCCACAAGAACGGTTTCATGGCACCGCAAGATTGTGCGGGTAGCATGGTTCACAACCACATGGCAGGCAGTAGGTCTCCTCCATCTCCATAAGCCCTCACACAGCATAAAGTAGGCATGGCATGGCATGGCATCATTATAATCCAACGATAGAGCTCACGGGGTTGGCATTTGCGAAGACTCATGAATATCAAAACGGTGACACCTACACGGAACCATCATCCTCTTATGTGTAGCGTGGTACATGACCGACGATTGACTTCGAAAAACCACATGAGAGAAGGAAAGGGGGGTGTTGTCATTAGCATTAGGCTTTGATTCGTGGAAAATAGAAGGAAATGCAATTTTATAGAGACCATTATAAACAAGAAACAGGATCCCACTCCTAAAGAAAAGAAAGGCAGGGAAAGGCGTTTTTTTGGAGAAACCTAGCCAGGCATTGCATTGAATAAAGATATATCGGGAGGAAGGAAGAGGTCAAAGGTCTGCGTGGAAGCTGGAAGCTGAAAAAAGGATGGGAAGACGGGAGTGGAAGAAAGGGTGAAAAGGGAAGTCATCATTTCGCGTCAGTGCTCTTCTTTGCGAATTCAACGCGAAGAATCAAGTGTCGATAACCATCTATATCACGGTTAGTCTGATATTCATGCCTAGGGGGGGATTTAAGAGAAAGTGAGAATGTCAACTTACAGCCGTCCATTTTCTCACAAGCACGAGCAGCATCGCTTCTATCCGCGAAACTGATGAAAGCAAAGCCCTTGGCCATATTTGTTTCTCTGTCTTTGGCAAGGAAGACTCGTGTGACTCGTCCGAACCGCTCAAACATATCGCGAACCTCTTGCTCTTCAGCCAGCTCGGAGACCTAGTAGAAACAACCAGTTTTAGCAAGGACTTCACACGCACACCAGGTAGTTTCCGAAAACCACCATCTTCCAGGCTGAAAATACTCGAATGAGCGGGGGAGGGGGGCTGTGTAGATACTCACATTGGTAACGCGTAGTGTCGCCAGATCATCCCTCTCATACTTGCTAGCCATCCTATCACCACTGCTAGCACCGCCCTTTCGCATAGCAGGGGGAACATAGCTGGCTCCGCTCTGACCAAGCCCACCGGCAGCTGGCTTATCGTCATCACCATCCATATCCACACCGGCACCGCCAGCGCCCTCCTCAACAGGCGCCATGGTATCTTTGAACGGACATCTAGCAGTGAAATGCTCTCCGTTACAAATTCGACATTTGACCTTCTTATCCTTCAGCTGCGCCTTCATACTATCCTTATCGCCACCTTCTTTCTCGGCCTCCTTAGCCTGAGCCTTCCAGTTCACACTTGGTCGGAATATAATGTTCTCTCCGACGGATGTGGTATCGAACGAAGGGCCGGGCGGGTGACCCTTCTCCAGACCGAATTTAGGCCATGCTCTTCGCTCAGCTACTCGGGGGTTGACATGTTCCTTGACGATCGTAGTGCGAATGCGACGGGTGGTCTTGACTTTCTTGCCATCGTCGTCGAAGCGGTATGATATCACGGTTTTCGTTCCGTCTTTGTTCGTCAGTACTTGCTGTGGCGGGAGGGCGTTGGCATCATCGAATTCCTCGTCGTCAGCCCAGTCGGCTCCCCTGTTGGAAATAAATGGTGAGTGGGAAGGCGATAGATATTAAAAAGCGAGCGGGACACTAGCTGGCAGCTCAGCGACGAGGGAGGCCACTCTGACTTACTTTGAAGGCTGTGCCATATTCTCGATCCTTATCGGTGTGTCAAGGAGAAATAGAGGAGGTTTTGGCTTGATTCAATAGTTTGCTGTCGTTCCGTGTTCCTTGAGTAATTTTGACGGTTCAATATCAGATTTCGTGGAGCCAGTTTATCTTTGTGCCCACCATCATCGCTTATGTCATCACGCACCGAAAAAATATCTATATCCTCGACTCTACAATATTTAAGAAGTTCCATGATATAATCCATCTTTACTTCTATGATAAGGCCTGTCTTACTTCTATGGTCTATGGTAACGGCTACTGTGGCACGGGAATAAACGGGATATCGTTGTTGAGATTGGATATATACATTTAGCACAGCGAGCTATACCAAGAAGAAATGCATGTAACAAGCGCGACCCTTGCGGATCTGTGTATAAGAGTAGATTCATTCCTGCTTCAAACACTAACAAGCGAACGCCGATTTACCGGCGTGAGACTGCGTTGAAAAAAATAAAATACCCCGCCCATGACGTCTTGCTTATAGCTTAGAGCTGGCGCTGGTGATGAAGCCGTTGCCCTGCTTCAGCCATACGACAGCGTCACCGACGAGCTCGTCAACGATGGCCTTGGCGGGCTTCTTCTCGTCGACGACGGCGGCGGCCTTGCCCATCAGGTGGGGTCGGGCGTTGTCGATGGTATCGTCGTCGACATCCTCCATGGTCTCGAAATCGTGCTCGACGGGGATGACGCCCTTGCTGGTGAGCTGTTTGATCTCCTCGGCGCGGTTTTCCTCCCAGTTCTGAATGTAGGCGTTGTTGCGGACGCGCATTGGGCGACCCTATACCGAGATGTCAGACTAGATCAGGATACAATGAAAAAGAAGGGGAACATACGGTGAAGATGATGGTTCGGACATTGTCGTCGAATCCGGCAGTGCGGACAGCCTCCTGGTGGTCCTTGGGGGCACCGGCCTCGTCAGCCAAGATGAAACGAGTACCAACCCAGACACCGGAAGCACCGAGCATGAGGGCAGACGCAACACTCTGGCCGTTGAAGATACCACCGGCAGCAACAACCTGGACGGGCTGACCGGTCATGGGGCTGGTCTTTCCCTTGCAGAGCTTGGCTACGGTTGGGATGAGGATGCTGGTGGGAACATCTCCAGTGTGGCCACCGCCCTCACCTCCCTGGGCGCAGATGATGTCGACACCAACGTCCAGGCACTTCTGTACGTGCTTGGGGTGACCGATCATGTTCATGTAGAGGACGCCGGCCTTGTGCAGTCTGTCGACGACGTGCTTTGGTGGGACACCGACAGCAGAGACAAAGAGCTTGGTACCGCTCTCGATAACGACGGTGATCAGCTCGTCGAGTTTTCCCTTGGTGTAGTCGTAGCTATCAAGGTTGGTTAGCAAATATGAGCCTCGGTACAAGTCTCATCCAAGCAAGAAGAGAGCAACAAACTTGGTCTTTCGTGCATTGCCTCCAATCTGTGGAAGCAGCAAGTCGACACCGAATGGAGCGTTCTTGTCGTTGAGATAGCTCTTGACCTCCTCCACCTGCTCCCTGAGCATATCTGGGGTGTAGCCGAGACCACCGATAACTCCCAGACCTCCAGCATTTGTAACGGCGGCAGCGAGTTTAGGGCCGGCAGCGACGTTCATACCAGCCAGGAGAACGGGGTGTCTGATCTTGAGAAGGTCCGTAAGAGGAGTTCTGAGCTGTTCTATCCGCCATGGTAAAAGTCAAGGTCAGCGATACTTGTCCAGGTACAGGCCTCGGCAGGTCAGATGCGCAAACTTACGTGGGGAAGCCATGGTTGAGACTGTGTTCGTTCTGTCTAAAGCGAGAGAAGGAGAAGTAGAGCTATCTGGCGACGGTGCTGGAGAGAGGATGGAGGATGAAGAGAGGAAGCGAGAAGGTCCTTTTATCGACTCGAAGGTGGGCCGCATCCGGGGCTTTTTATCCTGTGAACGCGCGACGTTGGCGGCGCAAAGGAGCCTCGGCTGAGAAGTTGGGGTAGCCGAGTTACTTCTTCTTCTTCTTCTTCTACATCTTCTTCTTCTTGTCTACAACTTCTTGTCTTCTTGTCTCTCTTGTCTTCATCTTTATGTCTTCTTCATCTTCTTCCTCGTCATCTGCTTATTATATATTGTCTCTCTTATGTCTATGGTCTGTCGGTGTAAAGTACGGAGATATCCCTGCCATGAATAGTACCTAGGTAAATATCAACTGTAACAGAGTAAATGCTGAGTAATAAACATCATGACTTCAACATCGAGAGAAGAAGAAGAAGAAGAAGAAGAAGTTATATGCTACTGGCTCGATATCAAGAGCAGAGATGAGCCTCTTCTACCGCAAAGGTCCTGGTTTGGCCGGTCTAGGGTCTCGCGGCATCAAAGAGTAGGAGAGCCTTCACTTCATACATACATACAGACAGACTGACGGCAGCAAAGGGTGCCCTGCTTGATACATGATACCCCCATCTCGACGAGAAAGGGACATGGTCCAACCAGTGTCAGCTCTAGAGCTGCTTCATTCATAACTGTCTCGAGTGCACTCTCACAAAACCGCCTCAGACCGAGTCCATCGCGCGGTGGCAGGAGCTGGAGTTACAGAGCCCATATCCCACGGAAGGATGGTGCATATCGATCATTCGGACTGCAGACCAGGCTGTCTTGTCTCGATAGCCACTTCAGTGGCCATTCCAAGCTCAAGGGCGGATATGGTCGACGTTTGGCGTCTACAACAACCATGTCGTCCAGCACTGGTGATCTAACGCTCCATCGGGCGTTCGTTGCTCTCGGTAGTAACTTAGGAGACCGTGTTGCTATGATAGAAGAGGCGTGTCGAGAGATGGAGGCTCGAGGTATCAGGATCAAGCGGACAAGCTCCCTCTTTGAGACTGCGCCGATGTATGTGATGGACCAGGGAGCGTTCCTCAACGGAGCATGTGAGGTATGTTCTCCTGTAGTCGATATAATGTAGAATCATATTCTAACATGACCATAGGTTGAAACTTCCAAGAGCCCAATGGAGCTACTGGATACCCTACAGTCGATTGAGATTGATATGGGGAGACATAAGGTCGTCGATAAGGGCCCACGCAACATAGACCTTGACATCCTCTTATACGGCAACGGCGAGTTCTCTAATGAGCGGTTGACCATCCCTCATAAACTTATGCTTGAGCGGGAATTCGTTCTACGGCCTCTTTGCCAGTGAGACGCCCCCTACAATGTTATAAATACACAAGCTAATGGCTGCTTAGGTTAATTCCACAAGAGTGTCCATTAGGCCCGCTGCAGACTGGAACATATACATCTCATTTAAACGATCTCCCCCCGTCTGACCCGTCCCCCACCGTCATGACGCCCATGCCTGCAGGCTTACCCCCAATCACTCCCACCTACCCCAGACGCAGCACGCTTCTCATGGCAGTTCTCAACGTAACCCCCGACTCCTTCTCCGATGGCGGAGCCCATTCATCAACCGACCCTGCAGCGCTGCTTGAAACAGTCAAGGCTTACATAGACGCTGGCGTCACTATCATCGATGTAGGGGGCGAAAGTACCCGTCCCAACGCCGATCCAGTCACTGAATCCGAAGAGCTGGCGCGCGTCATACCGGCGATAAAGCTCATCAGGTCCCTCCCCGAAGCTAACAAGGTAGCCATCAGCATCGACACCTACCGGGCCACCGTGGCTGAGACAGCCGTTAATGCCGGCGCGGATATAATAAACGACATATCCGCCGGCCTGCTGGATCCAGATATGCTTTCTACCATGGCCCGCCTCCAGAAAACAGTCATCCTCTCACACACACGCGGAACACCAAAGACTATGAACAAACTCACAAAGTACCCCGACGGCGTGCTCGCCGGCATCAAAGCTGAGCTGTCAGAGCGTATACGCGCCGCTGAAGATGCCGGTGTTCGAAGATGGCGCATCATCGCCGACCCTGGCGTAGGCTTTGCCAAAACCGAAGACCAGAATCTAGCCATCCTAAGGCATCTAAATGAGCTGAGGCAAGATGAGGGGCTACAGTATACACCCTGGCTTGTGGGAGTTAGCAGGAAAGGGTTTGTAGGACACATCACTGGCGTTAAGAGAGCTGATGAGCGAACCTGGGGTACTGCAGCCGCCATCACAGCTGCTATCAGCAGCGGAGCAGACATCGTACGTATCCACGACGTCAAGGAAATGGCTCAGGTTACTCGTATGGCCGACGCGATCTTTAGGTGTGATTTGGGTAATCAGATGGCAGACTGAATTAGTAGGATACTGGCCACTGTAAAACATCATTTGTATATTATTTACTTACAAAGATCTATAAGCCATTAAAGACCTCGTGGTTATCCATTTCATTCTGTCAAGGGATCAGTTAATTCTTCAGCTTGTCCTTACTGTATAACTAGTATATATATCACTGGCCGTTACTGGAAGGCGCCATATATGTAGACACTACGATAGTTGTACTCTATTGCATTCTAAAGCCGTTCCAGTAATATCCTGATTATATATGAAAGGTGTAGAACCGAATGAGTACTCGAAGATATAAGAATATGACTTCTGGTGTCTGGACCTAGAGCCCTCGGGTTGAGTATAGAATTATACCGAACATCATCCACGGCGGAATGGGTGATATTCAAATCATCACCACCTGCCCAGCCACCTAGACGCATCCCCAAAAAACCAACGATACCATGAATGTGGGCCAGAGATGTAGACTTAACAGCAAAATTGATATCTCAAAAAGGAGGCAAAAAGAGCAGGAAAAAAAAGATGTTGATAAGAGTGGGATTCGAACCCACGAGAGGTTTCCCCCAGCAGAGCTTAAATCTGCCGCCTTAAACCACTCGGCCATCTTACCAGAATATTAAGTTATTATCTACCCTAGATTAGACTATAGTTAGATAGTCAGGCTCAGTCCGCGCCATTTACAATATGATATTGCCATTTTACAGCCGATAACAAAGTCATAATCAGTGAAGGTCATTTCGCTATTCTAAATATAGTTTTAAATCATCCAGCAAAGCTGCAGAAATAAAAGCCAGAGTCAAAGACTAGGGAAGAAGCAGAAAATGCAACCCTTAAGGGAAGAGGCTCGCACACATACGCATTGAAGACCACGGATTCATAAAACACATCTCGGCCACCCCCAATTACAAAACCCTCCACTTCCATAAGCTATGATCTAACCCAGTCAAGGGGGTAAACCGAGTGGTGTAATGGGAGCATATCTCATGGCAAACTCAAGTAGAAATTTATTTTACCCTCGCCTTTTTGATGAAACAGCAGGTCAAAACTCCAAGATGCTAAGTAGAAGCCCCGAAGGCTAAAAATAGCTGGGATGATTCATAACTTTATGGAAGGAAAGAGGAGCAAACGTTATATTCCCAATCATCATAAGCATGTGAGCTCAGCTATTAAGATACTGGCGGATAGCACCTGTACGAGGAAGTTCATTAGCTTTTAACACAAAACGGTGACTGTAGGCCATGAGAATTGGTAGGCCTGAACATACCATGAAGTTTAACAGCGCCGTCACCAACCAAGTTGGTCAAATTCTCAAGATCATCGCCAGCGGTAATCCCAAATTTTCGTACAAAGTCCTTGGCTGCCGTCTCCAGGTCACCATAATCTTCTCCAGCTGGGGTTTCATCCTCAGGACGGCCGAAGTAGGCGTTACTTGATATGGAAGTGGCCCCCTCAAAGTTTGTGAGACGGGCCTTAGCCTCTGCCTGAGCTACAGGGTCAAACTGCTCTCTGCCGAAGAACTCGTCGGATGAAATGCCCTTCTGGTTACCAAATTTGGATTTGGTTTGCTCTAGCTCCTCATCTGGAAAGATGTTAGAATATTGGAGATGTAAAAAAGGATAGAAACGAACATACCATCAAGAGCGCTGTTTGAGTGTCCGACAGCGCCAAACCCTAGCTTCTTTGGAGCTGGAGCCTTTGGCTTTCCCACCTGTCCGAAGCCAAGGCGGCCCATACCCATGCCCAATCTCTCGATCTCGCTTGCGCTCCTCTCATGGCCTCGCGTGGCTCCAAAGCTTGGCCTGGGACTCACGGGGGTAGAAGAGATGATGGAGGAAGTAGATTTGCCCTTTGAAGCAGCTTCTTCGGCCTTCTCAGACTCAGGATCATAGCCGAGCTTTGCGATTCTCTCGGCTTCCTCCTTTGCCTTTCTCTCCGCCTCATCGAAATCAATCGCATCGGCTCCAACGACCTTCTTCGCACCTAGCTTGGGTCCTTTTTTCGCTCCAAGAACGGATGTCTTCTTCCCGCCGGCTGCCGGTCCCTTGCGTACCGCAGTACCTGTCCGGACGGCGACTGGGGGAGATGGAGCAGTGCTCTTTTCTGCGGCAGATAGTGGAGATTTAGGCCGTGAACCATTGCCATTGGAACCTGGGGTGAGGAAGGGAGAGTTGCGGCCGCCGGAAGACGGGGTGGCGGTTCGTGACGGAGGGTTGCTTGGTCGTTTGATAGCTGGTTTATCCCAGGAGGAGAAGAAGTCGTCGTCCGCGTCGCCAGCTGGGGTAGAGGACCCTTCAGGGGTCGCCGAGGCAACCACATCAGTGATCACGACCTCTTCAGGGTATCTGTTTAGTTTAACTCTAAGTTAGCCACAATCATTCACCACCACATGATTATAAGATAGAGAAGAAGAAAAAAGTATGTTGCGTACTCTTCAGCATCCAAGGCCGCTCTCCGCTTCAGTTCTTCCTTGTATTTCACTGCCGCGCTAGAGGTATATTTTATCTTCGAGTCTTTGCTGTTTAGGGCCGCCGTTCCGCCATGTGACTGGAAATATTTCGTAGCCGACTCATTCCCGCCAACTTTCATAACACGTAGCTGTTCCCATTGCCATTCTATAGTGATCAGTTAGCATACGATCGACACCGAAGGTTGAATGCTCTAATAGGCGGTGAAACACACGATCAAGATTGGTTGAGCGAACGAAGGAGATATGGACACCGAGATTACGGTGGTTCGACGAGCAGTCGAGGCAGAGGTATATCCCAAAGGGAACAGAGGACCACGTCGGGTTTTTCGTCCCGCAGTCAAAACATATCTAGCTAAAAATTAGTTACGGTTGAACCAGGGGAGCGGCATGGCGGGGGGAGGAACCGCGGCTTACCTTGTTTGCGGGCTTCGTCTTTAGTTTCTCAAAGATTTTCTGAGACTGCGCCTTGGTAGCACTCATGGTGGGATCGCGGCGTATGTGGTCTCCGGGGTCGAGCAGAGGCAGCAGCAGCAGTGACGGGCAGAGGGCGAAACTGCGAGGCGTGAAGGCGAAAAAAGGAGCGTCCCTGGAGTCGCTTTTTCCTTTTCCTTTCGCTCTTCTGCCACTCTGGCCGCGCCCTCGAGCCTTGCCCGATTAAGAAGTCACGTGTATACATCGGCATATGATGATATAAGCACTTATGTAATCGTTGAAGATGACATCAGCAAGAGCCAAAAGAGGAAAAAGAAGAGGAAAAAAGATAGCTTCAAACACGACGAACGACGATGTTTCGGAGACAGGACTGATGGCAGTTCGCGACGAGAATAGCCATATCATTTTCACCGGCAAATGATGGTTCGTTTACAGCACCATGAATCCCCCAATTCAACTTCGCTCGCTTAGATCTGCGTCTCGGCTCGTTCGTCTCTCCAGGGACGGCGGCCGCGCAGCTACTCCATTCCTTACCCGATACAACCACTATGCCACCCAGAGCAGTCTGGATAGCTCCAAGAACCCCCAGCCAAAGAGGAAATCGATTACCGTGACCACCGACGATGGACGAATCAAATGGGGACAGCTTTCGCGCGGAGAGAAGGCGGCACGTGCTACACAGCAGTCTGTCAATTTTCTAGTTATCCTGGCTGGCGCTGTGATGACGGTTAGTTTTCAGAGGCTGGACAGCTATTTGGGATGACGATATATTGTGGATGGACGCTTACGGGGACTTTATATTTGCAGTGCGGCGTGTTCACGTTTCTATACCTCGACGTGTTTGCTCCCAATAGCAAAACGAACCAGTTCAACCGCGCAGTGAGCCGCGTAAAGAATAGCGAGGAATGTCTCGCGTTGCTTGGAGACAGCAAACAGATCAGAGCTTACGGCGAGACTTCATGGAACAAATGGACGAGGAATCGACCTATTTCGTAAATAGCTCCAACAGTCCACAGCCCGTACGCCCCGTGGACGCAACGTTGTGCTAACCGATACCTCCAGGACAACAATTAAAAAAGATAGAAAGGGAAACGAGCACATGAGGATGAACTTCCATGTACGCCATACTTGAGACCCGATTTTTCTCGTGCATTTTTGCTAACAATTTTCTATAGGTCAGCGGCCCACTTAACGACGGTGTTGTGCTAGTCCACCTGGTAAAGCTGGCTGGCCAACATGACTACGAATATCACCTTCTCGCTCTAGACGTCAGAGGTAAGCGAGCGAGTTCATCTACCATTGGGTTCGTTTAAACTGCGCGTTATTAACGACTGAATGTAGGCCACCATCGTGTATATCTAGAGAATGCAAATGCCGCTAAGAAAGCAGCCGCAAAGGCTAGGTCAACGATATTTGGGATCCAATGGCGGTAGCCTCAACCCCCACAGCCCACAGGATGGTGTTATTGATATATTTCAGGTTTGTATGATATTGAACATGGGTGCTGAGATCTCATTTCAAGACTTGGCTAGAAGAACCAGTCACGACACCCTACCCTGGGCGCTTGAAGCCGCCAACCCTGATTCCACGGCATGGAATCATCTTACCTTAAAGACTTTGACATCTATGGAATGCTATTTGGATCTGGCCCTGCTCGTTAGAGTTACAATTGGCGATTAGCCTGCGTTGTTCTCGATGGCAGTGCAGGCATTGCAGGCATGCAGCCAACACGTATATGTATGTAGTTATATCCCGCAATTGGTCGCCATGGCTTTGGGGGACGCAATGCGCAGCATGCAGAATGCCTGTTGACATATGCAGGCAGACCCCTCAGGCTAATCGCGGAGTTCATGTCCAGGGTAGACGTAAGAATGTCCTGTATATTCAGGTAATAATTTACCCTCGGTCATTACCCCCTATATTTTCTCCTTTTAACTATCAGGGTCTGATACCCTGGTCTTCTAGAACAAATTATTAGGTCTTAGAATTGTATTATCGACTGGCTATCAATTAACGAACCGCCAGCTATACAAGTAGTGCTATTAATTAGTTATCTCGTCTAATTAGTTATAAATTTGATATCCTCTATTCACATAGTTAAATCACTAGTCACGGAACAAAGATGGGGCAGGATCCATAAATAGTTATCATCATCCTTGAACATTTTTCGAGCCCCCCGTCCAGCTATCAACCCACACGGGCACGCTGTAAGACTGGCTTCGCCTCTTCGGATCTCCACCAGCTCTTCCCTTCCTCTCCAGGGAATGAGTATTCTTCCATGCTACGCGCCTTCATCTGCACGCTGTACCCAGGCTCCATGGGTGTAACGTAATACCCGTTCCGCACCCTGGCCGGATATTCAAAGTGCTCATGCAAGTGGTCCACATACTCCAGCACGCTCTTCTTGCCCGTCATCACAACATAGTCAATTGTACTTAGATGCTGTGTGTACTCGGGCAGCCCAACCCCCCCTGAATGGGGGACGACGGGGACGCCGAATTTCCGCGCCAGCAGGAGAATGGCGAGACACTCGTTGACGCCGCCGACTCGACATGCGTCTGGCTGAAGGACGGTCAGTGCACCGGACTGAAGGAATTGCTTGAACATAACTCGGTTCTGGCACATTTCGCCCGTAGCGACTCCAATGGCGCCGTGTGGCGTATCTTGGAGTGCTTTGCGGATGGCTGCATGGCCTAGTATATCGTCTGGAGAAGTGGGCTCCTCGATAAACCAGGGCTTGAACCCGGCTAGCTCCTTCATATGGGAGATAGCTTCGGGAACTGACCACACCTAAAATATACACAACTCGTTAATGCTGCTGATGTTTATTATTATATTCCGCACCTTCTTCCGCGCATCGTCATCTTACGCCGTACCGACGAAGGAACGCTTCGCTTATTTAGGCGAAATCTTGCGTAGGGATGTTGGAATAGCGTAAGGATGATGAGTGAACATACCTGATTGGCATCGACCATCAAAACATTTCCCTTGTCGTATCCAATGGCATTCCTTGCGATCGTCAATCGTCGTTTATCCTTAGCCAGGTCACCGCCAACTTTCAGCTTGAAGTAACGATACCCATCCTTGACGCTCTGCTCGAGCAAGGCCTTCATCTTGTCCTCATCGTAGCCCAGCCAGCCAGCGCTGGTCGTGTACGCCGGAACCGCCTCGTTGCGTTCCGCTTCCGCAATTCTTTGCTGCTTCGTGGGCTCCACTTCCTTCAGCAACTTGATTGCTTCCTCTGGCGTAATTGCGTCAGTGATATACCTGAAGTCTATGCATCTTACCAACTCTTCGGGCGTCATGTCCGCCACCACCCTCCACACAGGCTTGTTGAGCGTCTTTGCCCAAAGGTCCCACAGGGCATTCACCACAGCTCCAAGCGCAAGATGGATCACGCCCTTTTCAGGCCCGATCCATCGAAGCTGACTATCGGATACCAAATAGCGCCATGTCTTCCCCCAATCATCGGTTAGCGATGCGAGCTCCTTTCCCACCAGTAGCGGCGCCAGCGCATCAATGGTCGTGCAGACAATCTCATTGCCTCGGCCGATGGTAAAAGTCTTACGACCGAGTCAGCCATGTGCAGTAGCGCGGGCAAAAAGCAAGCAAAAGGCAAGCCAGATCAAACCCGACAATCTGGGTGTGTTGTGTCGTAATTGAGCGCCCTAAAACTTGTACATACCATGCCATGGCCAGCGTGGGCTGAGTCCGTCTGCAGCACGCAGTACGCGGCAGAGTAGTCCGTAGCGGCATTCATGGCATCTGAGCCGGTATTGTCCAGCGACGTCTAAGCCATGATATTAGTTTAAGACAAGGCCGGAGAGAAGGAGGATCCCCGGAAAGACGGGAGGGAAGGGTAGGAGATACGACGTACAGGGAATCGCACATCGTGCGAGGAGAAGCCGGTGATCTTCATGGTCTCGAAATTGCGACTGAACAACTGAAATTGGTCCTTGTCTTTTGTTGCGTAGCGATCGCCTGTATGTATGTACGGAGTATGAACGTCCTATGGACGTCGTATGGATTTGCAAGAGCTCCAGGGAAGACGAGGGGCGTCTTTCTGCGCTTGCTGCTATCTCAGAGGGGAAATTGCTGCGTGCCAATGCGACATGTCACCTTTTTCTCCTCTTGAAGCCCGTAAAGCCGTAAAGTTATCAGTAAGCGGGCGCTAAACGGTGGAGCTTCTTGGGGGCCCTTGCGCCGCCCCCCAAGGCCCTAAGGGAAAGGAGAGGGGAGCCCGGGAGCATGCCCGGCAGCGAGCGCTCAGTTAAAGCTCCAGTTAAAGCCCTAGCACTAGTTGGCGCCCCTAGTAGACCTAATTAAAGAACTGAGCACCCAAAGCCCGGTGAACAGACCCTCGTTCGGCGGCCCCCCAGAGGAACCCTGGTGACAACCCAGCAAAAACGGCCCTTAACAGCGCTTCTAATGTCTCAAGGCGGTATTTCCTCTGGAAGGATTAGAAGGCCAGAATGCCGCGGCCGTCTCAGAAAATACCCCGGCGATTACTGTACATATAACTTTCAGCGGCAATGCTAGCGAGTGCATCCCTGAATCAGCCCCGTGTTGCGTGCATTGTATCCATGTCAAGATAGGCTGCACGGCGAGGAAAGTGTAAAAAGCTCGCCCGCAGCCATCTGCGCGTCCCCAGAATATGCATCGGAGAAATGAACCCATTGGCCGTGCCGCGCAGGACCGTCCCCAGCAACCCGGAGATCTATTGGCAATCAGGCTAGACTATGCATGCTGGCCGAGCTAGCTGATGCAAGCCTGCGGTCCAGCGTATGCATCCAACATGTATCCATGCATTCGCCGAACTGTATGCCCATGCCGCGGCCTTGTTGTTCAGGTGATGAGAGGGGGGGGGGGGGGGGGGGGGGATGTATGCCAGCAGGGCAAGATATTAGGCCTTTCCATTGGATTTTTGCTTTTAATAAATTGGTTGCCTCTTCTTTTTTTAGAGGTATCTTCTCTCTTTTCTCACCAGCCGTGGCTTTTTTGTTTTCTCTAATATAATTTTGCATTATGGGTTCTTGCATAAGTCGTCAGCTACCTGAGGACCGGGAGAGCCGGAGACCTCGACTGTTGGCCAAATGGAGGCAACGGAGGGCATTGAAGAAGGCAGAACGTACCTTCAGAAGGGCCAGTCCGACATTTGGCCAGACCAGCGAGATCGACACTCTGCGTGCAACAGAATATACCCCATTGAAAGATCACATATACCTCGATTACACCGGCGCCGGCCTGTACGGCGAGAAACAACTGCGAACACATTTCGACCTGCTTCGATCCAGCATCTATAGCGATTCCCAGTCGACGTCAAGCGCAGCGGCAGTCGAGCAAGTCAGGGCGCATATTCTTTCCTTCTTCCGTGCCTCCCCGGACGAATACGAAGTCATCTTCACAGCCAACGCATCGCATGCACTCAAGCTAGTCGGAGAAGCCTACCCGTTCACGCCAGAGGGAGAACTGCTGCTCCTATGGGACAACCACAATTCCGTGCAGGGCCTTCGAGAATTCGCACGTGGAAAGGGCGTTTCTGTGACATATGCACCTGTGACGTCGCCCGGATTGCAAGCAGACGAGGCGTTCCTGAAGAAGGCGATTTACACCAAGGGAACAGGCAGCCCTCGTCTTTTTGCATATCCTGCCCAGTCAAATTTCAGCGGCGTGCAGCATTCACTAGAATGGATTGAGATAGCGCAGGCTCAGGGCTGGGATGTTGTTCTAGATGCTGCGAGCTTTGTACCTGCAAACGTCCTAGATCTCTCCCGATGGCATCCCGATTTCGTACCAATCTCCTTCTATAAGATGTTCGGATATCCTTCCGGTATTGGCTGCTTGATCGCCCGTAAACAGGCCCTGTCCAAGCTGCAGCGCCCATGGGTATCTGGCGAAAAGATCCCTACCACGATCCAGGATCAGGGGAGCAACGACCGTAACAGCCAGGTAATGACCCAGAAATGGCACGAAGTATTCGAGGACGGAAGTATCGATTTCTTCGGTCTCCCCGCGATAGAGATCGGCCTCAACCATCTCTCCAGCATCGGCATGGAGACCATCCATAATCGTGTTATCTTGCTTGCAGGCTGGCTCATCGACCGCCTCCTCGAGCTCCGTCACTCCAACGGCCGGCGCGCCGTCATCCTATACGGCCCCCAGAACACAGAGCGCCGCGGCGGTACCATCAGCTTCAACTTCATAGACCCCAACGGCCGCGTCATAGACGAACGCATCGTCGACCAGCGCGCCATCCCCATAAACCTCTCCCTCCGCACAGGATGCTTCTGCAACCCCGGCGCCGGCGAGGCTGCGTTCCATCTCACAGAACAGGCCCTGCTGAGTGCGTTTCACCAAGAAGCCGCAGCCAAAGACCAGGATGGCGATCCAAAGACCTTTGACGAGTTCCTAATAGACATGGGCATGTCTACTGGCGGAGGTGTTCGTATCTCGCTCGGCCTGATGACCAATTTTGCCGATGTTTTTCGATTTTTGCAATTTGCGCATACGTTTATCGACGATTTCCCAGCGGCAACGAATCTTAAAGCGAGACTGCATTGCTAGCTTCTTATGACCCCGTAATGACTTGGGAGGAATGTGAACATGACTTGATATGGGTATAAATTTTAATCGGCGTTAGAATAATGGTTATGACTGCATAATATACGATATCATGAAGCATCTGGCATGAAGCATCGGGTGCTTACAGTTTATATATTCTGTCTTTTTTCTCCACATTCTTTTTTTATAAAATCGAACTTGTCAAATGTGATTGATGATGTTGTAGTAAAGTTGCAAAGTTTGCATGGTGGTGTTTCATCCTTACCTGAGACCTGAGGCTGATGATCCACCAGCGTACACTACACAAATACCATAGGACGGCGATATAACATTGGAAACATAATTGGCAGGCTATGTGGAAAAAGAAAACGCTTGTAGTTTCATTCCTAATTTACAGATCCGTCCAACCAGAGAAACAACCATGCTATAGACACCGGGATTAACTTGAGAGACCTCTCTTTTCGCTCTCGGAGAAGAACACGATCATACGCCACAGCTTCTTCACCAGAACTTCTGCTTCTTCGTCAAGTGCCTACGTGAAAAGGTATTAGTATATGTGATAAAGGTGGAGGGGACGTGGTGTATATGACTTACTCCTTCCAGCTGCTCCACGAGATCCTGAGGACTCCCGCGCTTTCGGATATGCTCTTCCACTACATCCACCAACATCTGTTCCTGCACACCAAGATACTCCATGATCTTCTTTTCCACGAACGGCTTAAGTTGGTCTCCCAGGACAGCCTCGTCCACAAATTCCCACTTGACTTCCCATTTCCAGAGACCCTCTTTGTCTGAAGGAATCTCTGCTGCAAGTTGTCTCGCGGCCTGGGCGCGCTCTTCATCACTAAGACCGGTTGTTTCAGCAATGGTGTCGAATTTAATGTCCGTCAGAGGACGTCTAGTTGTGGCCGCAGTATCTTCCTCGTCTTCAAGTAGACCCTCAACTTCAGCAACAGTTCTCCGCTGAGCTTTCTGGGCTGCTGCCCCAAGGGATAGTTTGAAGCGTTGGGGTTCCTTGCGTGGCTGATTGCGAGACTCTATTTCCTGCGCTTGGCGAGCAAGGAAGTCTTCAGCCATTCCACGAGCTTGTTCCTGCTGCTGGGCTTCTTTGGCTTTCTCTCGTTCCTCTGCTGCGCGATCAGCTTCGTCCATAGCGACTTCTCTATTTCGGAATGTGGCACGTTTGCGTATCCATACACCGCGATCGGCGTAGTATTCCTCCACCTTTCTGCTGGCTTCCGTATCATCATTCCACTCTCGTAGTCGCTTAGCCATAGCGCGTTTCTCTTCTTCCGCGCGTTGCCCTTCTTCTCGTTCTCGGTTCTTTTCTCTCTCCACAGCAGCCGTTCTGCTTCTTTCACGATTTAGCCATCGCCGTTCCTGATCTAAGGCCTGTTTCTCGAGTTCTGCATTTCGCTTTTCCTGGTGCCTTCTTTCTACCTCAGAATCATTTGCATCAGTGTCATCGTCCTCCGGCGTTATGTTTATTCCATTAGTGTTGACAAAGGAGACACCCTTTTGATAGTCCTTTGGAATTTGGTGTCCGTAACCCTTTGGCCCAGATGGCGCATTTGGTACGCCCCTATCTCGAGGGCCAAGGGGAATTCCATTGGCACCTCCAGCAGGACCACTTGGGGCTGAATGCGGTGGAGACGATAGTCTGTTTGGGCGTGAAGGACCGGCATTTCTAGCTCGTTCTAGAGACTCGATCTCCTCTTCGCGCTTCAGTCGTTCAAGGTCTCGGCGATTGCTTCTTTCACGGAAAGCTGCGATCTCCTTTGCGACGGTTTCCCTCATTTCAGCGGGGATATCTGATAGTTCATCTTCCACGGTTATAGGAATCGTGATAACTTCTGCTGCAGCACCATCGTTCTGCTTATCTGATTCGCCCATAGTAGTATCGCCATCTCTGTCGAATCCCGTTGCATCTGCTTTGGATTGAGCTGAGGGTTTAGTAAGTTCGGCTAGAACGTTCGCAAGGTTCTTTCTCGCAGATTCAAGGCGTGAATGTACTGCTTCGGGCTCTTGACTGTTGTTCATTTCATATTGTTCAAGGTATTTGAGTGAGCTATCATCAATAACCACCTAAAAACCTGTTAGTGTCCCAGTTGGAAAACAGCCGAAGGTGAGATTAACAACAACGTACCATTAATTTACTCATTTCAATTTCAGCATTATCCTTTTCATCGTCCGAGAAGGGTCGCTGTTTCTTGACAGGAACTTCGATATCCCTTAGCACTTCTACCGCAGTATTAAGACTTTCCGGGTCCTCGTACTCTGCAAAGCCAAACTTGCATGGCTTATTGTCTGCATCAGTCGCCCGAATCCAGCGCCGAAGATTACCCGCCGATCGTAGAATGCGTTCGATTCCCTCATCACCGCCAGTGCCTTCGGTAATACCGCTAACAAAGACAGTGCGCACAATTTCATCCTTTGTCGGAGGCTGCAATTGCAAGATCGCTTCACGGATATTCTGACGTTGCGATTCTATTGAGCCCGTGTGGTGCTGGCCTCCTCGGCGTCCTCCAGAATCTCCGCCACGCTCACGACCGCCTTCATGTGGTGTTGCTGACTTGGGAGGACCTGAGGTTCCTAGCCGAATAACAGGCGCAGAGAAATTGATGTTTGGCATATTTGCGGGAGGCTGGAAGTTGGGTGGAAAGCCGCCGGGCCGGCCTGGCTGCTGAGCATTGTGCTGTTGCATACCCGGTGGTGCTCCGGTCCCAGGAGGTGCCATACCCGGAGGTGCCATCCCTGGCGGGCCTAATCAGATGCAAAGGTGGACACGTCAGCTATGGAATTTGTAGGATACGCGTTCAGAAGGAGGTAGATAAAGCTCACCACCTAGACCTGGGGGCGCGCCAGGATAGCTTCCAAAATCTGGCGGTTGGCCAAATGGCCCAGGAGCTATAGACAAAGATATTAGCAATCTGGGCGAACAAGTGAATTGTTTGGCTTGCATTACCTTGGTATGGATTATACATCTCGTCTCTTGCGCGTTGGCAAAGGTCTCAGTAAGGCTTTCTTTGCGTCCAAGTAACTTGCAGACAGTCCTAAAATGATAATGAGATGTAAATAGATGACTGCAGAAAGGGCAAGAAGCAAAAATTAGTCAGTCATCTCTGGGAGTATGCGGCGTTGTCACTCTTCCACCACCTCTCACTTGTTTGTGTTCTCTTCTTGATGCTTTTCAACCTGGAGAATTTCTGGAATAGGCGTAGGTGGTCCGTGCTTTGGGGTATATTAGTCACGTGACTAATCTAACCTTCACCACCAGAAAAAGATATATCTTAGATATATTCAAAATTCTTTTAAGTAGATGAATATTATCCTAGAAAGACTGCAATAGAAGCTGATTTTTATTAATCAGTGCTTGAGAGAGTGTGATTCCGCAGGGACCTCTATCCCGGTATCTCGACTAGGAGCCCTTGATTACAGTATCCAGACGACAACTGCTTCTAGTAGCTAGAAGTTGGAATATTACATTGCTCCTGAATTTCAGCGTTCACTTCATATATCTTCTTATTGGATAGTTACAAGGTTACTTGTGATCTGTCTATGGATACATCCAGTGGCCGGTTGATATTATTTAATGTTAATACATCCTGATATGAAACGACCAACATCACCCTCTCTAGGTGGCATCTAATCATGCTATCTCTGCATATATTGTTCCATTATCCCACTCTCCAATTTTCTTGTCTTTGAACCCTTCATCTTTCGCTGAACAAAATCATCCATTTCCTGGCGCTCATGTTCCATAAATTGGATTCTACCCTCACTATCAAGCAAGGCTATTCTATTCTCGAGTGTTTCTTCTCCACCAAAGATTTTTTGATCAATAAATGGCCAGATGATATCTAGAGCCCAACTTTTCCGTAAACCGTAACATATCCAGAAAGTTCCACTGTTCCAGCTCTTATGCATTCGCTCGGAGAGTTGCTCTGAATCAGATAACAGCCCGTTACGGATCGCGATTTCTTCCTGATCCTTCATTGCTCTAAGAAAGATCTTAAGACGTAAGTCGTAAGTCGTGGCCCAATCTATTATACCCGAAGGCCAGTCTTCTGGTGTCTCCAAAAGTAGCCACCATGGAGGACTATATGTAAATTCTGGGGGTGCAGCGTATGTAAATTCCCAATCAATAATGGCGACAATCTTGGAGTTCTCGTCGATAAGTATGTTCGTTGGCCAGAGGTCGTCGCAGAAAAGCTTGAACTGGCAAGGCTCCAGAGTATCCTCGCCTATAAGCTTCGACTGCCTTGCAAGTTTAAGCAGTATCTTTCTAATAGTGTATTTATGGCGACAATCCTCCTCCGACTGGATGGCATCGTTGCGTTGAGTTGATAAATGTGTGTATTGAACCCCAGCAAGGCAACGAATATAATCAGATGTAGTAGTAAAAGGAGATGACGGCAGCTCTGCTCTGGGGTAGCCACCGAGTTGGACAAGCTCGTTCATATTTATTGTCAAGGGACGTTTCGTGATAGCCCAACCGTTAGGCTAAGCAGCTAGGCAGCCGATCTTGCTAAAGGAGCACCTTGATAGCCGCAGTATAATGTCTGCCATCTGCCCATATAAGTGCTCTAGCGTTTATTCATCAATATTAGGATCAAGTATAGGACGGTCTCCTCTAGCGTAACCTGGTGCTCTTAGTTTTACCATAAGGTTAGATGCATAGCTAACGAACTCCATCAGGATATACGGGCCCATCTCATAGGGCCCTTCCATGCCCCAGTCAAGAATAGTTGGAATAGGAATATCAGTATTTTCCTTAATATAGCGCATGACGGCAACCTCTGCTTCGGTCTTCTCCTCTAGAAATATACTTCTACCAGGGGATGCGAAGCGTAGAAGGGAAGAAAATCCATTATTAAACTCCATGCGGTAACAGAAATTGAAGGCGCCGACGCCTATTATACGGGCACGATCATTAGGTTGAGATACAGGGTATTTAGCTGCCATAAATTTCGTGACAGCCTTCAGAACAGCCGGACTTGATGCTTTTTTCTTAAAGGTATCGAAGACCGTGTCGCTTTGTTCCCAAGCCAAATCGTCATATCCCATTTCCATCTTTAGCTATAATGCAAATGCAAAGGTAGATTATGAATGAAGGGATTGTTCTTCCAAGTGCGGCGTAATACTTTCTTAATGATGGGATATCTCTGCTGTGGCTTGGTTAGAAGCTCTTGGGTATGTCCATGCTGATATTCGACCTCCGAGCCGATTAAACGGAGTAATTTGCCATTGGATCTGTTATATACCTTATGACGCGTGGCTATGAACCGTACAAGAACAAAGACCGGTGCCTTGATATTGTCGACCGCTTCCGTTATATGGAGTTCCCCTCTTGACTAGATTATTGGCTAGTGTTGGGAGGGGCTATTTGAATGTTTGAAAAGATTTGGCTGGTACAATAAAAAAGTCAAGTAGTGGTAAATATCCTGAGATCTTGTTGCTACTCACGATATAGCATCGTTTGGAGCGCTGATAAAGGTGCCAAACGTTGGTTGACCAAGGGTTACGGGAACGGGAAGTCTACGCAACACCTCCGTTACCAGCAGGGACTTTGCTATATTTCATACATTCTCACATCCCATGTCTTAGACCTATACATAAACCAACGTGCGGTTCTTCTTTATTGTTATTTTATGACAGAGTATCCCATCCTAGCTGGCATCGCCACGATATTTGAAGTATTGGCTGCCCAGGCCCGCGACTCGGTATTAGAAACAGCACACGGGAAGCACCAGAGTATAACTCAGGCCCCGGCTTGCTGAATTCAACCCTTATACTTAGTACTCCGTACAGGGTTAATATTGTACAACTGATTATTCGGCCGCACTTCCCTCGGTCTGCAGCACCCATGGATATAGCATCTCTATCAAGAACCCAAGGCCTGTCTACCTGGATCCAATCATTTTCAGGTACGTACTTTGTTAAATGCAAAGAAGAGAGAAGCGAATCAAGGCATAAACCTACTTGGCACTTGTACTATTGAGAACTTGGTCATTACTTACGCGACTCTCCGCCACTCGTGGCTTGATTCGACAAACTCGTGAAATCGAATGCAAACTCAGAGTCTTGAAAGGGATGGCCATGTTGAGGCAATGATGGGCAGGAAGATCACTGCCAACCGCAAATCCAGGACGGGATATCGGGACGAGATATCAGGCACGAGACACGTATCAGATCATGTACTGCGGCCTGGGACTTCCAACTTCCAGGTATAGGTCAAGGTAGGACATACGGAGTACTCCGTATAAAAGAATGTGATGATCCTCATATCTGTTCTTCAGCCGCAACTCTAGCACTCTCCCGAGCAAGCCCATCGCAGTTCACCAGCTCACACGCAATCATCAAATAACCGACACTCCCACCTAAGCGTACCTTTTCAACGCTATGCTGGCGTTTGCCAACTCGGCCATGGCTGCTGTTTCCGGTCTGGTGGCTGGTCAAGCGGGAAACAAGAAAACCGCCCGAGTCGTGGTGGTGAACGATACTCCTCGGCCACTCGTCGCGGTCTCAGTCGTCCATAAGTCCAGCAACGTGTACAGGAACCGTGAGGAATGGGCAATGATCCAGCCAGGCAAGCACTCTGCGCCCGAATTGCAAGTTGAATACCCAACTGGGTCCGCCGCTGCCGATGACGGTTCGTGGCTTGTTATCTGGTATAGCGAAGACTTGCAGGCGCTATGGCACTCTGATCCAAGTGATTCGGTCTTCCCAAGCGAGATGCTGGACAGGCAAACGCCAGAACAGGTTCAGAAGGTGGAAGAGGCCCTCGCCGCCGGCAGCGGCCCGGGGTCTAAAGGTGCATTGCTAGCAACTGCATTAGCAAAGTCGACGACAGACCGTTTGTTCAATTCCGAGAGCACGGAAGGGTTTGTGCAGCACGTCTTGCACGACGAAGATGCGGACCAGTTGACTGAGATCGTTATAAACGCTAATGATACGATCACGTTCAAGTCCAAGTCTGGCAGCACGGAAACCAAGGCCAGCTCGAAGCCAGCGACCAAATAAAATGTTAGTACGGAGAGGATGCTATGGATTTGGCTTCATAAGGATGTAGCGACGACCTATAGCTTGATTTGTACTTTGGGCAGTGCAAACGAAGGTTAATGAGATAAATGACATATGGACCAATTAACCAGCTTGATATCGGAAGCTTATAGTTAGCTTGTTTTCTCCCCCTTTTAGTTCGTCTCTTTGCTGAAGCCTGGCTGGCCAGCTTGATGTTTAAAGCGCAACTAGAAGGCTGGGCCTGGCCTGCTCTAGGATATGATATTGGCTGGCAAGCAGTCAAGCAGTAATCTTACTTCGTGTCAGCCTCGCAGGCCGTTAAATTAAATTTACGATTGGTGCATGGAGTACTCCGTAAATATAAGTGCTTTTTGCTAAGTAAGTCTGTTTCTGAGCACTGCCTTGTTGGATAAACACACCGCAAGTGGGCATCTTCAACGGAGTACCCCGTATGGTGCAAACGAAATGGCATTAGGCACTAGCCCGCGCTGTCAATGCTAACAAGGGTGCTATTATTGGTAAACGGGTTTATCGCGGGAAAAGCTTTTTCTCAATGCTTGCGCTATTTATAAGTTCTCGTGGCTGCGGCTTAGAGTCCTTATCACATTGGCCCCGGTCAAAAAAGGGGTAAAAGCAAGTTCGAATATCGACCAGAGCTCGTTTACGGATGCGATGACACTGGCTGCCGGAGACGAATGGCTGAACTTAGGCAATCCGTAAACATCAACATCCAGCTCACTGCCTCTGTTTGCGGCCTGATGGTTTCAGCCGCCCAGGCTAGAGAGAGCCGTATAAGAGGGAGCTCAAGGGTCGTCTCTTGCAGCTTTTATATACCCATCTAACTCACTATTAATATCAGTCATTCGTTTACTGAAGTAAGCAAGCAATCAGCCTACCTTCATTCTTCTATATTTCCCCCTAATACCACTTAATCAAAAACCCGATCAAGATGCGCACTGGAATCTTTGCTCTCGTTACCCTCCTCGTGAGCGGTGCCATGGCCGGCGACTGGCGCAAGGTTGAGCCCCATACCGTGAAGGCTCTCCGTGACCTTCGCGTCCGCCAGAACGGTGGCTCTTCCTTCATCCCCGGAACCACCCAGGGTCACGGCAGCAACTGTGTCGAGGCCTTTGGTGCTGGATTCGAGCTCTGTGCCAACAGCAAGATCTGCTACAACCCAACTGGGGGTGATCTCTGCTGCGCTGAAGGATGTATGTATATCTCATGCCATTAGCCATTATGGCAGCAATCGGGTATAGAACTTTGCTAACAAGATTCCACAGATCCTTGCCCAAGCGGAAGCTTCTGTCTCACCAAGGGATACTGCTGCCCTAACGTAAGTATCCGACATCCTGTAAGCCCCGACTGACCGTGTCTTTTGCTAATGGACTTCAACAGGGTCTTGACCCCAAGGAGTGTGCTAAGCAGCACAACATCGAGCTCCCTCCAAACTTCGGCAAGCCCCCAGTGAGCCCAAGCGGTGTCCCATACCCAACTGGCACTGTTCCATCTGGCTCTCCAGCACCAACTGGCACCGGCACTCGCCCAACTGGAACTGGCACTCGCCCAACCGGCACCACCATCCCACCAACTGGCACCAAGACCTCCAGCCCACCAATCTACACTGGTGCTGCCAGCCAGAACATCGTCCAGGGCGCTGCCGCCGCCGTTGTTGCCATCGGTCTCATCCAGAACCTTTTGTAAAGAAGCGTTCCCCGCCAGCAACGAACGAGATGGAAGGGTAATGGTATCATGGGTCGGATCAAAGATGTAACTAGAAGCTTGTGTGTTAATATGTAATCTATGTTCGGTGTGTCGAGTTTCATGTTTTCCTCTCCTATGCGAGTAGCCAGACTTAATGCTTAATCATGTTCACCTCATCCTTCGACTCTGCTTTAGAATCTTCTTTGAATCCCCTAGTCCTGGTGCATCGTGTGATGGGAAGAGTTTCGAGTCCTCCAGTCTAGACGGCTGGGCAGATCGCGGGCTGAATAATCCACGGCGACATCCACGGCCGACCGGGATACCTGATAAAGCGCGGATAGAGGCGAAGGGCTGTCGCTGTCGCTGTTCCGCGGTGTCCGGCCCTGTCGAGGCGCCGCCAGTAGCAACTATCCACGATGGTTTGTTGAGGGATGCCAGGTTTGTTTAGAGTTGCCCCTCCAAGCTTCCAGCTTTGTTGCGTCAGTATAAATAACGAGCTGCATACTCGGTCGACCGTCAACTCTGCCAGAACACCCTCGAGCAGAGCAGAGCAGCCTCTTTATGCACCGCAGGATACACCAGTTAACGTCACATCTGCAGACAATGCCTGGGTTCGGACAAGCAAGCAGCCTCGATGCGTGGAAGGCCCTCGAGCAGCACCATGCCACCACCGGCCGCCATATCTCGCTGAACGAGGAGTTCAAGAAGGACCCCCGGCGGTTTGAGAAGCTCTCTCGCACCTTTAACAACGAGGCAGACAAGTCTGAGACCCTCTTCGACTTCTCCAAGAACCTGGTCACGGACGAGACGCTCGCTCTGCTGGTCAAGCTGGCTCAAGAGGCCGGCGTCGAGAAGCTGCGAGACGACATGTTCAATGGAGAGCCCATCAATTTCACCGAGAACCGCGCCGTCTACCATGTTGCTCTTCGGAATGTGACCAACCAGCCAATGCAGGTTGGCGGGAAGAGCGTGGTGGAAGGCGTCAATTCGGTGCTGGAGCACATGAAGCAGTTCTCAGAGCAAGTCAGGAGCGGAGAGTGGAAGGGATACACTGGAAAGAAGATCAAGACCATCATCAACATTGGCATTGGCGGATCCGACCTGTGAGTTTATCATCTGTTCTTTACCTAGAACTAGTCTAATGGTGGTTTTACGATAGCGGCCCTGTGATGGTCACGGAGGCGTTGAAGGCCTACGCTGATCGAAGCCTTGATATCCATTTCGTCTCTAACATCGACGGAACACACGTAGTCGAGGCACTACGGACTTCGGACCCCGAGACTACGCTCTTCCTCATCGCCTCCAAGACCTTCACGACGGCAGAGACGACCATGAACGCTCACACGGCCAAAGACTGGTTCCTCCAGACTGCCAAAGATGAAGCACATATCGCCAAACACTTTGTGGCCCTGTCCACCAACGAGGAAGAAGTGACCAAATTCGGGATCGACAAGAAGAACATGTTCGGCTTCGAGTCCTGGGTTGGTGGCCGATACTCTGTCTGGAGTGCCATCGGCCTCTCCGTTGCCCTGTACATCGGATACGATAACTTCCACCAATTCCTCGCAGGTGCCCATGCCATGGACAAGCATTTCCGCGAGACTCCACTAGAACAGAACATCCCCGTTCTCGGAGGTTTATTGAGCGTCTGGTACAGCGACTTCTTTGGCGCCCAGACCCACCTCGTCTCTCCGTTCGACCAGTATCTGCACCGCTTCCCGGCCTATCTCCAACAGCTGTCAATGGAAAGTAACGGAAAGGCGGTCACCCGCGATGGCGAACATGCCAAATACACCACAGGCCCCATCGTGTTCGGCGAGCCAGCCACCAATGCCCAGCACAGCTTCTACCAGCTCCTGCACCAGGGCACAAAGCTCATCCCGACTGACTTTATCCTCGCAGCTGAATCCCACAACCCCGTCGAGGGCGGCAAACATCAGCGCATGCTGGCATCCAACTTCCTCGCGCAGTCAGAGGCCCTGATGGTCGGCAAGTCTCCCAGCCAAGTCAAGGCCGAAGGTGCCCCTGACGAGCTCATCTCCCACAAGACTTTCCTGGGCAACCGGCCCACGACCTCCATCTTGGCCCAGAAGATCACACCGGCAACCTTGGGTGCTCTGATCGCTTACTACGAACATGTAACCTTCACCGAGGGCGCGGTGTGGAACATCAACTCCTTCGACCAGTGGGGTGTCGAGCTTGGAAAGGTCCTTGCTAAGAATATACAGAAGGAGCTGGAGACGTCTGGTGCTGGCGGTGACCATGACGCTTCGACTAGCGGGCTGATTGCGGCTTTTAAGAAAAAGGCTGCTCTTTTGTAGGGTTAATCGCGTTCTCTAGGGTATAGGATGGACGATGCGAATGATGACTTGTCTACTTTTAATATGTGCTTATGGGTTTAATAACTATGGTGTACGTTTATTATCGAACTGCTACTGGGGAGCATTAATATCCCTCTCCTGAATTATTATACTAATTATCTACCGTAATCGCCGGACCAAAGGAGACTTTACTCTTTGCTCTCGTCGTTCTGTATCTATATAACCCCTGACTTCCAGCAAACGTACGCCAAGCTTGACTCCAGATTTCAAAAAGTCCGCATATGCAAGAAAGAAGAAGAAAACACATATCTACTTCACACGCTGCACATGCTGCTTGACTAGAATATTAATATGACCTTTCTCCAGCGAATATCTATATCGAGTCCGCTCTATTTAATATTTTACTCCTATCTCTTTACTATTGTGACGGCATCGCGGTTGACATACTTGGATAATCCCGCCAAACCAGCATATAATTATGGCGATAACCTCCCGATCAGTTGTCTAAATAGGACAATGTAAGGTCTACCTCTCTCATAAATATGCCCGGATTGCGATATCGTTTGTCTTCGGTGTTGAATTATAGCTAATTGAGGAATTACCGGGCAACAGTGATGACGGCCAACATGTATGAATCCCAACCAGTTCAACTTCTAGTCTACGCGCTGATATATATTAACGACTCTACCAGGTCACCGATGTAGCCGGGAAATTACAATATATACCTTTCTCCGTGTGCAACGAGACCGGCACTCCCCTCGCATTCCACTACGGTATCTCCGAGACGATAACCTGCACCATAGACTCCTTATCCGACTCTCTCTACCATCTCCTAGAATACTACATCCACTCCGACGTCCCTCTCGCATGCCGCATACCTACCTCCCCACTAGCCGGCTCTCAATCTAAATTCACTCCGGGGAAAGATGACAAGGGTGTCAAGGGTGACGATGGCGGCCTCTCCTCGACCCCCTTCACCCCCATGACGATTGCGTTACAGGGAACACTCCAATACAGCCACCTACACATGTGGACTGATATGAACGTCCTCTTCCATCGATCAACCACCATACCTTCGAAAGATGCGAAGCCATCCAAGCACCGCATCAATGGGCAGGTCGTGGCAGGATCCGCCTATTCATTTCCCCTGACGGCCAAGAAGAACAAGGAAGGGAAAGTAGACCGCATGATTCCTGTTCCCCTAGACCCGTGGGCGGCGGGGAAAGGCAACAAAATTGTCCGTGGCGAGCCATTGACGTTCACGTTCAAAGTTGGATGGGTGGATGAGAGTGATGTCTCGTCGTTCTCCGCACATCGATCTGGGGCCTGGGGATCATTTATATCGATGATGTGGCGAGTGGGTATGTTTGTCATGGCAGGCAGTGCTGGGGCAATCATTGCTATATGGTGGGAGCGCACAATTGGATCGAGGCGGAAAGGAGCCCGCTGGGATGGCGATGGATTGCTGGGCAGCCTACCGAGCTCGACTCGTGGGTTATTTGGATCACGGCGCATTGGTGATGCGTCAGGGGGTATTGGTAGCAGTGCCAGTATGAATGGTTATGGCGGCTATGGTTTGAATAGTGCTGGAGGAAGCCATGGGTATAACGGCTTCTCCAGCGGGAAGCGAGACTGATTATATGGAATCGGCCAATTTTACAATAGGCCCCTTGATGAAGGCGAGTACTCTGGAGATATATGTTTGTCTTTACTCCGTACCATAGAGGGGAGTCAAGAATGTCACTTGAGAAAATCTTTTAACACTAAATGTACATGATAATGGAATAGAAAGGCGTTTCCGCCTTCAAATGCTACTTATACATTCGTCCGTAAACCCCGACAATCCAACTCCCATGTCGGCTTTTACATGCCTATCTCTCCAAGGCCATAAAAAAACAACACGCGAAACACATTCAGCATATCCGCAAATTTCTACCACCCCTGCCTCTTCAGCTCCATGCATCTTAAAACAGTCACGTCAAACGAAGCCTTGAACAGTTTTCTCCACCGCTTCGATTTCACTATCTTGCGCATCTGTCCACGACGAATATGGAACTTCTGTATCCTCTGGTCGTGTTTGATGTTGTTTCGAGAGACCTGAGCCTCCATCATGGAGAAAGCAGTGTTGACGTCGACTCCTCGCGTCGGGTCGACGGCGATGGTACGGCCCAATTTCGGGCCAAGTTTCAGCTCGGGGTACTTTGGAATGGAGTGTCCTGGCTCGACTGCCGAGTAAGCAACCGAATCCCGAACAGCACGAGTAACACTTCCAACATCGGACTGCTGGAAAAGGCTGCGGAAGTCACGTCCAACGTTTGCTCCATTGGCCGGGGTTCGTCTAGCAGGCATATTTGGAGTTCCAACACGGTCGTATACGTCGTCTAGCAAGCTGCTGATCGAATCCATGTTGAAGTTGTCACTCCTTCTCGATTGCACACTGTTGGGCCGCTGTGTAGCTGCCGGGGTATCCGCCTGTCTGCTTGAGGTGTCTTTAGTTGATGAAATGCATCGTATCGACTGTCTGTAGAGCTGTGGTATGCGTGCCGAGTGTCTGGTTTGTCTGATGGGAGAAGCGTGAGAGACGAGGTGTTGGCAGACGAGGCGCGATGCCTGCTTCGAAACTAGGCCATTGGCCATCTGTCGGACATCCATCACGGAGAGTACGGGTCAACGACCATCCAGCAGGTGAGATCGAGGTGAAAAGAGCGTTGTGGCGGGCGTAGCGACTCTCCTTGCCGACTTTTTTGCTCGTCTCCTTCTCTTTTTCCAAACGTCGAAGTCGAACTTGCTCGGAATTTCATTTTTCAGCTCCTTGGTCACGTGGTATCATTCTAGTTATCGATAAGGAAAGTTCCGACTGGAGAAGTTTTGATAGCAGCAAAAGGATTAATTACTCTTCAGCTTCGAATAGAGGAGATTTATCTGTCTCTCTGTCAGGGCGGCAGTTGCTAGAACAGTTATGTCTTCCGTTACAGTTGCAAACCTGCCCAGGATGGCACGGGAAACGCTCTCGTCCATCATCCAAACACCAACAGCCGCCAGCAATCTTGCTATCATAGATGTTCGAGATTCTGGTTCGTCTGTTGACCTTCACTACGTCCCTCGATACCATGTCAGTCTCCTCTAACAAGACCGTCTACTCCTACTAGACCATGTCGGCGGCAACATCGTCACGTCAAAATGGGTCCCAAGCTCCTCGTTTGACGTCCACGTCCCGGAACTCATCCGAACACTCAAGGACAAGGAGAAGGTCGTATTCCACTGTGCTCTTAGCCAGCAGCGTGGCCCTTCAGCCGCTCTCAAATATGCAAGAGAACGAGCCAGGATTCTGGGCGATGAGGAAAGCGCCAAACAGAAGATTTTCGTCCTCGATGGGGGGTTCGTCAAATGGCAGGAGGTATTCGGCGAGGACCCGAAGCTCACCAACGAATACGTCAAGGATATCTGGGACGAGTATTAATTCATCTAGATCTCCTTAAATGCATGGCCTTGCACTTGATTTTCTGCTCAACGACAAATAAACGGTTTTGATGGCGGGGTATAAACAGCGTGCTATATATAACTCTTAAACTCGAAGTTATCCAATCACCTCCTAACCTCCAGTGCTTCAACTCGTCGAGTATATATCACGGCATCTAATAATGCTCTACACTAACGGCCCAAACAGCGTTTTGATAGATATTTTTCTAACTCAGGTATATATACACAAGTTCATTGAAGAATCCACTCCATAGAAGACTACATATGAACTTCACCACCGAATCCCACAGGTCGTCTCTTCCCGCCGCTCTCTGGAACAATAGCCATAGCTTTGTAGATTTTGCCCATCCCCCCACCACCACGCTCAACCAAACGCTGCCATGAGCTCTCTATTTGCTTACGCTTTGTTTCATCTTTAACATTACGCAGTAGCTGTGCCGCTCTCTCCGCAATGCCCAACGAGCGCAAAAAGCTACCCTGCTCATTTGGTCCATACACCTCAACACCAGGGCTGGCATTAAGAGCTGCTTCGGCAAGTGCAGTGAAATCCACGTCGGCACTAAGATCGACCTGACCCGGGGTTGCAAACGGTGACACGATCTGGTGATTTTTAATGCCACGCAGGGAGTTAACGGGAATAGTAGACGATGGGCCGTAGTCGAGTATCAACGCCGCGCCAGCCGGGGTACGGCTAGGCGAAGCATTTTTGTCGGTTGGGTTGGCACCTCCAATAAGTCGAGCAAACTCTTGTGCGTAAGAGTGGCTCTCCGGGCTGATCTCGATGGTAGATCCACGGGTGGCCTTAAGAGCCTTGTATCGGGGTGACATTTCTGGCATGACGAGCGAAGCTGGGGTGGGAGACTTTGCAAGAGCTAGCCGGAACTCGAGCTTTTTGTCACTTTTATCACACTCGCGTGGAGGTTCGGGATTCGCCGCTACTACTAGCTCTCTCCATTGTGTTCCGTTAAGAGGTAGCGGAGGCTGGCGAAGTGTAGCTGGTCCGGTTGGGGTGATGATTGTCTCCGGCGGAGGAGAGTGAACAGATTGGAATGCGTGTATCGGGAGGGCATCAAAAAATTCATGGGCAATTATAAACGGTGCCTTGTCCTTGGCTAATGCAAAGCACGTATGGCTGTTAGTTTCAAGGTTGAATTGCAAGAGTATCATTATGGGGGACATACTCTCTGGAAGCAAGCGTATATGCTCAGCCCAGTAAACCGGCACTCCAAGATGCGTGCTAATGCTCTTGTGACCAATCTCACATTCCTCCATAGGTGCATTTCCGCACAGTGTCTGCTTTTGAATATCTCGCAACGTTGGACTGGCTTCTATTAAGTATATACCCTCGATGCTTGACGCGAACCCTTTGAAATTCCGTATAGACTGATACATATTCCATTGTCAGCTGTATTCACAATTATACTGACAACGTATCAAAATATGTACTTACGCGCAGGACATCCGCCATCAAAGTTCCCTTCCCGGGCCCAACTTCCATTAATTGAACTCCGCTACTGCGTCGTCCCTGAGACATCCATTCTGTCACCGTCCATATCCCTAGTAACTCTCCAAACATCTGAGATATTTCCGGTGACGTTACAAAGTCTCCCTCCCTTCCAAATACATCGCTGCCAGGCACCCCGCGGGAAGTATAGTAGCCGCCTTCGTCTGAGGTGAGACATTGGCGCATATACGCCGCGATGGAAATCGGACCTGTGGTCTACCACGCAAAGGGATTAGTAAATCGTTGAAAAATAGATTAAATGCAAAAGCAGTATCTCAAATATTAGCCAGAGAGATATGGAAACACTAACATTAATTGCATCTGTAATTCTTTTCGCCAATGGAGTCGACCATTCCCGCCGCGAGGTCGAATTCAACGTCGATAGACACCGGCGGCCATTTGGCACCGCCAGCCGCGCGGGTCGACTGGCATTTGCCAATCGATATACTATCTTAGACGCACCATTGCTCATCTTTCGGCGACGAGAGGTGCTGTCCGACAAGATGTGACCTCTAGAGCATCAAAAGCAAGCGGCGAGCGTGCTCATAGTTGTGATTATCTAAGCCTGTAACAACTTGGCTGGGCGAGGATAAGCGCAAAAACAAAAGTGCTTCATATGCGAAACAAGAGTATCAGTCTATCAGATGATAGGAGGGTGTCGTATTCTATCTATCAAACAAGAATTTATATATTATTACTTGGTTGTGGTAGGGAGCTGGCCAATTTCGTAATTTACAGCGGAGATACGGAGTATAAATAGAACAATTTGAGGTGGATGACGAGCAAAACGGATAATGAGATAAATGGAGATGAACCTCAAGAAAGCTATCCGTGAAGCTGACGTTCTAAACTGTTCAGGATCCCCTCCAGCCCAGTGCGAAGAAGCGGAGTTCTCGCATTGCTGATTTGAACCTTGATATCAGCGATTTTAAGCTCGAGTTCCATGCTGGCCGTGTCATCTGCGTCCTCATCTTCTTCTACGCTTACTTCAGGCTGTCGAGATATCACCAGGTCGTCACCGAACCACTGACCGAATTCTTCGGCGGTCGAGTTATCTCGGATGGCAAATATGACTTCCTTCACCCCGGCCCAGGGTTCCTGTTGAGGGCCGTTTCGTAGAACTTTCCTCCATAACGAGGCAATCTCCTTAATAGGATTACCATACGCACCACATCCCCAAGCACCCAGAATGACATGGTTGATATTTTGGGCATGGAATATCCTCATGGTAGCCCTCATCTGAGCCTCAGCGGTCCCTCTGTCTTTCTCGTTTGCATAACCAGCCCCATCATCGTCGATATCAGGAAACCGTAACATTGCTGCGCTCAAAACCCCAACGTGGCGTCTCTCTCCCTTCTCCAAGTCAGTTCCAGGTGAATCACCAGAACGGAATATCAGAACATCTGGTGTCCACACGCCGCCGACCTCCGGTAAGCGGTAGAAAGATTCCTTTAATGACGGGTATAACGTCGTGCGGAGACAAAGGAACTCTTCCTGGGAAGTAGCTCCGTTCAGAACCCCACCGCCCGGCCGGAGTGGTGATGCCATGTTCAGGATACCTACTCTATTATGAGAGTGGTATTGCTGGCCCGGGCTCTTCTCTCTGAGAACGCTGAGAGCTGCCGTTATCGAATCAGTTACCTGAATGCTGAGCTTAGGTTCATGTAGAGACGAGTCCTTGGCCTCTGTCTGTCTGTCTGCTATCGGAGGATCAACCACTAATATTGCATTCTCTACTCCGTTGCGAGCCCTGGAATCTGATGCCAGCATTGCGGGTATTGTTTTGTTGATCGTAGTTTTCGCATACTTTGCTCGCGCCTTTTTGCGGTGGGCCTGGGGCTGTTGGCCGAAGGAGGGTTTAGTGCGTCCCATTATATCTTTTATAGCTCGCCGTAGGGGATATCTTTCACGATCGTCAAGGCTATCTGCAACATCGTGAGCTTTGTTTTAATCGTTGTAGCCGAATCTAAGATCTGACCGAACCTTGGGGGCAATATAAGATCAGATCACGTGGTCCGGGTTCTTTTATAGAGCCAGCCTGAAGAATGTGAGGAGACAAGGTAAAAGTAATGATATTCATACAAGGGGCGGAGAATTCACGAGTAGTATCCTTGTCGGATTGTTTTAGTGTTTTACATAGGTGAAAAGCCATGGGAACTTGGAGCAATGCCAATCGTACTCAAAAGCCGTTGAAAAACCCCGAGAGAACATCCTGCTAAATTTCCTAACGCTGTCCTAGATCGACGTATTTTCGTAAATAACCCCGTGACTGGTATCATAACGAGCGAGTTCTTGAGAACATCAACTAATAGCGCCTTCGGTTGTTAGCCTGTCTGTTAGATGGCTGCTGATCGACCATCATCGTATCACTGTAGAGGTCGGCCTTGTCCCCATTATGCTGTGGTGGGTTTCGTCGCCTATTTCCTCTCCACGACTGGTCCCTGTTACCGTTTCTAGTGTCTTGGTCGTATAAATCTGCTGGTTGCTGCTGGGACCGTTGCACCGGATCCTCAAACCCGAAACGGCCATCCTGGACCTCAGCAGGACGGCGGCTTTCGCGACGCTCTTTGTCTGCGAGTTCACGGCTACTATCGAAGGCGGACTTGGTATTTCCGGGGAGAGCGGTGACTGCTTTTGACTGAGCTAAGACTGTGGATGGGTTGGCCCCAGTATCTATCCGGACTAGAATAATCCTCCCATCCGCCTAGATCATGTTAGCGGTGGTTCTAGATAAACAGTAATCCAGACTTGGTGAGCCTAACCTTCTGCGAATTGAACGTGGCAACAACATTCTCGGCCCCTTGCCTCTCAGCAAACACCAACTCAGCAGTCACCGAGGGAAACGTTTTTGTAAGTCTGCATTGTAAAATGTCCCCTCCGGTTGGGCTGAATGCGGATTCAATGTCCTCTGCCGTCGTTCCAGGCGCAAAGTTACTCCCGATAACGATACAGGGGCCAGACGCCCGGCCCTTAATATTCAAGCCGGGTTCTTGTTCTTGAGTGCGATTGGATTTTGTGTTTGTAGGAAGGAAGCCTGACAACATGCGACTTTCTCGAGTGTGCCGTACGTTAGAAGGCTTTGCCTGTTGCTTCTTTACACCCCCGGGCGCCACGCGCTATAAGGCTAGTCAGGATACCGTCTGGTCGATATGTTGCAGGGACGTAGGGGAGTAGAACCTTTTCAACTCTACTTGCGAGGCTTCCAGCGACTGGTGAACCCCTTCGACTAGATGCATTGGAGCCCGGGCCGCTGGATTTTCTTCCTTTTCCGAAAAATTCATCTGTCAAGGCCTGCTTTTGACGGCGGAGTCGAGCTGTAGGACGGAGAAGCGGTTTCGTTAGCAAAGGGTACCCCCTCGTCGATTTAGCTAGACGCTCACAACATGGTTCACTCACCATTATGAATGATCGCTTCAAACGTCGCGCTTTCTTTTTTGTTTGGCGGCATGGCTTGAGAGGCCGTTTATTAGGGACCTTAAAACCCGGTTAACGAGCGCTGTCTGTAGCGGATAAACTCCTCCTCGCAGATCCCCCTGAGTTAGAAGAGCACCGCGTATCCGGTCGAAAGTCAAAGAGAAGTAAGCCTGGGGAGAGTTTCCTCTTGCTCGCCGGCGGACATGACGACATGAAGCCTTGCTTGCTCTCTCTCCCTTTGGATGTTCCAGCGCGCAGGAAAGGCGTTGCTTAGTCATCCATCCTCGCCGCTTCACTTTCAACGTCAACCAGAAAATAGTGAGCAAAATGACATCAAACAGCAGATAAACAATATACTTCTTCACTTTGGGGACGATAAGGGGGTTATGGATAAGAATTGACTTATCTCTGGCTTTGGACTTTCTATAAACTACGTCATTATGAAGCTCAATGGCAGCCAGAAGTACCATCTGTATGCGCAGAGCATATGGCAAGTACAAGGGCCAACCCTGGGTCGCAGCAAACCACAACCAAAATATACCAAAGGTTCAGCTTCCTGTTGATCCGACGCCGGGAGGAAAGCGTTGCCGGCAGGTGGCCATGGCCGTTGTCCTTCCAGGCTTTCCGGAGCACCCTTTTCTCTCTCCTCCAGATAGTTGTGGACATACAACTATCTCCATCCAGTTCACTGAACTGGACGAGACATCTCTTATTTCTACTTTTACTTCTACTTCATTACGCTCATATTGTATATCTCAGTCATGGAAGCCCGCGTGGGGGTCACTGCTCGCCCGATCCCGAGCCGGGAGAGTGGACGGGGATCCGTTGGATCAGCTACTCCAGATGTACCAGTGAAACGTGGCTGGAGTTTTACCCGCTTATTGGGATTTTCCGTCGAGAAGCAAGAGTCTGTATAAACCCATCCGGTGTCATATACTCTGCTTGCTTATACATGGTATCAATATAGAGCACCACAGCAGATGGTCGCTGAGGGTTGCCAGGAGGCAATGCATTACCCGATCTTCAACCCCAAGGACCCACGACATAACCCTGCAATCAAGGCCCGTAGTACATGGGGGAGCCTCCGCTTCCTATCCCGCACGAAATACCCAATCCCGGCAGAGAAGAAGAAAGATACTGCTCCAGAAAAGCCGTTAAGACGCACGCGTTCGACCCTGAGTATCTTTACCGGTACCCTCAAGTCAAAGTCCTTTTTTAAACGTGGAAGCGTCTCTTCTGCCCACGAGTCTCTGTCCCCACCTCCTAGAAACAACTCTAGCCCAATAGCGAGTGGTACTAAGCAAGAATGTGACTTCTACTCTACATTCGCACCAATACGCCCTCGTCCCTCTGACTCCCCAGTCGGCAGGGAGACGTGGGCCGGCATGGAGCCTCCTTCGCAACCGTATAGCGCCCCCATGGGAGAGAATAAACATACCAGAGTTATACTAAGCAACTCATGTAGACACAGCGACTTGGTTCTACCCCCTATTTCGGTGGCTCAAGGTCCCGGCCGGGAATGTCATCACACGGATAAAAGCGAAGACAGCCTTAACTACGACGATGTATGCAGATCCCTGGAATTCCTATCCGCTGATAGTGAAGCCTGCTTCCTCATATTACCATGATTTTGACAATGAGCAGAATATCAGTACTTCACCAGCCAGCCAATCCACCCTCGTCAATACAGTAAGCCACAACATCATTCACCCCCATACCCCAAACGCATGCACCAGTCTAGATATATCAGATACCTGGATGCCATCTCCATATGTTAGCTCTCATGGAAGCCTAGCTTCTGGGGTTGGCACCGTAGAAGATATGGACTTCGGTGCTGAACTGTGCCGCACACGATGCCTTGGAGATGGCAATGGTTCTCTTGCATCTGACAACGCACGGCTATTATCATGGCTATCTTCTGTCACCCCTAAACCTCGCTATATGAGACCCCCTATTAACCTAAAGATTCAGGCTGAAGTAGGAAATGGTGCCTACCGCCCGCTAGCTCCCCAAGGTTATAAACCCCCCAAGCACAAATCGGCTACCCGTCCCTCGCTGACTTGCCTAGACAACTTACCTACTGCAGCACGAGAGGTATTGGGGGAACAAGCATCTCCTAACACATCCCGCGTGGACCCCTTGGCCGCTCTTGCGCTTCAAGCACCATGCGGTTCAATCCTAAGTTTGCCTTTTGATTCAACCTTATTGCAGCTACCTTCTCACCTGCGACTCATGGTTGAAGCCATTGAAAGGGAATCAGGTGACTGTATGACGGAAAGCCGACAGTGTTCTCGCTCGTGCATTGGGCTCGAACAGACCCGCGTCTCAAATGACAATGAAGAACCGAGCCGAATTACATTCTCTAAACTGTGTTGTAACCGTACCACCCAGCTACGCGAGGACAGCGTCCAGAGTTTGTCGGGGAAACAGGAATCCTACTCTACTGGGGACAAACGCCCATCTTCTACATTAAAGGAATTAGGTCCCCGCAAAGCCATACCGCTTACCACATACCATAACCAGCCCTCGTCAAGGGAAGCCACGAGACTTACAGCTAGAGATACCCAGGATACTGGATCAGAATCAATCGACAATTCAAACTTCTCTAGCCAGAGCGAACCAGCAAGTGCTACTACGGCACCAACGTCATGCCATTCCATCAGCGCTTCATCTGACTGGACACCCAATAATAATTCGCGTAAGAGGGATTTGCAATCCCACGATACTGAGCCCGATAAAGAATCAAAACAAGAGAAAGCTACATAAATAGCGCTAACCGGAGGTCATACTTGTTCACCCAAAAGCATTATTTGAGCTAATAATCGCTGGTACGGTTTTCTAATATTCTTCCTGGCCAGGTTTCTGGATAAGCTGCTGTACCTGGGCAGCCTAATTTTGCTTATACCATAACCGTTCTTGGGGGTTTGCTTGATGTGACTTTGCTTTCCTTATTAATACCCCTACTTTGGTTCCTTGCATAATACTATCAACGCTACCTTTAATAACCCTTCCTACGTTTCAATACGTTGTATAATTACTTAATGTCTAAAAGCTACCGAGCTTGACGATAATAATTAATTCAAGGCCCTTAATTGAACATATAAACTCCTAACTAGAGAGTAGCCTACAAATAATATCACACGGTCAAGTTCTGCTATCAATTTAGTCAAGGAGATATGGAAAGAAACGAGATAGCACCGTCACCCGATAAACTAAAACATCGTTCCTACCGACTCACGAACAGAGCAGAGAGACTATAAAAAGTGAGAGAAGATTCACACAAAACATGTTCAAAGAATAAAATATCGAGAATCAATTATGACATAGACGGACACACATCAGGGTGGAATAACCAGAGAAGAAAGAAAAAAGATCGAATTAGAATAAAGAATCAAACCAGCCAGTGCTATCAAAACAGACGAGACAGACAAGTATGGAAAGAGACTTTTCTAATACAATTTTGTCTAAATGGAGAAGAAGAAGAAGAGAATAGGAAGAAGTGAAGTCGAAGGGGATGATGTCGAAGATAAAAGAAGGATGATAGAATGATATTAAATTAAAGATCTCAAAATGCTCGATAAAACAAATATAGCAATAAAACAAAACGCAGAGGCAAAAAATGAAAACGGACCCGACACAAGAGGAAAAACATGAGCATGATACGAACATTCGGGCATGGACTAAGTAAGGCGTGGAATCAGAATGCAAATAACAATACGAACATCGGCGGGACAATTAAGACTTTTGAAATATTCCATTCACAAAGATGAATATAGATTTTTATGGGTATAGGGAATATCTCTCGCACGTGGGGTTTGGGGTTTAGGATGTGGAATTGGGATTTGGGCGGCTTTTTGAAAAGGGTGATTGAATGGTAGGCGGGTATGATGGCGGGTGACGATGAATGATAAAAGTCCTAAAAGTCTCTCCCTCCCTTTCTCAATTAAAGTAGTTGAAAAAAGGGAGAAAACAAGAAAGAAGAGAGTAGAAGAAGAAGAAAGAAAAATGAAGAGAGGAAAAGAAGTTAAGTGAAATGGCGAATTAAACCTATGCCCCATTTCCGAATGCCATTGAAGGCCCCCCATGTGCGAACAAACTGTTTGGATGAAATCCTCCAAAAGTAATTTTTTTTATCCCGTCCTGACCGAGTCTATGGCGCTGACCTCGTGCAAATGTACATGCGTGCAATATTAAAAAGGCTATATTTTTTTGTGGTTTTCACCCAGTATGTTTTTGTATGTTGTCAAGTGGAGGTGAATGAGAAGTCAAAAGGCCAGGTTCGACCAAGCTTAGTTTCTCTGGCTCGAAAAGTTGTTCGCAGGCATCATATCATATCGTATCGTTAATTGACTATGCGCCTGTTGAGCCGTCCTCCTTCGCTGGGGTTTGTGATTGCTGCACTGCAGGACGGGATTTAACCATTTGGGGCGAGGATGGGTTCGAAGGTGGGGAGGTTGCTAGGGAATCGCTAGCATCCAGACCTGCGAGGGCGCTGTTACGAAGATGGAATGCGTTAGACTGTTCCTCATACTCGAATGTGTGTTATAGGGCGAGAGAATGCTTACCTGAATGCATTTGAAGATGATTCATCCTTCTTTTCCTTGCCACCTGGGGGTGTTCCGGTACGGCTGCTTGCTCCGCTGTCTTCTCCACCGCGAACAAGGTTACCGCCAGGGCCAAGGTTTCTGCGGCCACTGCCGCTCCTCGAGCCCAATAGACCCGAGGGGCTGAAGGATGCGGGCTGGTTGGTGTTCCTGCTCGTCTTCAAACGACGGAGATCATCACTGCCAACCTTGCTGGAAGCGAAGTCTTGGGGAGGAGCTTGGGCGCCATATCCACCGAAGTTCCTGGCATCACCACGACCAAGGTGCATACGGCCACCGCCGCCTCTGTTAGCTTGCTGGCGTGCTCGCTCCATTTCTTGCTCTTGTTGAGCTCGTGCAGCCTGAAGGGATCCGTGGTTAGATATCGTTATGGGGAATTTTTTTTTAGATATGAGATGACTTACAGCTTCTCTGATTTCGGCAATAGTCTTGGGACCCTTGTCAGCGTCCTTGGACACCCATTTGGCTTTTCGGAGATCAATGACATCCTATAACACAAGGCGAGGTTAGTAAGTTGGACCCAAAAATTCAAAGATTTTAGAGGAACATAGGCGAGGGCATAGAGTGCATACCATAAGCATAAATCTGTGTCGGCTGAGGAGCTCTGTGGTATCCATCATCAGCTGGATACGGTTGAAGTAGGCATCCATCATGGTATGGCCCTTCTCAGTGCTATCCAAGCTAGCACCGATAGTTCGGAGCAAGCTGGCCAAACTCTCAACCTCAGCCTCATCAGGAACGCCATCATAATCGACCAATCTCTTAACACAATCGTGCATAATCCTCTCAGTCAACATGCCCAATTTGAAAAGTTCACCAATAAATTTGACGAGACCGAGACCACGTCGCTTGGCGGCAGCGGCTTTATAATATTCATCAGACAACATGGCGGCCTCTTCCGTGACACCTTCTGGTTTTTCAGGCATGTTGACTTTCCAACCACGCTCGAACTCTTCTTGACAGCGGTTTAGGAGGTATTTACGGAACAAGCTTCCTCCAGCAACGATGGTACCGTTTCTGTCGCGGATGTTCTCATCCTTGATCTCAGGGCTCATGCTCTCGTGCATACGCATGCAGAACTTGGCATACATGGACGCCCAGTGAGCTTCATCAGTGGCCTTCTCGAAGGTAAGTTGAATGACTTGTCGGAGAGTACGGCCATCAGATTCATCCTTGGATTGTGCGACGATATCAAGAATCTGGCCAGAGATCTTGTCGAAGTTTTCAGGCGTCATCTTGTTCAGGTTACTCTTAACCTTACCCTGGACAACATCTGGTGGAAGATGACCATCAGGAGTTGCAGATTGGCTCTTGCCGCCGATACTGCGTGGTTTCCAGCCAGAGCCTGAGGTGTTGAGAGGTTTGATATCAAGGTGAGCGGTGAGAGGCATGGCCTTGGTTAACTCTTCCTCCTTCTTCTTGTGCTGTCTGCTTCCGGTACGAGCTCCCCTATGGCTAGGATTCCTGGAACCACCCATCTGAGAACCAGCCGACGAGGCAGATCTACCGCCCATCGGGTTGAGTGGGCCAAATTGACCGAAAGGATTTCCACCCTTGGATGAACCACGGGGGGCGTTCATTACTGGGAAGCGGTCTGCGCCAGCAGGAAGTGTCTGGGTCCTAATAGGCTGGTTGAAGTGGCCCATTATGTTAGGTCCTTGTGCAGGGCCACGGCCAGCACTCGATCTAGGACCAGGAGTGCGGACAGGCGTACGTGCAGAGTCAGTAGTGCCATCACCAACAGTTTCACGAACACGAGCATCCCAATCGATGGATGGTTTTTCTTTGAAAACGTTCTGGAATTGAAGCAAGAACTCCTTGTTATACTTGAACTTGCGGTCGGATGGGGCACTGGCATTGAGGGCGGGGTTGGGAGAGACCACTGATAGAGGATAGGTGACTTTGCTTGGGTCTTCCAGGAAGCGCGCGGAGTGGAGAGACTTCATAGCCGCGCTTGGCTGTGGTGGCTCAACTTGCTTGTTGGTCTCAAGCTTGAGAGACGCTGGCTTCTCGCGCTTGCCTCCGAGTGGCTTCTGTGGTGGACCCATCGAGGTATCAGAGACTGGAGTTGCGGCTCCGCTCTCAGTAGGAGTAGCGAGAGCAGGGCTATCGGCTGGCGTTTCGGACTTTCCTCTCAAAGAAGCGAAGAGGGATTCACGCTCTTTCTTGTCTGCCTCATTCTCTCCAGACTCCAATTTCTTAATACGCTCCTCTTCGGCAGCTTCGGCCTCTCGTTCGGCCTTCTTCAGAGCTTCCTCTTCAGCAGCAGCCATCTCCTTGGCCTTGAGAGCAGCTTCAGCCTTTTGCTTCGCCTTCTTCTCCTCGTAGGCCTTCTCGGCAGCAGCCTCAGCGGCTTCTAGTTCTGCCATCTCCCTCTCAATTGCATCGAAGTCGATCTCTTCTTCCTCCTTGGCAGGTTCAGCCTTCTTCTCCACTTCCTTTGGTGCTGGCTTCTCAGCTACCTCTTCAGCCTTCTTCTCTGGTTTCTCAGCAGCTTCTACTTCCTTGGTCTCAGGGGCAGCCTTGGTAGGTTCTTCAGCGGCCTTTTCTTCGGCCTTAGGAGCAGCTGGCTTTTGTTCTCCAGCTTCCTTCTCCCGGAGGCTTTGAACAATAGCATTCTGGAAGCTTTGTTTCTTCTCCTCTCCGCTCAGGGGCTTCGAGTCGGTAGCTTCAGGCTCTCCACGGCTTGCAGTGCGAGGTGGAGGAGTGGAGGTTGGAGTGACGCCTAGTTTGGCAGGGGAAGGAGTTCCACGAGCAGGAGAGCTGGATGGCTTGATGACGTTTCCACTGCCGGGGTCACGGATTATGAGAGGGCTGTTCTTCTTGGGTACAACGAATTGCGAGGTCGAAGGTACAGGGCTTGCTGTGTTAGTACGGCTGTTTGTGTGCTGATGAGCTGGACCAGCTGGCTGTGGGACTTGGCCAAGGCTGCTTCCTGGTCGTTCGGTAGCTGACATTTGGGATGAAGATCTAGCAATTGGAACTCCCTGTGGCATTTGGTGGGGTTGGGCATACTGCGACTGCATGTATGGCTGGTGGGGCATTCCGTAGGTATTTCGTGGGGATGAAGGGACGATGGGCATGGGCTGCATTCCATATTGGTTTGGATAATAGTAGGCATTATTATCATACGGCGGTGGGAAACCCTGAGATTTAAATTTTGTTAGAAGATGTTCAAAATTACCGCTCTCTGGAGAGAGGGACATGGGTAGAAGCTGCTCTTGTGGAGGACACTGGGGCTGTGATTCCGCAACTGGCTGAGGAGGTGTAGGTGGGTAGGGTTGAGGTGGTAGGTGAGATGGTTCAAATGGTGGAGGGGGGTATGATTGATGTGATAGCTGATGAGGCGGTGGTGTAGGCCCATTGTGCTGATATGTGACAGAGTTGAGATTTGAAGGAGTGTGCTTTTTGAAGGAGGTTGATGATGAACGGCGTTTGCCATAAAACTTAGGAAAGAGTTGTTGCTTTACTTGTTGAGCTGCCATAGGCTGAGGATATCCACCATACTGCTGTGCCTGCATCTGAGGGTTTGCCATCGGGACCGGTGCCATCTGGGGAGTGGCTGGGTTCGTGTGGGAGAGCGCGGGGCTCGAACCGGGCTGCTGGTGTGGGGGGTTAGGGTAACCGCCGTAGGATCGTTGCTGTGCGTTAAATCGAGGGTCCATGTTTGGACCGCCTCGTGGAGGAGCAGGGTGTGGTCTATACGTCTGGCCAGGTGAGTTATATGGCATCTGGGGTTGATGCTGGTGCTGGTTGTGATGACCCTGGCCATAGCCGCCTCTACCACCGCCGCGGCCGCCATGATACCCACCACGTCCGCCTCCACCTTGCATACCCTGGCTCATATCGCTATGGTTCGAGTGACCAGATTCTTTTCGGAGGTGGTTTGGTGGGCCTCTCATAGAACGCTAAAAAAATTATATCAGCCAGATTTCTCACCTAATACTAGGAAAATACTAGGAAAACAAAAACTAGAATAGAGACAAAAATATACATACGTTTGCATCGTTTGATTGGTCCATATCAGGGGCTCTGAAGTTCAAGTTGTTTCCGGAACCCTGGAGCGAGGAAGGTGGACGGCCACCGCTGGCTAGAGGCTGTGGAATTGGAGAAGGAGAAGCATGTGGAGAAGGTCCTCGCGAATTGGACGGTCCGACTCCTAAGGAGGACTGTGGCTGGTTAGCAAGCACCGCAGGAGGTCCCATCCTAGGGGATCCCTCTACGGCACCGAATCGAAGGTTGTTTGGGCGTCCAGACGAGGCCGGGCCCCCATTCGGGATAAACCCGCTGGTTCCAGCAGCGCTGATGGTGACGGATTGTCTCCTGCTGTGGTCACTGTTGTGCACAGGGTTTGGAGCTGTATTTCCGTTCACGATGGTCAAGCCATCGGAAACGGGGTTCGAGGAGTTCTGCATATGGGCTTTGGCGTTTACAGAAGGTGTTGAAGGCGAAATGCCATGCTGCGCATGCGAACTAGTACTGGAAGGTGTAGGGTTCGCCGTTTGTCCGGTTGAAGTCTGGGAGGCAGACTTCTTCGTGTCGGTGGCGGTGGGTGCAGAAGCAGAAGCAGGCGGATTCGTGATGCTCTGATCCTGTACGTTTGCGGAGACAGATGTCATTAGACAGAGGACTCTTTGCGAGACTTGAAAATATTTGATATTGGGTGTGAATTAGGCGTAGAGAGAGGAAGAGAGAGAGAGAAAGGATATTCACAAGGGCGAGTGATATATCGAGGTGAAAAGAGGATCTCAAGAGATTCCAGCTCCAGCTCGAGATTTGCGGGTTCGATCGACTGTTCGTTCCAACAAAGACAAGTAAGCAGCTTGATCGAAATAATAAAAAGATATCTGCGCAAGAAATAAAAATAATAATAATAAACGATATACGGTCGACTGTCGAGGGTTCAGCCAAATGTGCGACCAGCCAACACCCCCCGAACCCAACGAGACCCCCCAAGCTGAGGACCGATCGCAACTGGACCAATGGACCCTGCAAACCGAGCAAGCCGAGTGCGACAAGTGCTCAGACCGACGACTCCAGCGCGAGACACAGCAGAGACAGAGCAGACACAGCGCAAGACGGCGGTTGCAAGGGTGGTGAGAAAAAAAAAATCTGCGTTCGACTTACCCGCAACAGGCGAAAAAGTGCCTAACTCAAAGGCGAGAAAAGAAGATGAAGACCCAAGGGTAAGGGGGCGGATGCAACAGAAGGGTCTGTATGATCCGCGGGCGTCCTGCTTCCAGTGAAGAAGAGGAGGCGCAAGGGAGAAGAAGAAGCTGTATTCTGTGGCGTTTGTTTGGTGTGTGAAGTTGCAAAAGGCGAAGGGAGGAAGAAGAGGAAGAGAAAAAGTAGCAAGGGCTTTTTCTTGGTCGCGTACGTAATACAGTACAGTACCTCTACTACTCTACATATTTATATCTATCCATTTATTGTATTTATTATATCTATTAAGATGATGACGATGATAAGGACGATGAGAATATCATGGTGATATTATATATACTGCATCGATACGTTGACTGCGGTCCAGACTATGCCGTATACACTGAGAAGCCAGACGAAGAGACGAAGAGAAGAGACGAAGGAGAAGAAGGAGAAAGGTCGTACGCAGGATACATCCGAGCCGCAGTTTCAAGAGATATTCCTGGTCTCCGTCTCCCTGGTTGCCGGGATAGGCCGCCGTTCTTCAGTCGCAGTCCTGGCTAATATAAATATGCATCTGCGTATGATCTGAAGCCGCGGAGACTCGTCTGTTTCGTCTCTTCGCCTCTTCGTCTATCATAAACCCTGCTAACTCTACTCTATTCTCTATATCTTCTACTCTACTATTCATCATGCCCTGTAATACCGTAACTTACCACAAAGAAGCTGCTTCTAAGGCAAAGAAAAGGCGAAAGGCGAAACGGAGAAAAAGAAAGCAACAGGCCGACAGAGCAGCCCCCTCGTCTTTATCATATTAACATCTATCTACCTCCCAGACACCCCTAGCAGTCTCGAGTACGTCTTACCATGGAACAGCCGTCCAGTGCCGTCATCAGTACCATAAAAGTTGATAACGCAGCACCGTAAGAATGTCAAGAAAACGCCCGTCTGTCCCTTGAAGATACGAAGGAGATCTTGTGCCACGACATCTCGCCGTGCATACTCTGTACTTTGTTATTTCATGTTGTCTCGTCTCGTCTCGTCTCTTCTTTTCTCGTCTCGTGTAAGTACCTGCTTATCTCCGCCGTCCTCCTATCGCCGTGGAAGGGATCTCGATATTTCGTCATACACAGTGTAACTACTCTATACTACCCTTCAAGACCCGAAGATGAAGACGACGATGAAGATGAAGATGAAGAAGAGAGATACGAGTGAGTCATCGATCAAATGACGGCTGGCAGTGAAAAAGAACTGTTTCTCAAGGCTCACAGGCTCAGGGCCAGGGGGTTTATAGGCTCCTCCATCACCCTATTTTTAAGCAGGCGTACTATTTCTTTTGTAGGTTTATTACATAGAACCGCTGCAGCCATATATGAAATCCCAAGCGAAAGGGTGGGAGGAAAAAGAAAATAAGGAGATAAAAGACCAATCACAATACCATATAACGCCTATATAGCCGGTAAAGGCAAATGCGGCCACTCCCGAGGGCACCGCACCCTAAATACGTACTTAAGTAATGTACGTTCTTCTTGCACCGTTATTCCAAGGGACAATCACTCATAATCACCCATCATCCTCGGTCTCCTGTGGTCCGCATACCGATCTCTATCAAAGGAGGACGAAGCTCCCAGATCTTCGTGCTCGATGTTTTCAAATGAGTTGTCGCTTCTGTTCTTGCGCAGACCGCTCGACTCGTGGTCATAGCCGGTTCCATATGCAACGTCATCGCCCATCTCGCGGTCACGGCCAGAACTGAGACTTCCAAACTCTCGTTCATACGCTGACAACAGAACCTTGAGATGATCTCGCTGGGAGGCGATGTAGGCTGCCTGCTCGGATTTCGGTGCTGACGCAACATGGCGAGGTAGTAGCCTGCCACTCGCACTCAGTTCCGCGGCCTGAGCATCGGGACTCTTTGGGGTAGCCGACGGGCCTCCCAGCACACCGCCTATCAAGGATACAAAGTCTGGAGCTCCGAACCCGCCTGCTGCTGCAGCGCCTCCGGGGCCACCGGCTGGACCAGCGCCAGCAGCTCCGACAACAGAAGGTAGGCTGAAGCGAGAGAAGAGTGACTGGGCGTATGATGGCGCAGCAGCAGCAGCAGCATTCTGCTCAGCTTGTCCCTGCCCCTCCCAGAGTGCCGGTAGGCCCAGCGCCTTTGTACGGATCAAGTCGATGAGCTTCTTGAGATACTGAAGACCCATGGCACTTCCGCGCGAGTGAGCTTGGCCGATAAACTCCTCAATCTCACGCTCATGGTGGCTTAGGAACGGCTCGACGTGCTCGAGGTACAACTTCTTTGCGCCTTGTGTCTGCGGCAGGACAAGATAGAGTAATGCAACCAGGCGAATCCAGCTGTAAAATGGGAACCTAACGATAGAAAAAAAGGGAACGTTAGCATAAACTGTCCCACTTTACCCATCTCTGTAGACAACACCACATACCACCCGAGAATAAACACTGTCCACGACTCAGCCAGCATAAGAGCCGAATATACCACCCAGTACATCAGCCATGGCGCCAGGTTGTTCACATTACCGCTTCGGAGGGCCTTGTAGGAAGCGAAAATAGGGAAAAGCACCGTGGCAACGGCCCTGCACAGAACATCTCCTAGTCAGCAACTATCTTGAAGAGCTAGCTGGCATGAACAAACCGCAACACTTACGCCAACAGGTCCGCAATAATTCCGAACATCGCCCACAGCTAGAAATGTAAAATAGCAAAGGAGCTGTACTGAAACACTTCCTGGTTTGCTTGCTGCTGGTTACAGCCTTAAGCGCCTTGTTAATGCTGGTAGGTGGTGGGGTGACCAATAGAATGGCCGCCGCGGTGAAGCAGTGGTCAAGCTCTGATGAAGCTGGAGTAAGTAGCCAATTGAGATATATACGGCTTTGCAGTGGATGTTTAGCGACGAGCCGACGCTGACATGGCTCTATATATGTTTGCTGGAGTTGATGGTGGTGGTGGAAGTTGTAGCTGAAGAATGACGATGACACAAGCGATCCTCCTTCTGGCCCACTTGGTGAGCGGACTAACTTGCCAAACAGGTAGCAGGTCTTGCCACCTCTCACTAAGGGTCAGATATATAGAAGGCATCGGGTTACGCATCTATACTCTTGTCCTTGAGCTACTCTCACCCAGCATTTACACCTTTCTAAGCACAAGAAACATCATCCCAGTCCGAATTATACCCTTAGGCCTCTGCTGGTCAAAGGAGGTGACGGCCATATCAGAGATCGATGACGTCCAAGCATGCCTTTCACTTAGGAGTTGCAGTTCCAGGAGCTGCATAATATCTTCAGCCATAGAAGCCCGGTGAATCAGCATATCAGGTCGTGGGATTGTGTATTCCCATTTCTCCATCCTGATATATGCGGCAATATCTCCTAGTGAGAAGCAGCTTCATCGCCCAGGTTATCTTTCGAGTCTATACGGAGAATTCACAGATATTAAGACACCAAATGCAGGAAGCCCAGTATAGGTTTTGATTCTCAGTCACGGATGTTACCGAGATATTCAATGGTTGACGGCCTTATATCTAGGCCTCGCTTAGCTTGGTCACCGGCCTGAAATACCTACTCATGAATCATCTCGATGCGTTCATCTTTCACGGCCGACTCATAATGGAAGCTTTACTGTAGATCTGAATTAGCCATGAATTGGCGTCTATGATTTACGGTGTCGTTTGAGATAAATATGGGTACAAATGTCAGTTCGAACGTCGTGGTGAGCCAGGGTGGCCCAGAAACATGATATTTTCACATATTCATGCATATTAACTAACAAGTTTTAATAATATTCTGTTTTGAAGCTACATCCTAGTTAAGAGCTCGCAAACAAAGGTAGCAATCCGTAGTAACGGAGCATCCCTTTGCTGGGTCAATAGCTCTCCAGACCTGACTTCAGTTGTCTGGAGGAGTATCAGTTAACCACCCCCTAATTCCAGCCGAGTGGCATCAAGTACTGACACTACAGCCCGGTCAAGAGCTGGCTTGAATGTCCTGTATACCCATGTGTAAGTTTCACCTCTCAATGGCCTCCAGTCAACGGCCTCCAAGTCAACTATACAGCTAGAGTTCAGAATGGGCCGCTGACCAGAACATCTGCCGCTGACTTTTGTCCGCTCGGTCTGAGGAATGAACGTACAAATGCCAGACCCTTATAAATATCCACGGGTGGGTTGTAGCTACTAGACCAGCCTGTGCGTTATGTTCAAAACCAATTCCCTATCCCCAAGTACTAGGGCCAATATCTACGAGAAATCCTCATTACCAGAGCTCGGCACTGGCGTCTAGTGGTAATGGCACAATTGCGGGCTATGGACTTCTAATCACTAAAACTGCTCCCTCTGAGATATATGGGTATATATTACCACGAAAATGGTTCCCTCAGCTAATCACAAGGAGGTATTAATGCCTGAGCCCTACGTCCCGCTTAAGCTTTTCTCTATCCCCCGTCTTTTCTGCTGACTTTCGGCGCTGCGTGATGCGTTGCCCATTTGACTATAGAGTATTTCAGGATTGGATAATATGGCCATGGTTAATGGAGGTTTGGCAAGATTGGAGTTAGTACGGCGTATATTAGATTGACTGACACTAGAAGGGGAAGAGAAAGAAAAGGAAGGCCAATCTAGTAACTAGAACTAGGAAAAGCAGGCTGACTCTTGCTGCGGTTGGATGATATGGTCTAGAGGAGCCGATGTTAATGAGTAGATGTTCTTGGAAGGAGATGTTGCTGGAAAGCAGGCGAAGAAAGCAAGGAGTGACATGAGTCGAGCCCTCTATCAGTCTATATATGACGATACTTCGACCCCTGAGCCGCGGAGGCTGATCTTGGCAGCGCTGTTGGCCCATGGCCACCAACCATCAGCCAACTCTCCACAGCGCGCCGTCCCGCACAACCTTCTTTAGGGCACATACAGGGGCTGGGGGCAGAGACAGGCATCAGAGAGTGGGTGCAGGGCCAGTGTGGCGGCTGCAAGCATCATGACGAAGTTGGAGGCCCTTCACACCCCTTACACCATGTCGAGATTTGATCCGAGGCCAAATGATCAGGCGTTTGACGTGTTCAGATGAAGTATGCAGACGAAGTATGCCTTGTTAATTGACGACAAGCCACTACAGCCAAGAAGTGACAGGGAACCCAATACATTTGTCACAGAATATCTTTCATTGGTCAATTTGATAGCTACGGGATATTCCCGGCGGAACCTACAAAGGCCTGGGGAAATGAAGCCGCAGCGCAATCTGCCATCACTCCCTCAAGGCACTACTTGCTCCTGATGCCCTTGACGATACGTTAGATTGAACCTAATCTCTCACTAGTTACGTTAAGACTTTTCCATGCTACGTTTTCTCTTCGAGGAAACCTTTCAACTTGAAAATGGGCTTGATGAGCTGGGATGCAAAGGACCCGTGTCTACCAGGTCAACCTTATATCTTGCTGGTGCGAGTATAATCCGGAGCTACTTCAAGCAAAGACATATTCTCAAAGTCCTTGGGTGTTTGCTCAGATACCCCGGGATGATATCCAGGCATCATTGGATTCATTCAAAGATCTTCCTTAGGAAGCAGAACTTCCACCATACTCACGGACAATACTTTTTTCTTTTCTTTCCTCGTGTTTTAGGCTACCTAGCATGGCAGTTGACTTCGTTTTCTTACATAACTAGTTTGAGGCTATAAGTTATCACCAAGTAACAAGTCACACAAGTCCGACATGGTCTCCAGACTCCTCCAATTCTAGTCGTCTAACTGCCATTGGACCCCAGATGATTCTTCAATTCTCCAAGTTTCAGGTAAGCAACTAGATCCATTCCGAGCTTTTCATACTTGAGCTTAAACACATCCTGGACGCCAATCCCATGCTTGACATATCCAGATTCCCTCCACCGCGGTAAATGAACTCGGACACCGTTTGTCCAGCCAAGTATTGTAGCCACCTATAGTTGAGCTTTGAGATGAAACTTATACCCTTCGTTGACGTCCCTTTGATGCTCTTGCGGCGTGGTTGATTTGGCTGTCGTTGGTGATACATCACATGACATACGCCGTCACAATATATTCTCATCCCGTGACATGTCCGCGATGACTAAGAATACCACGATATTCCATATTTACACAATGCAGCCAATAGAAAAATAATATTACGTGAAATATCAGTAAACACCAATACATACAGCCACGCCGCTTTTAACACATCCTTAAAGCAGCAACTCCCTTCCCCGCCCGAATGAAAAGATCACCAAGTCACCGACTGTTAACTTGGACATGAAGAATCTCACGCCGATAGACGATGAAGAAGACTGGAGTCCTAGGCGATGTGACCGCGTGTGATCGTGGCCAGTCATATCCCCCATCCCTCATGCAGTGCTGACAGAGCCATAGCCAGAGAACTACAGGCGCCAAGTAACGAGGTAAAGCGATGTCCTCTTCCACCCGTCCACAGGTGTCTAACATACCATACCGTACGACAGACGCAAAGGCAAAGGCAAAGTTCCCCCTATATGCTTTAAACTATTCCTCGCGTGCTTTGCCACCCCTTTTAGGCGCAACGGAGCACAGCTAGGACAGGGCATACGGAATAGAGGCCAGGGCAAGGTAAGGAGGTGGGTATAAGGTAAACGGAAAGATGCAGCCCTCTCCACCTTAACCCTTAACCCCTAACTCACGTGCATGATAAGTATATTTGAACGGGAGAGTCAAGCTTTTCGTCTCACACTTGGCTTCACACCTTGGCTGCATTGACAAGACGGAGGTCAAGCAATTGTCCAAGATGTCTGAAGATGCTTGAATATGCCTGAAGATATATACCTTGTTAGCCTGCTGTCTGTGTGTCATGGCAGGTGGAATACCCAAGACGAGCCTTGAAATGGTGAATTGTGGAAGGTGACCTAGTACAAGAACGTGCTACGTTGGAATACTCGAGCAAAGTCACGATTACAGAGCAGTTCCTACGAAGAAGACAAGAAAAGACGAATTCCTCCAATCAATCGTTTATTTTATGGTGATTATTAAATGGTATCTTTATGTTTCGCGTCGCTGCGTTTTATTACAAGATCAAAGAAAGTGAAAGAAAAGAAAAGAGAAATGAGATGTGAGAGATGGTAAGAGATGATGCAAATGCAATGCAATGCACGGAAATTATGGCATGTAACGAGAGTCATCAAACCAGTTGAGAGAGGAAGGGGGGAAGGGCGAGGCGGGGCGGGGCGGAGCGAGGACGATATCAAGGAGTCAGGCAAAGGGAGGGTGGGGAAAAAGGGAATATGAAAGAAAGGTAATAAGACGTTTAAAAATGAGGAGCGTTAAGGAAGAGACCCATGAGAACACCACCGAGGGTTCCGGCGATGGGGATGGTCATGACCCAGGCGAGGAGCAGGAGACCAACTCGCTGCCAGTTGACGGCCTTGATGGTACCGTTGCACAGACCGACACCGACGGTGGCACCGGTGATACACATACTGGTGGAGACTGGGAGGGAGAACTGGGAGAAGACGAGGACACAGATGGCGGCACCCATCTCCATGGAGGAACCACGGGATGGAGAGTGGTAGGTGATCTTGTTGCCCATGACCTTCATGATGTTGTATCCGTAGGTAATCAGACCGAGAGAGATGGTGAGGGCGAGAACAGCGAGCTGCCAGACTGGGACGGGAGCCTTGGCCTGAGCAGCGTTACCGGTGGACCAGGCGCCGTAGATGACGGCCCATGGACCGACGGAGTTTCCGATATCGTTGGCACCGTGAGCGAAAGAGGCGGTACAGGCAGTCAAGACCTGGACGAAGGAGTAGGTGTGCTCGACCTCGTTGGGGTACTTCTCAGCGGCATCGTAGACGCGGGCCATGCGAGTACCTTCAGGGGTACCGGCGATACCAGACTGGGCGGCGTGGATGTCATAGTGCATACCATAGAGGAGACCGGCGACGATGGTGGCAGGGATACGCTTGGCGATGATCTTCATGTTGTGAAGCTCATAGATCTGGCCGGGACCCATTGGGTTGTTGTGGAGAGTGCGGAGAGCCCAGCCGAGAGGACCACGCTTCTTGCGGAGTTTGGCGTTCAACCTGGCGTCACCCTGAGCGTTGAGTTCCTTCTGGGTGAGTGGTGGTGCGTCGACGGCAGAGAGCTGCTTCTCCTTCTCGTCAGGGGTGGATGGTGGGTTTCCGTTCTCGGCCTTGCTGACGGCGTCACCGTGGGCTGGGGTCTCGTCCTCGAGCTCGGGGTCGTGCTGGACGACGGCATAGTTGGGGACGTTGGCCTGGTCAGCGGGAGCAACGGCAGCACGCTTAAAGAGGAGAGGACCCATGAAGGCATGGTACCACTTGACGGAGGCATCCTTCTTGATGACCTTGGCGTGGACGTATGGGACGAAGAAGAGAGCGGCGAGCAGACAGACACCACCACCGGTTCCGAGGGTGACAGCGGCGATGTACCAGCTGGGCTTCTTGCCGAGTCCGAGATTGGGGGAACCCTTGTACACGATGGAGAGAGTACAGATAGTTCCGGCGATGAGGAAGAAGAATGGAGAGGTATAGACGGCCCATGGAACGGGGTCCTTGCGCATGTGGACGATGAGCTTGATGAGCATGAAGATGGTGGCACCGAATCCTCCAGAGATGACGGGGGCCATTCCGAGACCAGCGAAGATGGCACCGAGACCCTTACCCTTGTTCCAACCCCACTGGACCTTTGAGGCGCCGACGGTAGCAACACCGACACCGGCCACAGAGGAGATGAGCGAGTAGGTGGAGGAGACGTGGGCGGAGTTGCGGGTACACCACATAACCCAGGACGAAGCACCGGCAAGAGCAATGGTGAAGGCGAGCATCTGCACACCGGCGTTGCCATGGAAGGCAGAGTTGGGGATGATGCCGTTCTTGATGGTCTCTGCAGTTCTGGCACCGACGGTGATGGCTCCGAGCAGCTCGAAGATGGTGCCGAAGATCATGGCCTGGCGGTACGAGATCGAGCGAGACGACACACTGGTAGCCCACGAGTTTGCCACATCATCTATCATCGTCAGCATCTTTACTTTCAATCATCATCACTATCATCAAGATATAACTTACTGGCACCGTTGTTGAATGCATCGAGCATGGCAAACATGGTGCCGATGGCGAAGATGTAAGTGTACTGGTCGAGCATGGCGGCGGTGTTGATCAGGGTCGACTCGGTGAAGAAGGGAGGCTATAGCCAGAGCCAGAGAAGAGAATGGGGGGAGGGAAGAAGAAAAGGGAGGATGGGAGATGGAAGAAGACGGACGGGGGAGGGAGGAAGCTTCTTAAACACGGCTCTCGCAGCGCGAACTCTGGCCTAGAGAGTGACATCTCCAAGTACAGGCTCCGTCCAAGGCACACCGATCCCACGTGGAGGCCCTTTCGCCTGCCTCGCCTGTCCTGTGTCATGCCTTCCCTTATCCTTGTCACTTTTACCTCTCTTACTTTTTTTACGCTCTTTTTTACTCTTTCGCGCTTTCCCGTTCTGCCTTATCGAGGGCCCCGGCCTCTTGGGTCCTTGGCGCTAGTCTCGGCAGCCATGGGTTACCGCGCCAATCAGAAGACCGCACATCAGGGCGTGCTCGTCCATCCGCCGCTGATTGATCTGCCAAGACGGGCAGGAGGCAACAAGCTCCAACCGCGTTCTTGGCCTTGGCGGCTTACTTTCAACTGTCTTTTTCTCTTCTTGGCACTCCGCCTACATCATGACATAGAGAAAAACAGAGAAAGAGACTGCCTCGCTGACTCCGAACGGACCCGTCACATCAAGATCTCGTCTATCACACGCCTCCGGGGCTATATTTACTTCTTTCCCACTCGCTTGGCCCGCCCTTGCGATCGATTGTCGATTTCAGCTCAGGCCGATAGGCGCACTTCGACCCTCCCAGCAAACCAGTTCGACCCCGTCCCAGAACACTAGTTGACCCGTTTCCCTACAGCAGTTCGCAGGCCGCCCACGGTCCTGTCCATGATCCCAGTCGGAGGAATACTCCGTCGTAGAACGTCCATCACGGGGGAGCTATCGATGTGGCATACATATATAGCGCCCTCCCCATCTAACAACCAACAATAACGCTGTTCCCTCCTGTCGCCCTCCCAGCACCGTGGGCGGCGGGCACACCGTCAGTCCAATTGTTTCTCCCCCGTTCCTCACATGGGTATCCTTCCGCCATCCTCCTGCCTTTCCAGAGCTTCCTCTTTGGTCTCGACTTACATCAAGTATGGTACAGTAACCACGGAGTACCCCGACCTATGCATACCATGGACGGTGCATACTATGCGGTGGTAGTGACATGCTACTTGTACGTGACTGGTCGGTGGCTACGGACCGCGGTATCGGCGGAGGTCGAGAACAGGTAAAATTAAACGATAGCCTGTCAGATAAACATGGTACGAGAGGATAACGAGGGAGTAAACAGTGGAACGAGGATAACGAGAGTAAACAGTGGAACGAGTACTGATCCTACGGTTGGTGTTCGGGCTGCCTGGGAGGCCTGTAGCGACAAGCAGGTCAGCGTCGTGCAGTGCAGCGCAGTGCAGCTCAGCTTAGCCAGGCAGGTGATGACAGACAGGCATAGTTATACACAAACTACGGAGTACGCTGGTCCGCACTACCACCCTTCGGATGCAGCGGTGTTTTCCATTTAATTCTCATCCTCACCTTTAAATCCCGCCACTCACGAACTTGCTCACACAAGCCTTTTTCAAGCATAAATGTCGGCCTTGTCGCATGCTTGGTTCGTCTAGTTTATATTTGCCTCATCCGCCCTAGTTTCACCTCATCCCAACCAATTACCTGAAGAAGGTCGGGTTTTCCAGAAGACCTTCCAGGACTTCGCGTTGGCCCATGTCGCAACCTTGTCCTGCAATCCTGAGTGGTCCGTCCCCTCCCAAGATGTGAAAAAAAAAAAATTTATGTTTATCTGGGGCGCGGACAGTTTCCCCCGGGTGCGACCCTCCCCGAACATTAAAGCTATTTTTAGGGGGCAAAAAAACGCTTCCGGCCGTGATGGAAAACTGGAAAACTCTGACGCGGTGGGCGGGGTTTCGTCGTTGCGTCGGGGCGGTGTAATTTTAGGATGCTATTGGTTGAGGTAGTGTAAGTTTGGTATTGGCGGTGAATTGATGGGTAAGATGTGTATGGTTGTCACCTGATCGGAATATAGACGGACCGCGTATTATTATTTACTAGTGCACTTTATACTAATTGTTTCATTGGTCAATTAATGGTATATTGGTATTAGCGTGTAATGGTATTTATGATCTGATGAATAAGCTGATACTTACCCGATCTGGAAAGGATGTGTATCTACGCATCACGGGACCTACATATTATCTACGAGTTATCATGTGATCAGTAACTGCTTAGTCAACCCCACTACGTGCACACACAGACATATATTCGACCATATATTCGACCATGATTGACCATGATAGGAAATGACTGATAACTTCCCATCACGCCATCGGATAGCACTTTTCCCAGCATTGACATTGACGCCTTGGTGGCTATTCAACGGCCAACAGCAGCCCAACGACTCCATCTCCGACAGGCTGAAGTCCCGTAGACCCCGCCATGGCTAACCCACCACATCAAGGCAAAAGAAAGCAGCAGTCGCCGTTTATATTATCCACAACCGGTACGCCGGACGCCATGTCATGCCATGCCATGCCATGCGGAAGACGAGCTGCCATGCCGTAGTTTAACTAGTTGGTTTGCATGCATGTTCAAGAGAATGTGGATGTTGTCCGTAGCCTTGGGTCCTGTGTGGTTCCGATATCCCCCGAGCATGGCCTGATGCTTCTTTTTACATATACTCCGTACAGCATAGCATCCGTCCAGGAATATGAAGTACGACATAGAGAAGCACTCCATGTGGAACTCGACACGTCTCACTGCAGGGATGAGCTGGCGTCAACAGGGCTGACATGACCACCACCACCAGAGGGACAGAACAGAAGAACAAAGACAGCATGATACTATGGAGCAACATCCGATCAGATAACTGATATACGAAAACAACCAACCCGCAACTCGCTTCGGGCTTCTTGTCTCGTGCCCTAGCTTGCCGCACCATGCCCCATCAGGCAAAGACCCAAACCCTAATCTTGATCAGATTAGACAAGACGAAGCCGCCCGCCCGATTATCAATCTGATAAAAGAAAATTCTTTCTTTGCCCAGACCCAAAAATGGGAAACAGGGCATCATTGGCTGCATCTCAGGCACTAAGTCAATATGGTAAGAGAAAGGGTCCATCAAGCCAAGGTTGACCGGCTGGAGCTGGGATGAGATGCTGGGCCTTGCGTGTGCGGAGAGCTGCGTTTAAAAGACCGCTGCTCTCCCGCCGTTCTTCCCTGCTTTCTTCTTGCTCTGTATATACATAGTTGGCATTCCTCGATCGGGCTTTTACCCTGTTTCCTTGTTATCGCTTCCAAATCCAGCTGATCGGCCATGGCAGCTGTCGAGTCGGAGAAGGGCGTGTTGGCTGGTGGGGATGGTCAGCCACAGCCGAAGCAGGTGGCTGCTGAATCCCATATAGCTACTGGATCTGGTATGCCAACTATACTGGGCAAGAAGAGTCCTGGTGTTTTGCGTGTCGAGGCCATCTCGGCACATATGACGCTGGTCGACCGGGTTATTCTCTTCGTTGGAATCTTCCTGCTTTCCTATGCATACGGTCTCGACGCAACGCTTCGGTTCACCTACCAGGTTGGCGCTCTCTAACTTACTTGGCGTCGTTTGACACATCTACTTACCCGTTATAGACCTATGCGACGGCCTCGTATAAAACTCACAGCCTTTTGGCTACTGTCAATGTCCTGCGCGCCGTCATTGCTGCTGCTGCTCAGGTATGGTCATTCGTCTGTTATCATGCATGTACATGCTGCTAATCGTACATATAGCCTACTGCAGCTAAGATGGCCGATGTCTTTGGCAGAGTTGAGGTGATCTTGCTGACGATAGTATTCTACGTCGTTGGTATGTTCAAGTGGTTAAACTGATTGGAGAATGTGACGTTACTCACCATGTTCAGGTACCATTGTCGAAGCAACTGCTACCGGCGTTCAGGCCTTCTGTGCCGGAGCTGTCCTGTACCAGGTTAGTCGTGACACACTCTACAACATGAGAAATGAAACTAACATGGCCTCTACATAGATTGGATTCACGGGCATCTTACTTCTAGTTGAAGTCCTTATTGCCGATGTTACCTCTCTTCGATCCCGTCTTATATTCAACTACATCCCAGCTGCGCCATTCCTCGTGAGTCTCCATCTATACGAATACCATAGCAATACACACTCTAACCTGTCCTAGATCAATACTTGGGTGAGCGGTGATATTACAAATGCAGTCATCAACCACTCAACATGGCAATGGGGTGTTGGGATGTGGGCAATCATATACCCAGGTACGCTACCCCTATGCTAATCCCTAGATATCACCAACCTATCTAACAACACCCATTCTAGTAACCTGTATCCCAGCCATCGTACTGCTATACGTCGTCCAAAGACGTGCACAGAAAGCCGGCGCTCTTGACAACTACAAGACACCATTCCAAACATACGGTGGTAAAAAGATCATCACTGCCATGTTCTGGCAACTGGATGTTGTTGGCATCATCCTCCTCGTTGGCGTCTTTGCTCTCATCCTCGTTCCATTCACTATTGCAGGCGGCGTGCAGGCCCAGTGGAAGACGGCAAAGGTCATTGCACCACTCGTCATTGGTATTCTACTTATCCCCGTCTGGCTCTTCTGGGAGTCCACATGTCTGCATCCAATGGTCCCATTCAAGGTACGTCTACCTCAATATACGTATACAGGCTTGAACTAACGAATGGGAGTAGCTGTTGAAAGACCGCGGTGTATGGAGTGCTCTTGGAATTGCCGTTATCTTTAACACCGGTAACTTATTGTCCCCGCTGATATCGTCTGGATAGTGAAAAACTGACACTTTCCCCAGCATGGTATCTTCAGGGAGACTTCCTATACACCATCCTCGTAGTAGCCTTTGGCGAATCTATCAAGAGCGCTACCCGAATTACCTCCCTTTATAGCTTCGCTTCCGTCTTGACCGGCATCGTTATGGGTGCAGTTGTTCTCTTCGTCCGAAAACTAAAGCTTATCATCATCGCTGGAACCGTCCTGTCAACGGTCGCCTTTGGTCTCCTCATCTACTTCCGTGGAGGATCGGGCGCTGCAAGCCACTCTGGAATCATTGGTGCACAGGTTCTTCTTGGTATCGGTAAGCTTTCCCCTTCCCCGCTACTGACAAGTTGTAGTTATTGGCCGTTTGGATTAATTGTGCAATAGCTGGCGGCATGTTCCCATATCCCACCCAAACAAGTCTTCAAGCCGCAACGAAGCACGAGCGTTAGTTCTCTCCTTCCACTGAATCACGATCATCTATTCTTTTTCTAACTTCGCCTCGTATAGACGTCGCCGTCCTCACTGGTCTCTTCCTAGCTTCATACAACATTGGATCAGCTCTTGGAAACACCATCTCCGGTTCCATCTGGAACCAAGTCCTTCCACACGAGCTAATAGCTCGTGTAGAGAACAAAACCCTCGCTGCTTCAATCTACGGTGATCCATTCACTTTCGCAGCCGCCAACCCTATCGGCACCCCAGACAGAGACAATGCCGTCGATGCATACAAGCACGTCCAGCGCCTGCTCTGTATCACCGGTATCTCCCTCTCCGTCCTACTAATTGCCTTCACCTTTCTCCTCCGTGACCCTCTTCTTGGGAAGGAGCAGAGTCTCGGTTTTGCCGAGAAAGATTCTGACGAAGAGAGCGCAAGCTCGGAACCTCAGACTACTAAAATCTAGGGCTAGGGATGCTATACGTACTTTCATGTACCAGCGGCTCTCCTTGCGAGACGAGCTAAGATGTATCCTGCCTCCATAGAGGCGATCTATTGTTAATAATGTCGGTGAGAATGTTTTGCATACCTTTGTATCTATGACGATCATTCTTAGAGCTATGCTTATGACAGCAGCGTATATACCTAATGAATCTGTTGATATTTCGGCCCATCTTGCATGTTCAACCGTAGCTACACCGATACTTCCAAGATACATCCCTGTGTTTGACTTCCACTAGTGTATCGAGGTACTTGGGATGTTTCTAGCCAGGGATTGGACGAAACGTAAAAAGCCGACTGCCAGTTCCACAATCACAAGTATCCCATATATTCACCGACAAGCCCTCTTTCGTCCCTCTATCTAAATAATAAATGTTATACACCTAGATTTATCCACTCAAGCAGCAGACTTAACCTTTGACTCGATCGTTAGATCAAGAGTGCCCATCCTGATTTGATAACGGCTTTTTATATTTAAGGCTGCCCAACGTCACAATCCAGCAAGCCTGCAGACACCAACCAATAGGCGAATATCTGCCCAATAAGCCTGGCCTGGAAAGCAAGAAGCTCCATTTAATTATCGTTCCCTAGCAAATAAACAGGAATCCCGATATTAAGGGCACCCGCTAAAGGGGAATCACGGCCCGAGAAATATATAACATCACCCGTCTTATATACCACGCCACAGGCGAGAGCTCTACCAACTACGAACCATTTATTCCTGCTCGCTACCGTGCACTCTTATACCAAACAAAGCAGTATCATGTGCATAGCTCTCCTTTCGACTGCTCATCCGGGCTATCCACTGATTCTCCTCAATAACCGAGATGTACGTACGCCATTCTACCAGAAATGCACGGCTTGAAATACTAACATTTCCTCCAGGAATACCTTCGTCGTCCAACTGCAGACCCAGAATGGTGGGCAGAGCCGAACTCCCACGTCCTAGGTTCTCGTGATCTTGCTAGAGACGTTCAGGGAACCTGGTTGGGCATAACGAAGCATGGAAGAATAGCTGTCCTCACCAACTATCGAGAAAATAGTCCTGGTGCCGTGGTTGGTCTCCGGAGTAGAGGCTCAATCATTAATTCGTTCCTTACATTACCACCAGACAGCAAACTCACTACCAACCGCTTCGTCGAAGAGCTCGTTGCAGGCGGTGACGGCCAGGCTGCAGGTGGCTTCAGCCTTGCATGCGGCGATATACTAGGACCGCTAGCAATTGTATCCAACCGAGCATCAGCAACCGACCATGTTCCCTGGATTGCAACTGAAAAGGGCCAAACAGTCGGCCTCAGCAACACGGCATTTGGAGATCGGTCATGGCCAAAGATCACGCAGGGGGAAAGACTATTGAAAGAAGCACTGAAGAAAAGTCAGGCAACCGGGGAGAGCGAAGATGCTTTAATCAAGCGTTTACTGGGGGTACTCAGCGTTGACACGCTTCCGAGACTCGACGGGCACGCAAGTCTGGAGAATTATCTCCCTTACTTGAGCGAGAGTATTTTCATACCGCCTGTCGGAGACCCGAACGAAGGGGTGGAGGCGGTAGTTTCACACGAAGCAGAAGCTCATACATTATACATGAAGGGCCTATACGGGACACAGAAACAGACCGTCATTCTAGTCGATGCGTCTGGCCGAGTGAAATATTTCGAACGTACACTTTTCGGGCACGATGCAAAGGCGATCCCTATCGGGGAGGGGGATAGAGAGTATGAGTTTGTGGTTGAAAGGTAGAGTTAACATGTCCGTTTCACTTATCTACTTTTTGCACTGCATAGGGGATACTAATTCTATATACAGGATCGGAGATCAGACGACTGATTCGTCGCATTCAAATTCCAAATCTCGTTTGTAGATAAGCTAGGATTTCGGCATTCTTGTCAACTCTAGGACTTTACTGCTCCCCTGACAGCATGGTATTCTTGATTGAGCTCTACCTTCAGCCTTGAAGCTGGATCCTGCGAGTTGTTGCAGCATGTTATTTCAAATCGCCCCTCTGCATAGTTTCCTAGGCGTTTACAGCATTGTTTAGCGGTGTCATTCTTCTTATATACACCCTTGATGAGATTAATGAAGATATTTTTCACCCTAAATTGATCCATCTATTCGTGAACAGGTTAGCTTAGTTCAGTAATAACGAAAAATACAGATGTAAGAACTATCTCGTAGAATTCACACCAGTGATAAATATATTCTAAATGTAATATATTCATTGTAAGCTATAATTTATAGACATGTAATTCTACTACCCTCACATCTTCCTCTTCAACAACCCCTTAAAGAAGTCAAAGCTATTGCTATCGCTTTGCAACTGCCATATCTTACCAGTCGGCCGATCCTCCCACCCCAATTCTTCAGCAATCAAAAGCCCAAAATCCCTCGTAATGCCCTTGATCCTTGCCCGTACCCCGCCTTCTGCCTCCAATGTGACAATCTGGTCCATATGCAGCCAGTCAGAATAATACATGTCTTCAAAGTCCTTGTCGAATCCAGTACGTAAGAAGCGTGCATATAATCCTTCAAAAGTAGTGAGGATACGAGCCAGAAGCTTTTCTAGGGACGGGGGCTGCGGGTTTGATGTTCCCTTGAAGGCTTGCAGCAGGGCATTAAGGGAGGTCGTAGGGGATGGGTTGAGAGCGTTTAGCCCTGCGCCGACCACAGCAATGTATTCGCTAGAAGAGTAATGGGCGTTGACCAGGATGCCGCCGATTTTGGTGTAGGTTTTTCCGTATGGGTCCGATGGGTCGATGGCGTCTATGGGTTAGTTAGTATGTATGCTTAGATGTGATGACAAGGGCCAGCGAGCCTTACATATATCATTTGGCCACTTTAACTTTACAGGCAGCGTATCATACCCCTTATCGTATGTCTTCACACCCTGGACAATAGCCATTGCGACGAGGTATTGAATGAACACCACTGGGGCAGTCATTAACTTGTCGACTGGGTGGTGTACGCAGACTGAAAACATGAGCTGACCAGGGGGTGAGACCCAGACATTTGAACCACGTCCTCGACCAGCAACCTGGACCGTGGCCGTGGCTGTGGTCCCGTTAGGGAGCCCTCGTAGTAGGCGTGAATTCCTTAAAATAGTTTAGCATTAAGGCATAGAAGTGTGATACAAGGCTACCGCGTACTTCTCTAGAATGGTGTTGGTACTGGTGACCACCTCACCGTATAAAATGTGTGAACCGAAAGCCTGTAGCTCCTCCTTCGACTGATCTCTATATGCTTTCAGGTTAGAGTAAAAGGCGTGATGGTTAAAGTACGGTGTCGTCTTGGTGTCCGGAAGCTCATCATTAATAACAAGTCGTTTGACGACGGCATTATAATCGACAATTCTGTCATCGTCCGTAGTAGACACGTCAGTGGTAGTAGCCTCAGTTTTGTCCTGTGAGGTATCTGGAAGGGCTTCTGCAATTATATTCATTTTCATCGAGGATGGTGTCTCAAGGAGGAAAGTATCATTGTCATCTTTGAGATACTCCTCACCGTCCTCTGTAGTGACGACGTCTTTCAAAGAAGAGAGGACGTCAAGTGCAGCACCGGGCTCCAGGGCAGACAAATGCATCTGGGAGAGGGACGGTACCGTTGAAGAATCCTGATTGATCTGTAGACCCAATTTCGCCAGACAGGCTTTTAGGAAGTCCGTTCTGAACTTGTCGTCTCTTGCTAATGAATCGACGACATTTGAATAATCAGGGGCCTCCGAATTACGGTCTAGGTTGGCAGACGAGAACCTACAATAGTTAATATAACACGCAAAGCAGATCAAGGCAGACGAGAAACGAACTCTGGGTGTGGTCCGGTTAATATAGCTGCACCATCTCCCACCGGGCAGTAGACAACGGCAGCCTGCCCTTCACCAGAATCAACGTGGAGCTTTTCAGTATAGCTTGCGAGCACCTCTACACCCTGATCGGCATATTTCGGCGCATCGACGAAGGTGCCGCCTCCATTGTAATAGCACTTGAACGTATCCGGGACCGAGCCAACGGGAAGAGAAGACTTCGAGACCTTCAGCTCAGCAGCTCTAGCCCCTTCCTCGGAGTGATATACGAACCCAGCAAAGGCGCAGCCTCGAGATATACCAGGGTAAAACGCCAGTTCCCTATCTCCAATGACTTCGAGCTTTTTATTCCCGACCTCGAATTCACATCGAGAGCTACCGTAGTATCCGCCCGCACATAGGCCCAGATAAGCCCCTCCCCGCTGAACGAACTGCTTTATCCTCCTGTTCCCTTCGCCGTTCAAGGTCCTGCAATAGGGCAGGTCTGCTCCTCCCGGCACGACGAAGAGAGCGCAGGTAGCAGTCCATGGCTCCTTGATGACCATCTCGCCAGTGACCGGTATAACGGCATAGTTGGGCGATAGGATACGGCGCAAGGTGTACAGACACTGACGGACCGAGTCCACTGTAGTTCCATTTCCTGGAGGCTCCGTCAGAATATTTTCTCTCCAGTCAGGGTAGGTTTGCGCACCGGAATATACCAGGACGTTGAGTCTCTTGGGGGTGGATTTGGCGGCCATCTTATCGCAACTAGAGATCGATGGATTCTTCCGTCCAAGTCCACGGCCAAAATACGATCTCCTTACAACCTTCAATCCGCTCAAGATAAGGCCAGGTGTTTCGCAATGTCCAAAGCCGAGAAGAAGCCGCAGGCGGTCCAAGTCGACGACGACGACGAGCCGGACGATTGGTATGTTCTCTTCTTCTCTGAGGCTCCTGGCAAGACTGACGAGAGAATCGGCCAGGGACAAGAGGATCTTTAGCACCGGCTGTGCAGGTAAGACGAGTCCGTATGCAGCGAGAGGGCAGTGTCTAACATGGAGACAGCCGAGCAACTGAAGATGAACGACTGTTACTACGAGAAGAGGGACTGGCGAGCGTGTAGTAAAGAGGTATGTTTGCTTCTTGCCGTGGGGTTCTCTTCTTCTATCTTCTATCCCGGAATTTCACCGAGCAGAACTCAGCTTCACCCAGCGGAGTGTTTCATCCTGCATAGCCCAAGCATTATCATTATACTGATATTATATTGCCTGCTAATACGATGTGGACGCGGCTGATTGTTGGTTTAGATGCAAGCCTTCCGCGAATGCTGGAAACGGCACGGAAACAACGAGAGAACAGAAACTCGAGATAACTAACGCTCTCAAATAATGTCTGCATCCTGCCTGAGCCAGATTTACTGTATTTCTACCTTCTCGCATGTCCTTTGTATATTAAATAAAACAGCAAGTTTGCAGCGTTAATCGAATCTCTACCGTCGATCACGGGATCTGGATATTTACATCTGTCTTTGATCAATTTCATCCTCATCTTCACAACCAACAACTAACATTCAACCAGAACACCAGGAGACCATTCTTGACCGGCTTTGGGATGGCCTCTCTCGTGATGCGACGGGCCAATTGGGCCGGCATGGCTCGCCCATCTACATACTTGAAGCTAAACTCGAGCTCTCCATGCGCGTACAGATCGATATCATCAACCTCGAAGCCATCGCCCTCTCCATCTTACTCCCGCTCAAATACCTCCAGCAGTGCCCCCAAGAGAACATATAATAGCTACAATAAGAGTGCACCATCAAACACCTCGACGACATCATCTTCCCCTAAACCTACGCCCGCCGCGCCTACTTCTACACCTACCCCTTCGTCCAACGATACATCTCCACCCGCCTTCACAACAAGTCAGACCTCCCATCCAATCCAAAATATAACCAAAACTGGCCTTGGTGACGCCCCTCCTGATCTCGTCTTGGAGCCGGCAGACGTTCCAAACGGACACGTTGACTGGACACGCTCCTATCACGGACTGAGCGCTGAACCTTTCTCAAAGGAAGCAGCCGCCATTCTCCTGGCGCCAGTTGAACCGGAAGATGTCGAGATCAAGCCCGATGGCATCGTATATTTACCTGAGATCAAGTATCGGCGTATCCTGAACAAGGCGTTTGGGCCAGGTGGCTGGGGTCTTGTGCCGCGCAGTGAAAGTATTGTTACGGGCAAGACGGTCACGAGAGAATACGCTCTTGTTGCGCATGGGCGGTACGTACCTTCACTTCTCACCTGTTTAAGTTCCCTGGCTAACACTGTGTATGTAGGCTTGTATCCATCTCACGCGGCGAACAAGACTACTTTAGCCCTGACGGTATCCCCACTGCCACAGAAGGATGCAAGTCCAATGCCATGATGAGATGCTGTAAAGATCTAGGCGTTGCTAGCGAACTGTGGGATCCACGATGGATTCGGAAGTTCAAGGCCTCGAACGCCAAGGACGTGTTTGTCGAGCATATGGTGAGTAAGAAGAAGTCGAAGATTTGGATACGGAAGGATGATGAAGTGATGTATCCTTGGAAGAAGACATAGGATAGATAATATAGGTAGGTGGGGGGTATATGTATATTAGTGATAGAATAAATAAACTCTACACATCTATGTGCTTTTATCAGTAGACAGCGAGGTGATGTGCGTGTATGTGTGAATAAGTCATATTCCATGCTCCAGTCCACTATATAGAGCTATATATATACAGTTGATATATACCGACTACATACCGTATTATACCCTGCCGAGTCCAATGCGAATCCAAATGCGAATCCAAATCCAGAGCCAAATCCAAAGCCAAAATGATGAAACGTATCATACCATCGTGTCATGCGAATCCCAAGTAAAGAGAATGAGCTTTTGACACGCTAACGCCAACGCATAGACGCCTGAACGTACGTAAAAAAAAGGAAAGAAATATCAGAATACGGGAGACGAGCCGAGGATATGGCTACGTGCTTCCCTCACTCTCGCCGTGCCTTCGGGTCCTGATGCGGAAGCGTTCAACGAATAGTGCAGAAAGCCGGTTCCGCCGTCTCTCCTCTGCGTTGCCGGGTGTCTGTCTCGATCGTAGCACGCGAGCTTGCTGTAGTTGTGAGGTTATGCTTTCATGGGCACGTTCTGCGCCTGTACCTGCATCAGCATCGGCTGTTGCAGCTGCAGCAGCAGTGGTAGTGGTATTCTCTCTGCCATCGCCCTCAGCCTCTACAGCAGCATCTGTAGTAGCATGTTCGGTCTGTCCTTCGCGCGGATGCAAATCGATTCGACTATTTTCGTTAGCACACGTATATTCTTATAGTAAACGGGAGAAGAGAAAGGGACATACCATAGTGGACAAGTACCCGAGACGTCAACGAGCCATGGATCAACGCACTCTGGATGGAAGGAGTGGTTACATGGCAAGATTCGCACGTCCTGACCACGAACAAACTCGTCTGTGCAGATTGGGCATGTGGTGGATGGTTCTCGCTCGGAGGGTAAGGATGCAGCGCCGGAGCTTGAACTTGAAGCTGCCGCAGAGGCGGACGGCGAGACAGAACGGGACCTTTGTGAGGGCGTGACATCGGCTATACCGGTGGTAGTGGTACCCTCGACCTGTTCAGTAGATGTATGTTCATGTGTATGCTCGTGAGTATGTTGATGGGCATGGTCGGGGGTATGTGCCTGTCCAGCGGCCATCTCGATATCACGCTCACCCTCCCCATCCTGTCCGTCATGCTTTGTCCTCTCCCTATCTTCTCCAAACTTGACAATCGGCAACGTATCCAACATCGCCCTCGCAATCCCCTTTGCCCGGCTCTGCCGCGACCTACCCGGCAGGTTCCGTGGTCCATACCTATCCGGATGTCTATGCGCCCGTATGGCACCGGTCATGATCACAGCGAGGAACAAGACAGTAATGACTCCTGTAACAGTATACAGGATGATCATTGCCGTGTTGCGTGTCGTCTCTACCCCATTGCCTCTCGTATCTCCCATGGTAGACTTGGGTGGCTGGGGATCTTCCTGCAGTGCCTGGGCCGTCGTAACCGGCCCAGAGGTTGATATCGTCGCAGCATGCCTCAGGTGAGAGGTGAGAAGAGCATTGGCCAGCTCGGGGTCTCGTAGGGAGAAGATGGTCTTGTACGTTGCCTTTGGCCGGTCGTCAGGGTCTGGTGAAAAGTCGCAGCGTACGGCGTGGGTGGTGTATAGCAAGATAGCTGCCGGCCGCGTGGTAGCATTGAAAATAATCTCGAGAGTCTCTTCCGGGTCTATGATACCCGGATAATCGTCTGGATCGCAGGAGAGATATGCTATATCGCCGGCCTTCAGCTTGTTTGCATTGCCCGGACCGACGGACACCAGTCGCCCGGATATGTGAAGTCCCTGTACCACAATTTTTTTTTAGCATACAGGCACATATATACAGATATTGATAAGACAGTGAAACGCACCTTGAGCGTCTCATCCGGCGCGTTGAGTATTTGAGTCGCCGGGTAGAGATGCAGGTTTTCAGGTGAGGGCTGGCTGGGCAGCTCTGGCTCTATCGCAAGGGTGTACAGCGGACTTCCGACCTGCAGAGCACCGCGAGACTCGATGGGCTTGATGGACTGAGAAGCAGTGAGTCCCAGGCCCAGTGCAAGTGCGAGAAGCCGCCGAAGGGAGGCCATGATGGTAACATGGATAATTGGGAGGAAGAGGAAGAGAGCGGAAGACGAAGAAGAAGAAGGAAAAGGAAGAAGGAAAAGATGGGATGATCGACGATGGAGTCCGGGGAAGCAGGATGAAACCCGCTAGATTGTCATAAGATATCAAAAAAGTACTTTTGATAGATATACAAGAAGGAAAAGGTACTTCTCCGTATACGAGAGAGACGAGATGACGGAGAAGCACCGCCGTCGGCTGCTCTAACCCGGTCTTCTCCTCGCTCTACGTTACTCCATCCATCACCTTTTCTTCTATCTCAATTATGCACGTATGTTTTGCATTCAAAGTACGTAATAATCGGCAAAGGTGGAGGTGAAACGCCCCCAAGCCACCATCTTCTTCCTCGCTTCGTTGCTCCTTGTTTCTTATTTCTTCCCTTTCTCCTACTTCTTAGCCGCTGATCATCGTCACTAGTGTTGGCCCTGGGATGCGCATCTCGATGGAATAACGTCATGTGTGGCTCAGCTGGCATTGTATAGATACCTAACAACGCTTTTGATGCCCTCTTCGTGGTTTCTGACCAGTCTTAGACATGAAGCTCTCGCCGAGACTGCTGAGACTGCTGAGACTGCCGAGATTGCTGGCGTTCAGGGTGTTTTGTTTGATCCGGGTTGAGCTGACCAGGGTGCTCTACCTTTACAGAATCAAATTGGACAACACCGTATAGCTCTTCCAAGGGTAGGATCAGTTACACTTTGAACTGTCAAGCGGTCTATCCGTTGCGGCTGAAAGGATGAAACGCGCTGGGAGATCAGATACACGTCAGGCATGGAATACCCATGATGTGCTTGGTTAATCGAGAGACATTGCGGTTATTAGACTAAATGAAGCGCTGATCAATGTTGTATAGATAATAAATGACCAAGGTGAGTAAGAGGACAAAATTCGACAGGAAGAAGGAAAACCAGATTTGTCTCGATAGTTTCGATACGAGAGGTTTCATCGTGTATAGAAGTATCATCATATCAAACTTCGCTTATATTCACTGTCAGCATTATCAAACACACCCTTTAACCATACTCTCATCACGGCTAGACGAGGTTGAGATGACGTAGCTGCCAGGTAGGATATCTCACCAGGTCTTCTCTTTCTGATACCTTCCAACTTGATATATTGGAGTCTCATCGTCGCGATATCTCACTAAATATAGACTATGGAATCATATGCTATCCCCTGTCCTTATAGCTGCAATTACTATCTTGACAGACATGGGTACTTTTAGTATTTACTTTCTCATCCGCTTGTTTCTTGATCGAATATATAAAGCTTGAGACAAGTGGTGAAGAGACATGGCCTTATAATGTTCTAATGAAGATTCGATATTAGTGATATTCTCACCTAAAAGACAAAGATTTCGATGAGCTTCACCATGCCTCGAACTGGAATCTAGGAATATCTACATAAAGAGGACATGGTGGTAAAGTTCAACGTACACCGTTTCCCTCTTCAACTTCCGGATTCCTAACATCTATACACCGGTTAATTTGGAGGGTAACGAGTAACTCTAAAAGGAGGTCCTTTAATCCCCAGTGTGGCGAACTGATACGGCTGATTTCGATGGGAGATATATTGGGAAACTCCTCTTTACAACATCTATACACTTCTGGTTTCCATACCTAAACTGGTTAATTGTAGATTCGTAAAGAACAGACCTTATAGCGAAGATCTCAGTATACTCTTGATGAGCTTTATTCCTGATCAAGCTCGTTCCTCGTTTCATCCTCTGTAGTTAGCTATATCATTTATACGAATTGGTGCTGGATATCTTGATCCTGCACTCGCCAACCGCTTCACCTGCTTCAATATCACCGTCCGCTTCAACATCATCAGAGTCACCGAACCAGCCTTCTGCCATCAAGAGCTTTGCTGAACCAAAGGGACAAAAGGCTGGTGTCCAATGGGAACCATCGGCTATTGGAACAGTCTGACAGCTTCTAATCCCACGCCACGACTCGAGTCTGCAATAATGATATACTCGTATATAGCTTGCACCGACTATTCGAGGTATAGCAAACACCTAGTCAGACAGCCATGGATCAACAGGCCTTGAAGGAAAGATATTTCTGCCTCAGAGCACGACAGCAGGAATACTTCTTTGCCGTGGCAGGGATATCTGAAGTCAGCTCCTGGGGAGGAACGATAGATGAGATGATATTCGAGGAGTCCGTCGCCTGGATAGTTCTTCTCTTCGCCAAACCGGGTCATCCTCGTTTTTCGCCCGTCTCCGAGCCCTTTGAGCAGTCCAAGAAGACGGTCGTTCGCTCATCGCGTCCCAGCTCGCGGCTTCTCACCCTGCCAGCAGAGCTTCACCACGCGATCTTCGACCTGCTTAAGATCCGAGACGTGGTATCCCTCGGCCTTACCTGTCAGTACCTCTGGGCCATATCTCGGTCGGTGATCACGAAGTATTTCACCCGGTTCCTGGGCGTCTGGGCCGGAGCCCCGACTACCTGCAACGGCCATGACACGCGATGGCCATATTCCTCGTTTGGCAGAGAGGAGCTGGGCCTGTTCAACTTCGTCAACATGAGAAAACACAGGATCATACTGGCTAAGCGGCCGAATTCTATAACCTCGCCCAAGCCCGAGTTCAGCTGGAGCTTCCGAGACCTTCTACGGAAACACGCTCTCTACATCACTCAGAAAGACCGTTGCCCAGCGGATCTGGTCCGGGTCGTCGATCCTGCACCGGCGTCCTTTTATCCTACCAATGGGCAGTGGGTGTTGCGCAACTTGACCACTCGCCAGTATGTCACTGCGCAGGCCATCGCACTGAAGCCGGAGTATATTCGGGGGCCGTTCATCGACGTGTTGGGCTTCGGCGAGGTAATCGTTGCGCATACCTTCAACGCAACCCATGGCTCTAAGCCGAGATACTGTCCTGACATTCAAGAGGGGACTCGCTGCGAGGGTGTCTGGGTAGGCCATGCGCTGGATATCGTACCGTTGAATGCTGCCACCATCGACGACGGCTGGGAGGACGCAAGCCGTGAAGTTATGGGACTGATTGGCAGGATATGCAGAGCTGAGTTTGGAGAAGACTGGCAGGAGAAGCTGATTGCGCGAAAGTGCAGCAGTCTGAAGCCGAAGTCCTGATCAATTTAGATAACATCATCAACATTCGGCATAAGATAACAGCTATCGACATATTACTGGATAATCAACAGATATATAAGTTATGTTATAGGTCAAAATGTATCCTGTATACGTAAGATGGCGGAGTTTGGTGGAGATGAAACGGCCCAAGCCTCCTTTCGCTTTCTTCTCCTTCTTCCTCCCAGGACTTTTTTCTTCATCCCTTCATCCCTTTTATCCTCTCTTTAACTCGTACTAGCTCTGCTGATCGGTCTCTACCTGCTTGCTTCCTTGCCGTTTGCATAACCCACGCTCGTTTTTACCGGGGATCCCTCTCGTTTCTCCCTTTTTTATATACATCGTTCGTTTCCCGCTGCTGATCACCGTTTCTTTTCTCTGCTCGCCCGTCATTGTTCAATCGTTCTGCCCCCATGTCCGGGCGTCCTGGCGGCATCGGCAAACGCTTCTCTCACGATAGATTCACGTTGCTACAAGACTCCGACCCCAGAAATATTGACAGCGGCATGTCCAAGGACGCCACCATCGACATCCCCCTGACGGCTGTCCCCAGCATCCCGCAGACGGGTGCCCGCAAGCCAGACTCGGACGGTGAACACTACTTCGAAAAGGACCGAGATGGCACCGCTGACGGCGGCGGTGGTGTTGGCGGCCACCGTCAGGCCCGTACGAGCGACGGCGAGAAGTCAGCTCGCTCAGACGAAGACGGAACAATAACTCGCATGGGCCGCTTCTATAACAAGATCCTCAACTTCTCCGTCGTCACTAGATACTTCATCTACGTCCTGCCGCTGGCGTTGCTGTTCGCCGTGCCTATCATTGTCGGTGCGGTGGCCGTTCCCACCGCGAGCATCGGTGGTGTCCGCATCGTCTGGTTCTTTGCCTGGGTTGAGATCGTCTGGCTGAGTCTGTGGGTGTCCAAGGCCGTGGCTCATTATGTGCCGTTTCTCTTTCAGTTCCTGTGCGGTATCGTCAGTTCGGGGACGAGGAAATATGCCCTCATCCTCAGAGCGTTGGAGATTCCTCTCTCCCTTGTTGGCTGGGCCATCACCTCGCTCGCTACTTTTATACCGGTAAGACATCTATATCTAGACATCTATATCTCAGCTTTCTCAGGTCAAGGACTAATAGTGTAGGTGATGACACGCAATCCGGATAATATCAAAGATCCAGCCGGTATTCAGCCATGGCAGAGCGTGGTCAACAACCTGCTATTTGCATGCTTCATCTCGTCTCTCATCCTGGCAGCTGAGAAGGTCCTCGTTCAGCTCATTTCCATCTCCTACCACCGCAAACAGTTCGACGGCAAGATCAGGGAATCCAAGCGTAACGTTCATCTCATCGGCATGCTCTACGCTGCATCCCGCAAGATGTTTCCCGAATATTGCAAGGAGTTCGAGATGGAGGACTACATCATCAACGACTCCATCATTGGAGTAGCCGGGAAGAAGAAGCAACATAACCGCTCCGGCTCGGCCTCGCCCATGCGTCTTATCCAGAACGTCGGTCAGAACGTAGGCCGTGTGGGAGACAAGATCACAGCTGCTTTCGGCCATGTTGCTCATGAAATCACGGGAAAGCAGGTGTTCAACTCAACTTCTACGCATTCTATAGTTATCTTGGCATTGGAGAAACGGAAGTCTTCTGAAGCTCTTGCCCGTCGTCTGTGGATGTCCTTTGTTCTTCAGGGCCGGGACGCGCTATATCTTGAGGATCTGTATGATGTCTTTGGACCAGACCACCGCAGCGAGGCAGAGGAGTGCATGGCCGCCCTTGACAGAGATGATAACGGTGACATCAGTCTGGACGAGATGATTCTCACCGTCACCGAGTTCGGCAAAGCAAGACAGTCAATGAGCAAATCCATGCACGATGTCGACCAGGCAATCAACGTTCTCGACAACCTTCTACTCGCTGTCGTATTCATCCTCATCGTTCTTGTTTTCATTGCTTTCCTTAACAAGGGATTCGGTACCACCCTCGCTGCTGGAGCTACGGCATTGCTATCCATGTCCTTCGTTTTTGCTACCACTTGCCAGGAAGTACTCGGATCCTGCATCTTCTTGTTCGTGAAACATCCTTACGACGTTGGTGACCGTGTACACATCAACGACAACGAACTGATGGTCGAGCACATCTCCCTCCTCTTCACCGTGTTCCGTGATATCCAAAACCACAAGACTGTTCAGGTACCCAACATCGTTCTAAACACCCAATGGATCGAAAACGTCACTCGCTCAAAGGCCATGCGTGAACAGCTTACTCTAACTGCTGATTTCGGTACATCGTTCGGTGATGTCCAACTTCTCAAGCGTGAGATGCAGGCCTTTGTCCGCGCAAAGGATAACTCTCGTGATTTCGCACCCGACGTTGACGTTGAAGTCAGCGGACTAGGAGATATGAATAAACTCGAACTCAAGATTGAAATCCGCCACAAATCTAATTGGCATAATGAAGTTGTTCGGGCCACAAGACGCTCCAAGTTCCTCTGTGCGCTTGTTCTGGCTGTTAAGAAGATTCCTATCTATGGACCTGGAGGAGGCGATGCGGCACTCGGAGATATCTCTAAACCATCTTACTCTGTATCCATCTCCCACGAACAAGCTCAACACAGCAAAGATGAATACGCCGAGAAGAAGGAGGCCAAACGCATGATCCCCACAGACCAAATGGATGAGGCTCTCTCCGCTGATCCTGCCCCATTATCGCCACACCCTGCCGCCGGCCCGTCCGCAGCAGCCGCTGCCGCTGCGACCTCCGCTTCTGGCCTAGCATACCGCGGCTCAACAGCCAGCAACACCACGTCAGGCGTTCAATCACCGAATAACCCTGAAGCTGCATTCGCTAGCGCCCTCAACTCCCGCCCACCGATGGAAAGTACACCATCCTCAGCGGCAATGAACAACGAGAATCTCATCCGCGGTCCATCAACGGGCCATAGGCGCGTGAGCCAGAATCCCGTTGGCGGAACCTCTAATTATGACGGACATGGCCGTATGGGCATGTCGCCTAATACGCCAGCCGCGGAATATCAAGAATACGGACATGAGTATTCCAATAATCCGTTTAGGGCCGCTAGCCCCCAGGGACAGGCATATGGTCAACAACCACAGCCTGGATCCTCGAGCCAGGGAAACGTTCATCCCGCCACCATCATAGCTAGAGGCCAGGGACAGCCACAGCCCGGTCAAGGACCTCCACGCGCATGATCACCCTCATTGATTAATTCCTGAAATGACGGTGGGTATGGCGTGGTACAGTACGGTCTGGTTCTCCTTGCGCGGTTACTTTCTCTCTTTCTTTCTTATTTCCCTTCTCGGACGATAAAAAAGTTTTCTCTCCTTTCCAAATTGTCGTTCTCCTTTCTTTCTATTTCTATTTCTGTTTCTTCCCAATCTACTCTGCGCCTAAATTATAGATTCCTTCCTTTCGGCAACACAAGCCCAGCGATAAATAGGCGTCTATCACTCATTCAATTCACTGAACGTGGACCGGGATCGGATTTTGGCTGGGCCATAATCTATCTTCGTCCGCCTTCCAAGCGGAGTTATCTTTCTGGGATAAGTTTGATTATCTGCTGCTGCTATCCTGTACACATATTTACTATACGAGACTCATGAACCTGATCTTTGCTGCCTACCTATCTGCGTGTCTTGACTTATTCCTTGATGATTTATTTGTCTGAGTTTACCCATCTTGGTAAGTTTGGTCACTCGGTTCTTTGCTGCTTTCAACATCATGGCGAAAGATTTATCATATCTTGTCTTCAGTATGGTGATATCTCTCTCTCTTTATGTTAGCTTATGGGGGATATCAAGTCCATGGGTAATATGTAAACTAGATAGCATCACTCTAAGTGATAGCATTATTCAATCTTATCCCTACCCGCTTCCTGCCTTTCAACGCTCTATACGTGGTAAATGGCTAATAGCTATATGGGAGCTGGTGTTGTAGAGTTGATATTTACTCTATATACTGAGAGTAGAATCTGCGGCACAAGAGTAGGAAATTATCCCATGCGCAGCTAGTTCGTATAGGCGCATAGTGTAAGGTCTTCATTACGATCGAATCGTCCTATTTAGCACTGATGATCTAGATTTAACACTCTACACCAACGGGCAGCCCATAAAGCTCATAGGTTATATATTCGCTGAAGGAGGTATCTAATTGTCTTCTCATCGCTGGCTATTATCATCACCTCCTATCCCAAACCTTCCACCCAACCCACTAAGATCTCGACGGAAAAACTTCCCTATGTTCTTAAGATTCTCATTCAAGTTTGCAGCTGCTGACGATCCTCCTTCGTTTGTGTCTGCGCCCTGGCCAGCCGGATTGAGGTTCGAGCTTGGAAGCGGTGTTCCTGTTCCAGACTGGACTACAGATCCAGTTGCTGCACGACCACTACCCCCCGAAGCTCCGCCTGGTGTGTTCCCGAGGTTTCCCAGACCAGGTGTTCCTAGTCTATCAACACCATCGCGGGCAGCGGATATAAGTGCCGATCCAAGCGTTGATGGGTCGAAGCGTGTTGGGAGCGTGTTGGCCCCTGATGAGGGATTCGCGGTGCCTCCCAGGTTAGCCAAGCCGAGACCTTGGGCTACAGAGGGGGAAATCGCTGCAGTAGGTGCTGGAGGTTGTAGGTAGGAAATTAACGGATTGCTTTCTTGCAAGTTGGAGGCATGGCGGTTAGACGTCTTATGAACCTGGAACAGTTCAACGAGACGATTCTGCTCCTGTTTGCTTCTGATCCCCTTTATATCAAGTATCTTCCTAAAATTGTTGTCACTCTTATCGGCAATATGGATAAGGTAGGCTTGCACAAGTGCCTCGGGCGGAACCGCTCGAACTTGGAGTGTCTTAAGAAGAGTATCGATTTTCTGGAAACTTTGGTTGACACGTTTCGTAAATGCAGCGGGCGCTGGTGAGAGGAGGCCTGATAGCCCGGTTTTTAGACCATAACTATCAAGGAGCATCTATATAGGCGTTAGATAGGGCTAAACGGAGGCATGTTTTATACAACAAGAAAGTAAGGGGATCACTCATACCTGCTCTGCGCCAGCTTCTGAAACGGGCTTGCACTGATAAATATTCGAGATGTAACTTGTGGTTGTATGTTCCACCAGGTTATCAACAAAAGCCCGCTGATACTGCTGCTTGTGAAGCATTTCTAATGTCTCGTCAGATCTTGCCTTTAAGTTTGACAACAGAACTTCAACGTATGGGCTTTGATCTCCAACGCCATCTTGTGCACTCCAAGATGTATTCCGCATCTCTCTCCAGGTTTGTTCAAGTTCAATGTCGACTTTCCGCACAAGAAGTCGAACAATTGCACTTGCTATTCCCATGAACGCATCTGCTTGGCTCTGGAGATCCACTTGTTGTTTAAACTGTTCGTCTATTTTGCTTTTTATCTTTTCTTCAAGTTGATTGCAGGTAGTATAGCAATAATCTGCTGTGTTAAGAACCATGGTGAGATCTTCACATGATGGCAACTTTGAAGAAACCTGGCTAGCAGGGCGGTCACTAATGTAATGCAGCAGCACCTGCTGTGCGTACTGGTCGAGGTATTTGCCAAACACCTTCGTTAACTCAGCAAGAGAGTTTCCCGTAGATAGCTTAGCACACTGCGCAAGAGATAGGCGGTAGAAGGTAAACAGTTCTGTTGAAGAGTGTATAACAAGTTGCGGCGAATATTCTTCATCCTGAGGCTTAATTGGCTGCTCTCTATATTTTCGAATGAGGCCGTCAAGTTGTTTGCCTTGGGCAGATACCCATAAGCTCAGGTAGGGCTCAAAGGCTTCGGAAATGGTCTGCGAGAAAATAGGCGATTCGCTCGAGGCAAACGTATCCGTTGATGCACGGGAAGCGCTGGTGAAGCGTCTGTCAAGGAAGTTTTCGAAATCAAGGGATTCCTGAAGGCATGATAGTATAAGGTTGACGTCCATAGTTTGTCCACTTCGTACAGACCTGGATAATATCCCTTTGAAGTCATCCCTTGTCCCTTCACAGAAGATATTTGCCAAAACTTCGTTAACTTTCCAAGAGGCCGGGAAAATCATCACATGCTCCTCGTCATAAGTTTTCAACATCCTTTTAAACCAGGAATATCTCCTAGAAATATTGTCGAGGGACCCGGCCTCCTCGTTTCCTCTGAATACTTGGCGATATTCTCTCAGTTGCGTGTTGCAGTACCAGGTAATGAGTCTCGATTTGGCCAAATCTCCCAACGCCTCCATGACGAGGCAGCCTTCAGCTAGAGTGTTCCTTTTCTGCGTTGTTTCTCCCTTGGCGAATATGATTTCAAAATCCTCGCAGACTTGTTCCAACAGCTCCCGTTGTATATCAGCAACGTTCCGACTTAGCGTAGCAATCTGGTCAATCGAGCGGTATGACTTAAAATGCGCCATTAGTTGTATAACGGCTTGGAGTAATTGTGCGCAATCCCGATACTGCCTCGACTTGCTCAGCGCTTTGAGCTGTTCATACGCAGTGGTAAGCATCTGAAGCCTCTTCAGCGTAGTCATAGACAACGTCAAATTCCCCTTCGCATTATCCAGTTGTTTAATATCTGCCGTCATCGCCGTAATTGCCTGTTCGGTCCTCAACGCTCGCTCTCGGACTTCCTCGATCTTCTTGAAGAGCTCGGCCATATCCTCTTTGGCGTTGCGGATGCGCTCAACGCTTTCCTGGTTGGAAGCTGCCTGCGCTTCCACGAGCGTAGTAATATCTTCGTCGAGTTCATCTTGGTATACCTGGAGGGCCTGGGAGGTTTTTGGTACGGCAACGAGGGTGGACGGGTGGGAGAAGATAGCATTTAGGTGTTCGATCGGGTTGTAGTCAGCTATACGAGATTAGCATACCATTCAAATATCAAATATAAGATCCTGGGACATGCCTCCATCCAGTGGGTCGATCTCCGGAGTCCCGTTCGTTGGCATAGGTGTGGTGATGGGTAGTTAACGCGCTGATATCGGAGGTATTCGATCGCATTTGGTGGCCTGTTGCAAGGTAGACGCGACACCTCTATGCGGTTTCATTCAGTGGACTCAAATACTGTATCCGAGAGGTAAAGCAGGGAGAAGAACAATGGAGGAATTTATATCTTATGGCATCGGCGATTCATGGGCGTGGAATTGTGTTGTTGTGATTGCTCGGAGACCTACGTAACTACAAAATGACGATGGTCCCTGGAGCTTTTGACGAGCTTGGCTCCAGAAATAGCTACGGAGATACGAAATGTCAAGCAGGAATATTTATTCTGGCCACAACGAAGCCGTATAGAGATAGGTTTATTGCTTTCCAACCTGCTCGGATTCCTTTTCTAGCTAAAGTACACTTCATTACATGGCAGATACCCTCCCAATGCGATAGTTAAAATGTGTCAAAAGAACTCCTGGAAGCGCATGAAAATGTAGGAATAAAAATAGTGGAATTGGTTGCTTGGAGCCCACATGCCAAGTAGAGCAAATGTTTCTTTCTGTTTTATAATAAGTATTCCAGAGGTGATTCTCCATGGAAGTAGTGGTGCAGTCTAATAACCCCAGTCGTTCTGGAGGTCGAGTTGGGCCAATATAATGTATCTGGAAGTGGAGATTTAAAGGCTGATGGCTTTTTCTTCAAAAGCTACTGAGGCCAGTTAATCACGCTCCAGGCAAAAATGCGTTAGGAGGTAGGTTTCCTTGCGCCTAAAATGTGATCGCCAGTTAGCATTATTTCTACCCATTTATAGAAAATAACTAATACCCAGGGGATACTAACCTTTAACTCTTCAAAATTCTTTAATGCGAGATTCAAATCCCAGCTATTACCGCTGAGAGCCATTTCTGAGAATGCTAGCGTCATTTTCGTCTTAAAGCTTATCTGAAGCACAAGTTGTTCCTGCTTGACTTGCTCTTCCGATTTCCCCGGTTGTGGTATTCCATACCCTGGTTTAGCTTCTGGGTGTTGTGCTGATAGCTGGGAAGGGTCGGGTGTTGGTTGTTGAATCGGTGGGATTGCTGTTGGTGGGGCTGGTGTGACTGTCACCACTGGGGGAATTTGGGGAACCTGGGGAACAACTGGCACCTGTTCGTGTTCTGGAATCCATGCAGTACAGTCCCCGAATACTCGGAGGCAGAGCATATCATTGCTAACCCGGAGTCCTCCAAGGCCGTTTCCAGGACCAAGGACAAATGTCCGATCGAAGCTGCGCGTTTGAGTCTTGTCTCCAGTACCAGGATACATCTCTTCAAATTTCCCATGTACAGTAATTAACAGACCGCCAACCCCAGTAGCGCTTTGATTGTTGATATCGGGAAGGCCAGGGATAGGATGACATTCAATAAGCCATTCTTTGGGATTGGAAAGGATCTCCGGGTGTTTTGTTTGTGGAAAGGAGTTCCATGCCTCACGAATGCTTTCAGTGCCAACAAAGCTTCGTGACATGCGGGCGGAAAGGTGGTTGATTTTTAGAAGATTTCTGCTTTTTCGGATGTATGCGTCCCACGATGGTGTTGATTCCGTTTGTGCAGCTCGTGGTGCCACGGTGTTGACGTTGTATGAAAATATGGAGTTTGCGTCGTAAATTCCGTTAAGTAAATCGTTTCGGTTACTGTCAAAGCCTGCGAAGAACGCTTTGACGAAGTTCTCCGCAATCTGGCCCTCATCCTGGAAACTGGGGCCCATCACTGGGATGGGAGTTTTCTTCTGAGCGGCGATCTCTTCGGCTGTCCGGACAGGGGTATTGTTCAATGTCCGAAGCTGAGGATACCATTTTATCATGGTTTCCTTGAAATTGGGCTCTGTGCATACCGGGTTCCCTGTCAGATCTAAAAAGTCGAGGTTGCGAAATTTCCACCTCCAGGTCGCCAGGCTTGAGATATCTTTTAATTGGTTGTGGGACAAGTCTAGATTCTTGACTTCGGGGAAAGTCTGCGCGAGCGAGGTGACAGCCGTGAGGTTTACTAGTTGATTGTTTGCTAGGCTGACACTCTCAACCGCAGCCTTTCGTTTAGCCGCGGAGTCGAAAGTAAGCTCGCACACTTTCATCAGAGCAGGAAAGAACTTTGACTCCGTGGTCACGCTATTGAACATCCCCATCTCCACCAGATCGGGATCGGTCCCCAATTTCGATAGGTCGAGAAGTTTTCCTGGTTCCGAATATCTCTTTGCCAGAAAAGCGGTCATCTTTGCTTTCGTATCAATAGCGGCTTGGGACGGTCCCTGAGATGGTCGTGATGAAGTGCCTGAAATCCCCGGTCCATCATGTAGTTCCACCGAAATCGGAGCCCCGGCAAACGAGTACCCATTCAGTCGTAAAAATCCATCCACCTGTTCGGGTCGAACTGATATTATCATATTGTCGCCTTCAACCCGCGACTAATGAACGTTAGCAAGGCATAAGTAACCTTGGGAACCGATTTTGTTTGCAGTCACTCGACAGCATTCGCGAAATGTCTGTACGGCCCCCCAAAAAAAGGTGTCGCTCTAGCATGCTGGTCTATGAGAACGAGGAGAGGGGCAATGCCGAAGAGTGGTGCTGCAGAGTACGTCGATGACCGCGAGAACGTGAACGTGAACGTGATATAGCACATACCTTTGTAATCTTGAATCGTCCAGGGGCCGTGGCGTTCTGGTCCATGGGAGTGGTCTTCTTCTCCAAAAATGCGATAAGACTGACGACGCCACCATCTGGGTTCGAAGCCGCCTTGCTCGCTTTCCACCCGCCGACTTTGATCTGTGTCAAGCTCCGTCTCGAGGCCCCGTCTACCATAGGCCCTCGGCCGTGTCTGATATTGGCCTGGGAAGATGAGCTGTTGAAAATCGCCTTCTGGAGCGCATCGATCGTCTTCTCTTTCTCGCCAGGTCTCCTCGACGATCGTCCGGATGCGCCTCCACGAGCTCCCCGTCCACGGCCTCTTCCCGAACCAGCCGCGGAAGCAGCCATGTCCATATCTCCATCTCGATCGATTCGAGGGGTGGCTCCTCGTTTCCGGATGCCACCGCGATCTGTCGCACCAGTCCTGCCTCGGGTACTTCTGCCGCGGTTGCTAGAGCTATTCATTCTTCCGCCTGAAACTTGCAGCATGGTCTAAGGAATGTGTTTGATCGGGAGATAGCGCGCGCAGGCAGCTCTTGTTCTTTAACAGTGAGCGGAACAGACAAGATAAGGTCTGCCGCCCGCTGTTTTAACGGCGTTTGTTTGGCATGCAAAAGTGGCAGTTGGATAAACTAGTGTATATGCTGGAGTGATGTCGTCAGGAGGTCGTAGAGAGGAGTTGTAGGAGTGTGATAGCTGGCGTTGTTAAAAGTGGTTTAATATCATGAAGAAAAAAAACGTTCACAAGTTCATGAATTCACGAGAAAGTCCAGTGACTGCCTGGTCCAGATCGGGCTAGTGCGGCTCTAACTATGTATTAGGTAAGCTGAAGATACTAAGTGAATATTCAATATTCAATCTTACAACATCTTACTCTATAAGTGTAATAGCATAGATATAGACCTGATACTCTTGGCCTTTAGATGCTAGATATTCTGTCTTTGATTAGTTAATTAGGAGTCTTCAAGTGGTGTTAAGCATCAACAAGCTACAAACTAGCCGAGTATCTCCCAACAATGATGTGTTATGAACAAGCTGCATCTATCTCTAGCTTTTTAGCTGCCATAAAGGTACTCTATACTCTGTACTCTATAAATAAAGGTGAATAAAGATAGTGAATAAACATCTATGCACACTTTTATAGATATATTATATAATACTTACATAAGCTATCCACTTTTGGCCAGATCTCTACACGTGACTATGCTTACTCAGCGAAACTCCGGACCAATCAGCGCAAACCTTCAAGGTGTCCTTTCCGCTGGGATGTCGAGAAAGCTTCAGGATGCGAACGTCGCTGGTGGTTTCTTTGCCTGCGAGGGCTGTTGTCTGCTTGTCTACTTGATTACTCCTGTACGGCTCCCTAGCTGTTGTGCGTCTGCTTGACCCTCCCTCTGAGATCAGTAATGGGCACTGCGACAACGCCCAATTGATCTCAGTTATCTATATCTCCCGCCAGGCGTATCCTTCCAGCAGTCAGTTGAAGGCTGTACCATCTTACACGAACGATCCTATCTTTATCGCAGGTGATCAATTGATACCTACTGCGGCCGCTCCGTCTGCCGATAACCCGTTTAACCGTGCGAAAGGATGGCGGGCAAATCTCGGTTCACGCGACTCGACGCCTTCGCCAAAACTGTGGAAGATGCGCGGATACGGACGAGATCTGGTGGAGTTGTCACCATAGCCGCATTGCTTATTGTTATCTATTTGGTTTGGGGAGAATGGAACGACTATCGAAGAGTTGTCATACAGCCAGAGCTGATTGTAGATAAGGGCAGAGGTACGCATGTCCAGCTTCCATATACGCCCTCAATCAGGAAGCTAACCTTGATTCCTAGGCGAGAGAATGGAAATCCACCTTAATATGACCTTTCCCAGGCTTCCCTGTGAGCTCCTCACCTTGGATGTCATGGACGTATCGGGTGAGCTCCAGACCGATGTCGACCACGGAGTTAACAAAGTCCGTCTTAGCTCTCTTGCGGAGGGCGGAAGGGTAATCGATGTGACGGCATTGGATCTGTAAGTGCTTCCAAAAATGCCAGAGGAAGCGCTCAGCCTACAGTTTTGCTAACTCGCATATTTACATAGACACAAGAAAGACGACTCCCCCGCCCATCTCGACCCTGACTACTGCGGAGACTGCTACGGCGTCCCTGCTCCCTCCAAAGCAAAGAAACCCGGCTGTTGCAACACCTGCGATGAAGTTCGTGACGCCTATGCAGAGAAAAACTGGGCCTTTGGTCGCGGTGAGGGTGTCAAACAGTGTATGGACGAGGGCTACTCCCAGCGCATCGACGAACAACGCAATGAGGGATGCCGCATCGAAGGAATCCTCCGCGTCAACAAAGTCGCCGGGAACTTCCACGTTGCTCCCGGCCGAAGTCTGACGTCTGGAAATTTCCACGCCCACGATCTGGATAACTACTACCATACCACCGTCCCGCACACAATGACACATATCATCCACAAGCTTCGATTTGGTCCCCAGCTTCCAGAGGAGTTATATAGTCGATGGAAATGGACGGACCAAGATGTGACCAACCCGCTCGACAAGACGGAGCACAAGACGGAAGAACCACGATACAACTTCCTCTATTTCGTCAAGGTGGTGTCGACGTCTTACCTACCGCTTGGATGGGACGCTTCGTGGTCGAGCGAGGCACACGCTCAGTTCCACGACCAGGTCCCGCTCGGTGAACAGGGGAAATATTTCGGTTCCCAAGGAAGTATCGAAACACATCAGTACTCCGTCACTTCGCATAAACGGTCACTCGACGCCGGCGATGATTCCGCCGAGGGACACAAAGAGCGTCAATTTGCTCGTGGGGGCATTCCATCTGTCATGTTCAACTATGAGATATCACCGATGAAAGTGATCAATCGCGAGACCAGACCAAAGTCTCTTTCAACATTTTTGACTGGTATTTGCGCCGTCATCGGTGGGACATTGACGGTTGCTGCTGCTGTTGACAGATTACTTTATGAAGGAGGCCTGAGGGTCAAGAAGTTGCACAAGAGTTGATCTATATATTTCCCCCCCATTTTGTCACACTATTATTTTATCATTCGGTTTGCCTCTTTTCGTTTTTTTCTCTCTTGGGCAATGTGATTGATATTGGCGTTCTATATATTGGTGAATACCATTTAAAAGGATACATCTGAGCGAAATTTACTCCTTTACTTATCCCCACCTAGGTATTCTAAGTTGCAGTGTAGAATTCTCGCCTGTAATCTCTTTGGTCATTTGTCTACAGAGGAGTACAAAATTCGCGAATATACCTTATAGCTACCGCGTCATAACTTTCCCCTAGGTTTACTCTCATACACCGAGGTCGTGCCCCTATTCAACCTTTCGACGGCATATAGAGGACCTTAAAACACCTGTCAAGACTTCTGAACTCTACACATCAAGGAAGTAGAAAGTTAAGCTGCTGAATTCACAAAAAAAAAAGTATTAGAATTTAAACCGGGGCCCTAAAAACCATAATCTTTGTCTATCCTTAATTCCTTGCTTTCCTGTATATCTTCCCTTCATCTTGTTCTCGCTTTGCAATCTAACACAATAGACAAACATTCTATCCCTGGTTCCGGTTCCGGTTTCGGTTTCTAGACTAATGCAGCGTTATGGCGTGTGGCGGCACGGCGCGGCGCGGCGTGGTATGGTGTGGTATGGCGTAGTGTAATATTATTCTGATGCATGCATGCATTGGCCTGCAAGAATGTAGGATGAGGATAACCCACGCAGATAAAAACGAACAAATACACAGATTATTAACTCAAAAACTCCTAATGCACAACTTAAAAGAAATGGGATGATGGGAAAAACTCGATGCTTTGGTGGTTCGATCAGGGATCGGGGAAAGGTCATCGTTGGTAAGTGTTCGATGGCCGAAATCTAAATACTAGAGCAGGAGACAAAGGAGATAGACGAAAATTCGCGAAAACAAGTTGGTGGCATTTTAGTCGGTGGCATAGTAGTGGTGGATGATAAAAGGAAACATGCAGATGTGGATTTGGTTCAGATCATGAGAGAAAGAGGAATGGATTCGATGGAAATAAGTGGTCGTGGTCATTATCAGAGAGAAACAGATGGAACAAAATGGGGGTAAGCCGGGGGAATACAGAGAGAGTGGGCGTAGAGGGTTGGCTGGAACAATGCAATAAGGGGAAACAATAAAATGAAAAGAGGGATATGTAGTTCATAAACTCAGAGCTGATTTCAGCATCTATGCGTGATACTGGGGTTGCCAATGCTGCTGTCCCTGAGGAGGTGCATAGTATCCTGGCTGCTGAGGCTGTTGCTGTTGTTGCGGGGGAATGTACGGAAACTGCATGGATGGGGCATACCCGGGCTGCGTACCCATGGGTTGCTGGTGTTGTTGCTGCAGCTGGAGCTGATATTGGGCTTGAGCTTGAGCCTGTGCTTGAGCTTGAGCTTGATACTGTCTCTGGGCAATAGCTTGCTGGACCATCTGGCCACTGACACCCTCTTTCATGGCCTTCCTCTCACGCTCACGCGCATCGATGGCGCTGACAAGACCAGATCCGAACTGCGGGCCCTGGGAAGCTTGGGAATTGTTAAGGTTTAGGAACGACGAGCCAGTTACGCGGGCGATGTGTTCTTGTTCGCGGGCAGAGAGTTGGCCGGAGACGTCTGGCTGGGCTAGCATCCTGTTTGCGCCACGCGAGGACGGGCGAGGGGGAAGGTCGTGGGGTCCTAAGATGACACTGGCGCCGCGAGAGGATGGGCGAGGTGGGCCATCGAGCATGGTCGTTGCGCCACGAGAGGAAGGACGGGCTGGGGTGTCGAGCATAACACTTGGACCGCGCGAGTGAGGACGTTGTGGGAGCTGAGTGGAAGATGATTGCTGGCGGATGTAGGCTGACCAGTCTCCTGACGCTGGGCGGGGAGGAGGCGTAGATTGAGTTGATTGCAGCGGGAGATGGATCTGGGACCTTGAAGCACGATTATGGACAAATTGTTCTGGTGAGATGCTGGCGGCCCCCGCGGCGACGGGGCCGCTGTCGGGGACCATGCCAGGTTGCCAGAGGACGCTGCGACGTCGTCCGCGTTCCTGTGTCGTGGGAGGAGGTGGAGAGTGAGATGAGGGTGACTCCTGGTTGAGGTGCTCAAGGAGACGGCCGGTAGAAAGCCTCCTCTCCCTAGCACCGAGTGTGCCTACGGAAGGGTCACGCTGGTGAGAGGAAGACAGGAGCAACATGGTATCAGAAGTGCTGGGTCGTCTGGTGGTTGGTTTATAGGTGTGCGTAGGCCCGAAATCGACCGTGGGTATATCCGGATTCACCTCATTTGGCGCAACAGATGGATGCTTATAGCGCGCATCACCAATGACGAGGTCTTCAGTCTTTGGCGCAGCGTCGCCGACGACCTTCATCTTTCCCATGCGTGGCTTCTGGATAGACTGAATCGACTTGACCGAGGCGGACGATCTATGCGAGCTCGCATACGATGGAGATACAACGGAACTTGCATCATCTAGGATAACAGGCTCACGCTGAAACGCGTACTTCTGCTGCGGCGGTGGAGGCGGCGAGGGAGATCGTGGACGTCTTATGATTCTGTCCAGCGCATCCATATCAATGTTATCACGCAGACTCCCCAGAGTAGACTCCGTCTTCACGCTCGCTGTCTCGGCGATGGGAATTTCCGCCGCCAGGGGCTTGCGGGAAATTCTCTTCTGCTGCACTGGCAGTTGATTCTCATCCTGCTGTTGTTTTATAGGCGACTGTCCTCCAATAGAGGTAGGGGTATACGACACATTGACGTTGACGTTACTGGCCGCATCACTGGGCGTAACCGGGCTACCCTGAGAGTAGTTCGAGCTGGATGCGCCAATACTGTTCAGCCGATTAAGCGCCACACCCCTGGTATTGGACTGCTGTCCGTGTTCATTCTCGTTCGCATTCTTGCTATTCATAGCTCCGGCCCAGGCGGCCGTAGCGCCAGCCACAGCGAGCCCGTGTACATTTCCCTTCCCCTTGCTGATGTCCATCAGCTGGTCCATCGTACCAACCGACATACGATTAGCTGCACGGCCAACCTCCGGCGACGGCTGCGGTCTAAACTGCGGTGTCCCCCGAGGGTCATGCGAGAAGGCAGGTGACTTTGGTATCCCTTGTGGGGGCGGGTTTGGTTGCAGGTTTTGTGCAATCTCCAAACGGTCGATAGGTCCGTTGTTGTCCACGTAGGCGCCGCTGTCAGGGGAACTGCGGCTGTCAGGTCCCTCCAACTCGTACGACCCATCCATCTGAGGGATGCCAGCCTCATGACTTGGTGGTGTAGGCGGGTGTTCAGGGATGTCCTCTCCGATATTCTTTTCAAACGACGGCGGGCTGCGACGGCCACGACGAGCGAACGGGAGACCGGTGTTCTCAGACTCAGACCGGTTGTGGGATATTCCAGGCTTGGTTGGAGAGCTGGAGGCCACCGTGTCGGATGAACTGCTTGGCTCACCATTTCGAGGCCCGACTGTCGCGTTACCAAAGCGCACGCTGGTTCCGCTGCGCGGAGGCAAACTGCTGCGTTTCCCGCTGCGGTGGCCTGAGACACTGCTCGTTCTGCTGCCGGTGTTCGACGTCATGCGGCGCGATGTAGCGTCCTTTAGCTGCTTCTTCCACTCGCGGGCGGTCCAGTTTTCGCTTCCCTGAGTATGGATCAGGGCAGACACGTCCAGAATATCGAGATATGCCCTGCGCTTGTTGCTGGGCATGGCGAACATCAGACTATTTGGGCTAACGGTATCAGCAAGCAGACGGGTAGGACGTCCGTAGATCCGGAAGGCATCGTAGGCAGGGAATAGCCAGCGAATCATGGTTTCGAATCCGGAGACGGCATGATGCATTTCTGGGAGCACGAAGACGAAACCCTCAGACGTAGTTCCGCCGATGGTGACTAGACCTTCGACTTTGACGAGCGTAGACTGGTCCACGAGCGGCCGGGACTGCGGATATATGGCGTAGGCAGAGTAGGCATCAGAAATAGACGCGATAGGAGCCACCTTTTTGCTGATCTTCTTGCTTTCGTAGAATTTGATATTCCCCTTTGGCGGCGTGGGTGCTCGGTCGTAGGGCGATTTCTTCTTCAGAGAGCGGTTGTAGAGCTGCATCTCCTTCTCCGATGGCGGCGAGATGACACACCAACACCTTCTCCAGGGAGTGCCTGCGCCGAACCGGACTCTAGCCCAATCTTCGTACTTGAATGCGGTTTTCTCGAGGATCATCTTGATACCGTTTAGATGCTTCCCTTTCCCGGCGATCAGTGCACCGGTGTATGATTCGTGCAAGAGCGAGTTTTCAAATATGGTGAGTCTCATTGCCGCCGTCCACTGGGTGAGCGAGTGCAGCGAGTCGAAATGAAGCAGGTATCTGTTCTTTCCGGCCGTGCTGATGCTGACGACATGCTGGAGAGGCTGATTGGTTTCATCTCGAGTCGGGAGTGTTTCCATCTAGGGGTAGTTAGATGACGATGCCTGGGTGAAGTATGAAGGGGCGTCTCACCATCTTGATAGTAGCATCAGCCAAGTTGATGAAGCTGGGGGGAGCATTGGCCTGTCCTCCAGCAGTATCCAGAGCAGCCGCATTCCATATAGAAAGCACGGTCCCAACCAGCTGCCCAAAGCACTCGACCCACTGTCTATCCGTACAGGCTCGTCCTTCTAGTCAGAGTTAACAGTGGTTTCATGTAGGGGGAGAGGAAGTAGAAGAAGAAGAAGAAGCATACGGGTGTCTAGGTCGTTGAGCTTCAAGAAGTATCCTTCCTGGTATAGCTTGTTGGCCTGGTTGTTCAAATAGGCAAAGACAGGCTCTAGCTCTGGTACTGGAAGAGGCTCTGCCTCCAGAGACGGGAAGGGAGCTGTCTGTTCCTGGCTCTGGCTCTGGTGCTCACTATCACTCTGTGCCAACTTCTGAGCCCACAGCGAGGTGATCGGCCTGCTCAGCCGGCGTGTCCGTCTCATGAACGGCAGGGTAGAGTTCTGCTGCTGGTCCGGACTGGAGCCAGGAGCAGTCTCTGAGGCTCCGGCTTTGTTATTTGGCTGTGACTGCGACAAGGTGCCGGGGAGATCTGGCGTAGAGTGCGAGACTGATGATGTCGCTGGCTTGTTCTTGGAGCCATCTGCGCGGGAGGAGAGGAAGGAGAGGACTGTAAAGCAGGATGGTCAGCAGCAGCACCAGCAGATAGGGACCTGTATATTCACAACCAACCTCTTAAGCGGCCCATGTTGGACAATTGCAAGCCAGGAGCTGCACCCTGGCCGTCTAGACAAGTGAGATGGCCAGTCCAGTCAAACTGAGAGCTGTGAACGGTGTCTAGGAGCTTCTTTCAGCGGCCATGTAGACAGCGGCTGGCGGGAGGAAGCGCCGACGGAAGCGCGACAGTATCACACCTCTCGAGGAGGAAGAAGAGGAGGAAGAGGAGGAAGAGGAGGAAGAGGAGGAAGATGACGAAGAAGAGGAGGAAGAAGAGGAAGAGGAAGACTCTGTAGATGAAGAGAAGCTGGTGACCGGTGTTTACTGGGTGTGATCCATGGCGGTTGACAGGTGATGGCGATGAAACTAGCCTGGAGCTTAATACGGAGTACGTAGCATCCGGTAGTATATGAAGATCGTATAGGGGAAGAGAACAGAAGAGAGTAAGAGAGAAGAAGAGTGAAGGAATAAGTGAAAGAGAGAGACGGCGCTTCAACTTCTACAACGGCCAAGCCAGCTTCCTGCGACACGGCGGATAATCCCAGTAACAGTCAACAGCAACTGTCAACCACGACTACACTTGACTACATTACGACGACTACTACTACTACGACGACTACTTGACTACTTTACTTGACTATAATTACAGCTGCTACAACTACTGCTACTGCTACAACTACAACTGCTACAACTACGAGATAGGTCTCCGCCCTCCGCCTCCGCTGGTTCCGCAGCCACCGTCTACTATAGATCTCGAGCCCTGGGAAAAGCAAAAACATCAAGGCTCAAGCGAGAAATACAAGAGAAACCATGTCTCAGATCACATCCAGCACGGCCCGGCCGGTCGCACAGCTTGGAGCAAAACGCCGCCTGTATAAACATACGCCTCGCCGCAGCGCTAAAGACATAGCGTACTGCATGTCTCTTCCTCTAGACTACGGATATACGACGGAGCAGCAGTTGGAACATACGAGCCATAAATAACTTGATACTACGACCGGGTACCAGTGACGCGTTCAGACCCAAGTGACAAATGCTCCAGCTCCATGCCAGATCCATGCCATCTCCCAGCCACTGCTCGGCTCGACCAATTGTCAATCTGGCCTGCCCTGGCAGACTCGGTCCATCCATGCCCTTGCGAGGCCAGCCCACGTCCATACGGCGACGCCCAACGTTGTGCCGGATGGGGATGGCATTGGTTAGACAGAGCAGATACAGGCGGATGCATGTACGACAGAGCAGAAGCAAGATGCACATCGCGTGGTTATTCGTACAGCCCTTTGAGGGCAGACGCCGATGAGATACGTTCTATCTTTTGGCCTGGTTGGTTAAATGTTGCTTGGACAAGGAATGATGAGTTACTGGTGGATATCAATTACTCGGACAAGCAATGATGGGCTACTGGTGAAGAAACGTCGGTGAGATCTCTGCATCTCATCGTGCTATTGCGTACATGTGGCTTCGATGCAGATCGCTGTGGCAGAGGTACCAACACGTTGGAAGAAGAAACGACGATCTGCGGCCAACTGTTAGGCAAGAAAGCAGGGAAGAAAGAAAGCAAACAGTCGATCGCAGACGACAGACGCTACATGTATACAGTATTCATTTCTCATTATCATTACTACGGAGTACTATCGACTGCATGATGTTGGATATCAACTCTACGTCAGAAGCGGGTCGACGAGACCGCCCAACCCGCCCAACCCGCCCAACCGATCGTCCTTACGTTCCTGGTCTTCATCGTGGCTTGCCATGACCTCATCGACGCTAACATCGGGATATGCATAGAGACCCTGATCGATATGGCCACGGCCACGACCACCGTCACCGCCGTCGCCTTCGCCTTCGCCTTCGTTGCCGCACATCATGTCCATCTCATACTCAAAAGCAGGCCGGGCAAAACTCTCGTTCCCGCCTTGCATGGCTCGCTGCATGAAGAGAATCTGCACCTCGTTCTCGTCCATGCCGTGCTTAGTTCCCATGTGCAGCCAGAGATCGTAGTCACGGCGGAACCTGTGCTCGCACTCCGCTAGTAGACACGGTATCTGGCGGTTAACGGACTCTTCCGCGTAACCTTGACCAGTAAGCAGAGCGACATTCGATGGGCCTTGGGGTGCAGACGCGGACGCAGACGCGGACTTGGACGAGGTAGGGGTCTTCGCCTTCCTCTCAGCCCTAGCATTCCGATATCCCATATGTGCAGTCCTGACATGCTCTTCCAGCGCGAGCTTACTACCATACCGCTTCCCACAGGCATCAGCCCCGTCCCAGCCCTCCACCTTCTTGGACGTAGAGAGATCCGTCTCGCCGCACGCAAACCGCTTCTCCCCCTCATGCACCGTCTTGACATGGACGTTGAGATTGCCTTTTTTTGTAAAGCTACGTCCACAGCCTGGATGCTGGCAGGGATGCGTTCGTCGATCGTCCACAGATACAGTCCCATGCGATATCTCCATGTGTCGACGTAGATCCTTTGCCGACGAGCAGGTATGCGCACAGCTCGGACAGGTAGGAGGATGCACGGAACGCATATGCAATTGTAGCAATGCATATGTCGGGAAACTAAACCCGTTCCCCCCTTCTGCCTCTTCATCAACGCTCATACATTCCGTACAGGTAAACCGCGCCTCTCCGTGAACCCTCCGTTCATGGGCCTTCAGATGACCCGCCGTATCAAACGCGGCCGTACAGGTCTTCCCCGACCCCAGCACAGCCTGACACGGAAACGGCCTCTTCTTCAAATGCACCATCATAACATGCTTCAGCAGCGTCGAGTGTTTACGGAACGTCTCTCCGCATTCTCTCCCTCCTTCACCAGTTTCCGTACACGTATATTTATCCCGCCCCTCATGGGCAGCTAGATGTCTCCTGAGCCTTGAACCCGTAGCAAACGCCTTCCCGCACCCTTCCCGCTCACACACGTAGTCTCGTACAAGGGTATGTGCACTCTTAACATGGTGGTTTAGATGGGATGCTCGGAGGAAGTTCTTCTCGCATCCATCGTACGTGCAGGCGAATATGCGTTCGTTGGTATGGGATCGGAGATGCTCGGCAAGACGTGCAGGACGGTTGAACGCCTTGCTGCAGTTATCGTAGGGACAGTGATGCGTCTTGAGCTCGGATGGGTATTTGGACGAGGCAGGCGAGAACGGTGTCAGCGGCGTTGGATGCAGCTCGTCGTCCGAGTACGCAACTTCATCGACGATGGACGAGGAGTCGCAGTCAGCATCGGAGTCGTCGTATTTTTCTTCTTGGCCTAGATATGTCAGTATTCTTCCATCGCCGTTAATATCATCGCCGTTGAGCACCTACCTGGCCTCGATAGCTGTATCCTCTTCAGCTGTCTCTGAGCTTCCTCTGCTGCCTTCCGTTTGACAGCCATGGCGACAACTATAGCTCAAACATGTCTAGCACAGCATAACAACGTAGACCGTATCCTTAACCCTTCAATAATCGAGTTGGACTCTTGTTGATATTTCATCTGGTCATCTTTGTGTGTTCTTTTCGAGGCCGAAAAAAGGCATGAAATCTTGGCGCCAAGCATCTTTTTTTTTTCTTTTCGTTTTGTTCGCGGAAGAAGAAAACGTCGAACAGCGCAGAGAAGAACTTGCATCGTCAGGCAGAGAACTACGTATATCGCGTTTACAGTAACCAGTCTCTCTTTAATACTATCGCGATGTCTGACTTTGGCGGCGACGACCACGACGACCGCGAAGACGGAGGGTGAGTCCTTCACAGCTTCACCTTCATCAACTTCAACTTCAACACGCGGACTGACATGATCTAGTATCGACTACGAGCCAGCGGAGGACTTCTTCGACGACACCGCGGCCGATGACTTTGCAGCCGAAGACCAGCCGGAGGAAGGCTACGCTGTGCTGAACGGCGACGGACAGCCGGCCACTGCCAACGGAGAGAACGGCGACCCCAATGCCTCCTCGGGCCAGCAGGGGAAGGTCATGCTGCAGCAGCGTGAGAAGAAGGTCGCCAACGACCAGCGGACTACTACACCGTACATGACCAAGTACGAGCGCGCGAGAGTACTGGGCACGCGTGCGCTGCAGATTAGGTGAGCTGCAGAGTCCTCTCGACACCGGCGACAGTTGTACTGATGAGATGTAGCATGAATGCGCCTATCCTGGTTGACCTGGAAGGTGAAACTGATCCGCTACAAATCGCCCTGAAGGAGCTGAACCAGAAGAAGATCCCCCTGATTATCAGGAGATATCTCCCGGACGGATGGTGAGTGCTGCACACATACATGCCTCGTCAGCATCTAACTTCTCTAGGTACGAGGACTGGACATGCGAAGAGCTTCTCTAGTCATACTCCGTATATCTACTCGACTTTTTAGCATAGCGATGGGGTTTGGGTCTGGTCTTAGCAATACATATATTTACCTAACTGTCCATCCACGTAATTGTTCATCACGTATCTGTATTCTAAGAGACAGTTAACGATCGTCTGCGTGCTCGTGTTTCATGCAGATATCAGCGCCAGTGACGCCGGCAGCCTCCTCGGCAGCATCGAGCTCTCCTGTATACGAACCGCCAGCTCCGTCCTTGCCGTCAGACTGCCGAAGCCACTGCCGCAGGTTCGCGCCCCTCCGAACCGCCGTATAGAGCGCAGAGTGCTATAGGCCGGCGCTAGAAGATGGAGAACGGGCTCGCCGCTGCTTCTGGTTGTTCGATGGATTAATCAGACGCAGTTTTCGGTGCCGAACGGCTATTTCGTGCCTTTTTGCTCGTCCTGCTTCTGCTACTTATGCAAGATGGATTCCTCTTGCGAGACCTGTCTCTGTCTCTATACCCATGCCCGAGGATGGTCGACCTTGAACGGGACGAGAAGAGCTCCCTGGGCCGCCGGAGCCTGTCTGCTTCGTCGGTCACCATTCCCAAGGACGATGCCGGATATGCCAACGAGGAGCATTCCTTCGACACCGGCTGGACGGCCTGGTCCCAGGTCCTCGCCTCTTTCTTTCTCTTCTTCAACACCTGGTATGTCTCTCACAGGAGGTAGCAGTACGGAATATATGCTAACGGGATCAGGGGAGTCGTGACGGCGTTCGGGGTGTTTCAGACATACTATGAACACAACCTGCTCGACCATCTGTCGCCGTCGACCATCTCCTGGATCGGGTCGACGCAGTCCTTCTTGCTGCTCTTCTTCGGGACCATCACCGGCTCTCTCTTCGACGCCGGCTATGTCAGACACCTGCTGGTGATCGGCTGGGTCCTGATCCCCCTCGGGCTCATGATGACCAGCATAGCCAGCTCGTTCTGGCAGATATTCCTCGCCCAGGCTATATGTATGGGCCTGGGATTCGGCAGCGTCTTCGTCCCCTGCGTCGCCGTCTTGCCTCAGTACTTCAAACGGCGGAGAGCAATCGCCAACGGCATAGCTGCTACCGGCAGTGGCATCGGCGGCGTCGTCTATCCCTTCATCTTCCGCCAGATGCAGAAGGGCATCGGGTTTGCCTGGGCCACTCGCGCCCTCGGCTTCATCGTCTTCGCTACAATGTCGATATCCGTCTGTCTGCTCAGGATGCGGTTCAAGCCCGCCGAACGACGCAGCCTGATCCAGCTCTCTGCCTTCAGGGACCCCGTATACTCCCTTTTCTGCATCTCGCAGTTCTGCGGCTTTCTCGGCCTGTATAACATGATGGTCTACATACAGCCCTACGCCATCGACCAGGGCATCATGAGCACCGATCTGGCCTTCTATCTCCTCGCCATACTCAACTCTGCCTCTACCTTTGGCCGGATCATCCCAAACTACTTCGTCGACTACCTCGGCCCCCTCAACGTCATGATACCCATGACTTTCTGCTCCGGCATCATTGCTCTCGGCTGGATAGGCGTCCACACCACCGCCAGCGTCATCGTCATCGTGCTGCTGTACGGTTTCTGCTCGGGGGCCTTCGTCTCCGTTCCCCCCGTCGTCTTGATCAGCATAACGCCCGACATGCGAGATTTCGGCACTCGGCTGGGTATGACGTTTGTCTTTAACTCGGTGGGCGCCCTTGCAGGTACGCCTATTGGAGGTGCCATCATACACGGCTCAGGGAACCAATACCTTGGCGTGCAGATACTGGCTGGTTCCTGTCTACTGCTCTCTGCCCTTCTCCAGGTCGCCGCTAGGTTTATCAAGTCAGGGCCGGTCCTGTTTGTGCGTACCTAGTCGACATCATCACACATCTATACATCAGCACATACATCATCAGCACATACATCATCAGCACATACATCATCAGCACATACATCATCAGCACATTTACATACAACATACATACAGCACATACGGCGAGTATAACGGGGCATGAGCTCCAACTCAGACATCTGAGTGTACATATAGTCCCAGCATGCAGCTGGTCGACATCATTCCTGCTAAAAAGGATACAAAAGCACTACATATATATAGTATATATAAAAAGATATATAATGTAATAAAATTCATCTATGCATAACTTTTACTCTAGTGTTCATAACAGTCGTCCACCATGTACCCATACCCTACCGTATATGACCTACTCTATTGTTCATCCATTAAGTAACGTCCTCAGGATGCACCAGGAAATTCTCCCCGTCCTTACGAGAATGTTTCAAATGCACATCCCGACTCAACGGCTTTCGCATATCGAACGCATCCTCACCCTCCTCCGACATCCCCGTAGGATCGTCACTGTAATAATTCACCACCCGTCTAAACACAGAATATCTATACATGTCCCATCAGTATACACCTACCTGTAACGGTGGAAACGAAAGACCTACCCCATGCCCTTGTACATATCAACAGCGACCTTATTCCCGGCTCGAACATATAAATCGACAAACCACGCATTATTCATATCCGATGCCCGCTCCAGACTCTCCGTCAGCCGTCGTGCGTGGCCCATCCGTCGAAAAGCAGGGGCAACAGTCAACACCGTGATATGGCCATGCCAGGGCGTATAGTGCTCCGAATGACGCATGGATTGCGGTTGCGCCTCAAGCTTGCCCATTACTATTTAGTCCCATCGAAGTCAGTCACGCCACGTCTGCCATGTTCGTTCTCTCTTCTGCTCTTCCTGCTGTTCTGCGCGGGGCGTTGGGCCGCAACCGCAAGCGAATATTGAAACTGCGCTGTCCCAAACAACAGGTGAAGGAAAAGGCCGGTCAGAAGGAAAACGTACTGTAGCCGACTATCTGGCCATCGCGCTCCTCGACGACGTTGAACAGCGAGGGCCATTTCATCAGATAGTTGAGATAGAAGTGCAGGTCGTAGTTCTCGGTCAAGGGATCGAGGTTGGTCAGGTTGAGATTGAGCAGGTCGGCGGGCGTCATGCGCCGGATCGTGGCCATGATGAAGTCGAATCAGCCGGCGGCGACCACCTGCGACCACGAATCAGCCAGCAGCGAGGAAGAAGCCGGAGTGCGTGTGTTGTAGATATGTTGTACCTGGTCTGGAGTTGGAGTATGGTGCAGGTTTCTTATCTCGATAAAGATTCAGACCAAGGCTGTGAAACAACTATTTACATCTAAACTAATAGCAATTTACACCAAACTCCTTTATCATAGCAACCATCTCCCTGATCAACAGCTCTCTGTCTACCCGTTCTAACGGCCTGATACGAGCAGAGAGTCCTCGGTGCGAGATACTAGCATTGCACTTAGGGCAAAAGGTAAATAATTTGCTTCTTTCGGTGATGGACAGGGGACGGGCTGGAGACTAAAATACTAATTATTTTCTTAGCAGGGACAAAGGAGAATCTTCACAGTCGACGGGAGATGCCAGTCTGGTTTTAAATATAAAAGAGAAGATAAAGAGAAGATACCGTCTTCATGGGGAGCATAGCAAACATGCCCTCGTCTCCTATCTCTCCCCGTCAACGCCGCAGACACCCCCCGAGCATCGACCTCTCATCGACGTCTCCAAGCACATTTGCCTCGAATTCAAACGGCCTATACTCCCCGCAGACTGCTAGAAGCTCTTTTCCACAGTCTCCTGTCACGCCGCGACAACGGCACCGCATGTCAATCGACAGGACGTCGCGGTACTCCGCCGACTTCACGAACGATATCAACGAGGGCAGTCCCATACTTGACGGAGGCCTGGGCAGTCTTGCCGATGAGCTTGCGGATGCCTGGGACGAGGATGTGGAGGATATATCCGGTCTACGGGGGGAAGGGGACGAAGACGGGTTTGACGACGACCACCTTGGCTCTCCAGGGGAAAGCATGCGGAACGATCATGACGGCGGCGTGAATGGAGAATTTATCGATTCAATACACGATCTAGGCATTGGGATGGGATCTAACCCGTCAAGAAGACAGGATGGCTCGGAGTCTGAACACGAAGGCGGACTGCGGCCGTCAAAACCACGACCAAAGTCGATGATGATGAATAATGCTCAACGACACCGGAGATATGAATCGTCACTGTACGATGGTTCCGAGTACGGGCCTGACTCTGACATTGAAGAGTGTGCTGATATATCTCCTGCACTGGAGGCGCGGATGGCTGCAATCGAGCAGCTCGTTCGGTTTGGGAATATTGAAACCGAACAGATGGGCAACGACGTTATCGATCGTGTAATCCATGGCTTGCGAGACCTAGGCGGACAGAGTGAGATTGAAAGCGGTGCTTCCAGGTTAGTTTCTCTTCTATATAAATAAAAGCGGATATAAAAGCCCCATGCTAACATATCTATACAGACTTATTACCGCTCACGCCTCTCTAACCTCCCATCTAACGCACCAAACCCGCTCTCTACAAACCCTCACCCACCCACTCCTCTTCTCCCACTTCCCAGTCCTCTCATCCGACGCCATAGACGACCTCATCCCCTTAATAGAAGACGTCCTACCCAACCTCCCCTTCCCCGTCCAAACCAACCCTTCCACGTCCGCCTCCGCATCCATGCAACACGACCTCTCCCCGTCCCAATGCTCAACTACAAGCTCCAGCTCAAACAGCGCCGCTACCAACCCTCTCCTTTCTCTACAGGCCCTCCTGGCCCAAACCTCAGATCTAACACATACCCTACGGGCACTAAGCGACACACTGCATGAGTCCCGTCAATTGACTTCTGCCGCGTCTCGACGGCTAAAGTCAGTTCGTGAGCTGGTATCCGAGATCCGACGGGACGAAGAGGCGCGTAAAGAAGGGACGGCCTGGATTGAGCAAGGAGAATGGGATAGGCGGCTTGGTGAGCGTGAGGCCGGCAGGGTGTGTGGTGATGTGGTCAGTGGATTCGAGGCTGTTTGTGGAGAGTGGAGGGATAGGCTGTTTGGGACGGAGGTCGTTGTTGCATAGTCAGTCAATTGGTTATAGGCATGGATAGATGTGCGGTGCGGTGTTGGTGTTGGTTGCAGGGATACCTTTTTTTTATATTATTTTTTATCATTTCGAGTTCACTATCTACTTCTCTTTTTATACAGTAGTTTATACCTTGATAGACGGATGGATATTATGGATATTCGAGATATCCAGCATATGTTGTTGGCTTCGAGCGAGATGGCTTGAGATATTGGATCTTTAACACTCACGAACCTATCTTGTTAATACATTGTATAATCACGTCAGTGAGTGAGCAAGAGCAGTTTTATGAACGTTTTTTCCTTTGCAATTTTACTATAGAAATGTTCGGTTACCCATTACTCGTCCATCATAATTTCTCCATGCCTACCGCATGACGGGCGTCAAACAAAAACAGGAGAGGTAACAAGTCACAGACAATGGATCGGAAAAATGCAACAGGTCGAAAAGAAAAGGCACACGGGAATCAATTCTTTGGTCAGGAGGAAAGGGGTTAATTAAATCCAATAAAATTGACATGCCAGAATCATGAAAGTGAAAGAAAGAGAAAGACAGACAGAACCAGAACCAGAGGCTTTTTGGCATAAAGTAACATCTGAGATGGTCGATGATCGAGAGACGAAGAAAAGGAGAAAAAGCAGCCAAGGAAAAGGGACATAAGGTGAAAAAAACATGATAAACGAGAATGCATAACCTCCATCCCATCTATCTGCCATCAACCACCATCATCATGATCATCAACATGCCAGAACTAGATAAGACATGATACATATCTACTGTTTAAACCTAGGCCTCCATGCGCCCGAACTGGCAGGCGGCAATCTTGACTCTTCCTTTCCTTCGCTATCGGCAGGGGGAGCAGGGCTTCGGGTAACTGGTGGTCGTGAGTCGGAAGAAGAAACATCCCGACCTCTGGATTGGAATCGGGGGGCGGTGCCGTTTGCTGAGCTATCGCGTCCGCGTAGGTGGACGGGGACGTATGCACCACCGCTGGAGGGTCCGGATGGTTTGCGAAGGGTATCTCGGGCACTGAGATCGCGGGCTGGTGGTTCACGGTCGCGGGATGGAAGCTCGCGAGGTTCGCGGTCACGGCCTGGAAGGGTTCGTGGTGGTGGAGGGGTGGATGATTCTTCAGCAGCGGAGTCGCCGCCAGCAGCTTGCTTGGCAGCTTGTCTTTCTCTCCAGGAGGTGCCGCCAGGGCGGGCTGCGAGGTTGAGACGGGGAGCGGTGCGTTCGGCGGAGTCGGTGCGAGGTGAATCGGCGGCGGCTTTGAGTGGAGCGCGGGAGAGACGAGGATCAGCGAGGCCAGCGCGTTTAGCTGCGAGGCGTTTCTCGGCTTCTTCTTCACGTTGTTTCTGAATAGCAGCTTTCTCGTCCAGGATTCTATGACATGTTAGTATGTTGTGAGTAGGGGAGGAAAGGGGATAGTAGGGGTTTGCTGACCTTCTCTGCTCATCCCTAGCAGCCTTCTCCTCAGCCAACTTCCTCCTCCTCTCTTCGTCCCTAGCAGCTCTCTCCTGCTCTTCCCTCTCTTCGCGTTCTGCCTCCTCACGCTTCCTCTGCTCCTCAGCCTCACGTTCCATCTTCTCCCTCTTGATACGCTCCTGTACCTCCTTGACACGTTGTTTCTTCTTAGCCTCGAACTCACGCTCAGCCGCCTTACGACGACGTTCGAACTCCTCATGTCGCTTCTCGGTAACGGTGTGCTTGAACTTGTTGAAATGGGGAACAAGGCGGCTCAGACGGTGTTTTAGAGCCACGTCTTCCTTATGTTTAAGCTCAGCAGCTGCAAGGGTTTCAGCCTTTTGCTGCTCATATATCTCGAGATCCCGCTTCTTCTGCTGATCGTAGTCCTCAGGCAGGTGCTTGAGTTCTTCACGACGATAAGCACGCTCAAGATGGTCGAAGCGTTTAGCAGTGACTCTGATCTTTTCATTGAGGTCGTTCTTTTCCTTCTCGAGCTGTGCGAGTTTCATGGCTCGGAGACGGTTGGAGTCCAACTCTTCGAGATCAATCTCACTAACGTCAATACCCTTGATGCCAGTCTTAAGTTCCTCAAGCTGTTTCTTCAGCTCTGCCTGGCGAATACGGTCCTGCTCATCCTTCATACGCTTGCGTTCTCTTTCACGGTGCTCATCAAGGAGACGCTGCTTCTCGGCTTCCTGTAGCTGTTGCGTGCGGATACGCTTCTGGGTCTCTTCTTCCTGCTGCTTCTTCTGCAGAGCATCCGAGGCGGCTTCCTTCTTTTTGTCGATGATCAGACGGCGAGCAAGAGTCTGTTCATGTTCCTTTGCTGCACCGGCTTTGGCACGGGCCTGTGCCTGCTGTTGTGCCTCAATCCGAGCCTCGTTGTATGTAGGGTCAACATACATGCAGGTAACGTGCAATGTCTTTGCGAGGCGGGTGAGCTGCGACCTGGCAATCTCGGCAGGGGTACTTTGCAGTCTCTGGACGGCACCGACATCGCTCTCAGCAGAGCCGGCACCACTACCAGCATGCACAGCTTTGGCGGAGGAGAAAATATCTGAGTCGAAGGTGAGTACACCCGAGACGTGGTCGACGCGGATAGCTAAATCACCCTTCTTGCACCCATTCATGATGAACTTCTCAACCATAGAGGAAGTTACCTGGAAAGGAGCCGGGAAGTGAGCGAGTTCGTGCACGAATTTCAGTTCCACGGACTCGTAAACCTGGGATAGCTGCTGGAAAAGACGAGTGAGGATGACCTGCTGCAAAGGCTGGACGTATTTCTCCATCTCAGCATCGGCACCGATCTGTTCAAGGATTGGTGCGATCTTCTTGCAAATGGAAAGAGGGTGGAAGTCGACTTCGAGGATGTTGTAGAGGTCTCGAATCTCCGGGCGAGCACGGGATAGAAGGCCCTTGTTGAGAGCGTCTTTGAACAATGCGGAACGGGTAGGCGAGGCAGCCATACCGAGCAAGTTGGTAAGACGAGTGTTTTTGTTCTTGCGGGCTTCATCAACGTCAACCAGAGCGCCGCGAGAGCGAGATGTGCTGATGACGGGGATGGAGAGGGCGGAGAGAAGAACGAAAGAAGCGGTCTTGGTCATGTCTGCTTCGGAGACGGATGGGTTGTCCTTCTTTGAAACCTGGCCTGATGCTACGGCGATGGCAGATTGACGGAGTAGGGTATAGTATCTGTTCCAAGCGGCGGCGTGGAAGAGGTAGTTCTCGCTGACAAGGAAGATACGGGCCAGCTTCTCGTAGTAATTGGCCATCATGACATTCTTAGCTGGTCGCTTGCTCAGGTTCAAAAGAGTATGAATGTCCTCCACACTACGGAAACCTTCCTGCCATAATTCAAGCTCGACGGCGACGTTCAACTGCTGGAAACGGGTATCTAAATGGCGCTGTAAGGTATCTGGATCGCTAAGGTTGATAGCATGCATCTGGGATGAATACTTGGCGGCATTCTGCACATGGTTCCTGAGCAGCTCGCACAGACGTCTGAATTCGGTCTTGCGGGTATACTTGAGACAGAAATCGAAGGCCTGGAGAGCGGTTGCCTGGTACATCACTTCAAGGCGGGCATTGTTCTTGAGGATCTCGAGAACGGTACGGTATGTTTCCCAGAGGAACTTGAGCCAAGGGGTGACGATGGCGCGGTCTGTGCGGTCCTTGGACTGTTCCCCGGACACGGTAGCAAGTAGAATGGTCTCTGGTGTTTCAATGGCATCTAGATCCTCAATGTTTGAGGTGGCACCGGTGTTTGATTCGAGAGACTGTTGGATCTCATCTGCCTTGGCCTGGGCCTCTGTAACTTTTTGTTCCGCCAACTGGATAAATTTTTTCAACACCATCTAAACATTCATCAGCATCCTCTGATCCGAGTACGAAGCGGGTAGGGTATACTGCAGTACCTCGATAGTGCCAACATTGGTATTCTGCGCAATGTTCTTATACTGATACAGACCGTCTTTGGCGGCCTTTCCTTTCCTCAAGTCCACACACAGCTCAACGAACAGCACCATGACCGGCTCGAGAGACGCGATCGGGCTGTTCCTGGATCGTTTGGAGGTGACATGTTCGTGGAGTACGGTCAAGGCAGACGCTTGCTGGTCGACGGCGATAAGTTCTTCGGCGCGCTATACGGAGTTAGAAACAGGATCGATAACCTGAGAGTCCGCTCAGAAAAACTGCAGGACCTACCCTGAGGATATTCTCCGGCCGGATATGGGGAAGAGGCGGCATGTTGGGCGGCCTCCCCGTGGGATGTGATCGGACGTTGAGCGTTTCTCGATATCAGGGAAGTATTGGCCTAGCGATAAGGTTCCTTGCTGCGATAGCCAACGACTGCAGCGGGACCCAAGAGCACGAACTTGCGAGGCGACTGGAGGGATTGTCTGGTCAGTCGAGAAGCCCCTGGCGATGTTGCGGTCGTCGTGAGAGCGGTCGTAGATGGCCTGCTGGCTGGTGGTGGTGGTTGTGGGAAGTGGAGGCGAGTTTTTTTCTCTTTTTCGCAGAACGCTGAGATTAGGTAAGCCGAGGGCATAGTAAGCGAGTCACGTGGTGCCGCCTTTAAACTCCGACGAGGAACGACATGTAAACGTTGTATAGACATGGAATGCACCAGCACCAGCATATAGACATTGGTATAGAGCAATGTCTGCGGTGAAATCCTACCACGGCCTTTGCAGGATGATTTGACCCAATGCAATTGACTCATGTGGCCTTCCTTTGGTCCTGCTGCTTGTCGTGGCCAGTATGGCCGAATTATCACAACACGAAGCTAGCATCATCGAATCAAATCCTCTAGCCTCCCTTGATCGTGTACGTGGTCTATTGCAGGAGGCAGAGCAGGTTTACGAATCGCGCATAACTTCTTATAATGGCTCCGCAGATGGTCTGGATCTGCTTTATCGAAAGACGATATCAAGGCTGTTTACTGCGCTTCAAGGCGAGGAAGCGGCCTTCAATCTTCACTCGCGAACTGCGGACCAAACCGTCGATTCTGAGCTAGCAGAATTAAAAGGGAAACAACTTCAGCCTGGTCATTTCAACTACAGTCAATATCGACCTCTAGTTCAGCTCGTCATTCAGAGAGCACTTGACACTGAAATCTGGGAAGCAGTCTATACTCTCCTTGACGCAATCTCACCAACGAGGACACCGCCGAGTATACCTCTGCCGTTCTATGGCATGCCAGCCAGATTTCTATCATCATCGTCATCATCGTCATCATCATGGTCGAGAGTGTCAGAACAAACTCATGAGCTTGTGGAAGCAAGGCTCTTTGAAGAAATCCGAGAGTGCACCCACAAAGATGTCGAGGGGTTTTTCTCAAAATACTTCGAGGGGAAAGACTGGAACGCGCAGGCGGAAGCTGTATCTCGTCGCATGCTCGACCCTGGGGATGATAGTGGGTGGCCTAGCTTCCCAAACCCGCCATCAGAGGCAGAAGCCCTAGACTGGTGGTTTGGATTTCAGGATAGGTTCCTCTCAGACGCACGAAGTGTATACTTCTCTACATCAAGCAAGGGTGATCTCACCGGCTCTGGGGCAGACCGTCAAGTTGATCTCCTTGTAAGAGCCCGAGGCACGAGCAATATCGGAGAGAAACACAACTGGAAGGATATCCGGGTGGTCGGTAAACTGAAACGGGCCGAGGCCGAGATCGGGACCAAAAAGACGTTATTACAGATGGCTAGCTATGTGCGGGAGGTCTTCATTGCCCAGCCAACGCGTCGGTTTGTCCACGCATTCATCGTCTGCGGTCTCAAAGCGGAGGCGTGGATATTTGATCGCTCGGGTCCCTTTAGCTCAGGCTCTTATAATATCCATGAAGATCCAAAGCGGTTTTTCCTCATGGTTGTGGGCTACACAATGATGAGCGACGAGGAGCTAGGGTTGGATACCTTTATAACGCAACGCGACGATGGTGCCAATACAATCACTACTAAAGGGGCCAAAGGTGGAGAAATAGTTATACACCTAGATCCGATGCCACTCTATTCCCGGTGTGCTATTGTGGGTCGGGGGACTACATCCTTTCTCGCAAATATCGACGATAAGGTGCAAGGTGTGGCCAAGTTCTCGTGGACGTCGGACAAGCGTGCAGCAGAAAAGGATCTTCTTGCCCTGGCCTATGAAAGAGGTATTAAGGGGGTTGCGGAGATTGTTGGGTATCACGATATCACCAGCATTGCTGAACTTCGGGGTGATTTGGCCTTTGAAAAGCGCCACGCCTTTCGAAGCGCACCCTCTAGCGCGAGATCCTCTTTCAGCCAATATCATTCTAAATCTCAGTCACAGTCATCCACTCAGCTTCGTCTAAGTGCCAGCGAAAAGCCAACGAGCAGGAAGCGCAGGTCTCCTGATAAAGAGACGCCGTCCAAACGATCTCGCCTGAACAGCCAGCTGTCAAAAAACGACCCGCAAGAAACTAAGCTAGAAACCGAGCTACCCTTTTCTATTCGGTCAATGCATTCGCCAAGCCACTTTGATGGGAATAGCCAGGAGCGAGAGCCGTATGATAACCGCATCCTCCGATGTTTAGTGACCTCGCCCGCTGGCCGGCCAATCTACGAGTATGATTCGCCTATGGAACTGCTTATGGCGTTTCGCGATGCTATAAGAGCGCATCGATCCCTTTATCTAAAGGGTAATATTTTACACCAAGATATTTCAGAAAATAATATAATTATAACTAATCCGGAAAGTGCGGATGGTAATTTTGGTATGCTAATTGATCTTGATCTTGCTAAGGAGATGAGTAGTGGGCAAGGAGGGGCACGTCATCAGACTGGCACAATGGAGTTTATGGCAATCGAGGTGCTACGCGGCATTGACCATACATATCGTCATGATCTTGAGTCATTTCTCTACGTGTTCATATGGCAGTGTGCCCGTAACGGGTGGGAGCGTTTCAACCGGCGGAAAGGAAAGCCAAGACATAGTCTGCTGGATGAATGGCACATTGAAGACTATCTGCTGGTTGCTGGTAGGAAGTCAGGTCATATTGGAGCTCAAATTTTTGAGTATCTCTTAGATGAGATGCCCCCAGAGCTGGAGTGCGTCAAGCCTCTATGCAGAATACTACGGCAAATCCTATTTCCTATCCGCAAAAACGATATCTTCACCGGGACGCCGATGAAGCCGGAGACACTCTACGACCCGATCATCCAGGCGTTTGATAATGCCATTGAAAACATCGGGTAATGGGGAAATATACTTTCGAAATTACACAGCATTGATTTCATTCTTAACCCTTCACTCGAAATGACGCAGTCGCTGTGGACAAGAAAATGACTGGTCATAGAGACTTGGTCCTTCACCTGCGTTGCTTCAAAGCTTCACCTCTATCCACCAATAGACATGTCTCAGGCATTTCCTATACCCATCGCTCGGTTGCTACTGCTTGCAAAAACACCGGCAGAAATGCGACTGTTCTGTATTTTTAGCTTCTAAATAATACCCAGTTTTGTATTGTATACCCAAGCCATAGAATTTTATTGAAATGTTACTTAAACACCATCACTACTTCATTAAACTAAGCTTATTTCATACCCAAGCACCGGCGCCAAGGTATCAGATACTAGGGATGAGCAAGCCGTCTATCTCAGATGGTTAAATAGGTGGAATAAACTGGCTGCGTTTCTCTATTCCACAAGCCACCTAGGCTTAAGGTTTAGTTGATTTTATACCAGCCGCCCGAGCAGAATATGTTGATACTTAGGTAGGCCTGGGTGGCCGACGTTAGTAACTGGTATGTAGAGTGGTGGTGGTGCTTAATATCAAACAGCGGTATTTTAGCAATATCTGGTGAATTAAATATAGTAGTAAAACAAAATCTAATCCCAAATACGGGATCTTACTCTGTACAGTTAAGCAGTGTAGAACCGTGGCATTTTAGTAAATATTTTTGCCAGCAGTAGCATCCGAGTAATGGGCACATTTCTTACCACAGCTCAGAAATCGAAGTCCGGAGTAATAGAGGAACAGCCCTCTTTCCATGGCTCTATGGCATTAAGGAGCATTCCCGTGATATATCTGCGCATGTATACCTCTATGGACAGCGGTCTTTTCGAGGGCTATGTATGGCCAAGTGAATGTACAAATACAGGGTGCGCCTTTTGGCTGACAGCTTAGGCCCAATAAGACTGGTCTAAGACCGGTTCCGTGGCAAAGGTCGCCTCATCTCCCAGAGTAACTAGGCCGTTATTAACCCCTAAGTTTGAGAAATGGATGATCTATCAGTTCGCGAGCTGTCTTCCTCTTCTCTGGGAGCCAGATGAGCATATCTCGAATAAAAGTTAGAAATGCCTCTCGATCCTTCTCTTCGAGGAACGGAATTGTATCCTCTAAACTTCTTGACGGGATCAATTCATTATAGCAGAATTTACCTTCAACACAGTCAGTATATCAGATATCAGGTATTGAGGTGGGAGAAAGTTGATTACTAACCTTCTGCGTTGAAGAACGGCCCACCAAAGAATTCTAGAGCATTGTTGCAGAGTGCTCCAGTCTCGTTCATGACAGGCTGGGGCCAGTTATGCTCTGACATCGCCTTTGATTTCGCGAGCAATTCCCCTGGGGGAGGGCCGAGTAACGCAATCATTTCCGCTAGGTGTGACTTTGCGTCGTATTGACCGTTTGTATCACGTACCTGCTGGAACAACTCCTTATTCCCAAGGATATTCCACAACTTCCCAAAGAGGATCGTTAGCCTTAAGCTCAAGTCATCGATTGTAACCAAAACCAAGGGAAACAAATGTTCTTCTTACCAGCACACCAAAATTCCAAATATCTGCCTTGAAATCCCAACCACAACCAAGAATTACCTCGGGAGCACGGTAATAGTCTGGCTGGATAGGATAGGTGCCCAATTGCTCTCCCACCATTCCATTCAGGGTAGATGGTCTGTCCAGTCTTGTTGCGAGCCCGAAATCGGCTATTTGGGGAATCATATTCTTGATTTCTCTCCCGGCAAGAGCACCAAAGTCAATATGGCAGCGGTAGATAGTCCGACCACTCTCGTTATCAACCTTGCATTGCATCGGTTGTTGCCGTTTAATGAAGTTGGTAAGAGTGCTTTCGTTTTCAAAGCTCATCAGGATATTCCCCAGCTTCAGATCTGGCAGGTAGATTAGATCCTTAGGTTCTAGAATAGACAATGGAGAACGGGCGTCAAGAACTCACCTGTGTGGACAACTTTGCACTCTGAGTGAAGATGATCAAGACCAACAAGGAGGAAATAGATATAAGCCTTCGCAATGGGGAGAGGAAGTTTGCGATTAACAAAACGCCTCTGTAAGATCCAGAGAGGCTCTCTCATCGGCTCGTACACCAGGCACATGTGCTTTCCTTTAGGACCAGTTACCTCGAAGTCATCCAGGCATGTCCGTAGAATTACACGGCCGCGATGCTCCGACTGCTGCCCTGTGATATGGTTTTCAATCTCCTTCTCATGGCATGCATCGTCAGCGTTGTTACTGTTAATTATTTTTAAGGCCAATGTTTTTTCAGATTGCCATTTGAGCCTTAGTCGTGATTAGTTCTCGTCGATATAAAATAGGTACGCGTGAGTAGATACCTAGAAACGTCTCGCGCGAGCCACACGGTCGACTGTGATCCCCATCCGATTTTGACAAGTAGTTGAAACTTCTTAGCGAGTACTTCCCCCGGCTTTGCAGGGTAGAAAGATGCTGACCCGTAGTCAGAACAGGCCTCTTCGTCAACGAGCTCCTGTTGAGGGATTGGCGGCCCCGAGTTGGACGGTAGCTGCCAGAGCGATTTTTTGGCAAAGGAGAACAGAGTACGTCTCGGTGTCAGCAGTCGAAGAGGTAACATCAGGCCGTCCAAATGTGATATCTTGGGAACAAACACAAGAGGAAGCTGACCTCGCACTTGGCTAGTTACACCCAAGAAAAGAGGCTGCGATAGCTTTTAAATACTTATAACTGTTGATCGAGCTCAACTCCGGCCGTGGCGGAGAAACAGCCTCTTTACGACATCGGTCCGTTTCGATCACGCAAGAGAAACGAAGACACACAGTTGAATGTGTATGTTTCCGACAAACATTTCAAGATTGACCTCTCTACTGCGAACTTCGAAAGCTCTCCTGTCCTACTTGCGAATATCTCGAGCATCTCCGGCGTCTAGATCCAGAATATATCCCCGACGACACAGATGAAGATGGAGAGTTCGAAGATCCCCTTGACCAAATGCATGATTGGATCTTGCAACCTTTTCTACCAATTTTCCGCAACCTTACTCCCCTAGACCGGAGCCGAAAGTACAGCCTCGAGGACTGCCTGTTCAGAAGAATTCCACTATACCGTGCAAGTGGAGGAGGGAAGTGTAGTCCCTGTTTACCTGGGCAACCCCAAATCCCAGTTTCTTCAAGATTGTCTATAGAGGTGGTGCGAGTATCACTCTGAAGGAGCTTCTTGCCTACTCAAAGATACATGCGGCTGAATTTGATGCTACAGTTCGCACGTCAGACATGTTATGGGACTGCTCCTATCATATATTGACTGCCGTGGAGCTACACTCCATTGCGTCGATGGACGCGATCCCAAGTATTCCAAGCTTCGACAAAGATGGTTCGACCAACTTTCGGACCTGCTGAAACGCCTCCATTCACATGGCATCGTATTGGGGGCAGCCAACGTGCTGATTGACGCCAACGACGACGAATATCTGGTTGATTTTGGAGGAGGTTATACTCCAGGCCGGGTCGAGAAGAAAACGGCCAACTCGATCGCCGGAGATCTCCAGGGACTCGAAAGCATTAAGCGGCATCTCTTTTGCCTAAACTCAGGAACTTCCTTTTATATAAACCGATTCGGTGGATACTAAACTTCGATTTTTATGTAAACGGCGAGTGTGCTAGCCAGTGAGATCACGGCTGTCCGCTCTCTGGACGGCAAAGGAGGACGACCTGCGAGCTGTGCTATGTATAGCTCTCCCTGCCGCCACGCAGGCACAAGCGAGAAAGAGGGCATAAGCAGCGCTCGGAGTAACCGTAACAGCAGCATCCAGCGTACAGAGTACAGCAGTCAAGCCGTGCCAGTCGAGGACGAAAAACGCGCCCCCCTCCCTATCCCTATCCCTCGCTCCCATCTTCCGTCTTCCGTCTCCCGTCTCCTATCTCTTGATCTCCATCTCTCGACCCGTATTGCCTGCATCCTAGTTTAGTCGTGTTAGAGGATTGATGTGCGTATCCGCCCCTAAGACGGCCTCCAAGTGCCTCCAGACGGCCCCAGAGACCAACGAGACCAGCCCCTAGAACCCCTAGAACCCCTTGCGATCGTGTCTGTAATGCAAGTGGTTGCGCCTTGTCGATCGCGCCGTTGGAAGAGAGGAAGAAGCCGTAATACTGTTACATTACGCATAATATAACGTAACATCGGAATACTAGACCAGACAGGAGATAGTCGAAGGTAAGGAAGAATAAGATGAACGACGAGATAAGATGAGAGTAAGATGAGAGTGATAATAGAGAGAACAAGACTAGAGTAACAACTAGAGAGTAGAGAAGAATAAGACGAGAGTAGAGAGTACTCCGTAGAGAGAGTGTGTAGTGTGTAGGATGTAGGTATAGGCTAGCGTATCGGCGTGACCGTACAAGCAGCCCTTCCCATCTTGGCCTCCTCTCGCTCTTCTCCCTTCTCTTCTCCCTTCCCATCCCCGTCTCTCTCGTCCACCACCACACGACCACCACAGCTGCCACCGTTGTCACCGACGCTGCCACGACCAGGAAGCACTCAGGCCCCTACGACTGCCCGTCTCCCTCTCCCGGCCGACGCGAGGACCCAATCGTCCAACCCGGCCATCGTCCGCCGTCGACCGTCGACGGTGCGCATCGCGACACCTCTCTTCCAGCCTCTCTCACAATGCCACCAGCCTACGAACTGCGATCCGGGGGCGACGGACGAAGGACACGACAGAACCTGGCAGAGCTCAAGCTGCGCCGTCTCGCCGAGGTCAACATACGGCTCAAGGAGGATCTCGACAGGCCGCGTATAAAAGTTGCCGAAGCGTCCATCTCGTGCGTCTCCCATATCATACACCCATATCCTACATACCTATACATACATACACGTATATATATATCAACGGACTTGGATCTTGAGCTAACAACCTCCAGGCTTATAAACTACTGCAACAACACAAAGGATTTCATGGTGCCGTCTGTATGGGGACAGGTAGGCTATTACTCCTCTTTTACGCCGCTCCCTGTATCTAACCACCGTTCTGCCTAGGTCGATAAACGCGATGACCCCTATGCGCCACAGCAGTCAGGAGGGTGCTGCATAGTGATGTGATGGGATGAGACTGAAGATATGAAATAAAAACCTGAACTCGATGTGAAGGGCGCACCCAACGCACTACTACCAGCACAGCAACAGCAACAGCAAAAACAACAACAGCGATACCATCTATACCCATTGATATCTCCTCTTCATATATCTGTCCTCCAATACAACTGCTAATTCATTGTCAATCCGCCATTACAACCTACCCGACCGCCGTACATGCTTGATAATATCTAATTCACCCACCACTCTCACCACTTCCGCCGCCGCCACTAAATGACTCAAACCATCACGATCTCCTTATTTTCATGTCTATACATAACTACGATCTACCTTCTTGGCTTGGTTCTGCCTTACACTACCGTTTTCTTGGAATAGGGATTGGAATGGATGGATGACATTTATCATGACATGCCTCTTCCTCCGTCGACGGGCTATACCTCCTCCTCCTCCCCTTCTTCGCCTTCCTCTTCTTCTTCTCCCACCTACTCTTGCTGTGGATACGGCTCAAAATCATCACCCTTCCGCTTCTCTTTTCTCGTTTAGTTAGCTTGTATCCGGCCCTAATAAGTCGCCCGTCTCGACTTCGCCCTCGACCTTGACCTTGACCTTTCTCCGGCCTTGACCTGGTTTATTCTCTATTGCTTGTATTTGCCTTTTGCCTCTTCTTTTCTATTTCTATCTCTGCTTCTGCCTTCTCTCTCTCCTTGCCAGTGCCTTCTTTTCCTAAAATGGCTTTCCTACGTCTGTCTATCTCTTTCCTATATCAGCTTGCTTCTGTTTGTTTCCTCTAGTCATGTCCCCATGTCTTCTCTCTCTCTCTCTCTGTCTCTATTTTCTTTGTCTGCTACTCCCTTGACCCGCATTTACTTTACCTCAAGAGCTGGAATAAGCATAGGATAAACACCGGACCAGACCAGATCTGAAATTTATTTCCATATCTCTTTCATTTCCTTTTTTCCCTTTCCGTTTCCGTTTCCTTTTCCTTTTCCTTTCATCTCCTAGTAGCCCCGTTTCCTTCCCTTCCCCTCCCCGTCAGATCCCGTTCAACGTTCCATGTAAAATAGAACCCTCTGGGAGAAGCAACACGTCCAACAATAAAATCATAATACCTGTTTACTTGCATGCGCATACTAGGAACCAGGGTCATAAACAACTAATAGATTAGAGATAAAGAGCCCGCCCCGATTACTAGATCCCGGTAGAAGTGGGCTAAGTCGGCGGCACCGTTTGCTGGCCAAGCACCGAGTATTTGTGATCTATAACATATTCCTGCAGTTTAAGCACCCGCCGTTGTGGCCGCCGTTATATACGTGGGCCAGGCTTGACGTATCTGATTTTACCTGTTTGTCAGCTTCATGCAGCGCATTCCTGTATAATAGCTCTTCCATTATAGATTGGCGTAGATCATGGATGAGATGCAGAGGCGAGATGAGATGAGATGAGATCCCAAGCTTAACATCCTGTACTCTGATACATACATACTTGCATTGCATGAACTCAGCCTCGTTGGCCATACACCATCCCACTCTCCAGACGCATCCGACGACATCGCATCTTGCAATAATACGGACACATCAAGATCTACGCGAGATAGCCAATATGACGGACCCAGCAGAGGAAAAGGAACAGCAACAGGAGCAAGAACAGTCCATAACACCCCTCCAAACGCTGGAGGACCCTCTGATATCAGAATCCAGCGCCAGCGCACCTGTCAACCTGCCCCGCATCACAATCACATATTGCACACAATGTAAATGGATGCTTCGAGCTGCCTATGTACGCCTCCAATATACATGCATACATATACCTATAATAGATATACGTGGCCATACTAACTTCCGCAGTTCGCTCAAGAATTACTCTCCACCTTCTCAACAGATCTAGGCGAAGTATCTCTCATCCCATCGACGGGCGGAACATTCACTGTCTGCATACTATATGCCTCCAACGTGAATTTCACCACTCACACAAGCACGCTGTGGGATCGGAAAGTCAACGGGGGGTTTCCTGGTACGTCTATCCATCGTTCACTTTCATATTCCCCTCTACGGCGGCGTGGCGTGGCGTTGGACGTTGCAGATACGTATGTGGAGGAGGTATTTATGAGATGTAGTCAAAATAGCCGAACTAACCTTGCTTAAAGAGACGAAACAGCTCAAAGCCCTGGTAAGGGATATTATTGATCCGTCGAGGGATTTAGGGCATATCGATCGTGCTTTGAAGGGGCGGGTTGGTGGTGGCGGCAGCGGCAGCGGCGGGGGGGATGGTCAGGAACAGGTGCAGGTGCAGGGCCAGGGACAAGGTCAGGGCCAGGGACAGGCCGACGATAGCGAGTCGAAGGGGTGTGAAGAGTGTTAAATAGAAGTATAACCATAACCATGACTGAGTGGGGTGGTTGACGAAACCGAGGGCAGATCAGCAATGTCATATCTATGAGTAATGGGAATTTAAAAAAAAAATGGGTTACTTCGTATACGTATATGGGTTGAAGAATGGATGGCAGGTGTTCAGCTGACTATGGGTTGAAACGCTCATGTTTTAACTTGATTTGAATTCAATTGATTCGGATCTTCAGTAATTGTCAGGGCTATATATGCTGTACTAACACGCGATGGCCCATGTGGCGGCCAAATAACCGTCCTAACACGCATGATACATGGATAACGGTGACGGATGGAAGAAAGGATGAAAGGAAAAAGGACGAGTGAGGTGGTATGGCATGGCGGGCCGTGTAGAGCAAACAAGAGTAAGGCGTAAGGTATGGAGAGTAGGATGCAATCGAGTAAGGATGTAGGCGTAAAGAGTAGAGTGGACGGATAGGTAGAAGGGAGGAGGTAGCATGTTAGTGGCAGAAAATAAGGGACCAGGCCCTAGATAGATAGATAGATATATAGATAAAAGTGCGGACGAGAAGAGTAGAAGATATAAAAGATAAAAAGACGGAACAAAGAAAAGTAAGCTGCGTCATGGTAGAGTAGAGGTAGAGGTAAAAAAAAAGTAAAAGGTAGAAATGGATGAGAAATGAAATATCTAACTCGCTTCGTAAGAAAATCAACGCAAGGAAACTTGACGGAAGACAGGACAAGACGAGACCATAACCATAGCCTTTGCATTCTGCATGTATGCATTGCAAGTCATGAATGGAACGCCAAAACAATCACGAACAACAACAAAAGCAGAAGAAGACAAACGAACTCACGTACTGGAGCAGGCAGGTTGAAACAAAAACATTTATACGCCGAGACCCCCAGACCGACCGGGACCAGGAAAAAAAAAGAAAACCGTGTTTTTGAATTGAAAGGAGACAGAAGAGGAAAGATGCAGTATGCAGGATGGATGGATGCAGGTATTGGTAATGAACGGATGGGAGATGCGAATGGAATGTGGAATATACATGTGGTTCAAAGCAGATATCACTATTCTAATAATGATCTGATGTGCTCACCATGCTCGATACCGATGGCGTAGTCGACGGGGCAGAGTCTGACTGAGGTGGGGAATGCGGGTGTCCTGGGCCCTGGGGTTTTGAACGGCGCCAGAAGGCAAGGCGGAGCCGGGACCGGCGTCGAGGTATCGTTGCATTATTGGGCGGTAGGGACGAGAGATGAGCGTTATTTGCATTGTTATCGAATGAGGGAATGCATGGAGGTAATGGTGGGCTAGAAGGTGTTGAGCGAGGATGACTTGTTGGACCACGTCGGCCGCGTGTGTTGTGGCCGTTGTTATGTACGGTAGGTGTCGATTGGGCAGATTTCGTATATGATAGGCCGGCTGGGTGGTTATTACTGCCGTTGTTGTTGTTGTTGCTGCTGCTATTATTGTTGTCTTTGTTTATGAGACTTTTCTCGAACAGACCACTCATGAACTTCGACCGTCTCTCGCCCGGCTGGCGGGTTGGGCTGCTGTTGCTACTGGCGGCATGATCATACCAGTGCTGAGGATGGTAGGCGTCCGCTCCGTCTGTCGGGGGTAACGCGTTGACTGGACATGGAAGGTTTTCGTCAGCAAACATACCCTGGCATGGAATCTCATGTTCATGTTCATGATCATCATTCGGTGCAAGGCTAGAGGTATAGCTGCTAGCAGTGCTGACACCGCCAGCAGCAATGCCATCTAGTCCCGTATGTTCACGATCACGATCAGGAGCATGCGTCCCCGATTTAAAGTTGAGGTGTCGGTATAACTGACAGTTACCATCCTTTTCATCAAAACTGCTTCCTGCACTGATAACACTGCTTGCCTGGGTAGTGGAAGAGAGCGGAGTAATTAGCGTATTGTTCGTATAGGTGCTTGCGCTTTGGGTGCGTACTCCACCGCCACAACCACTGCCTCCGCTTCCAGAGTCAATTGTGCGAGTTGTATTTGGGACCGACGATCGGCCTGCTGAGCGTTGCGATTGACGATTGACGTGATTTAAACCGTTGATAGAGGTGACGTTTGTCGATGTTGTCGGGGGTATCTGCACGTTCGTGTCACCCTCACCGTCAAGTTGCGGTGGAGAGCGAATGGGTGACTGCGGCGGTGAGCGATGTTGAATGGTATATCCCATGGACGCCGGGCCTTCCTCTACCAGCCGCTTCCTATATTGTCTCCATGTTGTGTCTGGACTCTGACAGCGTGGTGTGCTGCAGTTCTGGGCCCTGTGGGACGCCAGCTCTTCCTCGTGGTCGATAAGTTTACCCCATATGAACCTGTTGCGTCGTATGCTGTTGGCGGCAAAGGCCATATCGGGAAGGATGTCGGTTACTCCGTCGAATAAGGGAAGACAGAAGATGTCCATGAAGCCAACTTGGCCCTTTGCTTTCTTGATAAAGTTGCCTAGCTCGGGAGGACCACCAAACAGGGCCGTCTCTATGCCGATGTTTACTTCCATTTCTCCTTGGTTAGCAAATTCCTGCAGTAGGACGTCGGTCCATTGTTCCGCAACGTTAAATGGGCGTGCCTGAGCGAGTTAGTTTACCATTTTCCATTCCTCGGGGGAGGGAGGGAAGGATATACGTACCACGTTACTGATGTCCGCACACTTGATGACCAAGGCACAGAGCAGGACGCGATACTCCCTGATATCCTTCTCCGCCCAGTCGTCCATCTTCCTCCCGTCAGCCTGGAACCTACCCCTGATCTTCCCTAGCTCGTCAATAAAGCGATTGTGAATACCCATATCAGTAGCCAATATGGAGCTGATCATGAGCGTCCGCAGCTCGGTATCCTGGAAAACACTCGGCCAGTGACGGCGTAATATTTGCGAGTAAGCTGCACAATGAAAGGCTTCAAGAACTGATCTGTCATTATATAGCTGGGCAAGCGGGGCGTTGAGTTTGACGAGGAACATGTTGTTGACTCCGGGATGGCCTACGTCGTGACCGAGAGCTGTGACGAGGAGGGTGAGAGCATCAAAGGGGGTTAGGAGGCCGGAGACTCCTGTTCCGGAAGCGCAGTGTTCGGATCCATGGGGGAAAGGCGGAAGTGTACCTATGCGTACGAGGATGTGGAAGGTTGATTGGAGAACATCGACGGCGTGACGGAAGTTGTGGTAGAGTATGAAGGAGTTATATGCCGCACGACAAGAAAGTACGAATTCTCGTAGGTCCTCTATGTCACCGTTAGAAGAGAGAGGGCTTAAGGAGAAGGATGAGAGACGTACCGCGACTGATCCTCCAACGCTTCAACTCGGGCATGATAAAAGCATGTTCAAACATCAAACAAGAAGCATAACAAAGTTCATCATCTGTAAAGTCATGAGCACAGAAATGCCATTCTGCAATTGCAGCCTTGACTTCCTCCTTGCGTTCATCCGATACGCACACGTCGCTGATCAACGAGTCGTCCAGCGCTTCTTCAGGGTTACATATCCTCTTCATCAGTTTCGAGACCCTAAAGCCGTCAGCTCGCCGATACAAGCAAAGGAAGGAATGAAAGAAAGAAAGAAAAACATACATGGCCTCTCGTAAATATGCATACGGTCTCTCATCATCGCCGGTCGTGCTGACGCCTACCCACGAATACTTTCTCATCTTCTGACCGGACATTGCCAGGAACCGACTATTCTCCTTCAGCGCCGCTTTACGTATCCGATACGCATGGGTGAGCAGCCCGTGGACTCTGGTCTGACCGATAGGCGACACCAAGACGTCCACGGCACCTGCGTCTAAACATCTATATATCTGACGGTCATCTGGCCGTTTCGAGCTTGACTTTGTTGACTGGCTGCTTTCGACATGTCTGCCACTCCGCAGCGTATGCGTGGAGGTAGACGACTGAGGCTGTACATTTCTCAAAATGGCGACTGGAATGATGGCGTGTGGTGTTTCGCGGGCCTGTATATCCGCCGAAAAGCGCGAGAGGAGATGGAGGCCGAACAGCTCTTCTGACTCGGATGAGAAGGCCAGACTGCGTCTGGAGGTGGATGTGGACGGAGAGATGGCAGAGGATTGCTGCTGCGGTGACTGCTGTGACTGTGGGAGAGGTGTGAGATTGAGCGACGAGCGACGGTTGTGTGATGACTCCGCATCCCCGGACACGGCGATGTCGATGAAGGCGAGGACGGGCACGATATCAGCCTCGGCGTCGCGGACACGGTCGGGGGTCATCGAGTCACTCAACTCGGCGACCTTGGTAGCGAACGATATCCCCGAGTTGCATATATACACTGTTTTTGTTAGATCACTGTCCGCAAGAGAAGAAGAAGAAGAAAAAAGCGACTGACCCTGCCTGGATATGCTGAGGATGCGAGCCACGTTGACGGCCAGCTCAGTCGACTCCGTCAGGCTCTGCTGGCCGTCCTTATCTACCCAGCGCTCCCTCTCGACCCTGTCGTCCAGGTAGACGGCCCAACACATGCCTGGATCCATCGTCCGTGTCTATGGCTATGAAAGGTGAGGCGTGGGAGTCGCCTGGTGAGCGTGTGTCTGAGGGCATCCAAGTGTGATCCTCGACAGTGGGTGTTTCGTCTTCAAAGTGAGAGAGAGAAGTGAAAAGGAGAGGGAGAGAGGGAGAGAATGGCGAGTGTGAAGTGTTCGATCAGTCCCGATGTGGAAGGCGTGACAGGCCACACGACATGTCACTACCACGACCACCGACTCTGCCTTTCACTCTTCCTCTGCGATCTCTCTGCCCTGCGTCTCTCTGCCTCTCTGCCGCCCTGCTCCGATGTGTTCGTGTGTCTCGCGAGCGTCGGTGGTGGGGTTCAATTAGGCTGGACTCGACCCAGGAGGCCACAGGTGGTGGATATCAGGATCTCGATCGATCCCGAGTCCCCGATCGAATGCGCGCAGGACGGACGGCGAGAGAACCCAAGACGCTGCAGACGCTGGCGACGGCGACGGAGACGGAGACTGCTGAGGCACAGGACTGCGAGAACGGCTGGCCGATTGAGAAGAGTGTGCGTGAGAGCGCGAGACTATGTAAGCGTCGGGGAAGTGGATAGCGCACCCTTGCCGACCAGGTTCCGCGCTCGTAGTACGGAGTTCTCCGTGGTGAGGATGTCGAGTAGAGGATGTCGAGTAAAGGATGTCGAGTAGAGAGTAAGGTAGAGAGTAAGGTAGAGAGTAGAGAGAGAGAGAGAGTAGAGAGAGGCAAGAGAAGGATAGAGTAAGGGTAGAGGTCTAAGGGTAAGCAGGAGGTGAGGCAAGTCTCCGGGCGCCAAGGCCTCGCGAACCTCATCGCAGGCTTCCAGAAGGAGTCGCAGAAGGCCAAGCGACGTATCCGTTTTACCCTCGATACTCGCCTATTTCCTAGCCCTGCTACGGTATGATACAGGGACGGTACGGCCTCGCTTAAGCCCTTCAACCGTCCAGTCTTCTTCTCTCTCTCCTTCTTCTGTCTGACTCGCTGTATAGGCTATTGTGTCCTGATAGCGCCGCTGCTAGTTGTTCGTATTCCCGCCTGCGATCTTGCGCGGCCTTCCAGAAGCCCCCGGGCCTCGCTGCTAGGCCAGAAGCAGCGTCCCTGCCGGCCTGATCAGCCCTGGCTAGCTGGCTCCCGGGGCGCTTGCACTGCACCAACACGGCATAGCCCTCCACCACCTCTACGACGGATACAAGAGACAAAGACAGAGAGAGACAGGGAGGGAGAGACAGACGGCGAGACCGAGTTGATCACCGCGGAAGGCGTCTTTAGTCGCGGGAGTCGGCGATCGTACCGGTCTCGAGAGAGAAAGGACAACGGCCAACGGCGTCGTATCCTCCCTACACTCCTGTTCTTCCCCGGCGGCTCCATCGACACGAGCCTCTCCAGCGATCTATCTCACCCTTGACCGGAGCCGAGGTCGCTCTCTTTCTCTTTCTATTATTTACTTACTGCTGTCCCGTCTTCCCCACGCCACCCCATACTCTCTCTGGCAAGGAACATGAAACACGAAACAGGGCAGGGCCTGCGTGGCGTGATAGTCAACAGGAAGAAGTGTAGACTATAGGCAGGAAAAGAGACAGTCGAGGGCGTTGGACATGGCGTCCGCTATACTCCATCAGGGAAGCCAGCGCCGTGCTCGATCGTCCAGGGCTGAACTCGGATCGACAGTCTGCACCCTTTCTTTATTCTCATCCCTATGAACTGATCTACGGCGTATCGACAACCTTGACTTTCCCAGCTTCCAGGGACACCTTCGACCTTCTCCCGGTTCAGCGGTGATGCGGGGTTAAGGTTCCGAGGGAAATATATAAAGAAAAATATACAGACAGGGCAGGGCCTCGATTAAGGCTGGGAGGTATCGACATGGGCCATGGGAGTATTTTTGGGGATGTTGTGCATGGGGGCTGCGTAGGAAGCCGACCCGATGCTACACCACTACCTGCATACTTACTTAGGTGGCCGATGGAAACGTCTACCTGGTTACAGTTTACGGTACATGTGAGTTCCTAGTCTTTGACTTCCAGTTAGCATTCGTCCGGTCAAGCAGGTGAGTGGTCAAGTGTAACAGGTGAAACAGTCAAAAAGAGGCGTCATTAAAAAATTAGAGTGTTGTTGCGTTTGTAATCTTCAAGGGAACCCAGGCGGGTCACTCGGGGTTAAAAAATGTTTAATCCTTCGCCAGGAGCGTGGGCGTGCTCCGTACGGGGGCATGCAGGGAGAGAAAAGAGAGTACGGAGTAATAGCTTACCATGATTAAGGGAGTGGTTCCGTCGGGACGGACGCGGGCGGACACTAGTTAGTTGTGGCTAGAGTTGGCAGTGAAGGGTGTGTATTCACTAGCGACATGGCCGGGTAAGGTAGGTCATAGATACATGATATTTTCATATCCCATAACGACGTCAGTTTAACCGAACAAATCACCGAATCCTAGTTCATCGTTAGTATAGTCATTATAGTGGTCATGATCATCGATATACTTACCACCTTCAGCATCACTGTCCTCTTCCTCGGACTCCTCCTTGGCCTCCTCCTTGGGCTTGTCGTCTCCTCCCTTGGTCTCGGTGACGGCAGGGCCAGCAGAAGCATAGGAGTCAGGGTTGGCAATGCGGTCCTTCAGCTGCTCAATAGCCTCCCAGCTATAATCAGTCTCGACACCAATAGCCAAACACTTCTTGTAAGTGTTGACAATGGAGTGGATGACACTGGGCATAGTAGGGAAGTTGGCCGCCAAGGACACACAGGCAATAGTGTTGATGGCGGACTGGAAGACGCTAAGGAGGTGGTCTTCCTCGATATCCAACACGCTGGAGTCGAACGTCTGCCCGTTGTCGTAGATTTGGGCGACGGACATACCGTACGTGAAGGGAGAGATGTTCAACATGTTGAGGAGGGTGGCTTCGGATGGGCCGACCTTGGTGGTTGCCTCAACGAGACGGAGCTCACTGGTGATTTCAATGGTACCACGAGCAATCTTGGTAGGGACACCGAGAGCCTGGAAGAAAGAGGTCTTGCCGGGTTCCATACCGGTGTTACCGGCTGGGATGAAGACGTCGACGGGGGCAATGGCACCAGCACGGGCGGGAGCAGCCACACGGTTGGAGAGAATCTTCTCACGAACCATCTTCAAGTCCTCGTTGGTGAAGATGAAGCCGACATTGCCTGTCATCAATTAGCATCATGTTCCTTTTTCCTCCGACAATGTTTGTCAATGCATACCTTTGACGAATGGCAAGAGACGTTCGTACTCTGGGTTGTCGCCAATGAAGCCTTTAAGGGCACGACGAACCTGCGCCAATTAGCATTCCAGCCATCAATCCATCAATTCATCTCAGCAGCACACTTACCATAGTGTTCTTTCCCATCAAGACGACACCCTCTCCACGGAGAGCGAGACGGATCTCGTGCATCTGCTGGGAGCTGACATTGTCGACGTTGACGATGAAGATCGAATGGTACTCTTCGAGAAGGGCCTTGAGCTTATCAAAGTAAGCGGCCTTAGCTTCAGATCTGCCCCCCATGTCTTCTTATGTGTATGAAGAGAGGATATTTAAGGGCAAATGGTCGTTGTTGTGAGATTCGGAGGTTGGTGATGGTGTTTGTGTTTTTTCCTTTCTTCCTCCTCGATTTTCGTTTTTCGACTTTTTGTGGTTTTTCGCTAAAAACGCTAGTGAGTCACGTGATGCATGATATCAACATCCATTTGGAGACGATGAAGAAAGGACGAAGATAGAAAGTTGACTGCTAGTGCTGGATGTGTAAGTATATTCTGCATTTGGTTCGAGGATAGATGTGTTAACGGTGTTTATTAGGTATCTTTACGGAGGTCTAACAGACTCCCGACCTCCATCTCGACCTCTACATAGATAGGCGGGGATATGGCCCTCCGCCATCCAATACAGCGAATCGAGCGATTGCAGCGAGCTCAACGCAGTCTATTCGTCGCAGCAGCTGGGCCGAAGCTCTTTGTTTTCGACGCTCAGAATGGCGCCCAATTGGATACCTGGCCATCGCCAACGGCTGTCCCACAATCCTTGCCCGTCGAGAGCCAACCTATAGCGGAAGACGAAGCCACCACCGATCGCGCAGGTACACCGCCACCAGAGAAACGGCGCAAGCTATCTCCTGCGTCGGGAGAGGTTAAGGCGGACGATAAAGCTCAGCCGGGGTCGGCAGCTAAATCGTCACATGCGTGGACGACCATACCGTTACTTCTAAGTACGCCGGCAGGAGAGCATGTCATCGCAGTAACGGCGGAAGACAAGTGTCTACGGGTTTTTGAAGTGGGCATAGACGGGACATTAACGCAGCTTAGTGAACGGTTAGCTACTAGCAAGTCTCGGTGTTGTTTATACCAGAAGATAACTAACCAATTGCCGCATTAGATGCATGCCCAAACGACCCTGCGCACTCGCCCTGGCACAGAACAACACCACCATCCTCTGTGGCGATAAGTTCGGCGACGTCTACTCGCTCCCTCTCTTCCCGGATGCCGATTTCAAACCCCCCGCTACCGTGGCCGCTGCGCCCGTTGAAGAACCAAAACAGTTCAAACCCTCCGCCACTCCGCTGACAGTTCACACGAAGAAGAATCTATACTCTCTCCAGCAACAACTGCGATCACCAGTCGTCAAGAAGGAGAAAGTAGGACCTACATTCGAGCTGAAGCTGTTGCTAGGCCATGTGTCGATGTTGACGGATCTGGCATTTATATCGTTTGCGAACGAGTCGCGAAGTTATATCCTGTCAGCCGATAGGGATGAGCATATTCGTGTCTCGAGGGGGTTGCCGCAAGCACATATCATTCATGGGTACTGTCAGGGCCATACGTCGTTTGTTAGTAGGCTGTGTATCCCATCCTGGGCTCCGGAGATGCTAGTATCCGGTGGTGGGGATAACTATATACTTGTCTGGAACTGGAGGGAAGGCAGAGTGGTCCAAAAGCTGCCGTTGCAATTATCGCAGCCGACGGGGTCAGATATCACCGTGGTTGGTATGTGGGCAGTAACTTTCTCCGAGTGTTCCAGTCTATATCAACATGCAAAGGGGGCAATTCTCGTCTCCATTGAAGGGTAAGTTCAGTCTCCTGGTGCTAGAGTTAGTAGAGCCTAAACTAATTATATCTTCAGATCTCAAGAACTGCTATCCTTTGGTGTCAAACCTGATAACACCCTTTTGCCTCTACCAACCATCAACGCGGCAGGGAATGTCCTCGACATCACCTGTCTAGACGAACAAGGCACCATTGTCGTATCCTCCGACAGCATCCATGAACCAGGCTCAACAACTCTCCAGCGAAGTGACAAGTCATCCGCATCTATACCTCTACAGCAATTCACAGCCACCCTCGACTCCGGAAGCTTTAGATGGGAGCCACACCAGAATGCAGCTTTGGATATAGTTAACAGCAGCTCGTCCTTTAATGTACCAGTCGCAGATGGCGAGAAGGAGGCACAGAAACAGCTTAAACAGCTTGGTGAATCATTGTATTATATAGGAAATCTCCGCAAGTCTGTGCGGGGTGATGAAGAATGATCAAGGCGAAAAAAATAAGCGATTGGCTATGTACAGTTGATAGAGATTAATCAATGATATTTGATATGGTTATATTTCAGAGTAGAAATAACTATCGCAATGTAGTGGATGTAGATGGAGTTTCTCTCGGGGTTGTAGAGCTGTTCCGCTAGTCCGCCACTTTTTCTATATTTATTTTGATCCTTCGGATATTTATCAACCTTCCATCCTTCACACCACCCACTACAACGAATATACCGACCACAGCAGCCAGCCATGTCTAACCAATTCGCACCATTAAAGAACGATCTCCTACTCCGGGCCGCTCGAGGTATGCTATAAAAACAATCCATTGCCTTGACTATTGACCCCGCGGAGCCTCGGCTTACCCCTCTATAGGCGAAACCGTCGAACGGCCTCCGATATGGATCATGAGACAGGGTATGTTCTCTCTACGTCCCACCAGCATTTAACCAGCTGCACACATATCTAACGTGTCCGTATAGCCGGCCGCTACCTGCCCGAATACCATGAAGCCAAAGGAAACCGCGACTTCTTTGAGTGCTGCCGCTCACCCGAGGTGGCATCAACCCTCACCCTACAGCCCATCGAGCGCTATGGGGGCCTCATTGATGCCGCCATCATTTTCTCTGACATCCTCGTCATCCCTCAGGCAATGGGCATGGAAGTCGAGATGATTGATAAAAAGGGACCATCGTTCCCTTCCCCACTACGCACGCCAGATGACGAGCAGTATACACAAGTTATGAACCGACCTGTCGACGTCACCAAGGAATTAGACTACGTTTATAAAGCCATCACCCTCACGCGACAAAAGCTAGATGGCCGAGTTCCCCTGATTGGATTCGTGGGTGCCCCATGGACGCTGCTATGCTATATGGTTGAGGGAGGCGGAAGTAAAATGTTCGCAGCCATCAAGACCTGGGTATACAAATATGCCGATGCGTCGAAGAAGCTACTGCAGAAAATCTCAGAAGTGTGCGTTGAGCATTTAGCGCAGCAGGTTAAGGCCGGAGCGCAGATGGTTCAGATATTTGACTCGTGGGCTGGAGAGCTTAGCCCGCGATCATTTGCAGAGTTTTCACTCCCTTATCTCCGATATATTTCTACCAATTTACCCAAGAGGCTGCGTGAGATGGGTCTCGGCGTTGTGCCAATGACGGTGTTTGCGAAGGGAGCATGGTATGCTCTAGACGAGCTGTGTGAGTCTGGATATGATGTTGTAGGACTAGATTGGCAGCATGATGCGGCCAAGGCACGAGCTGTGGCGAACGGAAGAGTTGTTTTACAGGGCAATGCGGACCCTGGATGCCTGTATGGTACTAGAGAAGGAATTACGGCCGTGGTGGAGGAGATGGTGAAAGGTTTTGGAGGTGGGAAGCAGGGTTGGATTGCCAATTTGGGACATGGTATGTTTACATTGCCGACTTCTTCATATATGACTGTGTGATATAATGCTAACTGTGGCTACAGGAGTTACGCCATTTGTTAAGCCAGATGATTTGAAGTTCTACTTTGAGGAGATACATCGACTTACTGCTGCTTAGAGGTTTTTATACTGGGACAAGGAATAAACGAATTAGCATTTCAATGTGTATAAATAGCTCAAGTAATTTGGTAACATCTCTACTTCGATCCTATAACCCACCATTAAATCAGGACTACAGAATGAATCCTGTAGTTTAAGTTGTATTTGAGTAGGTACTTTAGTTACTTGGCGATATATATATGAAAATATCCTATTGACTTCGTCCCTGTGATTTTCCACTTCTCAACTATGCATTATATAAACCTCCTATCTATGCTATTTCCCTTTACAAATAGACATAAAAAATTCACTAATAGGGAAATTAATAAGTACAACAGTACTGGCCACTCAGAAACTCCAAATATATACCCACGCTGGAGGCTGAGATCGACATCGGCATCCCACAAAATGGCTCTGCAGCATGTCGAAGGATCAACAATCGAAACCAGGCGAAAGAACAGAATACATATATCTATGTATTCCGCCCTACCAGCCTCCTGTCTCTGTCCACCAAATATACCACTATAAGTGGTGGTTGTGGGAGTCGTTAGTGGTGAGAAGCCCTTTTCTTCAAAGGGAGTGGTCGTCTCAGCTGGCATATTGCACATCCCAGGTGCTCATGCTCTCAGCATTGGGCCAGCAGACGGGTTGGCTAAACGCAATATCTCCTAACTAATGGATGCACCGGACGTCGAGCGTGATTTCCACAGCTATTTCTCGTTTTTCTGGTACACTGAGAATGGGTCTATGGGGACACCGTTATATAACCAGGCATATGCAACGAGTCAACCCTGTGACTGGAACATCACAGTGTAAGTACCGCGAGGAGAGCTAATGCTGTAGTAGTTAGACGTTCCCATGGATGGAACGCATATTGCATCGGGGAGCCAGGTATGATACCAACTTCTCGATGCTGTATCACGCTGGCGTCTGCAGAAATCAGGACACCACCTCTAATCGAACCAAACTATCCTTCCACCGATGATGATCGTGTAATTCTTCATACCGCAATCAGCAGGCCATTAGCTTGGTCATAGACGCCCGAGAGAGATCTGTAGATGCGACTTTACTAGCCAGTCTAGCCTCCCCGCCAGATGCTTACCAGGTGTAAGCTTGCAGTATACCATCTTCTCTATATCTGTATATCGTATATCTGCATATATGTATGTCTGTTTATGTATATCTGTATATGTATATTTGTATATTTGTATATATGTGGTTCACTCCCTCCCCCTTCCTATTTAGGTCACCGCCAAGCCTACCGCTCTCTTAGCTAAGCACACGTGACTTTTCTTCTTTTGTTTCCTCTTTGGGCATCTCGAACTTCACTTCTTCTTTATCTCTTCTTTCTCTTCTTTCTCTCTTCTTTCTCTTCGCTTCGTCTGTCTCCTCCCTGTCCGCTCTCTACTTCTTTCTCCTCTAGTTCGACTCGCAACGCTGGTGGCTGCTTACTCAGGCCGTGGAAGCGTAGAGAAAGCGCTGGAGAACCGTGGAAGCCTCCAGAACCGCGACGCCACACGCCCAGCAGGCACGCCGGGTACGGTATGGTAAGCTACATGATCCGGCATCTCGGGGAGCTCCCTTTTGCCCTCCAACCATAACTAACGGGAGTCTAGATATAAATTTATGACATAACGATAGAAACAAACCCAAGGAACACGCTACAGAAACCAGCGTCTCGATATCTGTTATCGTTGTTGAGATATCTCGATCTGCAGTCTCTAACCATCTCCAACAAAAGTACTGTGGCTGAAGTCATACCATGGAACATTGACCCACCGCGGGCCTCGCATCTTTCTGACTTTTTTCCCTGCCAGAGCCATCCACCGTCGCCAGCTTCAGCATTATCATCATCACATCATCATTTTAACGGAGCTTCCGCCCTCGCATCCATTTTTCTCAACTCTCAACTCCAAGCTCTCGACTCCAGAGGCACTATACAGTCCTCTTGCTGGCCAGGTCGTTCGCCTAATACGCTTGCAACGCCAGACAGCATCGGAGAAGCAAGCAGCCTCGCTCCCTCACAGCCTATTACCGGAGACTCTCTTCACTACCCCTCCCAACATCTAACTCGAGTTACCTCTCCCTCTTCTTTTTCTGTCTCAGTAGACTCTCCTGCGAGTCACGATGGTGAAAGAAACTAAATACTATGAGACCCTGGGGGTATGCCATCACCCGTAACCAAATCTTAAAAAACCACCATGATACTGACCTCCTGCAGGTTTCCCCAACAGCCACAGAAGCAGAGCTTAAATCAGCCTACAAGAAGGGCGCTCTGAAGCACCACCCAGGTATGTCTCTTGCCTGACATTAGATGGACGTCCGCGCTAACATACCCGCCTAGATAAAAACGCGCATAACCCGGACGCCGCGGAAAAATTCAAGGATCTCTCCCACGCCTACGAAGTTCTCTCGGATCCCCAAAAACGTTCCCTCTACGATCAATATGGTGAAGAAGGTCTCGAACAGGGCGGTGCCGGCGGTGGCATGAATGCTGAAGACCTCTTCGCCCAATTCTTCGGAGGTGGTGGTGGCGCCTTCGGCGGTATGTTTGGCGGCGGAATGCGCGAGACCGGCCCCAAAAAGGCACGTACGATCCACCATGTGCACAAGGTCAGCCTCGAAGACATCTACCGCGGCAAAGTAAGCAAACTCGCTCTCCAGAAATCCGCCATTTGCCCTCAGTGCGACGGACGAGGCGGCAAGGAGGGAGCGGTCAAGACTTGCGCACCCTGCAATGGCTCCGGTATGCGCACTATGATGCGCCAGATGGGCCCTATGATCCAACGCTTCCAGACCGTCTGCCAGGACTGTGGTGGTGAAGGTGAAACTATCCGCGACCGCGACCGCTGCAAGCGCTGTCTCGGTAAGAAGACCGTCCTCGAAAGAAAAGTCCTACACGTCCACGTCGACAGAGGCGTCAAGACAGGCCACAAGATCGATTTCCGCGGCGAAGGTGACCAGATGCCCGACGTTTTGCCCGGAGACGTTCAGTTTGAGATTGAGCAGAAACCACACGCCCGATTCCAGCGCAAGGACGACGACCTGTTCTACCAGGCCAACATCGACCTCCTGACTGCCCTAGCCGGTGGAACTATTAACATTGAGCATCTTGATGAGCGATGGCTCAGCGTGACAATCGCACCCGGCGAGCCAATCACACCAGGTAAATTTGCCCTCATTCTCCCCTTGTTTAGTTTCCGCAAACACCAATACTAACATTTTCACCTACAGGTCAAATCAAAGTAATTCCCGGTCAAGGCATGCCATCCTTCCGTCACCACGATTTCGGAAACCTTTATATCCAATTCAACGTCCAATTCCCCGAAAAGGACCAACTACAGAACCTCGAACTGCTTGAGAAGGTACTACCACCACGCCTGACCCAGGATGTACCACCACCAGATAGCATGGTAGAGGACTTTGCCCTAGAGAACGTCGACAGTAATGGCGGACAGGCCAGAGCCCAGGGAGCGGCGAGAGGAGAAGACGATGAAGAAGATGGTCTGCCGCCCGGTGCGGAGAGAATGCAATGTGCATCCCAGTAAGCTTAACGAGACATTTGGAGAGAAACCGGTGCTTAGTACTATGAGATAAGATGTGATGGTGATGGTGTGTGTTTGCGATGCGGTGAATGATAAACGAACTGGAAACAAAAAAGACATCAATATGGTCGGTGGTCGGGAAACTTATAATTTTCATGCATTCGATCGGCGAATTATTCTTCTACTATTTTCCTCTTTTTGTTTCTCTTGACGATGTGACTGACCTGATCCCTTTCCAATTCGTTACTTTTACACCCCACGTTGAAGTGTTCCTTTTATTATGCTTCTTCTATCTTCCTTGTTGCTCGTTTGCTTGAAATAGAACGAATTCATTTTCTCATGATTTGACTATTGATGGTATCAATGGGCGTGTGGCCTGTTTCGTCCGTCCTTGTCTATCGTCTATTTTCCGGGCCATGTTAAGTGTTGAGTGCATGGCTCGCCTTTCTTATTTCACAAGTCCGGGCCCAGATAGGGAACAACCTTGCAATCCTTCGTCTAATATTTCTATTTTATGTCGTACATGTCTATTATACCCTCCGTGATATCTACCTTCCCTGTCATTCCGGCATTATTCCACTCAACTACCCCTACTCAACAGGACAATATTTCTCGGGGGAAATCGCACATATAGCTAGCAGAGGAGGGAGATTAGATGGGACGGAGTAAGGGTATTCATATTCGACATTTTGCTATTTTCATTCTTTCCCCTTTGTTGACCTAATCTATCATCTATATGCTTTGCTTTCCTTGTCCTTCTTGCTCTGGTGCCTTGGTATATCCCCATCTTCTCAATATTTCCTTCATAGACTGATAGTATCTATAAGTTGAAATATATGCATCGGATTAACCTCATCCTTATTATAACCGTCCGTTCTATAGAGATAACGCGCATGTGTACTCCCAATGCTGGATGGGTCGGGCGGTGGTATCGGTCTTTGGTAGAACGACGTAGTTCAGGATTTTGGGTAGGCAGGTAAAGGGATAGGTGTAAATTTCGGGTTTATGGATTAGATAGAGTATCATATTGCTGGCTTGACCCGAGTATAAATGGAATATATGATGAATATGATTGTTTAAAGCAAAACATAAAGGTGACGCCTATCTGGTGGAAGGGGAAAGGGGTAGCTTGATAGGGGAATCGAAGACTTTGGAAAATCGAAGACTTTGGGAAATCAAAGACTTTGGGGGATTCTTTGGCCAGCACAACTGTGACTGACATTTTCGACAGAGGACATTGGAGTATAGGGGGAGGCGGTAAAATGACCTGGATATTGCTCTCCGAGGAGTTCTTCAAGATAGGCTATGCAACGCTGGCAGTAAGGGTATGCGGGATATGGTAGAACATTTTCAAAGCATCCAATTGGGGGTCATATCGACCTGAGCACGCAATCATTCCTCCATAAGAATCAAACGTGGAATGTATAGACGGTCTTTTAGGCCGGTAAATATGTCCTGAACACGGGACATGGATCGAGGATTCAATATACTCCGATGCAACGCCCGTGAATTGGTTTTTCCTCTGGCTATTTCTTTTCATCAGCCGGGCTGATGTAGGAAACTGATCAGGACGAATGAGGTCATAACTGCCGTCCCCGGCCATACCAAGATATGCATGAGCCATGGGTGGCCGTGTCTTGGGGGGATACATAGTTACGAGTCTCGTGGGACCCGTGGCGGAAGATGAGTTTGCAAAATTCGATATCTGGGGTAGTGATATCTCTCTACCTCCGGAAGTGATCCGGCCGCATATATTGTGGCGTGAGGAGGCGTGAGGGGATAAGGCAGAGAATAGGGCAATAGATGGCTGCTCTCGTGGCCCGTCTTTCGCTTCTTAACTTCCGGATCCTGTCTTCCACGGATGTGTTTATCCACAGAATCCGTGGCTATTTCTTCCTACCGCGTTCTAAATGATTCTCCGCACCTATTAGGAATCAGAGCTGGGGTTTCCTATGTATGCAGGCGTGCTGCCTGATTATCGCCCGAAGGACATGAGATATCAAAAACTCATTGATGACCCGATAGCAAGGATAGTGGAGCTCCTGGGGGGGCTGCCTATGCGCCGCTCAGGTGGCTGTCATGGACAACCCGGTGTATAATTCCGGAAAGCAAGTAGAGAGAAGAGGAAAGAAGCAAAACAAACTCAGGGCCAAGGAACAAATGTCAACACTAGAGGCAGACAAGTCAATATCATGGTTTCAGCCAAGTCCCTCGCGGCATACCAGACATATCTAATTCGTGGGGTATAAGCTGGGGGACCCAAGGCAGTGAATGTACGGAGTACGTCCTTGCCTCCACGACATGCGACATCAGCACACATGGCGCGATATATTGAAGCAGCAGACCAAGGCGATGATCTCGGACTTATCGTATGTATACGCCTTACAGAGTAAAGATCTGGAGTTGACATTGAGCTTTGGTATATTAAATCACGCGGGCGTTGTCGATCAGATGGGTTTGAGTGCCAACCCTCTCTTTTCGGAGATGGATGGATTGGAGGCGTTAGTGGATTGAACAGCCAATAGGAAGCACGGCACCATTCCCCAGGCTGGAGGGGTTGGGTTGGTTAGACGAAAATACGGAGTACGCAAGGCGTAGTTAGCTATGGATGTCTCCACCAAATCTATAATGTTGATATTCGGAGTATAGGAGTAACCTCGAAAAAAAATATCTTACCTCCCAACTTCCACATTTGGTAAACTGACTCGACACGGCAAGGCTTGTGTCCACCGAAGACTTTCCCAAGAGGAGCTTGATTCAGCCATGGTGTAGCGAAGAAAGGCCAAGGTCGCTTATCAAGGCCAAGTAGAAGCTTCTCCCGATCAAGATAGATTGGCAGCATCGTATAGCCTATAGCGAAGTTCGATAAAGTGGACAAGCGAAAACAAAGACTGACGGTTCCTGCGCCAAGCTGATGGGTCAATATTTCTTATTTCTAGCCGTCCTCGAAAGCGAATATGTGAGTATATCAAAAACACTTTTGCGAGTTTCTTCTTCTGCTGTTCAGACCGAAAGAATGCCCGCACGTGAAGGTTGCATATATATTCCGTGATAGTACAGCCCTTTGATAGGTGGGTGGTTATCCCCGAAAACACTAATTATAGGTCGTATTTGAAATAAAGTCGGCCCAAGTTGGAATCCTCTTCGACCATGTTGCACAGCACATCTCCTCCCTAGGGAAGATAAACCAAGATTGGGTTTAGCTTAGAAAAAGCAATATGAATGGGGCGGGTTTGCGGTGGGAGCTGGAGACCACCTATTTTAAGGAGCATATTGGGGCCACAGCATGCCCTTCGCCGCCCGGAAGACCTGGTTTTATGTATAGGTCATTCGAGATACTCCGGGCTCTGCGCTGAGCGGTGTGATATTGATGTTAGACACGGCTGATACTTATATTTATATAGTGCTGACGCAGAGTGAGTGTAATGAGAGGGTTCTTGCCGGGTTCAAGGCCCCCCTGCCGATTCCCTGAACGAAGAAGCTCATTACGTGTGTCTGTTGATATCTCAGCTCAACATGTCTCGTCCTCATTGGGCTACTGCACACTCTTCCCGTACCTTAGCAGTACCGGCAGAGCAATAAAGTTTTCGGCAGATTTAGGTTTGCCCGTGGCAGTTTTCCTGCGCTTGGGAATATGTTCCACAGCGAGCCGGCGATCACGTCGTGGGAGAGCAAACTGCACTGGGGGTCTTCCGATGGCGCCCCCGGAGATATATAGTTATGGGCTGGAGTATTGCTTCTGCCCGGAACAAATTTAGCAGCACGGGAGAGAAAGAGGTAGGTGTTTTCGTACTCCGTAGATCTGTTGGAGGCCGTGAACATGGACGGGTGACGTACATTGCTCGTTTGTCAATACGATAGGCCCAACCTCGGTGGGCGTTGGCAGACCGACAGATCAGGCGAGGCTCAGAGTGCCAGGACACGCAACGGCGCACAATGAATATCGATTCACCGTTATTTTGTTATAACCAGGGGGCCTTGAGATCTTCGGGCTTTGCTAAAATTGGCATCGGTCGTGGCTTTATCGTCTGATTGAAAGACGGCATCGATCTTCCTTTCTCTATGCAGCGCAAAATGCACCAAGACAAAGCATTCAACGGCAACCAAACCAAAGAAAAATTTGAGTATTTAAATGCAATAAGCGGGAAACCGAAATAAAGGATGCATCAAACCACGTAATACGAGGACCAGATCGCCCTGCTGGGGTGAAGGGGGCTAAGCACTCGAGAATTTAATGTAGAGGCTGCGGTATCAAGCGAAATCTTTGCTCGGACTTCTGCGTGAACATTGCAAGTAGCCATCGGTAAAAGCGCGCCATCGTATGCGGTATTTTCACTGAGCAGAGGAGGGGGTGTCCGGGCTCGGTGACTATAGGGCGTAGCTTCTGATCGAGAGAAGTAAGCACGGCGAAGACCGCGCGCAGCTGCAGTTGCTGCTCTAGTTGCTACGCTGCGTATCGCGCGAAGTGTGCATTAATATCTGCTAGAGTAGAGTGATAATATCATGTTGGTGAGAATTGAAATGTCTCCCAGAGAGGGAAAATAATGCAATAATATTGAACTGAGACAGCAATTGCAGGTTGAGTGTAACGTTAATCGCACGTCCAGGCAGAGAGGCAACCAAAAATATATGATCGGTTTCATGCAGCCAGGACTCGAGATGAAATGTTCCTGCTGGTCAGGGGATGAAGGCCATGGTGGCACCTCCGCATCCTCCCGTCGAGTTCAGCTGCCCTGTCCTGTCCGTCCCGTCGAGGACCTCGGTCTCAAATCCATGAGTCTTAGAATAGCAACTACTCCGTATTCTAGGCACATCCTTTTTATCGGAATTGTTAGACCATGGAGTATATGCTGCAACATATTATACGTAACAAAGTTGGGCTAATATAGCTGGAGGAGAAGGCTAACTGCCCTCTGGTCCACTTCCGTGTCAGAAAAGACATTTGCTTGGCCAGACGCTGATCGTGTTTCGTCCCACTTGCCCTCAAGCGACGGAGCGACCTCGATCGCAAAGAAAAAGCAAAGATGGGGGGCTTCTAGTGCAAAATTCTAGAACAAGTAATCATTGCACGTTGAGAGAAACCTGGCGAGACCGGATATTTGCTCGACATATAGCTGCAAGGTCGCATTAAAATTGACAATTTCCTTTGATGTATGCTGCATTGCAGTGTGCTACAGCTGCTTTAGGCATTTGGTGGTTAGAACATCGCTTTGTATCACGATCCATTTTCTCTGGATTGTTGTCCTGCGATGTCACTCCTGAGGTCACTATTTAAGGTGTGAGCGTAGATTTCGATTAGGGCCGGTTGGCCCAAACATAGACTATCCTGTGCAGAGAATCAAACCGCCGCCAGCCAGGATCGTTAGGCGTGTTCGGGTCGACCGTGTCCCGAGTTATACGGGTGTTTGAGCCGTTCGCATCGCCGTGTTTTATTTCCGTTTCATTCGACTCCCTGGCCTCGTTCCTGTAGGCTATCACTTTTTTCCTTCCAGAACACTCGAACGTCATCCCATCCTGAAACTTTTTGTTTGAGTAATGACCGAATCCTATGTGCGGACCATTGCATGTTACACAGGATTTTCAATCGATGGTTTTTTCTCTTTCTGCATGAGTCTATTCTGACTTCATGTTGCTTCATGTTGTGGCAGCATAGTTTTCTCGGCCATAAGACTGCAGACAGACAAGACACCGCAACTGCTCCGTATAACGCAGTGGCAACCACATATAGGAGTTCGCCTTGTTCTTCATGCCCAGCCATGCACTCGCCCTGCTGCGTGTCGAGCAAACTTTTGAGATCTAGATTTAGGTCTTGATACTGAGGAACCGCCTCTCCCAACCGGCCAACGATTACTGATGGCATTTTGGCACAATCCTTGGAGTGGCGAGTCAGAGCTGGTTTTGACAATCGCTGCTGGGATGTAGGATCTACCTTAGCGACGTCGCATGGCGATACGAAGTGGTTTGGTGGGACCCTCAACTACGATACAGTCAACACTGACATCAACGCATAGTACCCAGATGTTAGGGATAATCAACGCTGCGATGATGATGTTAAATATATGAATTGCGGGTCTCTTTGACGTGGGGGAGGGGGAGGGATACCATGATCCAGGAGTTGCATTTTTGACCTGCTCACGCTACTTTTCCGGCCGATCAACTTTGCTCGTTGTTATCTCCGTATTTCCGATCCATCCGACTCAAGACACTTTGCAGCACGTTGTACAAAATGTGCCTGGGGGATCCTGGGATCGAGGGGATAACGGTGCCTGCAGGTAGGATTCCCCAAATGCTGTGTTAGGGCCTTCCATAACTCGCAGTGTTAAGCAGGCCCTTTTTTAGAAGGGCTGAGGCTGTGGAGTATGATGAGATAGATGCACGTCCCGCTGAGATGAACTGGCGATGAACTGTTTGATGATTCAGCCTCTACAGCACGAACTAGTCAACAGGATACGTTTCGTAAGAAGATATGAAGTAGCCAGGCCGATTTAGCCGTATCCAGTATGTACAAGCCGGCCACTATCGGGCGGCCTTTCTACACCGTTGTGCTGCGCATATACTCCGTACGTCGGCCCTGAGTGTTGCATTTTTCATGGTCGTACAAGAAAGGATTCAAGCATTTTATGCTTTCCATTGATCCCTGATGTCGATGATAACCGGTCAAGACCAGGGATGGATGATTCCAGGTCTCGAGAAATCTTGTACATATCTCTTCCTTGAGCGCCAAGGTACTCGTGTCGAGTCCGCCTGTCGTGTTCTCGAGACAAACGTAGATGAGTATATACTTCCATAGGATGAGCGTGTCATATTATGTAAACATGTCGGTAGTTGTTTCGAAAGAGGAAGATACGATACGGCATATGTGACAGCACATCCCTGCCAAATCCCTGTTTGCCATGGGCGAGATAGTATGTACCAGACGCCGGGGTAGGGGTTCGGATGTGGAGATCTCGTTTCCCATATCTCATATCTCGGGCATCAGCCGTACTGCGTGTCGGCTGAACGATTTCGAACGGTTCACTTCCAGCGGACTGGACTTTCCGGGCGACAGACAATCATCGCCAAGATGGGCAAACAGGGAAAGCCGGACACAAGAGTAAGGACAGCGATGGCAATTAATGCCATACAGCACACACACACACAACGCGGCACATCGAGCGAGCAGCAGGCCTGTTTGCCAGTTACCCTGTCGTCCGTCTGCTGGGCTGAACCTGCTAACTTATGCATGAGTGCGCATTCCCTTCACCGTGTGCTTCAAAACGCCTCGTCGTGTGAGACTGTGACGACGACTGCCGTTGGCTCTCGCCTAAGAGGTGGTGGTGTTAAGCCCGCTAAAGGGGGGTGAGGATACAGCAAGGACAGGACGCGGCCTCTTCAGCTAGACCATACGCTATATCCAGACAGCTTCCTTTTGCTCGCTTCCTGGGCTCGTCTCCGTCTCCCTTCGAGCGTAGGGTCGTAGGGTCACATGATAACCCGCTCATCGATGCCGACGTCTGGCCGATATGCCCGTATGATACTGGCTGCTGGTGGTGTTTCGGTCCGCTAGGGGTGTAGCGTATCGTGAAACGGCCGGGTCGACCCTGATCTGCCTCTTCCTAGCCTCTGCAACCTTTCTAACCGCTGCCAGACACCTTAACCTATTAGCCTCGTTGCAGGACCCTTGCTTGCTCAAGGATTCTCCACATAATATTCATGCCTGGTAGAAAAGCAATTTTAGGTCATGGAATACGGAGCAGTCCCCCCATAACCGCGCCAAGGAATCCCTCCTAAGCCCTGCTAAATCCTTATCTCTGCGCCCCTGTTGGGATCTGCCCTGTCTGGGTTGTGTCTTGTTGTCTTGGAGTACATCAGCCCATCCACACACGAGGTTGCCACACGTCGCGAAACATAGCTATATCTGTCGAGCCGCGCAGTACCTGTATACTTTATACAGGCTGAACGATTAGTCATGTGTATGAACACACAACACGACGACCCTTCGAGTAGAGCTGCTCGGAGTATCTGCTGCCTTTCGATCCATCCCCCCGTTGCTACGTGACCAGTAGGTTGACGACCTTATGCACGATATGTACGATGTCGTAATAGTTGGCGGATGAGCTCGTACGGGGTCGGGGGAACTGGCTACCACATCCCACCCGCGCCTGCTGTTTTTCTTTCTTTTTTCTTTGCTTTTTTTCATCTCCCCCTTCTTTGCATTTTCTCTTCAGTATTACAGACCGCCCATGCCACTGTGAGGTCTGATCGTATAGTTATCCTCATCGTATCCCGGTGGAGCCCTCGCCAACATCACCTGTAAAGCCATGGGGGACTAGCTGGATCGGGGCGACGGAAGGGATTCGCCTCCGCGGTCCTGTCGACCCTGGACAACAGCCGTAACTTCAGATATAAGAGGCGCTGAATGGAGGCTCGCATGCCCAGCAGGCGCAGAGAAGAAAAAGAAGCTGTCGAATTTAGGATGATGCCATCATATGGCGTCTTGGTGAAGAGCTATAATTGGCCACATAAGCTGCGTCGACTTAACCTTCCTTGGCGTAACAACTCTAGCATGAATATGTATTTGAACAAGAAGATGGGCGGAGGCTTGATGCTGTGTAGCACCTCTTGTCGTCGCATGACGGGCGTTGGAATGAGGAACCGCTCACTCGGCGCCGCGGAGTTATCTTTCTGGGCAAAATATCAAGCTCATCTTGGAGGAATATCGTTGAGATCGATGTCTTGGTAAAAAAAGGGCGATCATTGAACCAACTTCAGACCTATGTTGTAGATTCACTCCACAGCAATCATCACCGTTAGAGGCAACATGCTTTCGTGTTCAGGCATTTTTTCCTTTTTTTCACCACCCTGGTGCTCCGGTCTGATTGTCGGTCTCTCCATCCATCCATCCATCCTGGTAGCGGTTATGGCTGGAAATTAAGCTTGTTGCCTATCCCTCCGGCCTAGGACGGCATGTAACTAAGTAATAGAGCCTGACCATTTTTGCAATCCCTGGGCCCCTCCCCCCGGTCTCATCCTGCATTTTGCAAGTTACAGATGCAATTGCAGCTGTGATCCACCATCCTGATGACTGCGGCGATGCTGTCGTTGACACTCTCGCCTGGTAGCCTTCGTCCTTGTTTCGCTGTATGGTCAAAGGCGGAAACTGTGGATGGGCTCCCTGAGTTTCCGTGGCCCATGGTTCTCCACCCTCTTGCACTGTCCTGTCTGGCCCGTTTCCCATTGATTGCGTGACTTCCCGCCAGTAGGAGGTACATGCTCCGCCAGTAAAACCTCCCTTATCGATCTATAACTTAAATATCTCTTCGGGTCGATGTCCGTAGCAGGAAAATGTTCATAAAGCTGGTCGAATCCTCCTCCGTTTTGTCTTCCTTCTCCTAGACCCCCCTTCCCCTTCTCCTCTCTCATACTGTTCTCTTCCTCCATCCGTGAGCTGGTTCTGTTGTTGTCCGTCAAGGTTCAACTCATACTCCCAGAGCCTCCCTCAGCAGTTGTCCCATCCATATCAGTCCGATAATGGGTACTCGATAGACACAACATTTCAAGGTCTTCTGATCTCGCGCCCGGTCGCTTTGTCCTTCCTCCTGCTATACCAGATCGAATCTTCATCTTCCGTTCTTCAAAAGTTCGCACTTCGCATACCACTCCAACCGGCCGGTTTGGCTCATCCAACACCAACGGTAGCAGGATAACCCCCTAGCTGCAGGTCCAGCTTCACTATTATTGCTTTCTAGAAAAGCCCTCTTCTCTTCAATCAAACACAATGGCTTCTCCCGAGTCTTCCGAAAACAAGACGGGGATGCAGAAGTTCGGAGCGGGCATCAAAAAGGTCCTCGGCCTCAAGGATGAATTCCCTGTCCCTACCGACCCCGTGACCCGCGGCGAGTCCACCTTCTCAGTTGCATCTACAGAGATGTACTTCGACCAGGATCCCACGACCATGGAGTATTTCCGTGAACTCACTCCCACCGGTCAAGATATTGTCAACTACCTAATCAGCATTTTCCCATTCCTCAACTGGATCTCCCGATATAATGTCCAATGGCTCATTGGTGATGTTGTTGCTGGTGAGTTGAACATGCATCTATACTTTCGTAGTCCTGGTCACTAATATATTTCTACAGGCTTGACCGTCGGTGTAGTCGTCGTTCCTCAGGGTATGGCATATGCCAAACTCGCTCAGCTTCCTGTCCAGTTCGGTCTCTACTCCTCCTTCATGGGTGTCCTGATCTACTGGTTCTTTGCTACCTCCAAGGATATCACCATTGGTGTAAGTTTTATTTATATGCATATTATATGAGTCGGTTAACTGATAAATTATAGCCTGTCGCTGTCGTTTCCACTCTTGTTGGCCAGATCGTTGACAAGGCAAAGGTCGAATTCCCTGACCTTGCTCCTGAAGTCATTGCATCTGCGATCGGTATTGTCGCTGGTGGTATCATCGCTTTTATTGGTTTGATTCGATGCGGCTGGATCGTTGACTTCATCCCACTCACGGCTATCTCTGCTTTCATGACTGGATCCGCTCTCAGCATTGCCTCTGGTCAGGTCCCATCCATGTTGGGTCTCAGCGGCTTCAACACCAGAGGAACCACCTTCTCGATCATCATCGGATCCCTCAAACATCTTCCTTCCGCCAAAATTGACGCTGCCATGGGATTGACTGCCCTCTTCCTCCTTTACTTCATTCGCTGGGGATGTGGCTTTATGGCCAAACGCCATCCATCAAAGGCTAAGGTTTATTTCTTCACTGCTACCCTTCGCGCAGTCTTTGTTATCCTCCTGTACACCTTCATCAGTTTCTTGGTCAACAGGAACCACCGAAAGGATCCTGTCTTCAAGATCCTGGGAACTGTTCCACGAGGTAAGTTGATAATCTCTACAGAACGTGTTGGAACTTGAAAGTATGATGCTAACATGCGCACTTGACAGGTTTCCAAAATGCCGGTGTCCCAGTCGTGAACGCTAGGGTCTTGAGTGCCTTCTCTGGTGAAATTCCAGCCGCCGTCATTGTCTTGTTGCTTGAACACATTGCTATTTCCAAGTCATTCGGTCGTGTCAACAATTACACCATCAATCCATCCCAAGAGCTCGTCGCTATTGGTGCCGCTAACATGCTTGGTCCATTCCTGGGAGGATACCCAGTCACCGGTTCTTTCTCTCGAACTGCCATCGCCTCCAAGGCTGGCATCAGAACTCCATTCGGAGGTGTCTTCACTGCCATGGTTGTCCTCCTCGCCGTATATGCCCTTCCCGCCGTTTTCTTCTACATTCCCAACTCCTCTCTCTCAGCCGTCATTATCCACGCTGTCGGCGATCTTATCACTCCACCAAACGTTGTTTACCAGTTCTGGAAGGTTTCACCCATCGAAGTCATTGTCTTCCTGGTCGGTGTTTTCGTTGCAGTCTTCTCATCCATTGAGAACGGAATTTACGCTACTGTCGCTTTCTCCCTGGGCATCCTCCTGTTCCGCCTTGTCAAGGCAAAGGGTGAATTCCTCGGACGTGTCAAGGTTAACTCTGTTGTTGGTGACCATGTCATTGACAACGATGGCAAATATGGAACTTTCGATGACACCAGCAGCATCCCAGGAGGACCAAGCAGCCGCAATGTCTTCCTTCCCCTCAGCCACAAGGACGGCTCTAACCCCGACGTCCAAATTGAGCACGCCCTACCTGGTATCTTCATCTACAAATTCTCTGAAGGGTTCAACTACCCCAACGCCAATGGATACCTCGATGACTTCGTCGCCACCATCTTGGAGAAGACCCGACGCACAAACCAGAACAGTTACAACCGTATGGGAGACAGGCCATGGAACAACCCTGGACCCAAGCGTGGCGAGACTGAAGCTTCCACTGATGACCTACCAATCCTCAAAGCTGTCATTATGGACTTCTCTTCTGTTAACTACGTTGATGTCACTTCTATTCAAAATCTTGTGGATGTCCGCGAGCAACTTGACCGACATGCCGCACCCGAGGTTGTCCAGTGGCACTTCGCTCATGTCAACAACCGATGGACGAAACGTGCTCTCGCCGCCGCTGGTTTCGGCTACCCCACCTCACCAGCAGGATCTGAGCTTGCCCCACGCTGGAAACCTGTCTTCAGTGTCGCCAACGCTGACGGAACCAACAGCTCCACCAACTCCCTGGATATGGGCCACAAGGGTTCCGCCATGTCTAGACTCGAAGACGAAGAAATCGGTACCATCACACCAGCTTCACAAGCTCCTACAGAACGAGTGGAGGTGTGCAAGGATGGTGTTTATCACAAAGAAATTGAGAAGGTCGGCGGTTCTCGAGGCACGGTGGTAAATAGCATGAACCGCCCGATGTTCCATGTTGACTTGACCAGCGCTCTCCAGAGTGCTACGGCCAATGCACGACAATGATACCAATTTGATGCATAGAAGCATACACACGAATACGCCAATAGAGTTTCGTGTGTTTGATGACATTTCCTTCTGTTTGCTCTTCACCTGTCTATATATTATATACTCTCTTGCCGTTTTTGTGCAATTTTTCTCTTTGGTTTTGGATTAGATACACCTTTTTTTTTGTCTGGTTTTGGAAATACCTCTCAGCGATTACATGAGGAACTTGGAGTTCACCTGGTGCTATCGAGGACATTAATATAGCCTCGGCTCCCTTAATTTGGGACATGCAATATATATACATATATACAAATCATATTTAATCTGCAAAGAAATGGCAGACCTTCCCAAAAATATTTCTGTCCAACGCCTTTTCTCGGTCGATTCTTTTTCGTTTCTCGTTTCACGTGTTTGAGGCTCAGTCAGAGTATCCACCCTGACAAATACGAAAATTCCCCTTTATAGGGCTAGCCTTAAACCTTAACTTGACCTCGGCCCCTGAAACCACTTGGTCCAAGCTTTTTGCTGACTTCGCAGTGCATGCCAAAAAGAGCTTAGTGCGTGATGGCTGAGTCAGCTATACAACAGGCGATATAGGGCTGTGCTGGGCCGATTTCCCTTTTCGGTAGGAGTTGCGACTTCCACGGCGTTTCAACGTCCATCTTCCTATTGAACACCCGTTGATACGTTCAAGGATATGCAAACTGCTCCTAGCGCTGGATATAATGCTTCTGCCTAGGCACCGTTAACGAATATGCAACATGATATGATATCCCATCCAGTCGTGTTATTAATAGCCAGATATGTCTTCTTAACGAGAAGGGCTGATTCAAAGACACATCTGGCTGCCAACAGTCGCTTCTGACGATGCCGTGTTCCGCTATGTGAATATAGATGCCTATACCACCCGCATGATCCAGATTGGCCATGACCTGCCTGCGGTCCAGTGGCTATGGCCTCAAATACGAGGGAGCCTGTCCCCACTCGCCTACCAAGCTTTTTCCAGGGCGTCAATCCGGCCATCCTCTTATGGTAATATTTGCTGGTCTCGTATCGGGGTTGTTGACTCGGGGTTGATATAAAGCTGAAGAACCTGCCATGTTGACCTTTGGAATATTCGCAGACTTCAATCAGACTCAAATTCTTCTAACCCTTGCTCCTACCTTCCCCTCTATACATACTCCCTTCTGTTTACCCCATCTATATACGCAATGCTTATTTATAAGGCGATCAAGAAGCGCCGTGCAGAGAGGCTCGCCGGCTCTGATCCCGCCGTTGATCATGAGAAGAAGAAAGAGAAGAAACTATGCTCGCATCGACAACAGAGCCAGAACCTGAACCTGAGCCAAACCAAACCTCTATTCGAGCCGAATCAGGCGCATCTTCTATCAGACCCCGGCTTTCCCGAACCTATGCAAAATGGGACTTCCATTGAGCTAGTAGACCGACCTCAGCAACCTATACTACCGCCGACCGGACCTTGTGAACTATGCAAGAAGGAAAAACATGATGCCCGTGTGTATCGATGGAAGTTGATTGCGGGCTTATTACTGCCTTATTTCCTTGCATCTGTCGACCTAACAATTGTTGCTGCTGCTCTGCCTTTCATTGCATCACACTTTAGTATGATACCTCCTCAATCTCCTTGGCTTATTTTTATACATCTACATATCATCTAACCTCATACATAGACAAGCTAGATCAACTCAATTGGATCGTGACTGCTTTCACCCTCACCTCGACGGCCTTCATACCCGCGTTTGGTCAACTATCTGATGTCTTTGGTCGACACTTCGTTCTGCAATTAGCAATGTTCCTCATGTTGATTGGTAGTGTTCTATGCGCCGTTGCTCCGACATGGGGGGTGCTGTTGCTTGGTAGGGCGTTGCAAGGAACCAGCGCCTCAGGCATCATGAATTTGATCCAAATCATCCTGGCGGATAAGGTTAGTTTGAAGGATAATGCGAAGAACAGCACTATCTTCCAGTTTGTTGCGGGGATCTCTTACAGCGTTGGCCCCATTATTGGAGGGTGAGTTCTATTCCGAGATTCTATAGATATATCTCACGTAACAAAGTGCTAACCTCAGAATAGGTATCTGACAAACGTAAGGAGCTCATGCCCCCTTTCCTCTCGACGAGTATTCTGCTTACTAGCTATGCCATTATTAGTCCAACTGGAGATACTGTTTCGTTTTAACTATCCCTGTGAGTCTTTCCATTCGACACCTTAGCCATACATCTTCTAACCTGTGCCTAGGTTGCGTTCATTGCACACTTCGTAATATACTTCCTCCTCCGAAATGAACTGGTTCAAGGCAGCCATTTTACCAAGGGATCTCGACGCAGCAGCTTCCTGCCTGGTCTAGCTACGATCGATATTGGCGGCACCTTACTCTTCGTCTTCGGTGTTGGACTTATAATTCTCGGCACTGCATGGGGCGGCGTTACATACCCATGGGCACACGCAGCTGTCCTTACCCCCCTTATTATTGGATCGATCCTTTTCGTTCTTTTCTTTGTTTACGAATATTTACTTGAACCTGGACGAATAGTCGGCCGATTGTTCCCACAGCAATCTCCCATGATTCCATTAGACATCATGAAGAACAGAGATACGATCGTATTGGCTATCATTGAATTTGCTACAGGAGCCGGTATGTTGACTCGTTATCACTAAAACGTTATATTGCCTGCCACATTGATACTAACTATTCACCCCCCTTATAGCCATGTTTTCCGTGTTCTACTTTATCTCTATTTACTTCTCGCTGGTCGAAGGTTATGGAGCCGGTCGTTCTGGTCTTCAGCTTCTTTATTATATCCCTGGCATTGGAGGTAAGTTCTTCTAACTAACGTTGTTATCGAGAGAAACATAACTAATTTTTCCTGATAGCCGGTGTCTACTTTGCAATGTTCACATGCAATGTCTGGCCAGCGCAAACCTTTGTACCCCTGAGTGCCGGCACCGTCATCGAAACCATAGGAATTGCCCTAATTACGTGGGCAGTCACAACCCGCAATATCCCCGTCGTCAGCGGCATGATGGCTGTTGCCGGTGCGGGAACTGGAATGCGCTTCATGCCGGCCACCTTACATGTTTCCGGCATCTGGCCCGATAGAATTGCCCCAGCAATGTCCATTATGAAATTCGCACTCCCATTCGGTGGTACTCTCGCCCTGACCATCATGGGCAGTGTGTTTAACAACAAGATGGCCCCAGTCTTCCGCCCTGGTAGCAGCACTGGAGGCGTCGATCTACACAACACCGGCCAGAGCTTGGAGACTATCGATAAATTGCCCCTCGATGTCCAAAACTATATCCGCGATCTGGCCAAGAATGCTGTCATGTGGGCTTTCATTTCCATCATCCCGATCATGGCGATTAGTTTGGTTGCTGTGTTCTTCCTTGGAAACGTCTGGATTAAATCTAAAAAGGCCAAAGAAGAAGCTGAAAGGAAAGCTGCTGAGGATGGAAGAGCCGGTGATGTTCTTGTTAGTAGTGAGGTTGTTCGGATACCTTTCTTGTGGGCCTTGGTTACAGTGAGTCTCCGTCCCTGCTATACTCACCTTTTAACCTGCGAATGAAGCCTAACTGACAATCGTTCTCTAGGGTACCGTCGAAGCTAATAAATATATTAGCACCCCCCTCTCCAAATCCGAGAAGGAGCAACAAGCTCAATCCATCCTGGAGGAGAAGAATCGACTCCGCACCCTCAAGAAACACAAGGCTGGGGCCTTAGACCCGGAAGGTGCTTCTTCATAATGTAGCTCCCTCATTTGCTAGTCCTAATTGTTTTTGCAAGCGTTATCTACTCTTTTAAAGTTCCTCATTTTTTTAATATTGTATATACATATATATATTTCTATAGTTTATGACGCATCTACCCCTAATTTACACAGTACCCAAGTTAAAGCCAGGCCAGTCTATGGTAAAGTAACCTCATGGCGGAGAGACACACTCCGTGGACTCATGATCGGCCATTGCGCCTGCATATACATATTCCAACCAGGCGGGGATAGATGAAGTGACGATCACTGAGGCGGGAAGGTTGGCTTTAGATTACGGGATTGCAGGGGACCACTTAGTTGAATAGCCGGGCCATTTATTGGGATTGAATTAATATTTTTGCGTTGAACTCAACACCCGCTCCCGTCGTCATCATCTCTAGCATTACGTATGTCTGCACAACAAACCCTTGGGCCCATTATTATTTAAATATTAAAGAGTTAAATGCAAGCTTTGTTGTATAATACTGGTAGCCCTGAACGTTATCTAAATATCTAGGTATGTACGGTGTACTCACCCTTATATAGACAAGGGCGTGTCTATATCCTAGTTGCTTTGTTAAGGAAGTGACGCAATACGCATCTCGGAGCCTCAGGGTAACATTTAAGGTATACGACGCAACGCGGGTATATTCGTCAATAGCGACAGACTTTGGAACGGGATTTAAGGTCGTTGAATCAGGTAGGTCTATAGAGGAGAGCGGAACTTTTCGCATTTGGCATCTGGTCATCAAAACAAAACGAGACCGTCGGGATCTTGAACCTTCAACATAAATTGTAATCCGCTATTCAAAGCTCGTCATGAGCGCTCGGTAGGGAGCTAGCATTGTGCTGCCCAAGTATGTCATGCAATATTTTGTTTGAGCTTTTGGGTATAGTGCTACGATGAACATTTATTTTATCATATGAAACATATGAAGAGATACCAATTGGAATAAAAGACATGGTGAATCTCAGAGGTTCATATTTTATTCCGATATATCTCCTCAATCAAATAGTGGTTGTGGTTGAGGAAATCAAAAACTCATTATAAGTATCTTTTGTCTGTTATTGCCATAGTAGAGTACTGAATGTCGGAAGTTGGCCAAACATGATGAGGTCCGCAACGAACGTTTCGACGCGCTTCATTCATTGCGAGGATTTGAAGTTTGCACTACTCGACAAATACCAAACGTTTGAGCCATGGTCGTTCGCATCTCGCGGTTGGTATTGAGGCCGTTCTTTTTTCGCTGTCGGATACTATATCATGCTGCTCGTCGCGCTTCTATCTCTAACCGTTGCCATGTCGCGCCTACGATGAGCTCACCTTTCGTTCGAAACGGCTCGGCTGCGACTCAGAATGTTCACCAATTGCTGCCCCGCGACGTGAAACTAGAAGAGGAAGAGCTCCCCGATTACAATTCCCAATATTTCTACCCAGTCAGGCTGGGAGATGTATTCGAGTCCAGGTACCAAGTCATCACGAAGCTCGGGTTTGGGGTGGGTTCGAGTGTATGGCTCTGCCGGGACTTAGAGTAAGAAATGACCAGTGATTACAACATCTATATCCCCTTAAGTTCAGATATCTGAGGTCGTCTAGGTCTGGTGAATACCTAACTCTGAAAGTCTGTATTTGCAGGCAGCAAGCTCATGTAGCTGCCCAGTCTACCAACGAAGTGGTTGTAATGAGACATATTCGATCCACTGATTTTGAACATCCCGGCGAGAGATACCTCCGACTCGCACTCAAAGAGTTCACCATCTGTGGGCCTGGGGGGGAACACAGATGCCTCCTCTATGCGCCTCAGGGGATGACTTATACTGAGCTCCGCAATTCACTGCCAAATCGCATGCTGGATAAGGCACTCCTCCAGCAGTCCTACCAGTTAATCTTGATTGGGCTAGATCTTCTACACCAGCTGGATGTGGTACATACAGGTATGATTATATGCTACCTCTGGAACAGGGCTGCTTCAGTATTCTGTGTGTTTGCATATGACTGCGCTGACAGTCTTGTTCCCATTTCAGATATCTCACCAAATAATATCCTTTTAGGTGCCAGGAGCCCTTCTGTGTTTTCTAAAATTGAGCAATCTGAGTTAGAGCATCCTAGCGCCCGCAAAGTCCTTCAGGACCGGACCGTCTATCGGTCCCACTCTATGCCCATAACCCATGGCACGCCAGTGCTTTGTGACTTTGGGGGGGCCAGAATTGGCGAAAGGAAGCACCGAGGCGATGTGATGCCTGACTTCTATCGTGCACCGGAGGTGATACTAGGGATGGAATGGGACTGCAAGATTGACATCTGGTCAATTGGAGTTATGGTGAGTCAACCGCAGAAATAAGTTATTACCCACAGAATATGTCCAAAATTGTTTATACCAAGAGCCGGTACATGTCTGCTCACAATATGGTAGGTATGGGATTTATTTGAAGGCAGTCGCCTTTTTTATGCCCTTAAAAACCACATTCTGGATGATGAGCAACATCTCGCTGAGATGGTTGCCCTCATGGGACCTCCCCCACTGAGCTTCCTTCAACGGAGTGAGAAATGCCGCAAGTACTGGGATGCAGAAGGTTAGTATCTAGTCATACCATTTGCTCATCTCCTGAAAGTGATGTAAAGCTGAAATGACCTTAGGGCGGTGGATTGCGGCAACGCCTATCCCCGAGCAGTCGCTTGACGCAAGAGAGGGGCGTCTGGAAGGTGAAGACCACAAGCTGTTGTTGGATTTTCTCAGCAAAATACTCAAATGGCTTCCCGAAGAACGTGCCTCAGCGCAGGAGTTAATATCTCATCCATTTCTGATGCAGCGTGCTGAACAGCCGCAAAGAACTAGTACATCGTGAGTCTAGAGCTGAGCCATGCCTTGTTAATATGAGGAATTGGATCAAATAAGGAGGATTACAGTAGAAGAGGTGTTGCAGCGTCACTAGCCCAGCCAAATTGGCTGACCCCCTAACCCCCTAAATTATATAAAAAGATATTGAATGTAAGCTAAATAATATAACTAGACCAATTACTATTTGATAATAACAAAAACCTTTTAATCTCTTTCTAAATCCAAAAATTATTATATTAAATAAGTAATTAATTAATCCCGGTTTACAACACCTTGTTGCTGTTCCACTGTGTTCTGTATAGAAACGCCACCCTATCAGTTGATTGGTCGCCTTTGGGAGGTTTCGTCTCTAAAATTAATCATTTAAATACGTTGTTCGTAACGCCTTAACTCCCATAATTCTTGATTGCAAGCCCTGATCTTAATACTCCTACTGGTTGAGGTTATACCGAAGGCATTTTGTGTTATTCATTTTCATATTAGTGCTATGGTCAACTATGTGCCTGGTTACATAGACTCTACACCCCAACTCGACTTTAAAGCATATTGGGAAGATGAAGACCATCTCGCACAGGGAGAGCCCGAGCCGAACGTTCGTTCGCAAACACTGGTCTACCACTACAAAGGCAAGAAGTGGTGGATCAAAGTGACGTTAATGGGTTTAATATCTTGTATATCGAACGAACAGAAGGCCTCAAAGCGCGAGCGACGGAAAGAGTTTCAAGGCTTTGTTAAAGTGATAAACTATGGATCCCTCGCCCTCCTTGATGATACCATGACTGAGATAATATTACGAGAAGAACCAGAGGTAGCGACTGCTATTGAATTGTATTGTGAAGCCACGGATTCCGCAAGCAGGATTGCAGGTGTTGTAAGCAAGCTGAGATATCAGATCCGAGAGGATCCATTGAGAGTTATCTATCTATTATGCGAGGAGTTTCCTTCACTTGACCAGATCAACATTACAGAATTGACGAACAAGGTGGAAATTGCCGATGGCGTCTTCTAGGTCTATAGATCTGGGATCCCGTATATTCTTAAGATGATAAATAGGCCGTTTTATTAGTCTCGCGACACAGATGTTATGAGAAACGAGCTGGAGAACCTTGAGCGTTTTCGGGATATGCCAAATATTGTGTAAGCGACTGGCCTTGTCGTCTCCACCAACCCATATGCGACTTCAGGAACGGGAGAACAAGTAGTTATTGGTGTTCTACTGCAATTCTATAGCGGTGGCTCGCTACGGCGGGTACTGGATGATGGCCGTATGGATAACTACGCTTTGGAGTAATGGGCTCTATAGATTGGGACTGCGTTGCGCCGTTTCCACGCAGCAGGCAGAACCCATATGGATATAAAATCTGCAAATATAGTGCTTGATGGAGAAGGAAACGCAGTTGTTATTGATATTAGCGGCATTGGTGGGACAACCTATGAGTGGTGCGCCCCTGAGATTCGAGATAACATTTCACCCCTCGACCTTCCATTCGAAATGCGGCGATTAAACGATGTATGGGCATATGGAAAGCTCCTATCCGAAATTGCATCTCATGCTAGAGGTAGTCCCCATGCAGATTGCCTGGAACAGATTGCGAGTGGTCTAATGAGAGAGGACACGACGACACGCATAAGTATATCGGAAGCAATATCACGCCTAGAAGCCACCCATACCAGGACGAGATGAACAATATAGGCTGGCAGAGACAAATCTTGTAATCTGGCTAATACTCGTCCCATTCAATATCATCCTCGTCGAATCCACCGTCGGTCTGGCACCTGCGGCTCCACGTTAGCAGGCATTTGGAACAGTTGAATACAAAACGTGTTAACCACGTACCTGGACCCTCACGCCTTAGCTTTGGTTTCTTATCACATCCGCTAATCCCACAATGGAACAACCCAGTCGTCGAGGCATCTTCTGTGGAATCGTCTTCTCCGCACACTTCTTTGTGGCGCTTCGCATGGCTGCACGGATTCTTGAGACTCTTGTGATAGTGGCCACAGTTGTGGACCCGTATTCTAAAACTGCACATGCTGAGATGATTGTCTTGGATAATACCCAAGAGAAAGGACTCTACTACCGGTGCAGAAGAGGTCTATTAAAACACCGCTGCGAAGCCAGGCTCTACCTCTCCTCTGCCATTATTCATCATGGATTCCATGCACTGCATGGCTTGCAGGTAATTAAGCGAATGCAAAAAGGAATCTATTGATTTGGAATCTTGCTTGATACGTGGCTAAACCACCCGGGAGCAAGTCTATCATTGGGCCTTGCTTGTTGTACCTGCGAGGTACTACGCACACTCCGGGTAGTAGGCTTGACGAACAAGTCCCTGGTGACCCCCTTTATCTTGGGAACGTGTTCTATAGGAGGCACACATCCAGAAAAACGTTTCTCTGTCTCAGCTCTTCAGCTTAGAAGCGTCTTGTGAAGCTTGCTGGAAGACCCTTTATTTCTGGGAACGTTATTTCAAACTCCGTTGCTCTAACGTGTTTTGTTTAGGCTGCCTGTCAGGTATGAAGCCAAGGTATAGGTTGTCAAGCTTCGGATGATAATAAACCAGCCCTCTTGTACCCAGTGTTTAAACAAATGCTTGATTAAGAACGTGGCTGTGAGACTTGACATACTCCGTATATGTACAGAGTAACGCTGCCGACGGGCGTGCTGAGTGGAAGAAATATCCGAGACCTGTCATTCGAAACTTCATGATAGGGTCCTGTTGGAGACAGACTACACATCTGCCTGGAGCCGCGTATTCCCAGACCAGTTCAGCTGGATGGTGCATGCATAAGAACGAACGCCAGGCGTAAACCTTCCTGTAGCTGTAGGATAGGTTTCAAGCTGAGGTCGTAAATCCCTATTTGAGGTTGGTCAATGAGACATCATCTGTGAGAATAGTAATCAGTCGGTGGTAGGTAGTAGCCTGAGGAGCAGCTGTGATGTTGTATCTCTTTCGAGTGTGATAGTCGTTGCATTGACCTACTGGTTGTTTACTGTTAGAGACTTGATATGCTCGGGGATGAACGTGTAATAGGATGCTATTGGTTCTGATACTGAACGTTGCTAAACTACAAGGGGTTCTGGGGAAGGAAAACAATAACCTTGTAGGCATGTGGGACACGTGACTCTCCATAGCATCACATGACCTCGGTTCTTTCATCTACGGACGTAACGCTAGATGGTTGCCTTGGGTATATAGCAGTAGAAGTTGGGGTAAAGTCTCACTCAGGTATACACCATTCGTCCATTTAATCCAAGCAATTATGGCAGTTATCCCCATTAGTATCGTTTCGGACGTCATTTGTCCATGGGTAGTTGTTCTCCTACCCTTTGCCCCGCGAACTGATCACTGACGAAACGTAGTGCTACATCGGATACCGCAGCCTTCAGCGGGCGATCGGTCTCTACCAAAAGACATACCCCGGTGGTTCCAAGGATGAGTTTGAAATCATTTGGAAGCCTTACTTTATCGACCAGGAAGCGCCGTCGAAGAGTGAATGGGTACCAGGTATGATGTGCTGTAATGTAATGTAGGATACCTTGCTCATGGACGAAAATAGATCGAATGAACCGTCGAATGAAAGACCCTAAGATGGTTGAAGCTGCACAGACTCGCCTCAAGCGCGTTGGAGCCCAGTTCGGCATCCAGTTCAAGTTTGAGGGGTATATGGGGAGCTCTAGGCTGGCGCATCAATTACTGTACGTGGTGTACAAGGAAAAGGGCAGTGAGATGCAATGCAAGGTTGCAGAACAGCTTTTCCGCTATCAGTTTGAAAAGGAGGCAGATGTGAGTGATATCAACGTCGTGGTGGAGGCTGCTGTGCAGGCCGGACTGGGTGAAGAGGAAGTGAGAACATGGCTGGCGAGTGATGTTGGTATAGCTGAGACGGAGAAGGAAGAGAAAGAGATGCGGGATTCAGGAAAGGTTCAGGGTGTACCCCATTTTATCATTGGAGAGCAGCATTTAGAGGGGGCCGTGGACTATACAGAGCATCTGGAGGCATTCATCGCCGCTCGCGAAGCAGCTGTATAATATGATTTGAACCCTTAGCCTGTTCATATTATCATTACGTAGACGTCCATATGCTCAAACATAGAATCCCCTTGACATCTGTATTTGATTAGAATAAACCCGTAGCTTTATCTCTCCCTTCTCATCTAAGGATACCACCCACACCCGCCCATCCAAGGACAAACCCGCTAATCGCCTCTGTAGCAACAAGGCCACCAAACCAAAGATCCTTCCAGGCGCCTTTCCTTACACATCCGCCTCCCGAAGAAACCAATTCCCCATCTCCCGGGAAATATGCCCCGATTCCAGAGACTCCTTTTATTGTGCCTTTCCCACTTATGCCGGGACTGGCGTCACTCTTAACGAGGAGGACGTGGACTAGGAAGGAAACGAGTATTGTGCCTAGCAGGTAGAATGTGAAGCCATATGCGGATTGGAGGCCGAGGATTCCAGCTGCCGTGCCTAGTAGGAAGGCTATGAGGGAGTGTAGACTTGCGAGTATCTGAGGAGTATGGTTAGCTTTCTGTTCTTGTAGATTGGGGGTTATAGGCTGGACGAAGGTACCCGTCTGTTATGTGCGGCTGATTCTGGGACGAGGGGGTTTATCAGGAGCGAGAGTTCTTGGCTTGTCGGCGGCATTGTGACTGAATTTTGTTTATTTATTTCTCTTGTCTTCTGGCCTGGTTATAAGGTCATTATCAATTGTTTTCTCGAGTCGTTAGAAACGGTTTCTACGATTGCGATGTTGCGGAAGCTTGAGAGCTCAGATTACGTAATCTCTATCAATCAGCGAGAGGAGGAATAGTGTGAAGATGATCAAACGGACAAGGAAAGTTCTCAATTCATATAGGGCATCATAAATCTCAGGACTTGGAGCTAGCCTTCTCCTTCTTGCTCTTCTTTTTCTCCTTTTTCTCTTTCTTTTTCTCCGTTGTCGAAGGTAGCACTTCTACGGCTCCCGACATACTCAGGTCCATGTCATCATCCACGATCTCCTCTGCCTCACGCTCTCGAGATGTAGGATCATGATAATTATCTCCCGTCCCCACCCTCCCCGCTCCAAGAGCCTTATTCTTCTCGTCGGCAACAAGCTTCTCCTCGTCTTCACGGCTCAACATCGTCCCCTCGAGGCTAAGGAAGCCCTTATCCCGCTCGCTACCCGGTATAACATCGACATCACGAACACGAAACCTAATAGTTCCGCGCACCCTCTTGCCCGAGCGAGTCTGAAAATATCCCGTCTCAGCAGAACTCGTATCATCGAACTGTGACGCCTCGCCGTTCAAAGCCAACGGTTTAAAGTTCTCCTTGTCCGAGTCTGCGTCTTCATCATCATCTTCGTCATCGTCTTTACTTGATGTCGGCGACGTTGTTGTTGTTGTTGTCGTGGTGGTTGTGCTGGGTTTATCTGGCTGTTGGCCAGGCGCTATCCACTTCCAGTCGGCCGGTAGTCTGCGACGCTCAATGCCGATAGAGAACAAGTTAAAAACGATAGCGCCTAGGAAGTCTTCGGATTGGACGTTAATCCAGCCCTCGAGCGTCTGGCCTCGTTCGGCCCGGAAGACGAGGAAGGTAAGTGTTAGATAGGTGTGTAGTACCCCATATTCGCCGGCTGTTTTTGCGAGGGTGAGTGGTTCTGGGTTCGGCGTGTATGCTGAAGTAGATGCCGGTGTGGGTTTGGTTGATGAGATGGAAGGGTTGGAATAAGCGAGCACCACGCCGCGTACGGGTGGGTAGTATGTCAGTAGCAGAGGAGAGATATGTTCTGCCAACAGGGACGAGACGGCGTGAGTTGGTGAGATGGATATGGGCGAGAGAGGGAGGTAGATTGTTGTCGTCACTCGGTGGAATGAAGGTAGCTGGTCTGCTGCCGACTGGGAATGGGTATGGGTATCTTTATCGCTCGAGGTCGATTTGGTAAGCGGTTTGCGAGAGGTAGCGTCTTCCTCTCCCTCATCTTCCTTGTCGTGCGTTGAGCGTTTCCCTTCCTTCTTCGAATGCTTGTCCTTCTTCTTTTTCTTCGTCTTCTCCCCGTCTTCTACCACGGCCGCATCTGCCTGCTCCTGTCTCTTGCGCTTCTTCGATTCACTCTTCTCCTTGCGCTTCTTCTCCGGCGACGATATCGGGTCGATATCCATTGCGTCCATGGACATGTCGGGCATTCAATGGGCGATGTGGGCGGGCGAATTTCCCTGTCGTGGTGAATGTTGAAAAAAGATAATAAAAAAAAATAGAAAATTAAGGTTCTTGGCTGGCGGTTAGCGCCAAGCCGGGTAGCGCCCTTATTTATTTTAGCCGCCGACTTTGTCTTTGATGTTTCGTGGCATCAAGAAATATTGACACAGGGGAAGAAAGGGCGCAGGCAGATAAGATGCGCGGTATCTAGTTTTTTTTTCTTTTTCTTTTTGGGCATACTGGACACGATAAACATGGCGTCCAGAGTCCTCTCCTTCGCAGGCTGGGCTTTCCTCCCCGGTGTAAGCCACCCATTCCAGTGCTACATACCCTCTTTCTAACGGTGACAACAGCTAGCAACCTCTTTCCTGCAGAGCTTCTACTATCGCCTCACCATCCGAGCAGGCTCACCGCACCCGCAGCCTGGTTCGCCACTGTATACCCTCCACAACCGACGCATCCACGTCGCCGTGATCAGCAGCTACCTGCTATACACCCTGTACGAAGAATACTACAGCCTCCGGATAGCAGGCGACTTTTACAGTCTTCTCGGCGTCCTGCCTACCTCAGATGAGAGGACGATCAAGACTCGCTTCCGACGACTAGCGGCGCTGTTCCATCCCGATAAAGCGAGACAGACGTCTACAGCAAGCTACACGACGGACGATGGCAGGAACCTGGATGAGTTCTTCGTGATGCTGAAGCTGGCGCAGGATACGCTGCTTGATCCCGTCAAGAGGTTTGCGTATGACCGGTTTGGAGCCGGCGTGGTCGACCGGCCCGAGGGCGCGGGCAAGGCGTTGAGCATGGGCGGGTACTTCTACGAGGGCCTCTTTGCGCTTGTCCCGCAGTATGTGGCCGGGTTCATGATGATGATTGTCCTGAACATATTCTGGCTGTCTGCTTGGGCGAGATACGTGAGTAGCTACTTCTGTCTATAATGAGTGCTACCAAGCTAACGATGTGGAAGTGGCGGTTCTATACGTTCTTCGCCCTGTTGACTCTCGAGCTGACGCTGCTCACCCACCCCAACGCCACCTTCATCCCCTCCGCCTATCTTCCCGCCACGCTGTCCTGGTTACTGGGGCTAGACAGTTTCTATCTGCTTCCCTTCCAGATACTGGCTCTCGCCCGCACGGCCTCGGTGACCATCAACATCTTCATATCGCAGCTTACCCCTCCAGACGAGAAGTCGAGGGGAGCAGGCAAAGGCAAGGGAGAGGGCGGGCTTAGCGTACAGACGCAGCAGCAGCTGGCACAGATCGCCCAGTTGGCGCATACACAGGATAGCGAGACGGCCAAGCTGCTGGGGATGGACATGATCCCGTTCAAGGGCGATAGCATCGGCGTGCAGAGGCTACGGCGGGGGATGAAGGAGCACTTGGACAGGGAGGGCGCCAGACAGACTCCAGAGGTGCAGGAAGCGGTCAAGTTGGTTATCTCCAGAGGTAGAACGAGGCAGACAGAGAAAGAAGTAGAAGAAGTAGAAGAAGAAGAAGAAGAAGAGGGAGAAGTAGTAGAAGTGCCCAAAGAGGAAGTCGAGGCATAGACTGTATTATATAAGCATCTTATTCATCTCTTACTAAGCTTTCCTTGACTGGCCAATAAGGAGTGGACTTCCTCCTTTACATGATCCACACTCGTATATTCACCACGCCAACACTTTGCGATTATCCCTCCACATAGAACGTCGTCAGTATGTGGGAATGAGTCCAGTTCAGGCCAGCCGAGACCGTCGTCGAAAAAGTAGTACTTGTAAACCTTCCAAGATGCAATGGAGTAGAGCACCCAGCCAAGATGGAGTATCTCAACCTGCACATTCAAGCCCTTGTCATCCGCGGAAGCAACGTCGGTGTCAAGAGGTAGCAGAACAGACTGTCCGAAATCTGCAAGTTGGACCTGCCCATCCAGTATTAAAATGTTGCGGAGAGCGATGTCATCCACAAACACTTTGCGTGAATGGACGTGGGAGAGAGTGTCAACAACGCTCGACATCCAGTTGACTTTCAACGAGTCCTCGGGTTCAGGGCTGTTTCCTAGATAGCTTTCAAGGTCTTCCTGTGCTCGGGCCAGCTCGATACCATATTGAGATGTTTTGTAGCAGTGAATAATCCCCTTATGACAGCCCAGGCGTTTGAAGACTTGAATCTCGTTCTCCAGGTCTTCCATGTATCCATCGTGTCTATGTATCCAACTTGCCTTTATATCGGAATATCTTTTATCCATGTCATCTTAGTCATCTTAGTCATCTTAGTCATATATTACTGTACGTAACGTACATACACGAGACCTCCTAGTGTATTAAAAGAAGGGATGTGATTGGGTGATGCGCTGACTAAGATGTACAACCTCCCAGAAAGCGCGAAAGGAAGACGGAGAAACCTCAAGGCTCAGAGCGTCCACGCCCGGCAAGAAAAATAAGAGCGATCGCTTGGGGGCAAGGAGGCCACACGCCTAGTCAGTTAGTGAGACGGATGCGCGTGCGGAACAAGGACAAGCGACAATGAACCACCCACCCTTTCCCTTTCCTCCTCCCCATCACCACCTCCATCCATCTACCATCTACCATCCACCTTCATCCATGCCATCACCACGACTGCGACTGCGACTTCGACGACCGACCACGGCTCTCTAACTTAATTACCGTCCACCAACGCAAAACTCTGCCCAGCACTCACCCTCGCACACCGGCCCAGAGACAGACAGCGTAGCACCTCGCAATGGCTGGCTCGGACACCTCGTCGACCACCACCGCCTCCTCTCGAGCACCGCCGCCAGCTTCATCTTCGACTGGCAAGGCCAGGGCCAGGAAGATAGTCGTCCTCTCGCTCTCGCCAGCAGTCCTTGGCCGGTTCGCCAGCGGCAGCGGCAGTGCCAGCACCGTCGACGACAGCCAGGCCAAGGAGGAAGAGTCGAGCTCGCCCTCCACGCCGCCAGCACCGCTCACCCAGACCTCGTCGGGGAGTGCAGCCGACAACGCTTCAGACGGCGATGCTGCGTCCACCCCGAATGCCGGAGACGCCTCTGTCAGCGGCCCTGCACCGTCGACGCCCGCTCCTGCTTCTGCCAACGGACCTACTTCAGCTCCCGCTACGGGCTCGGGGACAGGTCCAGCGAAGGCCGGGACCAAGAGAGGCGCCGCCGCCCTGGGTCCGGATGGCCTGCCCAAGCCGCGGGGGAAGCCAGGTCCCAAGAAGAAACCAAGACTGTAAGAGACCCTCCTTTCTCTACATTATATATATATATACTGACAAGAATAGTGAGGATGGCGAAACACCGTCTCGCCCAGCTGCACCGGCCCACCGTCTCGGCCCCAAGGCAAACCAGGGAGCCATCAACGCCGGCCTGCGTGCCCTGGACCGCACAGGCAAGCCGTGTCGAAAGTGGGAGCGAAAGGCGTTCCAGCTCAAGTCGTTCACCGGCGTGCTATGGCAGGTTCCTAGCTGGGGGGCACCACCACGCCCTAAACCAACGGAAGACGAAAAGGAAGAGAAAGAAGGGGAAAAGGTAGAGAAGAAGGAAAAGGAGAAGAAGAGTGATAAGAGCGAGAAGAGCGAGAAGAGCACTGCCGGCGAGGGTGATCGAGATGCAACGCCGGCCGGTAGCATGCTGGGCATCGAGTCGCCCGCTCCCGTCGCCGTTGCATCCTAGTCCTTCTCATTCTACTCTTACTACTATTACTCTTCTATGTACACTATTCTCTTCGACGGCTCGATCTGTCCCTTTCTATATTACCTGCAACATGGCGTCTGGTCGGTTGGTCTGGATTCCTCGGTTATGTCTCGTCTTTCTTTCTTCTAGGTGCAAAAGTTATGGATATGGGGCTGGCTCTATATGGTGTGGTTACCATGTACTTTTAGATAGCAGGCTACAACAATACTAATCCATCGTCTTCTTCTATTCCTCCTTCTCTCTTCTCTTCTCTATATCTTCTATCTTCTATGTCGTGTGCATCGGGTATCCCTGCCTGCGCTCATGTGACCCTCTGCCTTAGTCGGACTGCGAGATTCACGACTCCAACTTCACCTCGAGCTCAAGCTACCTGCTGGCTTCCCTATAACACCCGGCCAGCTACCTCGTACGTACAGAGTATAGAGACTCGCGATAGACGACGCAGCCAGACTCTCCTCGACGGGCGCCGACCAGCCCTTACCCGCTGCCGTCTGACCCCGGACCCCAAGTCGAACCCCCTCAACCACCATCAAAACAGCCAGCGCCAGCCATGCCGTCATAACCTATACGCTTACACGTCTTCACCGCAGCTCCTCGTCACCACAGCAGCAGGCTATACAGCTCCAGCCACCGTTAGCTGGCTTACGCATCTTGTCCAGTTCGACGCATGAGGGCTATGCTGGTGTCGTATCGATAAGCAGCAACCGTCGAGGAAGAAGAGCGAGCTTGAAGCTGGGACTGGACGAGTGCCACGGTACGACCAGTAGGCAAGCAAGCGAGCGAGCAGGTAGCAAGCAGGTAGCAACGCGGCAGAGGTGAAGGTAAGCACGCGCGAGTGACCTTTCTACGCCTGTCGTCCACGGTACTGACCTCGCCCGTCCAGCTTCAAAGGTACGGATAACTATCCTGCCCTACTCCTGATCATCACCACCACCAGCACCCACCAGCACCTGCACTGCACATCACTGCATAGCACTGCACAAGCACTGCCACCATGAGCAATGCACCGGGTTCGGGGCCTGGCAGAGGTCTCCCAGCTTCCATTTACCTGCCTGCACCAGGCCCTGCCACCACTCCCATTCTTCGCACGCGCAGGTCCTCTTACGCCTCCGTCGTCTCGCGCCAGCCCGGGCAAGACGGGCACGAGCACGAGCATGAGCACGATCAGCAGTTTCCATCGTCCTCGTTCCGCCCAAATCTAACCATCTCATCTAGCACCAACCTCCCCGAAACCAGCAACGGCTCCAGATCCCGCACCCTCGCCCCCGGTTCCGCCGTCCTGGATACCACTACAATGCAGACCAACGGCGGTGGTCCAGGTCTAGGCGCAAGTGCAGGCGCAAGCGGTTGGCGCAGACCAAATACCTTCCACCAGCAACACCAGCATCAGATCCATAACAACCTCCCATCATACTCGAAACAGTTCGAGAGGTTGTTAGATTACACCACTTCGCCCGTCCTGCCGTACGGAATCAACCATCCACACCCCGAAGACTCCTTCTTCACACCTTCATACCTACGGTCTTCCAAATACGTCGCCCAGCTATACGCAGCACACAGATCCAAGCTCTCCTCCCAGCGTGATGCACAGGCACAATCACAATCCCAACAGACGCCTACGTCCGGATCATCGGCACAACACCATGGCCTGCCCTCTTCAACTTCCTCGCTTTCTCTCTCTGCCTCGTCCAGCCAGCTTAATTTGCACCGTATGGCCCCCTCCCATAGAGGTATGACATATGATATCGTCGAGAATCAGAGTTCGGGTACCGAGTCTACCGCGCCTGTTGACGGACAGAACCTCACCCCGCTACCTGCGCGCTGGAACGAGAGTGACAAGTACGGCGGCCTAGACCTGCTGGCAGACGGGCTGGAGGTGAGATATATCGGCCATGTGAATAAGCATGAACAAGAGGCGGCGGCCGTCCGCGCCGATCAGCCCATGCCGGTCAAGTGCGGCATATACTACTTTGAAATCACTATTTTGGCCAAGCCCAAGGAAGGGTATGTCAGCTCTTACCATGACTTTTCTTCATCCGTTTATTCTACTATATACAGTAAGATTTCTGTTGCTAATGCGTTAATAGTATGATTGGCGTGGGATTCTCAAACAACAAGGCCTCGCTGGAGAGACTGCCAGGCTGGGAACAGGATTCATGGGCCTACCATGGCGATGACGGGAAGACGTTTTTCGGCGACAACCAGGGCCAGGGAAGGCCATATGGACCTACCTTTACCATCAATGATACGATCGGATGCGGTATCATTTTTTCTACCGGGTCTGCGTTTTTCACAAAGAACGGTTCTTACCTTGGTGAGTATCATTGCTATATCTTGGTATATTCTAGCGGCTAATAGTTGGGTTTGTAGGAAATGCGTTCCGCGATCTTAAGCCGTCAAAGCTCTACCCGTCTGTAGGGATGAGAAAGCAGCCAGGCGCGCACGTCAGGGCTAACTTTGGCCAGTTTCCTTTCATCTTCGACATCGATAGCATGATGGCGGTACGTCTCTACTTTCACAGCATGTATAGCATGCCATACTAACAGGGACACTATAGAATGAAAAATACGATGTTCAGAGGAGCATCCGGTTGACGGAATTATCTACTCTGCATCCCACCCTAGACGAGACGGAATTTATGCAGAAACTCGTTGCCCAGTTCCTAGCGCATGACGGATATGTAGAGACCGCCAAGGTCTTCGCGAAAGAAGTCCAAGAGGAAAAGCGTGCGCTAAAAAATTCCGAGGACGCTTCCCTGAAGGAGTTCGAGATCGAAGATGATATAGATGCCATCAACCGGCAGAGTATGTCTAGTCTCATATCTACCGTCCAGTTATATTCAAAGCTAACCCCGTTTAGAAATCCGCGCAGCAATTCTAGAAGGCGACATCGACAAAGCCCTCAAGCTCACAAACGCGCACTACTCCAACGTCCTCAGCGACAACCCACACATCCACTTCCGACTGCGGTGCAGAAAGTTCATCGAGATGATGCGCCGCTGCACCGAGCCACAACCAATCACCACCACCCGCTCCTCAAACGGCCTAACTACAGACCCCGTCAACAATGTAGCAGACGTCTTCACCCTCAACATGGAAGTCGACGATCAAATGTCTGACCTGCAGCCCCAGGTTGAAGTCGAAGCGGAGAATAACGAAGCCATAGCTGCAGATGATATGATGGATACTGATGCGAACAACCACAACAACACCACGGCTATGACGAAAGACCAAGACCTTCTGCATGAGGCTATCCTCTATGGCCAACAGTTACAGGCCGACTATCCAGGCGATGAGAAGAAAGAGCACAAAAAGGCGCTAGACGACATCTTCTCGCTAGTGGCGTACGCAGACCCCAAATCCTCAGTGCACGGCCACTTGCTGGATGCAAGTGGTCGGGTTGGGGTCGCGGAGGAGTTGAATTCTGCTATCCTAGGTACGTTCACCTCATATAATTTGTTTCTTTTCTCAAATAATTCCCTAGAGTAACCTTCGCAATCACTAACTTTACGCAGTATCACTTGGAAAATCCTCCTCCGCGACACTAGAGCGACTATACCAGCAGACCGAGGCGCTTATTAACGAACTAAGTGAAGAAGGCGGCGCTGGGGCGTTTATCAATGTTGTCGATGATTATTTAAAATAATCTCCCCCCCCACCCCTCTCTATATCGTAACCGTTTGTCTGTTTATATGGGGTTCGAATCATGGGCATGGCGTCTATCAATGTTTATTCTATCACGTATTCATTCCTCTCTCGTCAGTACCGAAAACAATCATGCGGTACGTACGCATAACCCTATAACTCACTACTCTCTATATCACATCACCATGTATGTACCCTGTTTACATCTGCGTTTATGTCGTCTTCTCTATCTCCCGTCTCGTCTCCCTGCCTGCGTGTCTGGAGTTCCCCCTTTATTTTTCTTATCTGGTTCAACATATGTCCCCCTTCGCTGCTGGCTTACCTCTGCTGTATTCCTTACTTAGCCTCGCATGTTCATTAAATATTCATCTATTTCATAGGGCTGTGAGGCGTGGGGAGCGATATGGGGTAATTATTATTATGAATAAAAGTAGTAAACCTCTCAACGTACTTCTCGTATGTAGATAGTTCCTTGTCCGTAAATAGAGGTCCTCCTTTTTAATAATACTAAACAATGTTATTTCTTTCCTCTCTCCTCTTCTCATTATTCTCCTTTTCGGCCCCTTATTTGAACATTAACAGGCATGGTGTAACGTAAACTGACTCGGTACGACGACCTAATAGACCAGATGGACAAGCAAGTACGTTAACAGCATGTTTCAAAAGAAAGGGGGTAATATAATTCTGTAAAACGCTATATGAACTAGCTACGGCTGCAAGATCCACCATCAATGAGGCTGAATCTAAATTAAATAACCTTCCTTCCACATATCACGGCTGATCTTGAGGCCAGTTTCACCTTTGCCAAAGCGATGGGAGCTATCTTTAGTTTCCAGGAAACATCACATAGGGCCGATGTGCTGCAGTTATAACCTTCAACATAAGAAAATTCTTATATCAACATCGACGAGGTACCCACGCTTAATTGTTCTCACTCCATCTATGCGTTTAGGTCAACCAAGAGCCCCTTATACCTGTAGATATGAGCCAGGGATCCTGCCTATGCCCGCATTCGAGACAGCGATAAAAGAGAGTGCTCCCCTCGTCTGCGCTTCTCAAGTGCAACTCAAACCAAGTAGCTTCCTTCGCTTTGCAGTTAAAGCAGTCAACCTGAATACGCTGGCTTCCTCCCATGGAATCCTTAGACATGGCCGCCTGTGTGTAGCGGCCGGACGCAGTTTCTCGTCGAAGGAATTATACAAAACATATGTACGGACTGTCCTTGGGATAAACTTTCGAGCTAGTCAGTTACATAAGCAACCCTTTTTAGTGCTCCGCGATGCATTTCCAAGGAGACATTATAGCAAAAATCAACATCCTCTGCTACGGCAAGTGATGATATCGATATAGCCAGGAGCCGAGTTCTCGCTATGGCCTCATCTGGCAATTCAGAAGCCATTGATGGCGAAAACGTACTGCAGGCGTACGGGCAGGCCCAGTACGCCCAACGCAACTATGTTGGCGCACTCGAAGCCTTCTCAACGGTACTTTATAGACCTCTTTAATCAACTCCCAAGTTGAACTCCATGTTCTCTAACGAAAGAGAATCTATGAGTATAGGCATTGGTCCAAGGAGAAGGCGATAAAATTGGAATACTAGATAATAGATCCGCAACATATTGCAAAATAGGAGACCTCAACTTGGCCCTAAAGGATGGGAGAAAAATGGTGAAGATCGATAAGAAGGATGCAAGAGTACGGTTTTTTAATTTATACCCACAGATGTTGACGGTTGCTATGCGTGATGCTGACCTGCTCGTCCAGGGATATCTGCGGACAGCTCAGGTTCTACAGCTGAAGCAAAGGCTCGAGGATGCGCTACAGCTATATGAGTACGCCCTCAAAACGATAGATGCAAATGATGCAAAGCGCCCGGTAGACACTCAATTTGTTCTTACTGCGCGTTGGACCCGCGCTAACTAAGGGATGCAGAAGATTGAATTACTCAAAGCGAAGCTTGAAAAAGCTCTAAATCCGCCGCGGCAGGATCCGTTTGGCATATTACCACCTGAACTGGTGGCAATGGTTTTGGGGCATTTGGACCTACGTACGCTGATGTATGTGGAGACGTTGACTTTTATGTCTGTTTGACATCCCATTAACTGAAAATCCCCCGGGCAAACAGCACACTCCTTCGAGTCTCGAAACGATGGGGGAGCCTAACAACGTCCATGGGTACGGCTTTTTCACATATGGACCTCCTCAGATCACGAAGAACCGTTTCTTTGATGGCAATTCGTGCATATTTTCGGCGACATTCCACTGTGATACAGAGAGCTACCCTTGCTCACCTTTCTCCAGAGAACACTACCAAAACTTTAACATTCCTCTCTAGATGTCCGAAAGTGGTTGACATTGATTTGACTGATCACTGGGCGACTCTGGATGATTACAGACTCCTGGACGAATTCCCTGGGCTGAAGAGGTTAGCTATACGATCGGGGTATACGCTAGGTTCTCAGGGGCTTGACGCCCTTCTACGTGTGCACCCTGTGCTTGAATCACTTACAATTCAGGCAAAGGACTTTAGTATCGAGCATATCCGAGACAAGAGCTCACCCATGTCGCAATTGCGATCTCTGGCTATAAGCTTACCGGGGGCATCCACCAGTGACCCCATCTTCTTTGATGTAAGTCGTGGCAACTTGATACCCTCGAGGTTGAGGTTGAGGAATGCTAATAGGTAATGTGTAATAGAGCACGTTAAAGGACCGAATGCCCGTTCTTGAAGAGTTGAAGATTACTGGAAGTTTGACAACGATCAACTTTTACGAATCAGATAGGGATATATCAAGCCATCCTTGCTTACGCATAATCAAGCTATCCCAACTTCGCCTGAGTAACCATCTTGAAGCGTTACCACCAGCTCTGGAGGAAATACATATGGCTCACATGACAGATGTGACCGAACATTGGCCTGACCACAACATCTTGAGGGGCCTTCCCAATTTAAGGGTGGCAGTATTTGATAACCCTTCCAACGACATCAACTCTCAATCGTTAGAGGAATACTTCGAAAGCGTTAAACCAAATCTAACATTAAAGTCTCTTACCTTGACCAATTGCCGCTGGGTCAATTCGTCTGCTTTATTGCGTTTCATGTTAGCAGACTATTTAGACCCCCTAACCGAACTAAATATTGCCTCTATGTGTGGGGTTGAAGACGAGACCATCATGGTTATGCGCAGTGCAGTCCCCAAACTGAGGAAGCTGGACTTATCCCGTACCCGTGTCACGGGCTTTTCAATCAAGCTGCTCGCCGATGAGGAGAACAGTAAACTGGAGACGTTGATCGTGCATGAAACAGAAGACCCGGTCAGCAGAGATGCAGTTGAGTATGGTCGGAGCAAAGGAATCCATATCCCAACGCCAATATGTCAAAAATACTGATGTATGTTTCAACTGATAAGAATCACAACTTTTTATTATTCAATCTAAGGTCGTAAGGCCTAAATAAGGCAAAGTCGCAATTTATATAAACAAACAGATATCTAAGTTGAAATGCATCCCGCTCGTGCTGGTAATCCGCAGCAATGCCGCCCTAGACGACGCCGAGACATATGAAAGAAAGCAAAAAAAGGAAAGGAAACGAACCAGTTTATTTAGCTGGAACTCCGCGTTCCTGGCACCATTTACCAACTTCCTTGTCTAGCTTGTCCCTCTGGTCTCGTACAAGCTCCATCATCTCCTCGACTTGGTCCTTGTACTTGTCAAATGATCCGAGGTTCTCACCCTGGGCACCGGTTCCGTTCTTCAGAAGTGGAACGACGGAACGGTCATAAGTGGCAAGCATGAGGTCCATGACGGCAAAGAGCTGGTTGGGAAGCCACTATTTATATCGTTAGAATTGTAGTGCTAAGTTAAGTGTTAGGGAGTTAGACTTACAGTGACGATGGGGCTTCCTCCGGTGGCAGTTGGATGGCTGGTACGCTTAATGATGTACTCTCTGGCAAAGAGCCAGTGTCTCCATCGGAAACTGCGGACATGGTCGAGAGTCTTTAGGTAGAGGAAGACGGTCTCTGGGTCCTGTGTGGAGTACTTGGGGATGTCAAGCTCTTGGGACTTAGCGGCGACGTGGGCAAGGAACTTGCGGTGAGGCATTGGGCGGTAGGCGCGGAACTCGTGCAGGATCTTAGTCAAGGGGGTGTCTGGCATGGGGATTTGGCAGAGGTGGTCGAGGAGTGGGATCTATAATAGTAGGACTGTCAGTAACCTGTATGCTGGCGATAGGGGTATGATAATATGTGTTGCACTTACGATGCTGTCGTTGGCTCCAGACTCTCCACGGAAGTTCAAAGGCTTGTTGTCTTCAATACCCTCGTAGACAACGCCATTGGGGAACATAGACTGGGAGGTAATTCCGAAAATGAAGACTCGGAACGAGATGTAGTCACCAGGCTTGGAGTTCTTCCACATGTCTAAGATGAGGTGTAAGAAGCAGTGACATCAGGAAAAGGGGTATTGAAGGGGGGTGTTGTAACATACCTTCCATACAGGCTTCGATCTTGGTCATACCTTCAAGAATGGTTCGGTAGGCATCGTTGACAGTAGCACGGTCAGCACCTTGCTCAACGGCGTTGAGGATACGGACAACACCGTCAACCAGGGAGCCGGTCTCCTTGACCATGTAAACGTGGGTCAGGATAAAGCCGGCCTCAGAGCTGGCTGGGTCAAGACCGTTCTCGAAGCCACGGATGAGTCTCAAGTTAGAGTAGTCATATCCCTTGGAGGTGTCTGCAAGGGCATAGTTGAATAGGGCATAGGATGCCGCGTATGAGAGGAATGGCGGGAGATCCAAGCTGTCAACAAGGTTAGCATTGATGTCATGTTGAGGTATGGATAGGTAGATATATTAAACAAGGCGACGACATACATCTGGGCACATCGGTACATTGGGCCAGCAATGGAGTGAGGCAGTCTTTCCCGTCCGAGACCATAGCTCTGGTCGGGAGTGGTGTTCCAGGACTTCCAGCAGGGTTCCAAGAGGTAAGAAGAGGCAAGGAAGGAGTAGTCTCTGAACACGGCGGTAAGAGTATATAGGTCTGGCTTGCCATCAGCAGTGACGACCTTATCAACCTCATCCGTGAGATCCGGGAGCTCAGCATGGACGACGGGACCAAGGTCATAGGTGGCAAGGAGTCCAGGGGTTCCATCAGCCTTTTGGACAGGGAGGCGGTCCATGATGGAAGTCAATGGAGCAAACACTTCCGGCAGGCCGGCTGGTGGGAGGATGGTAGGCATGAAACCCGAAGCAGCCGTGATGGTGAAGGGGTCAACAGACTTGGGGAGGGTCTTGGGGTCATCGAACACATGAGGGAAGGCCTTCATGGTTGAAGTAGGGATCTCCTCAATTCGAGTCATGATGAAGGAGGGTAAAGGGGGTTGAGGGAATGTGTGGTTGTGGTGCTGATGGGTAGGGTGGCAAGGCCGTGTAATAGGGGAAGTAGATGTGAATAAGGGGGTATGGGCTTATTTTTCCACTCAGGAGAGGTTGTAATCAAGCAAATGAGTACAAAGTAGCTTATTTGGCCTGGAGAAGAAGATAGAAGGGAAGAAAAAATCGCAATCTGGCGGGGAAATTTGGAAGCATTATATATCCTTCTTGAGGCCGGAATTGATACCGGCCTCACGCACTAATTACGAAAGACGGACAGAGAAAGATGGATCTGACCGGCAGCCGCTTGATCAGATGACGAAACAGGGCGTTTTTGGGGTATAACCCAGCATATGCATCATAGATGCCAACATGAGCGTCCTCAGGGTGTCTCTAGAGACCTTGATATGCGTATAAACGACGATGGCGAAGTTGATATATGGTTAAAGAGGCTCATGGCTGGATTAGGTAACAGCCCGTTGGCGTAACCCGAAGAAGACTGGCGCCGATCGCTATCAATCTACAGATAAGATCTAAATCAACGAGGTTTCAGCCTCCGCGGCCTAAGATATGCGGAAATGCCTTCTTATACGTTCTCTGCCTCTCGTTTCACGTCTCAGGGATGTCGTTAGGGCCGCTGATATCGACTACGACGAGCTCCCTCTCGATGTTCTTTCTCATGTTCCTTTCGTCCCAAGACGGCGCAAAATAGTACATGCAAACTACAACGCAAGTCAAAGTCTAACATCGCTCGCCACGTCCCCGATTGGCCAGGGAACTCTGGAGATAGCCAAGAGGCCGGAATTGAACCGGCCTCCGTTGGTATCCGGCCAGGAGAATTAATAATTCGTTCCTGTCGATGATGGGAAACGGCTGGACCGTGAGTGGCTGCGAAGGAACGGAGAAGGAAAGCAAGAAAAATACGGGGCCCAGGTAGGTGCGCATGTTTATTCAACCCTAAATTAATATACAACGACAAAAAAAAAACACATGAAAGAAGTAATAAGGAGTTTCAAAGCATCGCAATCATGATGATGGTCAGTCCCAGACAGAAGATAGATAACGCCCAGAGAGGGAGCGGTGTCAGGCTCTTGCTTTTCGACGATGGGATCTGCAAGCCACTGTTGATGTGCACATCGTAGCACACCGTTGCGGTTGTAAGACCGCCCGCTTTCTGGCAACGTTGGTTGAAGACAGAGTCTGTGCCGTTCTCGCTTGCGCTGGTGTTGTGGTATATCGAGAGATACTTGACTCGGAGATATACGTCTGTCGTGCTGGGAGAACCACTCCACATTCCTCCATCTGCCCATAGGTTCAGATACACGCTCCCTTCGTCCGTTGGAACTCTGATGGTGTTTGTGTGCACCACATCTGCATTCTGGTAAAACCGTAACTCCTCCTTTGTCCAGTCAAAGCGATGAACCTGAAATGACTCGGACGGCCGATCCCCATTCAACGAGATAATCTCCGTTGCGTTGCTGATGAGCCACCCTCTATCATCCAACGCTGGATGAGTCGTGTAGTGAACCAACATAGAATCTTGCTTGAACTCTCTCGTCAAAATCTCAATATCAATTTCATTTTTATCATCCTGTTTACAAACAAGTTGGTCAGCACTATTATAAAGTATCTCCAGTTTTATAGAAGGAATACAAACATGATACCAGAAGAATCCAGCCACGCTCCCACCCGAGGCGTTTTCCATTACCATATTCGCCCTGAAGCTTCCATGAAGGATATTCGACGCGCGACTCGCGATGGACGCCACGCTGACAATTTCCGCTGACAGTACAGACTCCTTGGGGTATCCTTCCTGCCGCAGCGTCAGGTGTCCGTCCTCAAGGTACACATTCTCAGGACGGTTGAGTATCGGCAGCGGGGTCGCCCAGTTCATGACAGGTAGCCCCCATTTCTGGATCGCCCAGTCTCGCGTGAATTTAGGATTCGTGCTAAGTGGTTTCGTCGGCGAGAAAGCGCTGAAGTTGTTATGGATAAGGTGCGTGTAATAGTCTTGGGTATCGTTGATAACAAAGCCGCATTCACAGCTTGCTTTGACGGTGGGAAATAGAAGGAAGAAGACCAGTAAGATGTTCTTTAAGTGAGGGGAGAGCTTGAGTCGAGGTGTTCTCCCCGGCATATTTGAGCTTGGAATCGATCAGGATTGTTGGTAGCATGCGCATCAGTCAAGTCCTTTACTCTGGTCGAAAGTATGCTGTATGAAATGTAGAGTCAACCAGGAGACACAAAGGCACAGTAGGGTAATAGTTTATCCCTTGAAGCAAGGAGTCTCAAGACAGACAGCTAGACCTTGTTGTTCCATCCAACTGTTTACGTTGTGAGGCACTGAGCTGCCCGATTAGGAAACAGCGAAGCGTCATTTTATATCAGGCAGAGAAATAACTCTCAGAGGGAAGGGAAAAAGGAAATATTTTAAGGTATAGCATGCCCTTGTCCTGTTTTATAAAGCTGCCCTCAAGGAGCCCCCTGCCCTTCTAAATTATCAGATAAAATCATCAGATACTGATCCCCTTTTGCTGCTCTATACAATCCACGCAGTAAGCGGCCAAATTTTCTGAGCGGAAGGATCTATGCATCAAAGAGCATTGGTGGTTTAGTGGTAAAATCCGTCGTTGCCATCGACGGGCCCCGGGTTCGATTCCCGGTCGATGCACTTTCTTTTTTGCACTTTTTTCCTCCCCACCATAAAGGTTACTTACATCTGCCAAAGTGTTTCATTTAAGCCCTTACTTTTTACCACTTTCCTCCCTATAGCTAGTAGGTCTCAGAATAATAAGGGTTATTTTATATCGACCTTCTCATTTAACAAGGAGGTTTAGATAAAGTTTTATGACATAATCAACGGATAAACTTGGATTCCGAAGTATCACGTGCGTTAGAGCCTAATGTTTACAAACTTCCTCTTTGGGAAAAGGCGCAGGAGTCCACTCTTTGCGGCGAAAGTTTCCCCATAAAAGGACTTTGCGACGAAGCACTGCAGCAAAAAGGAGATATCCAAGGAAAACGAACACGGCGCGATGGACGCCCTTAATCTGCATACCGCTTCTGACTATATAAACAATTTACTGCTGGCACGAGGACTACTGCGCAATGGGAAACGAATCGACTTCGCTGAACCAGAGGAGGGGTCTGACGGGTCAGACGATACGATGACACAGATAATCAACCTGGTTCACGATTTGGTGACTCGGAGAGATGTGGGTTATATCCTTGATCTCTACGTGAATGCGACAGTTACTGACATTTCGAGTCCCAGCGCGAAGCCGAACAGCGAGAAAACCTTGCAACTACAGTCAAAAGCCTACGGAAGACAGAGGCAAAGCAGGCGCTTCAAATAGTGAGTTTAGGCTGCGTTGCTCTATAATAGCCGTGGTTTAATAGATTACTGGCTAACGTACCACTTCAGGAGCGACTAGAGAGTAAAACGGAAGACCTGTCTCGTTCGATTGCCCTCGCAGAAGGGCAGGAAACCGCATTCAAAACCACGATACGGAATGCCGACACTACCATACGTGGCCTGAAGGAGCAAATGCAGCGAACGAAATCTTCGATCCAACAGATCCGAAGCCAATGTGCTACAGACATTCGCAAGAGAGATATCGAACTGCAGAAACTGAAAACGCACCTAACAGATCGACAGCGTGGAAAGAGAGACGGGCTTGGTGTGGTGACGATTACGATACAGCCTCCACCAAAAGTGAACACCTCGAACAAGAAGACGCTCGAAGGTGGCAACAACGTGGAGGCTCCGGGATACAGCCTCAAGCAGGAAACAACGGAGTTCCTGACAAAGCTTTGCCAGAGCCTGAGCGACGAGAATGATGCATTGATACAGCTATCTCGGAATACTATCCAAACCTTGAAGGAGCTGCAAGGGTTACCGGATGTATGTGATGAAGAACTAGAAGGAGTTGTTGATATGGAAGAGAGTGTCGATGCTACCCTATCTCAGCATGAGCTGCTTTCAAAAGAAATGGACTCCGCCCTTGAACAGCTCCGGGCCTTACTCACGAACCCCTCCTTCGTCCCCCTTGAAGAAGTCGAGATCAGGGACTCTGAGATTGCACGTCTACGGGATGGATGGGAAAAGATGGAGACCCGGTGGCAAGAGGCTGTTTCGATGATGGATGGATGGCATAAACGAATATCTCACGGAAGTGGCTCTATGAACTTGGATGAGCTAAGACTTGGGATGTCGTTCACGACCGACTCTAGCATGCAGAAGGATGCAGGCAGCACAACCAATGTATCCATCGACCCTTCAATGGGATCTGATAACTCGGGCCCGTCGAGCAGAAGGGTGTCTACCGAACATCCGGCTCGCGAGAGGCCGAAAAGACTGTTTGATACTCAAGATGACCGGCCACTACAGGAATTCTCCGGGAATGACCGATCGAGGGCTACCATCTTTTCAACAGAGAACAGCTTCGACGGATCCGTAGCACAGTCTGAGAGTATACAGGAAAATGACGAAGCGGTGCCTGTAAAGAAGCCGGATGCAGATGGTGTTCGACAAAAGAGGCAGAAACTTCAAAGTAACCGCCCTGATCCTAGACAGGTTCGTACTCCTTAATCCCTTCCCACTAGCCTGTTTGCCTATAGTTCTAATAACATGTATAGGCTCCAAGGGCAAAGCCAGACAAAGCGGTAGCCTCGAAACTTGCAAAAATCGAGCAGGAGGCGCAGGCAGCAGAAGAAGAACGGAAGAAAGCTCAGAGCAAGAAGAGGACGAGCTCACGGCGAGAAGGCACAGCTTACAGGCCGAGAAAGAGAAGCAGTCTGAACAAAGAAGAGCTGCAGAGCTTGCTTAGGGCCAGACGGCTGGCAAATAAAGGCCAGACTCGCGTTAAGCCATGAGATGCGGCCTGGGAGAAGGATTTCGTCTGATTAGTTAGCTCCATGTATATTAGGTCTTGGTGCATATTGGCGTTGGGATACATCTCGTTTTGTATAGCATAAGCATACCGGCATCTAGCACCTCATATCCCTGCTCCTATCCCTATCCCTCTCATTCCTCTCCTCTTCCTCTCCCATCCATCTCCGCATATTGTATTATTGTATATTGTATTGTATATATACGGTGCTATGTGAAGCCAGAAGCGCGGCTTAGTCAGCCCGACGTGCATCCTCAACTCCACCACAAAAACCTCGTTTCTCTTCTTCAACCTCGACCTCGCCTCCAGCAACTATCTCGATCGATCCTCGCTCTCTCCCCCCCTCGCGCACTCTCCCTTGCTCCCTCACGGTCTCTTATGCTTCGATTCATGCCTTAATTCAGACGTTTGCCGGTCTAACTGCTGTGTTTGATACACCGCTGTTGCCCCCGTGTCCAGATTCGAGCCTTAATTGCCGCCCGGCTTCAGAGCTATCTTCGACGGGCTGCTATCTGTTGCATTATTTGATTAATTTACCCATCTTGCTTGCCAAATCCCCGTGCAGTCCACTGGCCTGGTCTGTCGCCAATCTTTGTCCAAAGAGATCACCAACCGTCCTGGATTCTGGCTGAAATTTGGATCCCTGTCCCTTAATCATATCCGTCTCTTGGGCCCATCCCCCCGATACTTTTCTGGGGTACCCTTCTACCTCTGTTCGACCTACGTGGCTGATTATCTCTTTGCAAACTCAGCTGGTGCTGCAGGAGCTTTGCTTTGCCCATATTCGGTCGTCCCCAACAGACTTTAATACACCCCCCCTTCGTTTTTCAGCCGGCCGTAAACCCAACGATATCTCCAAGATAGCACCATGGCAAGCCACATTATTGGAAACCGCAACAGCACCCCTGAGGCCTCGAAGTCGTCTCTTCGACCTCCATCTTCGTCCCGCACTCTCGGAGGCTCCCATCAGCTCCGCGCCTCAGCCGACATGTCCGGCTTCGCCCCACCGCTATCGGCTCGGAACATTCGCCCCGCCTCGGAAGTGTACTTCAATCAACAATCTCAAGGCCAAAACAATGCAGATGATGCACTGGACCGAGCTGCACAGCAGTGGTTGGCGGATATTGATCAATATGAAACGACTTTGGAGGAGATGGCCGCTGCCACATTGGACCAAGACTTCAAGGATGAGCTCAGCGCTATTGAGCAGTGGTTCCGCGTTTTGAGTGAAGCGGAGAGAACCGCTGCCCTTTATGCTCTACTCCAGCAGACGACCCAAGTGCAGATTCGATTTTTCATTCAGGTTTTGCAGCAAATGTCCCAAAGTCACCCAATGTCAAGTGTGTTGTCCCCGGCAACCTTCGGTGAAAAAGGTATGTTTACATTCCAACACCACAACCCACCCTCATTTCATAACAACACATGGACTAACATCGACATATCAGACGCCATGTCTAACCGTTTAAGCGACGCCATGTCAAAGCTGAATGTGGAAGGGTCTCGCAACTCTCTTGTCCGTCCGCCACCTTCTCCTGGCAACAAGCGCAACTCTGGTCTTGATCCATCGACTATCAACGCTATGTTCCCTGACGCTGCAGCCGCTATTGCCAAGAAGAAAGCTGAGCTCACTCAACAAACTGGTAATGCTCCAGGGTCGAACCGTAACAGCGTTGTGTTCGGTGGGGACAGGTCTTCCCTCGTTGCCCCTACCATCTCTACCACAGATGTTGGCAAGGATAACTTGCCACAGCCCCCTGCCTCGCCTTGGGCCCATCGAGCGCCAGAGCAGCAGGCTCCCATTGCACGGCCCAAGTCCTCATCCGGTCAACAGCCCATGGGTCAGTTCTCTCAGCCACTTCAGTCTGCAGGTCTCCGATCTCCGCTTTCATCGGGTCCTTCCAATATCCAAAGCACCACCATCACTGCGCCAGACCTTATGCAGGAGCCTCCCATGCTTTCTCCCTACAACGTAGGAAACGCAAGCTGGGCTTCCATGACCAACACTCCTATGGTATCATCTTTCAACCAGCAAAACCAGCCCAACCAAGCTGATATGATTGCAAATGCCACTGCTATGAAACTCGCTGCCCTGTCCACTGTCAATAACCGCATCGCCTTAGATGATGCACGCAAATACCGCCGCACCCGATCCAACGACAACCAGAACCGCATGCACAACCAACCACCGATTTCTCCTGGCCTCCCAAACACCATTCCTGGAACTAACGTTATCATGGTTAACGACTCCGGCCAAATCTTGAACCCTCAGCAAATTGCTGCTCTGCAGGCTCAACAGCAAGCTGCTATGGGTGCACGCCGCTCTCGTCCCAACTCTCCAGGCTTGGCTTTGCAAGGAACCCCACTGCAGATGAACTTCACTTCGCCTCAGAACAACGGATTTTTGACTGCATATGATGCCAATGCCTACTTGGGTAATACTCTCGGCGGAATGGGTGTTGGTCAATTCAGTGGCGCTGGCAGTCACGAAGGATACCTGTCTGATCATTCTGAAATCGCGCGTGGTCGCTCCCCGCGCGGTCGACGTGGAAGCTCAAAGCCACCAGAAGATCCAACCGACCCCAGCCTCCTCCAAGATATCCCTGGCTGGCTTAGATCCCTTCGCTTGCACAAGTACACCGACAACCTTAAGGATCTTAAGTGGACAGAATTGGTTGAGTTGGATGATAAGGGCTTGGAAGCCCGCGGTGTGAACGCTCTTGGTGCAAGAAACAAGATGTTGAAGGTACGTGTTCTCGTTCGCCTTGCTTATTTATATATCAATACTAACCATCACGTAATATAGGTCTTTGATCAAGTCAGGGAAGCAAAAACAGAGGGGAAGCTCAACACTATCCTCTAAGCCACGAAAAGAACAGCAAAAGATGTAGCATTATGTCTATTAAAAATGGTTTATTCCCATTCGGTGATGCCGCAACGAATTTTTATACTATTTCTTTCCCGCGATATCTACCTTATGCAACAACACCACAATAACCACGAACGAGCAGATCTGCTATGATGTGATAGTTCTTTGCGTTATCATTTTGGTTGTCTGGTTTTTTTTTTCCCCTTCTTCTCATTTTCCTGTTCTAATCATATTTACAAACTACCTTCTTTCATTTCAATTTGGGAAATTGTTCATATTTTCTATTCATATGCTATGGATAGCAGATGGATGTAAGGAACTCCACCGTCATTAATACAATGCGTGGACCTTTAAGGACAGCTTTAACGCATAATATTCTGATTAAATGTCTAAGTTGAATGCTTTGTTAACATAGCCCTTGGCTATCTATACCTGAGTGATTGTGCTTTTAGATAAATAAAAAGGTTCTTATAGATAGCTTAATGCATATTTAAAGTCCAATCAAGTAGGTATCATCTAGTTCATGGATGCCTTTATATTATCATTTTCCTTTTAACTATACCATCACCATGTTTATTTTTGATCTCATCGTCATTTCGCGTCGAACTGGGTCATACGGTACTCAAGCTTCTTGACTTTACGCTAATATTTATCCTCGATACTTGCTACATATTATCAATGAAATTATTTCGAAATTATGCTGCGTCAGTGGACATTAGTTATACTTGGCGCGAGAAGTCGACCAACTCGTGAGCGCGTATCACCACTAGCAAACCAACCACAGAATACACAATCATCTCTGCACCAAACCCTACTTCTAGAGTCAAAAATCTACCCAATTATAAACGGAAGTAAGGTTGGGACCTCTGCCTCGGTATTTAGGCAGTTCTATCTTTCACCAAGCTCACATGAGACCATTCCGCCCTCATACCATTCATGTCTCTATCAGGTCTATAAGACGGCCGCTTCCAAGGAGCTTTAGTGCTAGCTATTGCACGATAAAGGGTAAGATTCCGAGTAAATCCATATACATCTTTCAGCTAATTATTCAGAAGATAGCAATGACCTCTTCTCCTACACATCTGGGCGGTTTGTGTATAACGAGAGGAAGCAACTCCGCGACCGATATGTCGAATTCGATATATCAGCACTTAAAGAAGCAGTTACCGCGCACACAGGATATGGCAAAGTTACGAACATCGCAAAACTTGGCGAAGGCGGATTCAATCGTGCATTTCTCCTAACGTTGGAAAACGACGCCCAGGTAGTTGTCAAGACACCTTATCACCTTTCAGCACCTAAGAAATATGCAACAGCAAGCGAAGTAGCCACGTTACGTTTCTTACGTTCAAAGGGTATCCCAGTTCCGAAAGTCTATGGCTGGTCATCTACAGATAAAAATGCTGTTGGAACGGAATACATCATTATGGAATTTGTATCCGGTATAAGTCTAGATACCAAGTGGTTTGATATGACCAAACCACAGCAACGTGATCTAACAGTTGAGATTTTTGAGATAGAGAAAAAGTTGATGGGCATACCATTTGGGTCTATTGGAAGCATATACTTCAAGAGTGATATCCCACCTTCGAAGCAGGCTGATCTCTATCTTACTGGAACGCCAGACCCTGAAGAGGATTGCCGTGAATATTGCATTGGACCCATAGCCGATTACATGTTCTGGCAAGGTGAACGTTCCGAGTCAAATACGGATTCTGGCCCATGTGAGATCCTCTATTTGTGAACATTTCATTATACCTATAAAAACATTGCCGGTTAATGTTTTTATCCAAATTTAGGGAACGACCCGCATGAATATCTTTTGGCAATTGGGAGACGTGAGATTCAGTGGACACAACAATACGGAAAGCCCATCGAGAAAAGATTTCCGTACAATACAATCCCTCCTAGCGAGGAGTCCCATCACGACTATTTGGCTCTATTAAACAAATATCTAGCAATTGCGCCGTTTCTCCTCCCTACAAACCCCAGGGATCCTAACAACTTACCTACAATTCGCCACCCAGGTAAAACAATATACCCCTTTAGGCTTCATTACTAGTCGCTAACTATAGAACAGATCTCTCACCTGTGAATATTTTTGTGTCTCCTGGAGACTTGAAAATCACCTCTATAATAGACTGGCAACATACTGTTATAACACCACTGCTACTGGCCGCTGGCCACCCTCGCCTATTCGAAAATCCTGATGCAGAACCACCAGAAAGCATAGAAGAACCAAAACCACCCGAGGGATATGACGCTTTGGACCCTGCAGCGAAAAGCCAGGTTGATGAGCTTCTTCGCCGTCGACACCTTTATTATCTCTACCGCATCTTTAACGGGGCTCGGAACAAGCCACATTTGGCCGCATGTGCAGACCCGTTTCTTCTACCCCGACAGCATCTTGTTGACTACGCCGGGCGCCAATGGACTGGTAACCTGATGACTTTGCGGGGTGCCCTCATACGTATGAGCCAGTACTGGCCGCTCCTACAAAGTAACGGTTCCACATGTCCTATTGAATTCACTGAGGTTGAGCTACAAAATCACTTCGAGCATGAACCAACATGGTTTGAATACACCGCCCTTGTTAATTATTGGCGCGAAGAGATGGGAGGTATGAATGATGAGGGATGGGTACAGTCAGAGGTATATGACCACGCTGTGGAAAAGAACAAGGAGCTCAAGACACACTTCTACGATGGTGCCGATGCGGATGAGGTTGAGAAGGTTACCCTGGGTTGGCCATTTCAAGACACGGAAGAGAGTGCTCAATGATAGAGTATTCATCCAAGCCCTCCGCGTTATGTATATCGGGAGATAGGTAATTATCAATATAAAGGTACTCCACTCTGACAGGAAAGGGCGGGCATTTCTCAACTTCTCTTTGACTAAAACACTACTCTACTGACCAAAGTATTCCACCACGACTTGTTTATACTATTCGTGTTATACCCAACTACGCTCAAATCCAGAAAGAGCCTATGACGGGGGCTAAAATATATATAACCAACCCAGCAACTAGGATAAATAATTAATTTTGGACTTTTAACCGAAATATGTAACATATATTATCCATTGAACTACATCACCACCTTCCCGGGGAGGTCAACGGCTAATACATCGGCCCCTGCTAATAACTCCTTCTTACTAGGCATATTCCCTCGCCTCATCAACTCTGCGCTCTTCGAATTGATTGGGTCCATACCCATGGTAGCAACTGCTACCACCGTATCACCAAGCGTATAGAATGCTGCGAACTTCGCATTCTCTGGTTCTCCTTTCATAACAACATCGTCATACCCGTTCATGGTGTTTCCACAGTATCGAAGCTGCGCGCCCAACGCAGACCAGAAAATGGGAATAAATGGCTTTGGTTTTATTGGGTGGCTAGAGGTCGCCGAATGTGCAATCGTGCGACCAACGCTACGACCAGAGTTTTGAGCCACGTTCCAGTGCTCGATGCGGACGTGAGATTTGCCGCCTTGTCCACCACCAGGCCCGTGGTAGGGGTATGTGGCTATATCGCCGATAGCATAGACATCCTTGAGACCTTCGACAGCGAAAGATTCATCCGTTTTAAGAGATCCGTCACCTTCAAGTTTCACGGAGGAGTTATCCTTGATATACTCGGTTGCAGGAGCAACGCCGACACCAAGAATGACCAGATCAGCGGGTAGTTCCGTTCCGTCTTTCAAATGCACTGCGCCAACTTTGGACGAATCCGTGGACGAAGGGGTTGCCTTGTCTACAGATGCCGACATGTAAAATTTCACGCCGGATTTTTCGAGGTTGCGCTGGAAAATGCGACCGACTTCTGCGCCCATGACGCGTTCAAGGGGTGCAGACTCCATTCCAACAATTGTAACCTTGTTCTCTTTTGCCAGTGCGTTGCCAACCTCCATACCAATGAAGGAACTACCAATGACAACGATATTTTTGCCCTTATCTCCAACTGCGGCAAGAATGGCTTGGACATCAGTCACATAGCGGAGGGTGAAAACATTGTTTAGCTCCTTAAATCCTGGAAGCGGTAGCCTTCTAGGGGTCCCTCCAGTGGCCAGGACAAGCTTCGTGTATGGATAAGATTTCCCTGACTTTGTGGCCACGGACTTCTTGTCAAAGTCTACCGCAGTCACTTCATCAGACACTGTCTCCACAGAGACACCTGAGTACCAATCCTTAGATCTGAGTTCGATCCTGGAAGGGTCGGCTATCAGCGCCTTGGAGAGCTTGGTTCTGTCTAGCGGAAGATTAGGCTCCTTTGATATCATCGTGATGTTTCCGCTATAGCCAAGTTCTCTGAGAGACTCAACGGTCCCGAATGCGCCGCTCCCTCTATACAAGAGTTAATGTCAACACTAAAAGAGTTGTATAGTAGGTACGACACATACCCTCCAACGACCACAATCCTGTCATTGCCAGCAACTTTGCAAGTCTTGACTGGTTCTCTACCCCATCCCTTCAGGGACGCTTCATCCGTCTTGACATAGAAAGCTCCATCCTTCTCGGATATGTCATATTTATTCAGTGCGTTTGGTGCGGGAGCATCCTCCACGTCTCCACTGATAACATTGAAACAGGCTATCATCTACCATCAGCTCCTATCCTTGAAAGAGTTTAAACATTTAAATAAAGGAGTAGGTTTCATACCTCCATGCCATGGACAAGTTATTCTTGCATCAGGCGTAAGGACACCCTTAACCAAAGGTGCACCATAATGTGTACATTTGGCAGTCATTGCATGGACCTGGTCATCGAGCTTGACGAGGAGTAATTTCACTCCCTCAACTCCCTCGACTTCTACTTCAATCTTGTCTCCATTTTTGATCTCGCTAGGCGAGGAACCGATGAGTTTATATTCCGACATTTTACGCAAAGCCGCTATTGATGGGTATTTCGCAGTTATGGATGTGCTGAACGGGTTGCTCCTATCTGCGAGACATTTACTGTCAGTACTCAATTACATCAAACTTATAAGGGAAATATAGGCGTATATGGTAGCATCAAACGAGGAGACTTCTCCCTCGTTTACGCACGAAGTTTGACCTGGCTGATACTCGTAGTGGTATATGGAGGGGGATGCGGGGAATACGGACTTGCCGGGAAGAGAGCTCGATGGCGGGCTCGATCTGAGAATTGTATCAAGGATGTATATGGGTTCGACCGAGTAATTGGCCTGAGTTGATCGAAAATCGCTGTCTGCTTCGTAGTATGTTTCTTCGGCCAGGTGAAGGAATGGCGGAGAAATAGATGAGGGGATCGCGGGTGGTGCATGCTTTGGGACAAGGGAGGTGGACGTCATATAAAACACCAGGCATATAACCCTCGTTTCTACGCCTACCTTGCCAAAGAGGATCTATTTCTTCGGGTGAAACATCCCTTTCTTTGTAAAATCCTTCTTATCAGTCCAATTCGGACTTACTGTTGTAGATAGATGCCAGCAAATTATTTCTTTGCAGTGTAAACAACCGTCGATAGAATTATGTCATAGACTTGGCGCGCATAGAGAGACTGGCCAATGACTACGATTTGATAATCAGCATATATAGATCTCATATAGACGGAGAGATGAAAGAGAACCCTGAGGACACATTATAATATTAACAAAGGTATAGGCAGTGTGGTATAGACATATACAGTAAACAAATCAACCGATCCCGACCCTTCCGTAGCGCCATACTCGGTACATATGCAGGTGTCCATTAATCAAACAATGCTCCTATTAATCTTCAACCCCGACCGCCGACCACCTCTTTGGCTTCCTCCTTGTCGTCCTCGACCCCGTCCTCGTTTGGCACCTCTGGGTTTCGGTTTCCGCTTAGCTACCCACCCAGGCCCATGGAAGAGAGACGAGTCATCTTCATAGTCCTCATCTCCAGGCGGCGCCGGGTCACTCGATAAAGTCAGGTCTACAACCATAGAGCCATCAGGAATTTGGGAAGCAGACGGTTCGTTGTCCTCGTCGTTGGTTTCGTGTATTTTGGGGAGGGGGGCTTCGTCTTCCTGTGGTGGAGGTGAAGTGGATTTTGCTGCATGCTGGACTTTGACGGGCTGGGAGCTGGCCATCGGAGGAGGTGAAGTGGACGCAGCAGTTGGACGCTGGGCTGGGGCAGGTTGGGAGCTACTTATTAGTTTCGAAGGCCCTGGTGCACACGGGGTTGACTCTGCAAAGAGGTCATCAATTGTTGGGCCAGCGTAGTCCTCATCGGAGACACGGTCAGTGTCGTAGAATGGGTTAGGCACGAGCGAGTTGGGGTTGCCGTCGCTATCGTCGTCATCTGATATATCAGGCTCATTGGTAGTCTCTGCTGGCCGAGGAGTCTTTTCTCTGTCGCTACCGTGAGTAGAGCCGTTTGCAGAGATCCAGTTTTCTAGGGCAGACAGTGGTGACAGTTTCGCAGTCTCTGGAACTGTTGAATCCATGAGAGGACTTGGAGATTTAGGGGGCTCCGTTTGTGCTGGAGCTTCTGCGGTTTCCACTGGAGGCTGGTCGGAATCGAAACCAGCAAATTTAGGTGATTCTATCACCGGGCTCTGTTCGCGGACGGCGTCCTCAGAATCCTGCTGATCACTCTCCCGCAGACGAGGAACACTGTCTTGCACAGCAACCTCCTCGTCAGGGCTCTGTTCACGGACGGTCTCTTCAGTATCATCTTGCTTATTATCTTCCAAATGGGCTCCGCTATCCTGCACGATGTCATCCACAATAGGAGTAACCAAATCAGAATTTACAGCCGATCTAAACCCGGCATCTCTCATTAGCTGCGATATTTCCCGGCGAGTAGGAGAGGAGACGCGTACGTTATCTGGCAGCGACGAGGGAAGAGGTGGTGCTTGCTCAGAACTAGATAGAATAGTAAGTAATGCATGCTTTAACATACGAAGGGGTTATCATTATACCAACAGGCGAACATTTTGCGTCTCCACCACCTCATCGCCCAAATGTGCCAAGTCTTCTCCCAGAGTCTCTAACTCTTTTTCCTCCTCGAGCCTTATCATTTCATCCTCCAGGTCTGCTAGTTGCTCTTTCAGTTCATCTGCAGTCTCGCGAGCAGCGGCACTAATCAGCTTTGCTTCAATGAGATTTCCTATCTCGAGGTCTCGCAGCCCGTCATCTTCTTCTGTTTTCTCATCGAAACCAGGCATTTCGAACTTGGTATACCTTCGTGGCTTGTCGTCATCCACCTCGTCAGCATCCGGTCTATCTCGATCGCGTTTGGCAAGGCGAAAGGAGATGGTATCTTCAGAGGAAACGTTCTCCACAATTGCAGTACGGTAGTGAGATACCTGGGGCTGCCAATTAGTGGCTTTCGAGAGGTCCAGTTGCTTGAATGCAAAAATAGCTCCCGGCCATAAGTTGCTTTTATTAGCATCCGGTAGCGTCGAGATGTCTGTTGGTAGAGGAGGTAGGTCGCCAACTATAGGTTGTACCCCATCCTGCGTCTTAGGAACCTCAGCACTATCCGTAATTTCACCATTTGGCTGATAAAGCTCCGGTTGCGTCTCGTCAACTTGTGACACCTCCTTGTTCTGCCCCTCGACTTCACCATCACCATAATCCAGAGTAATATCCTCATTTACATCATCGCCATTCTGATCATATTCAACTTCGTATTGCCCCTCTTCCGCTCCATCGTAATAAGACTGTCGCTTGCGCTTTTTATTTTTCCGTTTTTTGCCTTGAGGTGCTTGGCTGGCACGAAGCTCTTGAATGACAGCATGGGCATCGGGATCCCATCTCTGTACAAACGGGAATGGAGGAGTAGATAACTCGATGTCATCATAAACACATTCCGTGGCTTTGAGTATGATTCTATCCTGCCAATTCTCAACAGGTTGAATTATTTCTTTAGTAGGGGTTGCAATAGTATCTTTCTTTCGTTTTGGGGTAGACTTGGGTGTTAATATATTCGTCTGTGCAAGTTTGTTTCGAGTATGCTCTTCGTCCTGTTTTGTTTTTGGTGCCTTGACACCTAAAGATCCAAAGAGAAGACGCCGAGTACCGGCAAGATCTAGTTTCGATTGTCGTGTGGGTGCTGTGGCGCTTGATACGGAAGCAGTTTCATTGAGAGCTGGCGTGGAAGCAGCAGTACTATCCATCTCCACAGCCGAAGAAAGCTGCTCATGCTTTCGTTTTTTAGCCGATGAAGGGAATACTTCGACTCCGCCCCCTTCTAGGTCCCGTAGTAGCTGCTCTCTCTTTTTCTCAAACTCGGTTTTCTCCTTTGACGCCATTTCTTCCAGCATGGTATTTACGGCTAAAGGACCCCCGTTGCCTTTCTCCCAGGCTCGCATGTCATCAAAATTAGCATTTTTGTCTAGGATGCCAGCCGTCTTTAGTTGGAGCAATTTTCTGCGCCATTTTGTTCTTAAGTTGCTGCGTTTAGTGCGGATGGTGCCATGGCCGGGCGCGTTGACTGCTCCTTTTGCGGTGGTGATGACCTTTTTTTGTTTGGATACCGATTTGGGCACACTGTCGTCACTGCTTGAAGATGAGGACGCTTCCAAATCTGACTCGGGATTAGAGTCTGAATCCGAGCTGCTTTCCGAGTCTGAGTCTAAGTCTGAGTCTGAATCTGAGTCTGAATCTGAGTCCGAGTCCGAGTCCGAGTCTGAGCTAGAGCTTGAGTCCGAATCATCTTGATCACTAGAGTCATCTCCACGAGAGCTATTCACTTCCTCTTCTGACGAGCTTTCGCTTGAGGACTCTTCAGAAAGGTTGGTTCCTTTAAGACTCGGCGATTGAATTTGCTGTGATGCGCGGCCCGGTGTTTTGCTCCGTTCAACTACAGGAGATGACAACGGGAAATTGCCGATATCCATAACGGCAGGTGCAATAGCCACGCCATCAACTGCAGGAGATAAGCGTTGTTCGTCTTCAACAACGACATCTTCCTCCTGGCTATCTTCAACAACTTTTTCCTGCACCTGAGTTTCTTCAACGACCTGTTCCTGCTCCTGGCTTTCTTCAACAACTTGTTCCTGTCCACTGGTGGGCTCTTCCGCTTTCTCTGCCTCTTCTTGTCGTTGAGGAACATCGTCAATCACTACAGTCGCGTCCAATGCCTCTTCGTTTGTCGGGTAAGCGGCATCTGCTTCTTCGCCACGATTCCAGCCTCTTGTCCCAAGTCGTCGCCGCTTATTCATAGGAGGCATGTTGATAGACGGCCGAGACACGGTGGTGCGTTTAAGGTCCTGACGCTGTTTCCCAAACGGCACGCCATCGATCAAGTGTGTTCCGTCCGGAGTAATTTGACGTCGTCCCGTAGCCATTCTAGTAGCTATATCTTCAGGCTCTAGTGGACGAATACTACATGAAAAGTAACATAAGCGTATATCCATATATAATGGGTCTGAATGAAACAACAATATATGAATGGAGGTAGAACTTACACAACTTCATCACCCTCTCTGAGCAAGGTATCGACACGCATGAAATGCAAACATTCCGAACCCATGACTTCCACAACATAGTCATGTAACGGCCATTGTTCTCCATCATCACCTCCCTCGGCACCCGCTATAGCTTCCAGCGGCACAATGTCATTAACATCCACCAATAGCTGGGAAACAATATAGTCGCTACCACCAATACCGGCGCCTGTAGATGTATACGCAGTATTAAAGCTCGTACTTGCACTCAGTGTGCGTGTGGGCGTGGGGCCAGAGCTCGTGAACGATGACAATGCGGACGGTTGGCGGGACAGTGATAAGCTGGGCGCTCGAGTTACAGGCGTACTCCATAAGAGACGCGTAACGGGCAAGTCACGCCGATGGATAACGAGATGGAGACGCATTGTTGCAATTGTGTAAACCCGTTGAGCGCTATCGTTAACGTCGTGAGCCCTTCAGTGGTTGATTCGCGACAGTATCAAGTTCATGTCGAACTACGTGCGTCATCCGTCGTGGAGAAGCGGAAAGCGGAAAGGGGGGCAACGCGAAGAGCTATCATCCAGGTTCGAGTAAGGCCAGTATATATCCCTTCACTCTAGTGGTAATTGTTGACGTTGGAGTGTTTGATGCAAACGGAGCTCGCATCAAAAATCCTCGAGCGCGGGAGCTTAAGTCGGATTTAGGTTTGCGGGTGACGCGCGACTTGGCAGCCCACTAGAACTATATAAAAGCCTTAAGCTATAAAGACCTTATACTTGACTCTACAGCATAAAGGAACGTATAGACATTAAAGGCACGTATACAGTGTGGAGAGTTATATATGTACGTGATTCAAGCATAGGATACGCGGAGTGAAGGGGTATATTCTCAGCTCGATCATCTACTCCATATCTATAAGAACAGACATACTTCCCACCCGTACTGGCCATCCTTCAATAAGACAGGTAGTCAAAGCAGGTGTCTTTTATCCTGCTTCTCCTCCTGGTCATCTCCCGCCCTTAATTTGTAACAAACCAGCCCATCCGTAACTCCCATAATCCCCATTTAACACCGTCACCGTAACCGAAAAACACGCCCATGCTAATAATTATGCGCCACGCTACTACATCGTTGAATATTGCTTGAGTGAAATTAAGGTAGGGTATTCGTTTTCTTCGGCGCCGGCACGGGTTTCCTAGCCGGCATACCAAGGTGTGGTGGAGGGGGAGCCGTTCTCCTCGGCTGCGGTGGTGGTCTGTCTAAAGGAAGCGATAACGACGACGACGACATCGACATCGAAGTTAGTTCCGATGTCGATGCCGTTGGCGACTCCGAGACACCATCTTGCTGTCCCACAATCTGATAATGCTGAAACTCCCGTATCTGTTTCTGCATCAGCGGGTTGATGTTTCCTGACATTCCGCCCGTCTCGATCGTCACAAAGGCTTGGGAGGGCCGACTAACGTCTCTCTCAACCGATACAGGCGGGATGCTCGTGAACGCAAACGTAGGAGAGTGTGATTCGGCCTCGCTGGGAAATAATCGTTCGTCGCTCTTTGAATCTATATCGTAACCACCGGGGCCAGAGGGGCTGCCGAAGCTGTTGCTTCTGGGATTACCGGGGGATACTGAAGTCCTAGCATCAGTTGCAGTCCATGATGAAGAACGTTGTGTTGCGGCAAGTGGGTTATACTCGCGCCTGGGGCCATCCACTGGCGCAAGAGCATCCGCCATCGCATCCTCGTAACTGGGCGGGGGAGCTTCTTCATAATTTTCCATGGGTATAGGATATGTCGCTGGACTTGGGCGCGGGGGTTGGGGAGGTGGTATTGCCGGGTTCATCGGGCCAGGGCCTGGACCAGGACCGGGGCTGTGCATGGGTTGGCTGGGCGGTATATGGTTGCCAAAGCCGGAGACTGGGCTCTGTACGGGTGCTGGCATAGGTCCCTTTGACGGCTGACCGTTCATTGCGTCAAGTAGGGCTTGAGGCGGAGCGATGCCAGAGAAGACCTGCACTGCCATACGTAGCGGCAGGACGACAAGTTCTTGCTATAAAGCGACGTCAGCACAAAGTATACATATAATATAGATATATGGCACAGAAGGAAGGCATGTTTCTGCGGCAATTAGATCAAATCGAATAGCAAATACCTTCGACCCGGTCGGCCCATGGGCCAGTCCGACCCTTATCTCAAGCTCATACGTCCTCGACAGGTTACAGGTCTCAAACGAGGGTGGGACGGAACTAGGTAGCGGTATACGATTCCACATCTCCGCATCCACTTTCCACTCTTTACCTGCTCGTTCGCTACCATTGCCTAGCGGCATGCCGATATTACTTCGGGTATTAATGACCCAGCTCCCACTCTCGGAACGGGAAAGGTCCTGCGCGCGAACATGAGTGTAGGATATAAGTTCTAACTGAAGAAGTTGGAAATGAACAGTGTCGGTACTGTCATTGAGCTTCTTGATCAATATTCGGAGCGGTATCGGTTCGTTGCATGTTAATATTGGCGGGCTGGGCAGGCGTGCATCAACGGAGAAACGAGGAAGCAAATCGTTTTCAGAGCTGCCTTTAAAGAGGCCCTTTTTCTCCCGCGGTGACTGTGGCAGTCTGGACTTGAACTGATGTTCTCGTCTCGCGTAGAACTCCTTATCAACCTCCTTCTTCCGCGGCGGTTCAATAGGCAGGAATTTGAAATCCGCAAACTAGATAGGCTGATTAGTATTACAGGAGTTATGACATATAAGATCAACACGAAACGTACCCCTCTGTAATTCTCCTTGTAGAATTGCGGTCTCACCACGGTTGCCTTGACATAATACTTGATCTCGGCTTCGCCCGGAAACCCGCTCAACGAAGGCGGAAGCGTCCTCCTGATATGCTGATTTGTATCTCTAGCAACCTCCACCCGTATACCAGCCATATTTAAATTTGTGGCCAGCTGGTTATCGATACAGTCGGTGTTAAACGGAAACTAGCACCAAGGTCAGCCACCGCACCGTGGAACCGTGGATACACAGGACACAACTGACTTTGAACTGAAACGGATACTCATACATGCCCGGCGATAGGGTATAGAATGAATTAGGCGATGCATGTTCCAGTATCTCTGGCGACGGGAAAACCGTGACGACCTTGTATAGCAGCTATCCCGAGCCCCGCGTTAGCACTCAGTCCATCCGCATCGCCATGTCCAAGCCTTCTAACCTTGTGCAATTCGATCTCTGTCCGTTTCTTGTCCGATCGTTCGTTATGCGGATACTTTGCCGAGGCTAGACGGGTGCGACTCTCTCCTTCCAACTTCACGACAATGGAAGCTATGGACGTTTCGGTCGTGAGAGATAACACCGCTTTACCGGTGATGTAATCGAGGTTTGTAAAGTATGCATGCGGCCTATCGAGGATTATACGGACCGCCATGATAGCGTCGGCGCAGAGGCAGAGGTCGGTTCGTTCGTACGGTGGTGTAAGGTGAGAAAAGACCACAGGTCGCTAATCAACGCATCCTTCCAACGAGTGACAGGCAACTTTTAAGTAGCAAGACTATCTTTAAGCTTTCTGCGCCGAGCGGATATAGAATTAAGCGCAGTATAGAACTATGTATATCTATACCTGTGCCGTTCTGGAGGTGGCTTTGAAGACCGGGGAAGTGTTTGGCGGTCGTTGGTCGATGGTGGGTTGGTGAATATATACTTCGCTATCAACGGTTGAAGGTCGGTGGAATGACGTATCCGCCTCTAGTACATGGCCAGCCACACTTTATACGGAGAACAGCATGTACCGTACCTTGTGGCAGCTAATACTATGACAAAGAAGTCTACGGGTTCACAGCATATACGCTGCATAATCTTCAGCTGATGCGCCCTTGGAGCCGATCCATAGAGGTGGGAGCACCGATACGACGAATGCCCGACAAGACTTCAGCTGGACGGACTCGATAGGGCGAAGCAGAGGGCCAGGAGGTGTTTCTAGACTACGGGCCAGGATACGAGATCTCCCAGGCGACGATATGATATGGGACGTCTACCAACCCACCATGCATAAAATCGCTGCCTGGGCTGGACAAGTGGCCGAGGGCGATCCACGCCACGCACATCGCGGCAGGACAAGACAAGAGAAAAGAACAAGAGAAGGGCTCAGCCATCCGCGTCATCTTCATGCATCGCGGGTCCAGGGGCGAAGTAAAGACGAAGTAAAGAAGAAGTCGCAAGGAAGAAGAAGAAGATGGAGTCACGTGTTGGGTACACGTGATGATTAGTAACACGGAGGGAATAATGTTTATGCGAAGTATCACGTGCTTACCCCTGTTAGTCAGCATTCGGCAGACATGTCCCGATTAGGCCAAGGGGGTGGCTTACCTAAAAGTTGAGCTTCCCTGGTCTTTAAGTAAATAAACGAACTTCCCTTGCTGTTACGCGCTGTCCATCGTACCAGCCTTAGTCTCGACGGATATACGGAGTACGCCGCACTGCAGCACCAGAGCACGAGTGAGTACGAGGTTGGAGCAACGATCATCGGCGTTGATGGTGTCAGGTCTCAGTCCACGGGCCGTGCATGAGTTGTCAACGCAGTCAAATGTTGCAGAGCAAGGACAGACAGGGCATGGCAGCAAGGAAACCGCCCAGTCAACCAGCCGCATACATAAACCCAACCAGTAGCTCGACGCTGTTGACTCGAAACTATGCTTCATGCTCATGCGACCAGCGAATAACTGCACATCTCTCGAATCGCCATCGCCATCGCCAACCATCGCTCACTCTAATGTAAGACAAGTCTTGCCAAGCATCACACCCAGACAGGGCTATAGGCCAGCCTCCGCGCGCACTGATTGGCCGTCCACCGGGCGAACCTCCCCCCGGACTCGCATTATTGAACTATTGCTGTGAAGAAAAGCCACCCAGTCACGCCGAGAGATGAAGCAGATGAAGGCCAGCTAAAAGTGAAATGTCGCTTCAGGGCTTGATGGTGTATTGGCCATTACGCGAAACTTACCAAGCGCCTGGCCCTGTTTCAGAACCGAGGCTTGTTTGGACCAACCAGAGGCCGAGAAACCTCCCCCGCGGCCCCACCCGTCGCCAGGGGTAAGGTCTGTAATTTCACGTACGGTAAAGGGCCGACTGTTTGTTTTTGGGCCCTTGTTGCTCCTTTCATTTCGCTCTTAAGGCGCGCTCTCTCTCCTTTTTTCCTCTCTCTTCTTCTCATCCTCAAGAACAGTTACATTCGCTTCTCGTCCTTCATTATCGCCCTTATTCTTTAATCAGCTACCTTCGTTCAGTCCAGTCTAGCTTCCAGCTCCTGCTCTCATATCAGTCAAGATGAAGTTCACCGTTGCCGCCGTCGCTGCTTTCGCTACCCTCGCCGCTGCCAGCACCAGCCTCACCCCAGAGCAGCAGTGTGCCTCCAAGTGTATGTCTCCCGTTCCTCGATAGCAAGATACATTGTACTAACGACGTGTTACAGGCGCCCTGACCGACATCTGCTGCAAGGCCATCTGCTTCAACGTTCCTTGCCCATCCAACCAGAACGCCAACGACACCACCGAGTGTGCTGCCAAATGCCCAACCAACCAGGGTCCTGAGGCCTTCGCTACCTGCCAGCAGGGCTGCATCAAGTCCTACTTCTACACCCCAGGTGCCACTCCCACTGGTGCCACCAACACCACCCCAACCGGCAGCAGCACCGCTACCACCACCGGCTCCAGCCCATCCGGCACCTCTGGCTCCGGCTCTCAGTCCTCGGGCTCTGGTTCCGGCTCCTCCCCATCTGCCACCCAGTCTGGCTCCGGCTCTGCCCCATCCCACTCCGGCAACGCTGCCGCCAGCAACGCCAAGTTCCAGCTCGGCTCTGCCGCTGGTGTTGTCGGTCTCATCGCCGCTGCCTTTGCTCTCTAAATACCTCGACGAAATACCCCCTCTTTTATAATTCCATTGCAGTCCTGTTGTTGGATCATGTCAATAACCTAGTTCTGGGCCATGTTGTAACTCTTTACCTTAATTAATAGCGGGATGACTTCGGAGTACAGATCTTTTTCGTTATAACGTGCCAGTATCATAATCATACCTATATTATACCTAATGTCTGTTATCTTCCTTGCTTATCTTCAGTCCCTGTAGAATCTTTTAGTCGTAGCATCTTCAGTAGTCTCGCTATGTTTAGATACACAGATGCATCTCGTCGATCTGGATCTTCGCGCTGAAAAAGAAAGGAGATCACGTCACGTGGCTTGCATATATCCTCCGTCCTCCCACAGAACAACTTCATACACGATCAACTGTCTCTTGTAAACTATTAAAATAGAAATAGTCTTCTCATTGCTTAGCCGGCAATGTCGTTTTATATAAAGTACGAAATATAGACCGACCTTGTAGGGTTTATATCCAATATCAATATCCTCATCCATATGAAAATTAACAATCGAAGACCAAACAATAACAACTCAACCCATACCCTGACCTGTACTTGTAAACTGCTATAAATAAGTCCTTCTACTACTGCGACGTTGCTGCCTTGAACATGAAGTGACTCACTTGATAGACGATGAGGCTTAAAATGTCCCTTGTACTAGCATAATTCATCCCACCCTCAGTACTTATTAAGGGAGAGATCTCCAGAACAGACAGACAACTACCTTCTCATCCTCCCTGCAACAAATACAAACAACTAACCCTTACCGAGACCATGTCGAACAACGCCGCGCTTATCGAGCGCATCTCGGCCTTCGTAGCAAACCACATGGCAGGCCATGACCCCTCGCATAATGCTCGCCACGTCTCCCGTGTCGTCAGACTAGCTCAAACAATTCTCGCCAAAGAAAAAGCCCGCGATGTCTCTATTGCATATGATGAAACGGTAGTCACTCTCGCCGCGTGGATGCATGATATAGCGGATAGGAAATATCTCCCTAAACCTACCGATGGTGGTGAACAGGTCAGACGGACGCCACCACCAACCGCCAAACCACCTTGAATATGTCAAATGGCAGTATGTTCGCGTGAAGCTAACGTATAGATAAAAGATAAATCCCGATACAATTATTTACGATACCTTGATATCTCACCAGGCAGAACCCCGTGTAGCTCAAAGGGTGCAGAAGATAGTTTCGCACGTCTCGTATTCGACTGAGATAAAGGATCCAAGCGTTGTTCAACATCTCATCAGCTCTGAAGGCGGGTATCCCGAGCTCGCTATTGTGCAGGATGCGGATCGTCTAGATGCAATCGGTGCAGTAGGGATAGCGCGCTGCTTTACCTATCTTGGTGCTAAGTCCAAGGCCCCAAGCAAGGATGGACCCGAGCCAGACCTGGGCGATGCGATTGAGCATTTTGAAGAGAAGCTGGTTAAGCTTGAGGGGATGATGAAGACTGTTACTGGGCGAGAGATGGCGAGGGAGAGGGCTTTCAGGATCAAAGAGTTTCAGCGCTGGTGGGCTGATGAGACTGGTCTTGATAATTAGTTGATTATTAGATGGCCAAGGGGTAGATTTCTCAATTGCTTGAATTGGTTATTTAATTATATAGCTATTCCCTGTTTATCAATTCCGACCGTAGCCTATCTAACGATTCCTCAATAAACTCCCTAGACCCAAGTAAGTGCATGCACTAGAAACAAGAAGAACAATATACCAACTAGACATGTAATAGTAAGCCAATCTTAATAGCAAACACAACGACATGACAAGTAGCGAGCGGGTAAAAAAAAAATAACAGACAATAATGGTAGTATGTGGATCTGAGGATGAACTCAGCAAATTCAATATGCAAGGATGACAAGAAACGCATATTAAAGCGAATGACACAACACTGGGCATCAAACGGAGGGGGGAGAAATCAACCTGAAACAGCTGCAAGTATGTATGTTTATGTTCTTCTAGATAGAGGGGGGATAAGAGAAAGAAGGAAAGATCCACAGCCCAAAATGAATACAGATATGAAACTATGTAGATATGTTGGTAAGCACCATAGATAAAGCAAGATGTAAAGAGTAAATGTTACCTTCCAACTCCAGAGTCTCCGGTCTCCGATAGAATGAAGTGAAAAGGGGGGTATTGGGATAAGCGTAGCTCAGTAAATGGTTGTTCACTGTGGTAGAACGATGCAAAGGTAAAATCAAAAACACCATTTATATGACTGAGAGTGGGATATTATTGTAATTTGTGATTATTGTTGTGATTCAGGCCAGCGGAAGGCCTGTCATGTAGAACATAAAAAGCATGTAGCTCGTAGTAATGATAAAAAAAAGTCGAATAGGTAGGTAGGTCGGTAGGGAGGCGGTGGACATCTCAAACTCGATCCCTCGCAAAGTCAAGAACATCGCAATCATCTTCAAAGAACCCGTCCTCGTCAACGACGTCTCCGCCTGCACCTTGTCCTCGCTTGCGACGTGTGGTGATAACGACGTGCTCACCGGCACCGCCCTGGCCAAGGCTGATGAGATTCTCCATCTCACGATGTTTGTTTTTGCCTTCGGATTCGGGTCCGCTCTCGTCATCGCTACGGGACACGCTGCGGACATAGACTTTAAGCGTCGGGATGTCGTTGCCAAATACCCATGGTGCGGACTTGGAGGTACGGTCGGACTCCGTTGAGTATACCATTAAGGTTACTCGACGATCGGTGTGAAATGGTTGATATGGAGCGTGTGTCTCGATTTCGGCTTGGGCAAGAGGCGGTAACTTGATCTTCGCACTGCCGCCGGGGCGAGGGTGTGAGGACCCAGACCAGGAGCCAGTAATGGTATCTGAGCCCCGGGTAATGGCCTGCTCATGTGTATACGCATTCTGGATCTCAGCTGGGAGGCGTGCTTCGAGAATCTTTCCACCAAAGAACGGTTGAGCCTGTTTCTTGTTCTTTGGTGAAGCTGAGCTCTTGCCAACTTGATAGACCTTGAAAGCGCCTCCGTCCATGATGCCGATGGACAGTTCCTTGCCGTTCTCATCACCAATCCATACGGCTTTGGCACCAATGCTATCTTTTGCAAAGTTGGAAGGATGGAGGCGGTTTTCGCCGACATATCGAAGATTATTCATAGTTTCGGTGGCGGCTCCGACAGATTTACTTAAACCTGCAGCAACTGCTTTACCTCCTGCCGATGGAATTGCAAATCCCTTGGTTACGGTGAATGCTGCACCGACGCTGGGAGCACGACCACGCATAGCCGCTAAGAATGGCTGTGTAGTGTCGCCTACCAGCTTCATAGCGGTGGAGAAGGGGTTGCGGGGTGCATCATCAGCCACTTCATCGCGTGTGTATGATTCTGCATTTGACGCCTGTGCCACCGAAACTGATCGTCGTAGCGGGGGCCACCGGAACGCGCTGGGTGGAACTTCATAAACGTGGGTTGTTCCCTTCTTCGTGATGATAGCTACGTGCTCACCGTTGGGGGCCGTCCATATGACATCTCGGATTGTCGATGTAGTCAACCTAGCGTATCGAGCAACCTGCCGAACATGAGCAGCCGGAGGGTTAGATTTTGCTGTAGATGAAGGATCCTCTGCTAGGAACGCGCGAGCTCGACAATGACGGATCTGCATCAAATCCCAAATACACTGTATATCGCCTTTCTTGCTTGCGGTAATGAGCATGAGCCCGTTAGGCGACAGGGAAAGAAAGCTACAGCCGTGAGGGGGCTGGAACGTCGCGATTGGGTTAGGGTTTGAAGATTTTCCATCTTGGAAGTCCTCTAGTGGCTTTAGATCGAAAATGGAGACAAGATCTGGCTCATTTGTGGGAGGAGATTGAGTCTCCTGTGCGTGGGTAGGGGGTAAAATGTCAGCAGCAAAACTGTGCTGGTCCGTTGACTGCGGCCGGCGTAAAGGAGTTGAATGACCGGTCTGTGAGTCCTTATTCCAGTAGTTGTTCCAAGTCTGAAGGCCTTGGTCTCCAATCCATCGAGCTCCCTTAAACACTTCTTGAGTTACGCCTCGTGCAACTTTGTTAAGGAAGCTTTCACCTTCGCCAGAGTCAACGCCGCATGTGACGGATGGTCGGGACGGGGGTGTGTGAGCATCGACGCCATATATTCTCCGAGATGTAATGAGCGGCGGAGTCGCCCCATGGAGTGAGACTCGATTAGGTGATGGGCTAACGACAGCAAGCCAGCGCCCACTAACGGAGAGGATGGGTACATCGACTACCTTGGCTGCACGGCTAGCCTCCGAATGTGGATCATCTGCGTCCGTTGAAGCTGACGAGTTGGAGTATCTCCGGGCCTCTCTCGCCTGTACATTCGTCCACATCTTTCCAATACATTGATAAACGGCAGGCGACGGTGAACGAGCCACGCCAAATACCAAGACCTCACCGCTAGTACCAGATGCGATAATAACCAAATTACCACTGGCAAGAATTCTTAGATTGGCTGTTGGCGGGGGTATATACGGCGTGATTCCAGGGAATGTATCAATGCAGGGAACTGGTTTGGTAGCAAACAAGGTCGAAATAAGCTCTCTAGTCCGAAGAGAATAGATCTGTACTCTCGTCTGCGCCATTGGGACATCGGGTTTCGTGTTTACAGCGGGCTTTGGAGAGGTACCGGTAAGGAAGTCTATCTGTTCAGACCCACCGGAAGGGGAAGGCGACGTGCTGCCTTCATCTTTTGGAGCAAGGCCGTGTGTTGTGATGGCAACTAGAGGACGCAGCGATGCGAACGGGTCGGGACCGGAAGACCAATGTAGGAGCGTGGCATCAATGACTCTTCCGTTCAGCCCTTGCATAGAGCCTACTACTTTCATTCGCGAGTTTTCTATTGCTAAAACATCCAAAGCACCGTCCCTGCCTACCAGAATGACATTCCCTCCTGTCTTGGCTGACTTGTGGGAGGCAAACGGAAGATGCTCGACGGCACAGAACGAATGACCGGGTTGCTGATGCTGCTTGACGCTTTGTTGGGTGGCTCCCGGAATATCAACATCAGGCGCAGAATAGAAATGAGCTTGTGGTAAGTGAGGTGGTGGTGGGTAGCTCAGCCTATTGCTACGGTGGCTGCTGATAGAATACCGTTGCTGTCGGTCTCGAGGCTGGTAGCTTGACGGCGTAGATGTTGGAGTAGCCTCTGCATAACTAGTCGGTCGAAGCCGTGCCTGGGGAGGTGAAGTGGACGGAGAAGCCTGGCGGTAGGTGTCTACCCGGGGCGGTAGGGCGAAGGCTGGAGGAGATTCAGCGAAACCGATACCGTCCATGGGGTCATTAGGCGGGCTCTTCCCAAATGGTATGCCTCTTGCCCATGAGTCTGTTCTGGTAGCCAGATCTGGCTCACCTGGGGATGGTGAGTATGGGTCCAGGGGTCCAAATGCAGGCGAGTCAGCGGCGCTTGGCGGATCGACCGCCGCCGGAGCAGGCGGCATGGAAGGTGCAGGAGATTGACTCATTGGCGAAGGCTCAGTCCTGGTCACATCAGTTAGCATGCATGTCAGCGATATAGCTATATATACATCCTTGTCTACTCACGAGTCATCAAAAAGCGTTTTCGCATCAGTTCTCGCCGTGCTATCATGGTCACTTCTAGCGGCATCGTCCAACTTCTTCTTTACCTTCTTCTTCGCCACGTCTGCGGATGTAAGGGGTGGCTGGGAAAGCGGACTTCTATGAGCTGGAGACTGGCTTCTCTGGTGGCGGATGTTGGATGCTAGCGGCATACAAAGTAAACGGTTTCAGCGGTCAGCGTTGGTGCCGTGGGCTTTCGAGCAGTATCTAGCCCGAAACACACCACTCCGTGGTATTCTCTTTGCTTCTCCTGGAGCTCAGCCTGGTGGTTGATGTTGACGGTGGCGCCTAGCTGGGGCCTTTACGCGTCTACAGCGGGTTCAGACGTTAGCCTCCAAACGATTACGGGACAGGAAATGGATAACCAGGCCCTGCGGCGAGGGCTAACCGGCAGACAGCACCTGTATATTATTTACATACAGTGAAGTTCGAGTCCGGTGCACTTGTTCCGCGGTCTGCCCGCGTAAGAGATACCGCCGTGAGGAGTAGCTCTGAGCTGAGGATAGGTATATAGCAGTGGGGCAACAAGCTCCAGCCCCGGGGACTCGGAGCAGATGCAGGCAAGATCAAGTCGCAAGTAAAGGCCAGCCTTGCACGCTCTCGGTCGTAGATATTGAGGTTGTCTCTGTTCCGTGTCGCAGTGTGTTGGTACAGCAAGAAGGGCGATGTCTCGAGATATATCAGAGGACGACGGAGGGTGAGGGGATGATGTTCTAAGCCCAAGTCACGACCTGCCCCGATGCGGTCATGGCGGCTTTCTCGCTCGCCCTTTTTGCTTAGGTAAGTATGCGCTAGTCCTTATCGGGCGGCGGAGGGAGGTGCAAACAAGGCAAACACATCAGGAACCAGACTTTCACCGCCTTATTCTGCCTAGTCACCTGATGGATGACTCAGCTCCACGTGATGGAGACGCTCACGTGCCAGTTCATGGGAAGAGGAAGCATAGAAGGAAAAGAAGAAGGAAAAGAAGAAAGAAAGAGAGGAAGAAGGAGGGCGAAAGAGAAGGAAAGGGATAGATAGGAGAAGGGTCAGGGTGAGGAGTTACCACGCGAGAGGGAGAGGTGGCTACGGGTGACTGCGAGACAGCACGCTGGGTGGTCATCCTGGAGGGATCATCACGCCTGTCATCCTCCCCTCGCAGCCATATGTAGGTACGGTATGGAGTATATAGATATAGTACTCCTTATTATAATAGAAACAATTCTAGCCATCTGCTAATATCCAAATGACCTAGCATAGAACTCCCAGGCCTCGAGACAGCCAGGCTCATCTAGAAACAGTGGTATATACACGTTCATCCATTCGCTATTAACCTCAGCGGTATATATAGCTTTACAGAACTCCCAGTAATCTGGATACCATCCTAATTGCCGCCAGTCGATAATTACAAGGATTTTATTATAGTCTTCTAAACCATGATATTACTTGGATGGAGGTCACCATATGTAAAGACAACATCCGCGTCATCAGGCATACTTATTCAATACGGATCCGGAATTTCAGAAAGGACTTACCTAGCCAATAGTAACGGATGCTTAGCTTAATCGTTGTTGCTATCTCGTCATGAAACTAAGCAATAGAGGAGAAAGGTCCTGTAGGAGGACGGTTTTTGTTGATAGACAATATCACCGAGTGGCTCATAGTTAATATGGCCTTTTATTGTAATGATAAGCATGGTATTAATACTGATTTTAAGGGTATAGAACACTTACCTAGGAGAAAACCACCTGGCGCATGCTGCTGCTTGCGAAACTCTTGAATCAAAACATGTAGCTGCCCACAGACATCTACTCGCTCAGCTTGACTGAAAAATTCCCACCGCTGCTCTAGAGTAGCAACCTGTATTAGCTCCATATAGATAAATACCTGACCATTATCGTGAGTCCAGCCATATATTTCTGGGATAGTAGGGAAGACCCGACAGAATACCCAGAGTAACTGGCCCTCAGTAATAGTAAACTTGGGAGCATGCTCATACTTCATAATTAGGCTGAGTTGCTTATAAAGGACAGGTTTAAACCCAAAGTCACGATTTTTTAGATGTTGGGTCTTGTATTGCACTCTGTTTACGAACCTCCGCAGGAGATGGTAGCTTGGTCAGTCCATTACGTGAGAAGAATGAAGACTCGAGGAAGGTTGCTGAATCTGCAGAAGGAAGCTCCTGAGAGGATATGGTAGGGTGGTTACTGGCCGCCATAAGGTGAGATGGGTTCGGTTTGTCTTTTTCGATGCTGGTAGTGTAGTTAAGTCGGGCGGATTGTGGGATTATGTAGGTGTTGTATACGCATAGATGCATGCGCTCATTGGGCAAAAGAACTTCTATGTAGAAGAACCCAATAAATTATATGCTTCTCATAAACATACAGAATAGAATAGCCTTAGAAGTACGTGACGAGGGGACGATCTAATAGTACCAAGGTACTACGTACCGAACCAGGGAATTGATAAGGCCTAGGAAGACGGGGTAAAGAGTACACGGTATGTGTATGTATTAGTTCTAGAATGCTCTAACCTTCCCCGTCCGCTGTTTGATATTCCCATAAGTACTATGAAAGCCAAAAAAACCTAAGCAACGCCCCGTATTCGTGTGTGTATCTATGCACTTTTTGCTTCAACCGTTGCGGGTTGGGAAACAACGACAAGGAACATATAAACGAGTCCTCCAAGGTAGACGACTGCACATATAGAGAGTCATGTCTCCTCGTCGTTGGAACAGTGCAAAATGACTTGGTAATCGCCCATCGTTCAGCTCCGGGCAGCTCGTTCAACTCTTCTTCTTGAGAGCAGCCGCCTTGGCCTTGGCTGCCTTTTTCCGGTTACTGCGAATCATGACGAGTCCAAGGAATGTGCCAACGACGGTGGATCCAAGTAATGTGAGGATCACTGGGATGCGAATCGCCCAGACGCGCGGTGGGAAGAGGTCGTGGAGGGGGTGGCCTTGGTCAACAAATGGCTAGCAATAGGCGTCAGCTAGCTGTCCAGGAGTTGAATGAGGAGACGAACTAACCATCAGTAGAGTCCATGCCGTATAGTAGAGGAACACTGCAGTCGCCGCGAGCAGCATGGCAAAGCCAAACAGTTGGCCTAGCTGTGGTACACATTTAGCTATTTTGACCCTTTTTTCACATACGTAACTCCAAACATTCCACTCACCATTGCTGCAAAAAGAATTGAGACGTAAAAGTGAGATTGTACCAGTATAGACACGGACTCTGTAGTAAGTCACTTCTCTTCTCGCTCTCTCGTCCTATCAGCAGTAACTCGACGACGGGCACATAGCAGCACCCAGGGGGACCAAGTCGCCGCAACTTCAATATCACCATCACGTGACAACTTGCTATTCTCAAAACTTTCGCGATCTTGAGCCTGGTTTGCATCTCACCGAGCCTTGCTCAAAGCACGCCCACCACCCTGCTACTCACGATGGCAGACACGATGGCGATGCAGTCGGCAGTCCGCCTACCAACTCCGCCGCCTGGAGTTTCGTACTCACCGCGCGCATCCGTCCCTCGCAAGCGGTCACCAACCTCGCGTTCTCCATCTCCAGACCGTCGTCGCCCTGCACCAGCCCAAGCAGACGCAGGAAATGGCCAGCGTGAGCCAGATGCGAGGGAACAAGAGTTGGCAGAGCGGTTTCGCCGGCCCCAGCGGCCAGCTGCCTCTAAACCACTGACGGAGGAGGAGAAACAAGCCGCTGCAAAAGCCGAATATGAAAAGCTCCTCACCATGCGCTCTGGGGGTACATATATACCTCCTGCGAAGCTGCGGGCACTGCAAGCTCAGATAACGGATAAGTCGAGCAAGGAATACCAGCGGATGGCATGGGAGGCCCTGAAGAAGTCGATTAACGGGTTGATCAACAAAGTCAACGTTTCGAATATCAAGCATATTGTACCTGAGATGTTTGGAGAGAATCTAGTTCGTGGTCGAGGCCTGTTCTGCCGCAGTATCATGAAAGCCCAGGCTGCCAGTTTGCCGTTTACGCCGATATATGCTGCCATGGCTGCCATCGTGAATACGAAACTTCCCCAGGTTGGAGAACTATTGTTGCATCGATTGATTGTGCAGTTCCGCAAGGCGTTTAAACGCAACGACAAGGCTGTTTGCATTTCCTCGACAACATTTATTGCGCACTTGTGTAATCAGCAGGTAGTGCACGAGATGGTTGCTGCTCAGATATTACTCCTGCTTCTCCACAAACCCACTGACGACAGTGTCGAGATCGCTGTTGGACTTACACGGGAGGTTGGGCAACATTTGGAGGAAATGAGTGGCCCGATTGCATTGGCAGTATTCGACCAGTTCAGGAACATTCTACACGAAGCAGACATCGACAAACGAGTGCAATATATGATCGAGGTCTTGTTTCAGGTTAGGAAGGACAAGTTCAAGGACAACCCCGCTATCAAGGAAGAACTTGATCTTGTTGAAGAAGAGGATCAAATTACACATCGTGTTGGCCTGGATGACGAGATCAACGTCCAGGATGGGTTGAACATCTTCAAGTTCGACCCCGAGTGGGAGGAGCACGAGGAAGCCTACAAGAAATTAAAGGCTGAAATCCTTGGAGAAGGAAGCGATGATGAGGATGAAGACGACTCCGAAGCTAGCTCTGAGGAAGAAGAGGATGAAGAGGAGAAGGAGATGGATATCAAGGACCAGAGCAACACAGACCTGGTCAACCTACGACGAACTATCTATCTAACGATCATGTCCAGTATCGACTTCGAAGAATGTTGTCACAAGCTGATGAAAATCAACCTTCCTGTTGGCAAGGAATCGGAGTTACCATCCATGATCATAGAATGTTGTTCGCAAGAACGCACCTATTCCAAATTCTACGGTCTAATTGGTGAAAGATTCGCCAAAATCAACAGACTATGGGCTGACCTCTTCGAAACCGCCTTCGCTACATACTATGAAACCATCCATCGGTATGAGACGAACAGACTTCGAAACATCGCAAGATTTTTCAGCCACATGCTCAGCTCTGACGCCCTGGGCTGGCATGTGTGGTCTATCGTGCACCTAAATGAAGACGAAACAACCTCCAGCAGCCGTATCTTCACTAAAATCCTCTTCCAGGACCTTGCTGAGGTCCTTGGAATGGCCAAACTGCAAGAACGACTAAGAGACCCCATTCTCCGACCTAGCTACGACGGCATATTCCCATCTGATACCCCTCGCAATACCCGTTTCGCTATCAACTACTTTACCAGTATTGGAATGGGCGCCCTTACTGAAGAGATGCGTGAGCAACTTAAAAGTTTACCCAAACCAACCGTACCCGCTATTCAAGCCAAAGCCCCTGAATCGGACTCGGAATCCGTCAGTTCTTACTCAAGCTACAGCTCGCGCAGTCGATCATCTCGTTCTCGCTCAGCGTCACGCTCTCGCTCCCCATCTCGAGGCCGTCGAAGTGTCCGTGGAAGATCAGCATCATACTCTCTCTCGCGCACCCCATCAAGCAGATCTAGAAGCCCATCTCGAGGACGGCGTAGAAGCTACTCTAGATCAAAGTCAGCAAGCCCTCCCCCACGGCGTCGTGCTAGACGTGCATCATCATCATACTCCCGCTCCCCATCTGCATCCGCATCACCTCCCCCACGCACTCGCACTCGCACTCGACGGTCACCATCCGACTCTCGCTCTCGTTCCCGCTCAGTAACTCCTCCACGACATCGTCGCCGTCGGGGAAGCGAGGCACGTTCTATATCCCGCTCCCCTTCTCCTCCTCGCCGAACTACTAGAGCTAGAGGACGAAGTACCACACGCTCTCCTACACCTCCGAGACGTGCTACAGCTCGTCGCGGACGCAGCTTTTCTCCCTCCCGATCACGATCACGATCACCCCAACGAGGTCGAGCAAGTAGAAGAGCTCCATCTATCTCCAGATCACGGTCGAGATCGATGTCTAGATCTCCTCCTCCCCGTGCTCGCGGCCGCGGCAAGTACAGGAGCCCTGACAGGCAGCCCGAGCCATCATCTGCACGAGCTCGTGCCGCAGATTACCTGTAGCTCAACTGACATAAATCGAGAGAATCCTTTCGAGGCATGACTAGCATATCCCTGTACTTTTACCTTCGTCTTCCTCTTCATATCCTGTCATTGTTCGCCATGGTATACCTTCTTTCCCTATTGGCTAGCGAGATTGATTTGCCGTTACAAGATTGCTATACTATGTAAATTAATATAAATCAAATTGGGAGTCAAGGCCACCGTGAGTTATATTATAGGAGACCGGATTAGGAATACCAACGATAACCAGTATTTTATTGTTAGCCTCACATCATTCTTGTGCATATAGACGTCCTTCCCGGGCTTGTCTTCAAACTGGTCAAAGGTAAACTTGAAAACCTACGACCATCCCGAACCCTTTTAGGATCAATCTTTGGGAATGTTCCCCGTCTATATTTCCCATTTACTTGCCATAAGCCTCGCTGTGTAGCAAGCTCCACCTCCATCCTCGGGCGGCAGGATGGAATGGAGCCTCAAACCATGCACGGTTATTCAAAATGAAAAAGATCCCGACAGATAGGAGGGAAGTAAAGTGTTCTACAGTCCGGATCAAGTTCTAGCGTGCATGAGAAAACTGGCTACACTATGCGAAATGTCGTGCAGGAAAATAAGATATCAAACCCTCCCCAGATCCCGATGTACTTAATACGTGCGGGATAGGATGCCCAGCACTGCCTTGTCTTTCGGGTCGTTCTGGCGCCTGGAACTCGGACATCGCCGGGAGAAAGATGATGGATGATTGCTTGCTTTGAATGTCGAATCTTGTCTAGCGAGTTGGCCTGGGCAGTATGTAGGATGGTGGTGTGTAGGCTGACCCTGGTCCAGCAGCCAGGTCTCGTTATAGGCAGGGAATGCCGGCCGGGAAACATACGGAGATCTCTACGGGAAGGATCGTCAGATCCCTTATTTGCTGGTAGATATACACAAGGATATTTATAGTAAATTCTGTCGCCTAGAGTTTATATCACCAGAGTTTAGGAGGCTTATGATAGAGACATTCATATTGATGTAGCCAAATAAAAAAAGGCAGCTTTCTCAATTCAATGCTAGAAGTTGAATGCCGTCATTAGCCAAGGCGGAGGCAGGCAGCTGATATTCAATATCGATATATCCGTAGACTTATTACTATGGGTAGAATCGCCCGTAGTAAAATAAGAGCAATTATCTTTCTATCACGCGCGTCAGAATTAGAGGGACCACGCCACCAAATAATATTGTACTTACCAAGAGCACAGCATGGCTGCGAATACCCGTCTTCTTGTGACATCGGTTCATATGATTGAGTCGGCCATTGTTCAAGCGACGGGTATTTGTTGTCCGGGAGGGAGGAGGGGAGCTCGCAGTGGGCAATATCACATACTCGCTTCACCTTTCGTCGTAGGCGAACTCAAAACAGACGTCGATCGCCTTGCGATATCTAGGACAGAAGCTGCCTCCCCGCTTTGCTGAGTGTGTTGTCGACCGCGGTTCGCACGTGGAACAGGTGGTAGGTATGTTGGGCAAGTCCTACCTATATCTGATGCAAGTAATTGAAGTAGTGCAAGAAAAGGAATGATGGAATGGTTCGCCAGTAGTTTGGTCGAGACTGTTTTGGGGTTGAAAGAGAAACAGACGAACGAGATGGGGACCTCGTCATTGCAGCCAATTGTGCAATATATGCTGCGTGTCAAAATGAACGAACGCCTCTAGAAATAGAGGCGAATGTCGTGGCATGCTGTGACATTCCATAGACAGCCTCAGAACCGTTAATATGCAGCCCAAATTTGAGATCGGCAACGGCATCGGGCTAATTTATCGGCATCGATGGTAAGTATGAGAGAGCCGACGTGAAACACACACGGCTCTCCGCAATATTGTGTATCTATCCCGCTGGCAACCTCTCCAGCTGGGATAGGGGGCAACCAATGGAGTAAATTCCCGGAATAAACAGGCATTCTCAGATATCAAAGCGAATGGTTCAAGGAAAAGCTTGTCTATATCGCCGTTTATTTTCCCTGCTGGCGATCAGGGAGACGGACGGACAGTCTGACCAGCCAATAAATAAACAGGGCAGAAAAGCCGTGTCTATGCGGGAGCAAGCAAGGTGATATAAGAGAGAGGAAGAGGGAGGGAAGAGGAAGAAGAAAAAACTGTACTCCGTATGCATGTCGTGCATCACCAGAACCTGCAACCGCTGCGGATGAAAGGGCGCCCTCTCCTTCAGTCAATCAAGGGGTATAATCCTCCATGCGGCTTGCTGACGCCGCCAACCAACCACTGGAGGCAGGATATACAGTTGTAACTCGGCACAGTAATCGCCCGAAATTCGAATATTGGGGGCTAGCGAGCGGCCTTGTCCACGGCGGGCGCGTATCTCTGCATCTCGACAGTCGACCGGTGTACAACAGAGTACCTGAATCGACGGGCCAAGCACGCTCGGTGACTTGTACAGAGCAGTGCTAGCTCCTGTCGACTGTACCACCGGCGTTCGTTCAATTGCTTTCGTGACAGGGTGTCAAAGGAGCCGTCACGTAGCAAGCAACGCCAAACACACGTCTGTTGGCATGTAACAGAACACCAGGTCCATGTCCATGTCCATGTCCATGTCCATCCCCACGAAGGCACAGAGCATCCTCTGCCGCCGCTCTGCTTGAAGCTGGTGGTGCTGATGCTATGTTGATCTGCTGTGGTGGCGGTTACTAGCCGTCGCTCTCTTTTTTGCAGCCAACTATCGCCTTGGCGCGGCGGCCCTGGTCCACCACCTCAAGGTCAACGTCAGTTCTCATCCTCTCTCCATCCTCCCTCCGTCCAACGGCCCCTGAACAGTCGACGGCGTCCCTCTCTACGCCTCGGGGGGCCGTATGCAACAGTTGGAGGAGTTCCGGTCACCGGGCCCTGGCATGCCCTTGCCTGTGGCGTAGCAGGGCCCTTCTCCTGCACACAATCGTCAACGCCTGCAGAGGCAAGGGTAGGCGGCTGATCACCCCGTCGGCGAGCAAGATGGTCACAGATCCAGACTACTGATCACTATTAGTGCGTATCCTACTCCACCAAGTGGCTTACGGGTGACGGTCGAGGTCCTGGGCTAGCTTTTCGCTGGGCTTCCGGGTCGGGTTTTGTCAGGGTTCAAATATCCAAAAATCAATCCCATCCACTCACGACATTTATTATCCCGTAAGACAGCGTTGACCACTGAGAGCTGCCAGAAATGGACTCGTCTGTGCTACGCTCCAACGGAGGCCAGGGGATAGCTTTTTTTTTCGAGGGCCAAGCTCGTCCAATCCACGCCTGCAGGACCCAGCCTGGGGAGGGAGAGCCCTTGGTGCCCTTTTTAACGTTTACTTTCGACCAGGAGAGTGCCAGATAAAATACATTCATACGCCCATACCTAGAAACACACAGCAATGACTGACGTGCAGCGAGGAAGGGAGGGTAAAAAAAAAAGAAACATAACCTGACGAAACCACCCCGTACAGAATTCTGACCCCTCATATCAACAATTTGGGGTGAGGCGTGACTGACCTGTCTCGTCCAAGTTCAAATCTGCCCCTTATTCCAGCTCTCCACTTCTGCGGCACGCACGTACTAGTTATCAACATGGACTTTGTGTATGCTCCCGTATGTATGTGCGGGATAATCAATTGACTTGTTTACTGCCGGGAGCTCCATAACGGCTAGTCGATCTGAATACTCCGTACGGAGCATGTAATTCTTGCATCTCAGCTTACCCGTGCTATGGGAACAACACATCAGCCGAATCACGGGTGTCAACAGAGGCAGTCGCCCCATTGCCGAAACGGTTCGCTCTCATCCATTCTTCTGCCCGTCGGGGGGGGGGGGAGGCAAATCGCATCGCATCAGCCTTGGGCTTCCCTCGCTCGCCTTCTTTTCCCTTACGGAGTAGGGACGGCCGCAGGACTGTAGCCAACACTGACGCACAGTTACTCAAGACGAAGCTCTCTCCTCCTGCGTCTGTACGGAATATATGTACGGCTATGGGGTAGAGGAGGCTAAGCTGAACTAGTTCGTGCAAAGACCCTGGCAGCGTCAAGAGGGAGCTACCGGTATATACTTTCCTGCCTATCTGCAGCGCCGGTTGCATTCGCGATCCATGCGCCGATGGACTGGATTACGATTGTCTCCCGCCTACTTTTTGAGATTGGGCGATTTACCTACTCCGTACATCCGAACTATGGAATCAGCGACCAGCAAGCGGGCGCAGCTCGAATCTCAAATGTTAGACTTCCTATCTGACCTAACACGTCCAACTACTTAATTATGCACCCAGGCCTCGTATTCTCCTAACTAAAAAGCACAAGCCTATCTGAACCATCTTATCCTGCGGGAGGCTTGCAGAGATCGGATCTCAGTCTGCGGCCACATTGATTACCCGAGGAAGAAGAAACCAACGAAAAAGCAAGCATGTACAAATAGGACGCAGGGAAAAAGAAACCTGAAAATCCGAAAGAAAAAAAAAAGCCCGAAAAAGGGCACCGCCGCCCATCTTCAAGGTGTAAAATCAGCAGGCTCGTAATTTTCGGTCAAAACCAACTTTGCCTTTGTGTCTCCAATCCCCTCCGCTCTTCCCATCCAATAACTTTGATTCCAGCCCAGTTGGTGGGATACACAGGATGAATATTAGTTATAGCAGGCCCTATTTTGGTCCTTTTCGAACTGACAGCGCCATGATCTATTAGATTAATCCTTACTCGGCCCGTACAGAGTACGGGGAGGAGGTAATATTACATCCCTCGTTCTCGTTACATAGTAGAAATCATTATTTGAGGGCATGCATACTCCGTACATGAAGGCTTATTTTTTAACTATGACTTCTAATGCTCTTCTTTTTTTAATTTTCATCATCGTTCCCAGCTCTCGAACATCCTAGTCACCTTTTATCTTAACTCTTCGGACTACTTAATATTTGTACATCTCATTCCTTCCCTTCTTTCCCTCAAAGTTGATGCCCCCTATATTGATACTACCAAACTTCTTCTTCACGCACTCTCTTTTTAAAATTATTACTGGATTTGATTCTCCTGGACCTTTAACAGGCACCGCAAAGTCTCTCTACTTATATCCGCCTTATCGGGTAAATTCTGTGGTATTCAATATTTAGCCTCATATTCGTCTCCTTCGTTCTATACCGCCGCCCCAGCCGTGCGAAGCCGTGCTTGATCAACCCAACTTCTCTGCCCGTACTGAATTCGGCCTCTTTATAATACCCACTTCTCTGGCGCTTCCAGAGATCTAGTACGACTTGAACATCAAAAAAAAACTAGGAAGATTTAAACTTAGCCTCCCTGGAATTCGGAGCCAAACCTCGACCCCTCTCTATCTAACTCCGGAAGTAAGTAGCATACTTGACAGCAATACAAGCAGCTTGTTTTAACAATTCCCTTTATTCGTGTCCTTCTAGAAAGCCGCAAAAGAAGCAACCAGACCTTGTGCTTGAAGGTATTTGGCTGGGGAAACAAGCTGCGATCCCCCGCATAGTTCGATCTCTTTGTTAATCGCACCGCCCATACCGCCGGAAGCGGTCACGGTCTCATATCCAATTTATCTTCCCTCGAAGATCTGCTCGGCGAAATAAGGGCGAGAAAGGCAGAGAGTCGAAGATATATACATTTTAAAGCCGAGCCCGAGGGGCCATTTCAGTTCGGTCGTTCGCTGGATAGTCCGAGACTGATCGAGTATACCGGCGCCTGCAGACCTCGAGATTCGACCTGAGTCGAATTAAGGGCCGAGAGTAGGACGAGAACAAGCACAAGAGGACGAGAAAGATGAAATCTTGCGGGGTCATGCCTCTCTCGCCACGGCAGAAGGAGGGAAAGGATCGGAGCCCCCGATCTCTTGATGATGAATACGTCGTTTTCCTTCAAGGGGTGAGTTTCTTCCCTAGAATATGATCAGAACGCACCTTCGGATCGTTTGCGGCCTGGACGAGCTTCTAATTGTTATTTTGTGGGGCGCAGATTCCACCACAATGCCGCTGGCAGGAGTTGAAGGACTTTGTTCGTCAGACTGCATTGCATATCCGCCAAGCTGTGGTATATGATGATTGTCACGGCCATCCAACCGGGTTGGGCCAAATCATCGTGAAGAACGAGGATGAAGCGTGGCGCACGTATAGTACGTTCAACGAGCATTCCATGATCCGGGGAACTGGAGTAATGCGCGAGCCCTATGCTGACCAGAAATCGTAGATCGGCTTTCGACGAATGGGTGGAATGGACATAGTCTCACGGTGACATTGTCACTGGCGAGTGAGCCGACGAAGCCAATAGCTGGACCAACGAAGAGCCCATCGCTCGGTGGAATGCCATTTGGCTCGGGCTTCACTGCACCTCCAGTCACATCAGCAATGGGATCTAGTCCGACATGCGTCCCTAACCAAGAGTGAGTTCAGCCTGTCGCAAAAGCCGTAATGCAAGACCAGTTCGCTAACTCATGCGCCGGAGCCAGGATGCCTGCATCACCAATATTCACTCAACCGCCAGACCATCAACATCCGCCGTTCATGGCCCCCTTACCCAGCGCCGCCTGTCATCCGCAATATGTTCAATTCCCCGAATCAATCGGTTACCACGTCCCCTTCGTCTTCCCCAATGAGAACGCCTTTTTCGTCCCCCATCCTGCATTCTATCCATCATCATTTGACTCCTACCAGTTTGGCCAGCCGCGATATAGGGCTTCAAACGGCTGCGTTCAAGCCTACCCTGGCTACTTCCCACACCGACACAGCGTATCCGGCCCCAGCGTAGGCGCCTCATCAAGCATGAACCACGAGTATGGCGCACCAATCTCGCGAAACATCTTCATCCATAACCTCAGCCATGAAACAACCCCACAGCTCCTGAAAGAGTATCTCCACACAGCAGGAAACATCGAGCGATGCGACGTGTTCGACCGAAAGATCGGCGGAAGCCCTCGGACATGTGCAATCGTTGCGTTCCGGAATAAAGAAGAAGCCAAACGAGCCATTGCGCTGTTTGACAATTCCATATTCAGGGGGTCGCGGATAAGAGTTCGTTTCGATAGGGAGCGGGGTGGCAGTCTTGGAACAGCCCACGGTAGCGGCCATGGACATCACAACGCCAACAGAAATGGGCATGGAAAACATGCTGTGCCGACTGCTCCAGCAGCCAACCGTACAGCTACGGCGAGATACGAGGCGGATATATCTAGATCAACGATAGCTCAGGCCATTCCGTCAAAGGAAGCACAGCAGGCCGCAACGGCATCTTCATCGCCCTCGATAGCTGCAATAACACCTACATCCACGGGCGACGAGGCGGAACCTAAGCATGAGAAGAGCAGTTCCCGCAAGAACAGCACGGAGCCATTAGTTGTGAATGGATCCTGTGTCGGGTCCAAGACTCTGGCCACAGGCGTTGAGAAAGGTCAGTACATCCAATCTCCGAATGAAAATAGATTCGATATACGTGATATATCTCAATTCCACGCCACCTTATCTGGCAGATCCAGGACAGTTTTCGAACATTATAAATTGACTGGTTCAATTAGATGAACTCTCCCAACGCACTCGGGCATTGCACCTCTGATCGCCATTACCGTCTAACCATCTAATTCCCCCCATCATCGAGATGAACGAAGGAAAATGTGGGGGCGGGGTAGAGAAACGCCCATGCTGATTCCTGATTCCTCAATCGGAGAATGCTATTTGAAAGGCAAAGGAGATGCCATAATATAAATCCACAATACCCGCAACAATAGTGTGACTGGCCGGGCAAATGAACCTCCAAGAAACGACCTTTCTCTCAGGAATATGCTTTATCGGGTATAATGCGGAGATTCCCTTGTTTCAACTCTTCTTGTATTTGCGTTCACCTCCATATTACCATTGCATTTGCTCTTTTCTGACCTTGTTTTTTCTCCCATCTCGACCGCGCCGATCGTCGACTCCCCATAGCTCACACGGGCCTTCTTGAAGTATCATCGTTATCTCGTCTCCTTGGAAGCATGGCGTCTGGTCTCTTTTCTTTGACTTTTGTCAGAGTTTTCTCCTTTTTTACTTGCTTGTTTGTAGGAGTAAGGTTGAAATGTCACATGATTTGCACGTAAAACCTCCGTTTCGCCGACTTGACCAGTAGACTGATACAAAGTCAGAAGAGAGCGAGAGGCATGTATGATGTGATGAGGATAGAGGCGAATAATTGACTACTTGATAAGTCAGTGAAGATCAGAGGCGCACAAGTGGCTTAGCCTTTGCCATTGTCGAGATAGGAAGTTGCTATATAAGATTCGCTGGTAGAGCTCAGACCGATACACTATATAATCTAAATTCAAAGTTTTTCCGACAAATCTAGACGGCGGTTGAGCATCTAGATGGGCGATTCAGAGAGTAGCTGGCCAGCCATGATCTATACATATAGGCAAGAGGCAACATGCCAAAGCGCGGAGCCAGCGGACGAAATCAAGCAATGAGGGAGTAGAGAGTCAAGTAATTAAATCAAGTAGATTGGCTAACCTAAATCGCTAACTAGCAAAAGAAGAAACGCTAAGCTGCCAGCAGCAGTGAGATGGACATGACTAGACATCAATACCGAGGGTTGGAATTAATTATACAAGATATGCAGAATAAGCGGGGAATAAGGATAAGTAGAAAAGAAGGAGAAAAGGAGGGAGCTCTGGTTCGTATCCAGAGATTATCCTGGGTGGTGGGGTCGCGCGGCAACAGTTGATCCCCTCCTTCATCTTGAATACTGGAGAACGTGAGGGAAGCCGTTTCATGCCTGTTTGGAGCGGTGGGTGGAAGGCGGGAGAAGTCGAGATGGTGCGGTGGTAGTGCAGTGATAGTTCGTTCTTCTTGGTAGGTAGTTCGCTCTCTTAAGCGATATGGCGAGGAGAGGAAGGTTTGCTCGTTGCGGTGTGTTCGGAGTACTCCGATCCGCGTAGAGAGGAATCGCGGTGAGCGTTTCTCGTCGTGTGATATCGTTGTGAAAGTCACTCTCGTAGGAGCGGTCTGTCAAGATATGCATCGTTCTCCGTCTTCGAGTTCAACATCTTCGGTTCAAGGTATTGTATCCAGTAGCGGTGCTATCTGTATCCTTGAGTTCCGTCGTCGTCGGCGGGGTAGATGTATGAGTCTATCTCCCATTGAGATGGTATGGTACTTGTATCATGTAGTAGTGTTTGTTGTATCTCTTCATGGTACTGTTCTCATCGTATGAACCCCACCATCGAGGCGCATCGATTGCAGTAGTAGCAGTTCATGCCAAACTGTACCGACTTGGAGCCCGGCGAGCTCAAGGAGAGCTGGCATCTGGAACATCGGACAGTGTCGAAGGTAGCGTAGCCTGAAGAGCCAGAGGAAGACATGCCGGGCGTCGAGGTGCTGGGGGCCTGGCGAGGTACGGTCGAGGAAGACATTATGTCTGGTGTGTATGCTGTGGATGGTGTGTACGTTGTGTATGCGAGTGATTGCGTGTTCATAGATACGGCCAGCGCAGGTCAAGATCAATATCGTGTTGATATTTTGAAGTCGTATGTGTGTATGTGTGTAGAAGAGAGTAGGCAGGGCGAGAGCGTAGATATATATTGAAGCCTCCGAACCGGAGGATGAAAAAGCTGCGGAAAAAGAAATACCAGGGACTCCGATCCTCCACCGTGCGTCGTAGGGATGCCTTTTTCCTTTTTTTCATACTTTTTTTCTTTCCTTTTCCTTTTTTCCCACTCGCCCATGGTTTTTATTTAGGGGCCAGGCTTTGCAAAAAGGAAAAAGCAAGGGTGGGAAAAGGATGAGACGGCCACGGCGCGCGGGTGGAGGCTGTGCCACTGGCAAACCCAAACCCGCCAGCCCTGGACGAGCAAAAGACAGTTTCAGTATCAATTTCCGCAACGGAAGACGCGGCTGGGCCTGAAGAAACTGGCAGCCTGGACCATCCACATCCACAATCAGGGCGCCGTTGATACGGAGTACACTGGGATAGACGGATACCACTAGGATACGATGGGATACACTGGGATAGGAAGAGAGTGAGTCATGTTCAGGTGTTAGTTTCACGTTATATTGAATGTATCATCTGCAGGTCTCGTATAATGGCTGAGTCGATCCGCTGCGATCATGTCCGAGGGAGATAGGGCAGAGGATACATAACTCCGCCCATCTCCTGCCCTTGTACGATGTATGGATACGATGTTATGCATGCCATCCATCCCCAAAAGCAGGTATATGGGCTGGGCATGCATGCTGGTCTCCCAGCGACGTATGAACTACTCTAGCGGCTGTCTATGATGCTATTCGATACATGATACTACGAGATGACATCAGGTCATCTGTACACACGTTGCACCGGCTAAAAGGAGCAAGTGATGGGAACCCAAGCGGACGGATGAAACGGGCTGGCCGTCGCGGGTGTTTGTCCGGATGAATCATACATCAGATCGCTGCTCGTTTCAATGGGGGGAAGCCGGAAAGTGGGAAGAGGGAGGGAAAGATGGGAACTAGACCGTCTCGTCCACGAGTCAGCTGGATATCTCTATACTTCGGACTATCGATACAGACGGAGGAACACCGTCCACACTCCTCGACACGGAGAATGAGGCATCCCTGGCCCGCCATGCATCCCGAGGAGATCGCGGCTACGATTAATATGACCATGCATAACACAGCTCTTATACATATAAACACCCATGTTGCGTCCGATATCAAAACCCAGGAAGTCGACCAGAACAGGCAAGACGGTCACCTCTGCGCAACATGGCCCCAAAGACCATCGTGCATATTCCCTGCATGCACAATGACGTTGCCCCATGCCGCGATTCAATCTTCCCTGACTCGCGAGCTGGGAGAAACGATAGGATTAACTCTGATAAATGTTTACAGAGAGTTCCCCATCATCACCATGTTTATCGATAGTCATCTACTTTGTTTTGTTTACTTCTCGTTTCTTTTTCTTCCTGCTCGCGTCGCAGATTCGATTGCCTATCTGAGGCAAAGGAGGCAATCGTCCGTGTACCACCAGCCGGAATCTTTCCAATTGCCGACTAACAAAGCGATGCGAACGCCCATAAAAAGGAAAAAAGGGGGAAAGACCATGGCCTGTGGCCTGACGATCGACAGGTAATTAGGCACATATCCCAAGCACTAGCTGGCACTATGTGATGGTCCACGATGCAGGGCGCCCTCGATGCATCATATGCATCTTAAAAGACGTACATGAAGTGTGGTGATTCGGACTGGATGGGCTGTCAACGAGACATGGGGCGGCAAATTTTGGCCCGCGGTTCACGTGGACTTTCTTCATCGCTCTTGTTGCGATGATATTCATCTTGAGTTCCCTTCGTGAATAGACGGAGCAGGGGCAAAACATGCATTTACGATCGGATGGGATATCCAGGTTCCCCGCCGGTAGAGTTCGAGTGTGCTGCTGCGATGCGACTCCGACTCCGGGGTTGGACTGGAGATCCAATGTATATATAGGCCTTTACTGGGTTAATACTCCGCCCAGGTTACTCTATAATTTGATTAGGTTGCTGTTGCTGTTGTTGTTGTGCCAACACAGCAACTCCCACCATATCTTCACCATGCCTCACCATGCAACACAGCCATTCGAATGCCCTGTGGCCAGGGAGCGGCATGTTAAGGTTGGCTGTCATGCATATCCTCTTGATGAGAGGCAAAAGCAAGGGCAGGCCATGATGCTTGCTCGTTGCATTGCTGTGTATGCCATGACATAAAAATAGGAACCTAGACGTGGACAACAGATACGCTGCTCAACAGACATGGTAGAGAGGAATCAAATAACTCAGCTCGGTCCTCGATCTCCTTGCACTGCGTCTCTCGGTTGTGATTGATAATTAATCATTCATCAATTAATAACATTCCTTTCTTTTTCACGACACACCAGCCATGGCTGGTGCGTATGTACGGAATCCTCCGTACGGAGTATATTTCAACTATTTAATTCGTTTTTTTTTTTTTTTTTTTTTCGTCCTCCCAACGCCCAACGCCTGAAAGCCATCGCCGCAGGAACAGCCATCGCCGCAGGAACAGGAACCGAAAACTGGACCAAGACGACTATCGATCCACGATGCAACTGGGAACTGCAAAAAACACGCCAAACGGCGCCCAGCTGCACGAATACGATAATCAAGAGCCCGGCGCCACCTTTTACCACGTATGGCTTGACTTGGCCACTTCCAACTTTGCCAGGAATGGATAAAAGTGCCCAACGAGCTCGGGTTCCTGGCGAGAGACGGGTTATTAATAACTCCCACGCGTCGGCCGGCGAAGGATGAGGGTACTTCATGGCCTTCGATCTCGATGGATGACGAGTACTCGACATAGAGTACGGACTGGCCTTCAATGCGATATGGAAACGTGAATTGCCCAACGGAATATATATCCACGGAGCAGGCATCAACTGTGGCGTTTGACCCAGCTCCAACGGCGAGAAAAGCCAGGCCAGACCAGGCCGGCGACGAGGCTGTCGGCCTGTCCGTCTCTCGTTCGCCGTTACGATGAGCGACCTAATTCTAAGATTACAGCTAATATTTCGGGCCAATCTCGGCAGAGGCGGCCAGGCGGTCACCTCCGCCAGCCCAGACGGATGCCCAGCTGTCCAATTGCCTGTTCTGTCTAGTCGTGGCTTCTGGACTAACGAAAGCAAACAGAAACGCAGCTGGGGGAGTTTCAGCCTCGAAAAGCAGTCAGCTTATCACCCAAGGCAGCGGTCAAACCGTCTGCATACATGGACGCTTATGCAGCTACGCGTTCCCTGCCGGAGGTCGAAGGATGGCTCGGATTTAGGCCAGGAGTACGGTGTAAATACCGACAGCCTCCCCCTTCGCTTGTCCTGCGTTCAGCTCGCTCATGCTGTGCTATGTTCGTCGCCCTGTCGGCCTTAGACACTCCGCCATAGCGTGCAGATGATCAAAAGTCGGCGTCGTCGTCGTCGTCGTCGTGTACAGATGACTCGACTCCTCACTTCCCCATGTTCAGGCGCCTGCATTAGTCCAGCGCTTTTACACTCGTTGTCGGAGGCTCGCGGATGCGATGGCCAGCCTCGGGGCGGGTTTACAGAGTAACAGTTCGTTCATGTTGTGTTCATGCTACGTAGGCGAAGGTGAAATAGATGACCCGATCAGCTGATCGCTTGTGAGAACCATTGATTGGTATCTAATTATATATTCATAATCATAAACTCATACCCCTGGGCTTCATGACCCAAGCACAGGGGCCTGTTGAACGAAGGTGAGAAAAAGGATTTTCTCAAACGCACATGGCGAGTGGGTCAGACCATGCCTGCCAGGCAGTTGAGACATTGAGCTTGGATAACACTTTTTTTTTTTGTTCTCTCGACTCGTTGTGGGAAGTCTACTAGTACAAGCAGGCTGAAAGCAAGAGCAGAGCAGTTGGATGACCCCCGCGACATCGGGCTTAGGCATAAGGACAACGACGGGGGCCGCCGACGAGCTTTCTGATCATTTGCTAGCAGCGAATTTTTCCCACCCCTTTCCCCTAACCTCACACACTAGGCTTGGGTTTCTGGCGTTCATTCCAAGGCTTAACATGCATAAATGTTTTACGCCTCACGGGTAAGGATGTCGGAGTGCTTAACATGCATAAATGTTTTACGCCTCACGGGTAAGGATGTCGGAGTCACCAGCGTCGAGGATGGCCATGGTAGAGCAGCGGAAAAGTTTACCGCAAGCAGTTCCAAGTTCAATCTATATTCACGAAGAACACAAGCAAGGTTCAAGTGGTTAGCCAACAGGATTCAAAGCTCTCCGGCAAAATCCCAACACACGCGTATAAGCGTTTATGTGAGGGAAATCCCTTCTCAGAGCAACTACTACTCTCCAAAGTCACACAAATAGTCCACTACGCGTGCCGTGTAACTTCTTCGCAGAGCCAAATGGAGGAGATAGAGCTGTCTTAAGTTCACCCCCGTGCGTCTCATCGACTGATTCCACACGGGGGTAACTATTTTTCGGGATTTTTCAGGACAGGTGGTTGTTGGCACTTACGTTGTTTCCGTGGAAGTGGTGAACTGGGACCTTGGCGAGCATAGCATAGTCTACACACATTCAATTAGCTGCATTCTCAATTGTGTATTGTTGGAATTGCAATGACTTACACTCGAGCTCCGACTTGCGGAGGGGTGGGCAGTTACCAGCGATCAGGATGAGCTTGGCCTTTCCAGAGCGGAGGGTCTTCAGGGTAGATTTGGAGCCCATGGTGACTGTTATATCGTTAGCTATCACAGCTGCCATGATAGAGTAAAATATTCCTCACCTTTGCCGGACTTCATCACAAGCGCAAGGCGCGAGGAGAGGGTATCCGCGGTCTTCTTAGTCTTAGCCATTTCGAAAGATGTGTGGACTTGAGTCGAGAAGAGAGGTCGAAAGTGCTGGTGGAATTGAAGCTTTCTGGTCGGTCGTCAGGTCGAGGAGAAAGATCAGAAAGTGAAGACCATTTTGTTTGTGGAAAGGAACAAGGCCGAAAATTTAGCGAGAGTGGGCTGATGACTAAGGAAAGCTTACATAATATATAGACTTGGCGGAGTTATAGATGAATATTCGAGCTCATGATATTACAGATATGATCATTACGCAGCCACTGTGACGGTAAAATCTTGGATGATCCGGTATAGAGTACTGTCTGGATCTACAAATGGCCATGGTGATGATTAAATCGGGCATACCTTTAGCTTTGTCCTAGGCTAGGCATTTGCACGCTTGATTATCATTAACTTAACTGGAGACAATTAATCGGAGATGGTTCAGATACCATAATGAATTCACATGCCGGCCATTGAGGCGTAGATTAATGTGGTATTAGATTTCACAAGATCGACACAAAATCGAAAAGTAATGACCCGGTGAGAGCAAGCTTACATCAAACGGGAAAAAAAAGGGTATACAAAAGAGAGCATAATTCAAAACATAGAGCGCGTAGTCTCGTGAATACGTGAGAAGCTGAGCTGGCCAGAGCCGGAATGAAAAGGTTTTGGTAAGCCAGAACATGCCAGATGCATTGACATAGAAAGCTTACACACTATGTATATCTTTGGGGAATGGAAAATTGGCCATGTCCGATTCATCAGCTCCGACGGCCTCCTTTTTTAGTCCCGGTCGAGGTATGGCTAACTGCTACCCCGACAAGGCTGTGTGATGCGGTTTCCTCAAATGGAGAAAGGGGACTTGTGGCATCCTTGTCCTTATCACGCTTATTTCTGAAATAAGCCAGTCTCGCAAACCTGCTGAGCTGAGCCCAGAAGTGTCGACCGGCTTCGTGCGCAGATATCCGGTCAAGAAGTTCGACTGTGGCATCGCGGACGGTCGGGTCGTTATGGAATAGGCCCATGGATAGATAGAACAAGCCTGCCTGGGTTTCAGGGATGACAGAAAGAAGCTGACAGATGGAGTTGTAATCTTTTATGGACTTTGAGAAGGCGAGGTACACTGCTTTAGCCTCTGCCTCGCTCAACTTTAGTGTGCGAAGCCGGTCATGATGATGTTGGACGTCAAGCCCCTTTAATGGTTTCCCTGCAAGATGCAATGCTGCACTATCTTGGATAAAGTAATAGTATGATCGGGTATTTCTCCATCCTTCGATCCGCGGCACCCACGCGGCAAGTTCACGCTGTTTAGTGGCCTCGTCGACCCAGACATATCCATGTCCACGTAGTGTGGTGTCTCCTGGCCGTTCACGTATGGGAGACGAGTCTGGAGCAGGCTCATCCGGCCCCACGATATCAAGCGCGGTCGCACCGTAAACAATTTCCTCAAAGGTAGCGGATATCCTGGTGAATTTATTGATATATGCACGCCATTTTGCTCGAATGACGCCTTCACTGTGCCTAGAAGCGATGCTCTTGAGGATATCATCCATAAACTGTACATCGCCAGTCAGGTCTGGAGGGGTCGACGAGCTACTAAGTAGAGAAGACGAGGAATTCTGGTTCTGTGGTTGGAAATATTGCATTCCCTCTGTTACGGGGGCTGCCTCAACGCGGTTGCTGATTTTCATTCGTCCGCTGGGAAGGTCACAGAGAAGATCCCACCATTCATGATGATTTGCGAACGTCGGGTTGGTTACGCCAGCTACGAAGCCGGGTACTTTGATGAGTTCGTCAATCTTCGTCAAGTCAGTATATGGAAAGGCATGTCGAGTGAAACCTCGCAGTGTACCGCCTGAGGCCAGTGCACATGTTGCAAGGACAGCCTCTGCAACCTCTCCAGACGGCCGATTATGCCCCAAAAATATAACCCGTTTTTGGGTAAGTAAAGCATTCACCAGCACAATGATGGGATGAGTGAATTGACCGCTGCTGGTGAGATGAGGGTGTAAAACGAATGGCTGTGGGGAAGTTGCATGGGGACCAGCAAATGTTTGTATTAATTTGACCAGGGAAAAATCACCCACGGTTTCCGGAGAAATTGCACTGGGGACTTTAACCGGAATGGCAATGTCATTATAAACGATTTTGGATTCGAACTCATGAGTATCGCGGGGTACAGTGTACCGTGATGGAGGTCCGGCCTTTTGAGGGTCAATACCTTGACGTTCAAGTTCTGCACGCTCGTCGGCTAGTCGCTGTTTGATCATCCATTCGAACTTCTCTACAAACAGGTCCTTCGTTTCGGTTGCCTGGAGTATATGTCGTTCAAGATATGAGAGGCACGGCATTAGCGAGAGGTCCATGGCATTGAGAGAATCGTATAGGGTGGCCAGCGTTTCGGGGAAAGGGTGTTTGAAATAGTCCTCTAGAGCAAGGAGGAGTAACGGCTATAGTTCCTGTTAGTGGATGTTGGATGAGAGGTGGTGGACGGTGGGACACTAACTTTATATATGTGAAGGAACGAATGTCTCGTGCATATTGCCATTGCTTTGACCATAGCACCACTGCTTTCTGTCAGCGAATCATCCATAAACAGGCCAGATAAGATGGTTGAGCCTACCGTTTAACCGATGTGTCCTGTTTTGTGTTTACAAGATTCAGGACATACATCAGGGGTGGCTCATCGTCCATCCCTCCATCCTCGACTTCGTCATCTTCTGCATACTCATGAGACTCTCCATTTTGCAGCTTATCTTCGCCCTGTTCGTCATCTCCTTCCTTATCTTCCGCAAACTCGGCGTCCTCCTCTGGCCCACCGCTGTCCTTATGCAAAAAGAAAATTGTCCAGTCCTGACTGCGTACGTGGGTTTGATCCGGCAACATCAGCTCCGCCAACATGCTTTCATCACCGCTAATGGCGCTAGGATATTGGTGCTCCATTATTGGTCCTCGGTCCACATCGAAAGACGCCACAAGGATATATTCGACATGCGGCTCAGGAGAGTCGGCGGGGTACTGAGACTTGTACCTCCGCTTCTGGGCTTGAAAGCTGCCATAGGAATGTACAGACCGCCGCTGTGACGATTCTCCAGAGCTGTTGATGGATTTATGGCTGAGTGACGTCTGCGAGCGGTTCTTTCTGGGCCCAATTCCAACACTCTGGTGCGGTGATATAGACGAAGTCGGGATCGATGTGAAGGAGGTGCCTCTATCATGGGAGGAACCGTTCGTAGACGGCCGGCGGGCTAACGAATTCGCCATGGCTAAAGATTGTAGGTATAAATTATAGAATTAAAGGGTCAGGAATAGACAATTGCATTCTATATTGAGCAAAAGGGGGTACCCGCAGTCAGCTTTGTGATAAGATACGATTGGCGTTTAAAGAGTGACGCTTCGACGTACCTCGCTATGAACGCAATGCGTGCAATATCATTATCTAAGGGTATGCATCAGTCCACCAGAAGGGCGCATAGGTCAAGGTGCCGTCGGGAGAGCTAGACGCAGAGCTCTCTGGATATGCGCCATGAAGCAGATATCGCCTTTGCCGGTTTCCTCGTGCCTTGCGCGCTTCTCGGATTAACTCAAAACGTCGAATCGGCTGCCCTGGCCTTTCACGTGCCGCCAAGCAGGCCATCTTCGGAATAACATTCTTGCGGATGCGGGGATGCCAATATATGGGAACATAGTTTATCCGAATGTTTGTTGATTTCCGCTTTGGGACATGAGCCGATAACGAGCTTATCGAAGAGCTCAAAACGAACTACGAAGATATACAACTGCCCTGGACATAGATTTCATTTGACTTGATATTCTACGGAGTACATTAACAGATCTAGAGCAGAGAGAAACAATGGTAGGAACTCTGGGTACTCCATTTAAGCGACGATGGCAATTGACACTTCCTAGGGTACACCTAACACCACACCGTATAAGCCATCTCCTCTTTCATTTGGATCTCCTCGCTCCTCTCCCTTCCGTCGACCATCGGTCGTCTCCTCTCCACCTGCTTCCTCTCCTGGAACAGTGATCCGGCCAAATCCACAAGCCAGCCCCAGCAGCAGAGGAACGACTCCTACGCATTCACCAAGCAAACTAAGCCATTTCCAAGCCTTGGAGAGCGGAGATATATTTACGAACGGCAGCAATGGGTTACGGTCGTCCCCGGGACCCAGATCACCGCAGCTGTCGCCTACAAAGGGCGCAAATACCCAAGATCGGTTTTCAATGATGGGTTCCAAGACACCTGAGAGGCCGCCCATAAGCAATGATTTGCTGAGCAAGATTCCCCCAGGCCAGCTACGAGAGATGCGTGAGGCGTTTCAGGTTCTCGATCGTGACAACGATGGACTGGTAAATAGAGAGGATATAGCGGATGCTCTGAATAACCTTGGTTAGTTACATCTGATTTTTAACCCTGGTATCATATGAGCCGTGCCCATACTTACAACGTTGCTCCCGTTTTAGGTGAAGATTCGTCGTCATTAGCAACCGGCGCCTACTTCCCGCCAAACGGCCCTCGATCAATCAACCTTCCAACCTATCTAAACCAAATTGCTACTCACCTTGCACCTCTATCATCCTCCCAGGAACTGCTGAATGCCTTTGCAGCCTTTGACGAAGATGATAGTGGTCAAATTGACCTGGCCGAGCTTCGAGACGCTTTGCTCCATACAAGCCCCGAAGGAGACGAGAGGCAACTGACAGAAAGCGAGATCAACGAGGTCATACAGGGTTTCACGGGTCGACGGGCGTTTGGCGCCAAGGGGAACAAGGCCTCCTCTCTTGCTGGCTCAAGGAACCGAGCCGAGGTGTTTCGGTACGAGGAGTTTATTGGAAATTTAACGGGGGGTGGGGGTGACCCGAACGCAGATAAATCGAAACCAAAGGACAGCTGAGCATTGTTTATTGAGCGGCAGGCGGGTGTATCTTAATTAGCATGGGCACTGTATAGCTCTTCTGGTGTTTGGCGAGTGGCTAATCATTGATTGTACCAACTAATGATCTATTGTCTTATAAACAGCCTCCTGTTCCTCCCCTGTTCTTCGTCTGTTCGTGTTGTCCCTGTTGTCCCTTGCCCTTAAAAGCGCAAGCTATCTCCAAACTCTAATTAAGCTTGATATTGCCAAGGATAAAACACACGTGACCTCTATAATTGGCTCGATCGCGACGCGCTGGGCATCGATCGCGATGAGGCTGGTTTTCAGGGCAGGGATAACTCGCACGCCAGCTCTCGCACATATCGCCAGGCGAATTCGACCTTCACTCACCAGATACGCTCTAAGGGGATTATCTGAGTCCAGTATAGGACCCTTGTAGCCGCCCCGTGCTCCTGGAAGCATGCCTCAACCGTCTCAATTTCGTGTCCCCGCAGCACCAGGCGGACTGCAGCCACCCCAACCCACTAGAACGCTACGCAGATTCCAATCACACCAGAGCCTATCGACGTATTCAAATAGTCCGGCATTGGGTCCCCGCCCGGCGATTTCCCGAAATGCACTCGCCTCCAACCCTCGAGATACCTCCGAGCAGCAGACTCCCCAGCAGTCAGCAACTCCGGCGACGACACCAGCACCTACTACTACTCATGGTCGTGGGAGATCGAATAGTGACGTTACCGGAGCCGGACCTGGAGGTGCACAGCCGCGCAAACGACCGAGTGCGAGTCGTAAATCTGGATCGATTGGGTATCTTACCAGACGTTCTGGCCTTGAAAATCTTCTGAGGGAGGGTCCACCAAACAATAATATAGCGATTGGGCTCGAGGAATTGAGGTATCTGATTCTATCCACCAGGGTCGACGCAGATAACGATGGAATGGTAAGAGTGTTCCTTCCGGAAGGTATATTTAGATCCCGTGCTAATATTCCATGGTTCAAGTCAACTCACCGGATATATATCTGGCTCGCCCTTCTCGACATACCTCCTCTCCCCACAGACGAATATCTCTCCTTAGTCCACCGAGGCCGATCACCAGCATATACCAAGATCCGTAACGACACCTTCCGGACTCTAGCAACCGATCCGCTATTTAAACGGAGGGTGACAGAAGCCAGTCTCATACGCCTTCTCAACGCGGTAGCGTGGAAAATCCATGACTCAAAAAATACTTCATCCTCACGCCAGCTTTCTCCCTCACAACAATCAAGTTCGAGGAGGACATCTTCCGTCTTCGCCTCGGATGCCCATTCTACCGGTAGTGAAGGGACAAACCTATCGGACTCCACTGCAATATACGTTCAGGGAATGAATGTATTATGTGCCCCTTTCCTATATGCCTCACGAAGCGAGGTGGAAGCATACGCGTTATTCCACCACTTCATTACCCGTGAATGTCCAGGGTACGCGAGAAGCACAATGGACGGAGTCCACAAGGGCGTAAAACTGGTAGACAGATGTTTAGAGGTCGTTGAACCAAAATTAGCAAACCACTTATTCAGCAAAGGGATGTATGCGGAACTATATGCGTTTCCATCTGTTCTTACACTATGTGCCTGCACGCCGCCTCTCCCAGAGGTGTTGCATCTTTGGGATTTCCTCTTTGCCTATGGGCCGCATCTAAATATCTTATGCATCGTTGCACAACTGATAAGGATGAGAGATATCATTTTGGCAAGCCAGAGGTAATTTTTTCCCTATTCCAACTAACCAATTTATATTTATTATATTTACTAACTTATTACATCCATCTAGTCCAAATAAAATTCTTAGATCATTTCCGCCTATTGATGCAAAAGAAACGATTGCTCTGACGGTTTTGGTTGTACAGAAGATTCCTTCAGACCTTTATGAGGAATTGCTTTCACACGCCAAATGATAGGGACGGTATATTGTTTTCTATTTCCCAATGCTAGCCCTGATGCCTCTCTTTCTTCTTTTGCAAATGTTCATTTTAATGATGATGATTATGACTACCTTTTCTTAGAGTATATAGTTTAATTCTAGCTATCCATGATGCCCCATCAAGATTTCATACATCTATAAATAAAGTTGTCTACAAATACCCTACTAGACGCATTCTCTCACATGTTTGTAGCAGGCCCTTCCTGTTTAGTAAGTATTATTGGTTCTAGCTATAAGAACCACAGAGAATGGTGCCTATACTGCATAAGCAGAATTCATCTTATGGCCTCATCCAGGCCTATCCGTCCTAGGCGTTGCCTGGAATTTGTTGAGCTTCATTATAAAACATCCTAAAATCAGTATCGTGGTGTCACTGTTGTGGTGTTGAGAGTATGTAAAGTGGGACCTGATCTCTGGATGCATATATCAGACCTCTGAGGCCTGGTAAATCCTCAACAAAACATGCGAGTGGTAGCCAAACTTCATCCTGTCTTTGATTCTCTTCTTCTGTAGGACATGGGCCCGCCTCGTCGAACTCCATGGGGTATAAAGAATGCCTTCACACTCCTCCTATCCCTCTTCCTCATGGTTATTGTCTTCGTCGACTTCTTCATATTCTACCTTTTCGGCATGAATGGTTAGAATCTCTTCTTTCCGCCCACCCATCGGCATCGCTGCGCATTTTTTTCCTTCTTGAGCTGAAAACAGTCAAATCGTAGCCTTGCTGGGTGACGTAGTAACCTTTGCTAGTTAATGAGAACGCGAATAGACTACGTTTGTTGAATTCGGAGTTTGCATGGTATCCACAGATTGGATCCAACAGTAAACCCTCCAGAGATATTGTGGGCTGTAACAGCAAAGAAGAGGGATTTCTAGGAATCTATTGAATGACTAGAGGACGTGTCAAGGCATATTAGAACGCAAGGGCGGGTTTGTTCTTCCGACCGCCCTCTGGTGATCGTCTCCAAGGTAGCACAGGCGTCCGCCGAAACAGCCATTACTCTTGGACATCCTTCCTCTGCTCAAATAAGCTGTAGGGCTGGGTATCTTGACGTTGAAGTCGGGACTCTCCCTCCGACCCCTGCTTAACTAGCTACTTAGCCGCTTTGGCTCTTCCAATGAGCGGTCGGATTAAGCTTATAGAGTGGAGTGCATATAAGGCCATCCTAAAAGCTTAATCCTTCAAGCTCCACATGGAACAAGAAGAATATCTTGTACGGAGAACTCCATAGCTTCGGACTCCATGGTGGATGATAGAGAACGGACTGGCCGTTATTCGATTCAGAGGCTGTCCAGTGTGGAGACCATGTTTATAGAGAGTATACTTTGCCAGGATCGGAGTAGTGAAGCCGCTCATCAGCTGGTGTATGATGACCTCTGCTTTACATTGCCGTTCTCTATAGGCAAAAAATGTCTATAAAGGAGAGAACACGCCCTCGGCAGACGAGATTCTTCTACTTCCATCATCACATATTAAGTCTATCATCATATCAATCGAAAAAACAACTCTTCCAAGCACCCTTAGGTATACAAGCAAATTATCCCTAGCGGTCTTTTATCTTGACGAATCTAAACATTGTATAGGTTCTAAAACGTCCTACCAACAAAATGAAGTTCACCATCACCACCGTCTTGGCCGCTGCCCTCGCTTCCACCGCCCTTGCAAACAATGTCAGCTGTGTCCGTCAGCGTGGGACCAAAGGAGAACATATCGTTGGACTCAAAGGTGCTGTCCTGGCATACGGTGGACAGTACCGCGTCTCCGGCTCGGGAAGCTCCCAATTCGCTACCTTTGGAAGCGCCAAGTTGACCATGCGCCGCACCGGTTCCCACCCCTCTTCGCAAAGCTATACCGACGCCACTACTGTCGCCAACAAGATCCAAGAAATCATCGACTGCTGCTACGACCACGGATACACTGAGTGTGCTGGCAATGGCGATATCCAATCCTCTTCCGATAAGGGCCCTATCAATGTCAATGTTACCCACAATTAAAGGTGGAAGCCAAAGAGATGCGTCTCGCGGCTATAGGGAGGAGAGATGTCTACAGGAATATATAACCTATACAAGGACATGTAACTAGAAGCAGCCAAGCCAATGTCAGAACTGGTTCATCTTGTATAAAGTTACCTGCCTTTCTAGCCTTCGCCGAAATAGTTCTATACGGTGTTAACTGAGCCGAGGAGACTGAATCCTTGGGTGTATGCGAACCGAGAGCTGCATGTAAAGACTAGGTGAGGTAAGGGTATTTCTAATTACTTTTTAAGACGTGGGTAGTTGACAGGCTGATCATAGACCGCTGCCTAAAAATACATACGTCTTTGGGCCTAAGAAGCTTTCACAGGTGCCGCCTCCCAGACACAGCGTTCACAAAGACAGGCGCCTCCTAATGCTCCCATTGCCCACTCGCGCCTCTCCTTAACTGGAAGGTTAATGTCACAATAATGGTTTAGAATTTCATCCCCTTTCTGAATACCTCCCTTGGCTACCCCAGGAGCCGGGCCCCATTTTACCCTCTTTTCGTCACCTCTAGCAGTAAACGTAACCTCACCACCCCATTCCCATTGCACATTTGGATCACAACTGTGATTTGCCAAACACCAAAGGGGATGTACAGCGCAAACCTCTGGTCCGCCATCCCAGGTAGATAAGCGGCCCGATGCAGTGCCACGGAATTTGGCATACAACGTATTGAGCACCCATGTGTCGTATCGTTCTAGTGATTTAAACGGGTCAATCCCCATCTCATCTAATATGCGCATGGGTTGGACGATGTTGAGTTGAAAAGAAAATGGTAAAGTCGCGGATGCCGGCCGCTTAGTGAAGGATGCATCCATAAGATCCTCGGCCTTCCCATCCAAGGAGGAGAAATCGCCCCATATATATTTGACTTCCGGAAGTTCGAGGGGGTGGACCTCTTGAGTAGCCGCCATTGCGATTGCACGTTCAAGCAATAAAAGATATAAATAATCGGCTTTGTCCTTTGGGTCTGGAACGTCCTTCCCTATCGACTCTAGCCCATCCTGCCCGCAGACTGCGCCATGATACAGGTCCTGGGCAAGATCATGGCACTTTTGACTGCAGAATATAGTATCATAGCAGTCTTCACAGGCTACAGGTGGTTCAGGCGAAGAAAGATCCGGCAAACGACCATTGCAAGCATCGCATATATCATCATGTAACCGATTCGTGGCTGTTAACATCGACGACTCATGTAAAAGAATCTCGCCCGGAGCAATATCCTCTTTTGCAAACAGGCCAAGCTGAATAGAAATATTTTCACCTTCTGGTTTGATATCTTCTCGCAGCTTCCCATCCACAACGCTTTCATGTAAGGAAGGCAAAGCGACAGCCCGCACCTCGCATTTTGGCGCTACTTGTGCCAAACGTTGGTTCAAGAATTGCACTACCTCTGGTGTGTTCCGATTCGGCTCGTGCGTGTTCCACGGGTATAACGACCTTCTAGCATGGCCTTGAACCTGGAGATCCGTGGGGTTAAATCCGGAGGCAGGGTTTGTGGTCTTCGCCGTTGCTTTAATTCGGCCAAGTAAACCCCTCAGTTCCTCTTGCCGCGCACCAGTGTTGGTGCCTTCTCCAGGTAATTTCATACCCTGAACGCAGAGGTCATATGCATCCCGCAGGCAGCCACACTGTGCTAAACTTTCCACGAGCAATACGTAAACGTCGGCAATGTTTTCGTCATATTCCTTATCAGAGATTGGTTCATATGGAGAATTTTCACCCTCGTCGCTGTCGTCATTGTCTGAATCGCCATCTACATCATCATTTGTAGACAGCGCCGCCAAAGACCTTTCCAGGGGTTGAGTGGAACTTGAATCCAACAAAGCGACCGGCCCAGCGCGTTTCTGAGCAGGATATTCACTGGAATCCGGATCTACCACGGCGTCAAATAGAGTTAAAGCACGATAGGCATCTGCAGCTGCTAGATCAGGGAAACCAAGTTTCTGATATATTAGACCTCGTTGTAAATATCGGATCGGGTTATATGGGTCGACATGGAGCAGTAACGAATATTCCCGCTGTTCCTTCAAGAGAGCCAGCTCGCAGCTGTCATTCTGGTCTAGGGGCATTTCCACGGCTTCTTTCTTTCAGATCTCTTCCTTTAGCTTCTATGCATAAGGATTGTGTGGAAATTGGAGCGTGAAGTATCTTGACAGCAGCACTTCACTGGCGGGGCACGATTTCAATTCCAAAAGCCGAAGGAGGGGAGGATGTATCCAACAACGAATCCCAAGGGTTGGTCACTGGCTGAGTAAAACGCGGGAGGCCTTGAGGGTTGCTTGCTAGTTAACAGGCACTGAAATACAGTAAATCAACTGGAGAAACGGCCACAAATCATGCTTGTTCCCTTTGCCTCAGAGTTCGCCGTTGTGCGGGCAATTCCGAAAAAACTGCGATATCACGTGACATATAGACGCTCTCCGCTTGCCTCCCTGAATGGCGAAAGATATGAAGTATTTAGTTGATTACCATCTTCACCCGGTTCTAACTATCAGTGTGGTAGTTTCCATCAGATAAACCATTAGCTCCATTATAATCCAGGCCATCCAACACCCACAGAAAAACCCCAGATAGCAATTTTAGGTAGGCTGATTGGACCTAGGTAGCAGGCTGCTAGTTATCAACGTAAATCATACCTAGCATTCTCCAACGTGCAAGTAGTTTGGTTGCACACAATAGTCGGAAATAGGAAAACGCCATTCCTAGAGCTTTTCCTTCTGCATTGTGTAAAATTGTAATAATATTGGGTAACGCAATCAGTAAGGGTATAGAAACATGTACATATGTACGAACGAAAATATTTCGATACCACCAAACGCTTTGGAAACGGATAATTATCGGTCGTATATAGCCGTTTGAAGGTTTCATCACATCACCTATAGATAAAGGATTAGCCGATTAGTAGTCGTAGGTTTTGGGTGGCCTAGAATGTGATACACTTACAGAACAATTCTCATCCAGCATAATTTGATGGTCGTCTCCTGTATTATGAGTACCTACGAGCCCAAGCCTAACGTTGTGTCTATCCCTAAGCGTCGCTGCTACACGGGCAAGCATACTCCTCTAAAAAATTTCAAGAAAGGCATAAATGAGTATTATGAATTCCTTTAATTCAGGGTGTAAAAGTGTGTTGCGTGGCTTGGATTGGCGATGAATCGGGTAGCGAATGAGGTGAGGACTTTTTTCAAAATAATGCTGCCCATTCGGCAAACGATAGCCCTCTTCGGGGGAGGATCAAGGGTTGTAGTAAACGTACCGTAAGAAAGGCTTCATTCATCCCTCCTTGGCGATTCACATCATTCTGGCTTAGGATCTGGTAGCTGTCGTGCAGTCGCTTTCGGCTCTCGAGTCCGACGCCTTGCGTATTTCTTTGACCTTCTCCTAGAACATGGTCAACGCCAACAGTCATATTAGACTGAGCATCGGGATCGGCAATGTTGACACCCTTGCTAGCATCCTCTTGTGCTCGACTATCGGGTGAGAATATTTTGATTGTTTGGTCAATTCCTGATACTGCGAGTGTCGGTTCGTATGGATGACCTGGTAATTTCGAGTTAGCACATAGGGGTAACACTTAAAAAATAATAGGGCCTTGCGTGACAAGGATGTTGTTCATACCTTGTATAACGTTGACAACTTCACTATCTCCGCTGAGAATGTTGAGTAAATCGGATGTCTTTCGGTCCCATATAAAGAGGTTCCCATCATCGCTCCCACTGACAACGTACTCGTCATCTAAACCGAAGTAATTGACGTCTTTCACAGTTTTAATGTTGCAGTGCCCTTGGTAAACGTTTAGATGGGACGAGCAAGGAACATGCGACTCGACTGTGTTACGCCTCGTCGAGGGTAGTTGAGTGGAGATTCCAAACTCGTCATCATCTGAACCCCTCGAGTGTTCGTCCTCAGAGTCATAGTCGCTACTATCGTCATCACTATACTCATCATCCAGATCTTCGGATGAGCTATCGTCATCGTGCCCTTCCTCGGAATCAGCCTCAGAAGCAACTTCTGGTTCTGAACGAGGATCGTGAGGACGTGACGGAGATCTGGCGAGAACATGGAGCTCTGAGATTTCTTGTTCCTCTTCATTAGGATCGATATCCTCTTGAAGTCTTTCTCTGCCATCGTCTTCATCTTCATCTTCTTCAAGCGTAGCTCGAAGACCACCGAAAGCTCGATTGACAAATTCAAAATTGACGCCTTCACCAACTTCCATTAGAATACCTCTTCCAACCTTTAAACCCCAGAATCTAATCGCAGCTTGTCGATCAAGGGCGGATAGGTTGGAGTGGCTTCTTGAGGGCTCCTCGTCTTCAACCGATGACGCCACAGATCCGGAGAGGTCCTCTAGAGGGAGCTTGATTGCTTGAGCAAAGGCATTCACCGCATGAGACTCCGAAGTAAATACTATGCGAGACTCATCAAGCTCAAACCTAGAGGCGTCCACGTTCACCACCGGAGCGTTTCCAGCCAAACCTTTTAGGTATGGTATCAAAATGGTGTCGATCGCTTCATCCGTAGCAGACGGTGAAATAGGAAATCTGGCAGCGTTACGGCGTTCTGCCGGGGATTGCTTGAAGCCTTCAAGCAGCGCCGGCCTTCCACCCTCAAGCCATAATAGAATAGCCTTTAAGAAATCGTACCCGAATTTACTGCTGTTATCAATAACACCATTTTCAGTAGGAGCGGGCTCTATCCGCTGAAAAAAGCGTAGCTGCGGGCTATCACCACCAGATGCTGTCTGTATTTTACCTCCAAGGACTCTAGCCAAGGTACCGGAAGCCTGGATAAATCGACGGGACGACTCTCTGTTACTGCGCAGCGCTTGTTGAAAAATGACGTCTCCATGAGCCGGATTTAGAGGATACCTCCACTTCCTTATTACGTCGTCCATCTCAGGCAAATAAGTCGCTGCGAGCCCCAGAACGGATGTAAATGAGGACGTATACGCCGTAGGTTCGGAGGTTGGTTGCTCTTCAGCCGTCTCGCGAGTAGAAGCATCGACTGAAAAAAGCAGCTTGCGAACCTCAACAAGGCCCTTGGCTATACGAAGGCTTAGTTTCTGTGCCTCATTCAGGACAGATTCGCGTGCTCTTTCTAGAACTTCCTCGGGAGTATCCGCAAGACTAGAGCCTGGGAGTGAGTCGAATGGAATATCTTCAAACTCGCCGTTCCTATAACGAACCCTAAAAGCCAGGTCTTCTGGTTCGGTACTTTCGGGCCGGCGGCGAGATTGGTGGCGCGACCCGCTGGCAACAGAGCCAGTAGAACGTGCCTTTCCACGTTTCCTTTTTCTGTTTTTCGACTTCCTAGCTCTCCCAGAGGTAGTGCCATTCAGGCGTTCCTTATCATCTCCCTCTTTGTGGTCGAGTGCATCGTCACTGTGAATCAGATCAAAGCTGTAGATGTGCTCTCCAGACCAGCTGACAATCATCTCGTTTGGATTGGCATTGCTAATTTTGCAAGCCGTGATATGGCCATTGTCCCTACTTCTCATTTTCTTTTGGCCGCGTGGGGCAAATCTTCTAACACAGCGCGTAGCTTTCCCCATGAGCTCGTTTTCATGCCACGATTTTGGAGGACTCTGACTTCCAGGCTGGCCACGTTCTTCCTGCAGATCACGGCCGAGCATTCGCCTATCGTGTAAGAAGCAGTGGAGATGAGCACCTCCAAGGGCAATGTAATGCGGTTGAGTTGGGGAACAAGATATGGTGTTCAAATCAAGGTTATACCGCTTATACGAGATCAACGGCGGAGGTACGTTGGAATCGTCATGCCTCAACCCCGGCCTGAACGCCATGAAACCCTGACCCCCACGAGGTGATGGATATGCCGATGACGGCTGGCGTAGATCCCACTGCCTAACCTCCCCGTCCTCAGAGCAGGTTAGGAAATGGTGTGGTGAATTTTCGGTCACAATTCGTTTCACCCGATCTGCGTGAGATCTATAGACTCTCGAATTTGTGTTATTTTCCGTCAAATACCACATTCCGCTGAAGAAATTATTGATTCTTCGTCTCCGAGCAGAGGAAAAGGCAGCGTTTGTCACATTCGTAGCCCTTCCTTGATGCTCGATGTCAAAAACACGGACTTCCGAATCACCCGCACATGACACCACCGTCCCGTCATTCGAATGCGGCATGAATTTCACAGAGAATATGTTTGCCGAATGGCCAGTGATGACGGTAGTGTTGAGGAAGAATGGCACATCCGTAGATTCGGGTTGATATGAGTATATGTTCAGGTGTTTGTCATCGGATCCTGACGCGAGGAATTTCCCGGAGCTCGACCAGCTATGAACATATTCTGTCAGCACATCGTGTTTTCAATTAAATCAGTCATCGAAAGAAAGTGAGACTGGAAAACTTACGATAAAGCATTGACACAGCCATTGTGTCCGCCAAGCTCATTGACTATATCCAAGTCATTTATCCACGCTTTATCGCCATAGATTCCGCGGACGCTAGAGTACGGAATGCTATCTCCTTGCTCCCTGAGAAGCAGGCGTTTATGTAGTGTCGACTTCATCATCGGTTTGCTGAAGGCGAGTTTCGGAAAGTCAACCTGTACTCCTGTTCGAGGTGGACATCCTATAGTTGGACTCCCCCGACCTCGCCCACGCAAGCTTCTCAAAGACTAAGCCTGCCACCACCACCCTAAAATTGGCCTTGTCCCTGGTGGAATTGATAATATCGGAATGTTATCGACGAAGTAAAAATAAAAAGGGTTGCGGTTCCGAATGGCTGGGCTTTCGTCTTGACTACCCCTTACTCGGAGCTTGACGACAGTCGAAATATTATCCCCTTCTGCTCAATATAGCACAACCTTCTCTCGGATCACTTTCGTAATGAGATCAGGGTCCGTATAGGAGCTCCAGAGCGTCCCGCAACAGCTCGAAGAAAGCTGCAACTGCAGCCTGGAGGCCGGTTACAGGCGAGACGTAAGCTCAGCCCTGGCCGTCGGTGAAGTCGAACTGAGGGGCAAGGAGCCTGGTGGGAGTAAAAAGGCAAAGATCTAGCGTCTCCTGGCGGTATCGGTGCAATCCCTTCCCTGGACGCGGGTTCAGCAGCGAGTGGTCGGAGAGTCGAGCTCGTCTTGCTGCTGTACTTGTCTAGGCACGGCTTCCTCTGTCCTCTTTTACCCCACAAGGGTACAGTTATGGTGGTCACGTGGTGGTGACCTCATACAGCTTATTAAGCATGTCATATTATATAATCTTAAAACAGCCTCGGCATTCTTAGACCTCATACTCAGACCCCTTATACTTATATCTATCGTATACTTATATCTATCTTATACTTATATCTATCTTATACTTATATCTATCTTATACTTATATCTATCTTATACTTATATCTATCTTATACTTATATCTATCTTATACTTACTTAGACCGTTATATGCTTAGATCTATTCTTAGACCTGTCTTTAGGGTTACCTGTCTTGGCTTAGAAGTCTAAGGACTGGTAGGAATCTGTAGAGGATATGAGAATACTCTCTGATTAGAGGACCGTCCTGCAGGATCATTCATTATCATTCTATAGTCACAGTTGATGCGTAGTGATCATCTCCATAATATCATGAGGCCAGAGCATGTATCATACCTCCGCCGCACCTCCAACACTCTCCAACGCGCGCTCCATCCACAAGATTTCAAACTCCATTACTTCCATCTCAATACGATGAATCATATCCAACTCTTCTGCCATCGAGGCTACCAGGGATTTATGCCCCGTCACAGTCCCAACGAGCGCAGAATCCGAATAGTCTATCTCCTTGCCGTATTTATCCTTATCCGCGCCAGGCTTGGGTATATCCAGATCATCAAGGTTGCCTGAAAGCTGTGACAGCTGCATAGATAGGGCCGCGATATCTTCCTTCCACTGCAAGGGTAAAGGTTCAATGAATTGCAGATCTCCGTCTTCGTCGGCGTTCAGTAAGACCTTGTCACTGTTCACGTCATCGTCGTCGCCTTTTAGCTGCCTGCTCTGCTTCAGCTTGGTGACATGTTGTGTCCATTCTTCAAACACTCCAACGACAGTATTATACTGGCTATCTTCCGACTCCGTGAGATGCGTAACCTCCTGGATAACACGCGATAATATCCCTATTTGTATAGCAAAGTCATGCCCGCTGCTTGAAGTTGCCGATTTCTCTTCAAACCTCTTTACGGCCTGAAAATTCCGGTACCGGTGTTTCTCCTGTTCTCGGCGATAACTCGCCTTTACAGATTCGTGTAATTTCCTATAATGTTTTTCCGCATTTGCTTCCCATTTTGCCTTCGTCTGAAGACCCTGTGAGTGCAAAACGTGCAGCTGGAGAAGTTCGGTTTGTAACGCGAGTGTTTGTTCAGGAGGCAATTGATCCTCTATAGGCGTAAGTGTAGGTGTAGGCGTAGGGGAAGGGCTAGGGTTAGGGTTCTCAAAAACCGTCTCGGGCGAATGAGTGTTGGTTTTTGTAGGTTTCTTAAGTCCAAATCGCGCTTGATATGATGGTAATGGAGCTGCTGAATACTTCGATGGTGATTTCGATAATGGAGTTGCTGAATATTTCGATGGGGAGGTTGATAGTGGCGCCGCTGAAAGCTTTGATGTTGAGGGATGGAAGGAGCTAGGTCTGCTGCCTGCCGGCCTTGATTTCACTGCGTCGAAGTTGATGATCTGACTACGATGTCGCGAATGTGAGGCGGGAGTAACCAGTTTCGGTGCGGGCGGGTGTAGCAGCGACGAAGAGCGTACTGATCTCGCCAGGGGCGCGGCACCAGGAGGTCTGGCAAGGGCTCGTTTCGGTTCCGGTTTCGTAGGGGATCTCGACCTGGACGACGGACGTGATCTCACACCGTCTGACGGCGTTGGTGTCGGTGTCGGCGCCGGTGCTGGCTTGGGTTTCGTAGATTTTATCTCCAATCGACTCTCAGGCTGCTTCAATCGAGCACTCTGCACTGTTGCATGCGGTATCTGTAAACTCTGCGGTCTCGGAAGCGTTCGTCTCTGTGGCAAGAAGCTTTTCTTCTCTGCGACTCCATTCCCATTTGCGTTCCCACTTGTGTTTCCATTTCCGTTTCCGTTTCCATATCCAATTCCAAGTCCAGTGCTGGCGTCACTCTGTATCTCTGCGCTCGTGGTCAACCGCCGTAAACTTGAACGTGGTAGTTGCGATTGCTTGGTGGGTGACGACGACTGTGGTATGAATTAGCTTATAATCGCGCTACCTAGAAGAGCCCCCCGTTTCTCATGAACGGGGTGTGGAGGAATGGCTTGCTGGTGACGTTTCGCGCATACCCTTGAATCCCCGTTGACCGCTTGTTTCCTCCTTTGAGGTTCGCGTAAAGAGAGCGACCGTGTTGGTATTGGCATGACGTATTATTTTTCAATGCATCGGCCGATAATAGGACATAACGATAGATCGAGGTGTTAAGTGATATCTTGCGAGAGAGGGTATTCTAGGAGTAGTTTGTTGGTGTTGAATGTGGTTGGGGTTTTGGCGCATCCTAGAAAGACGGCAGGATAAACATCGAGCGAAGATCAAATTTCATTTATCATTGTCACTACCTAACTCTATACAACAACAAGAAGAAGAGGCTATGGCCGATATCTTAATACCCCCTTGGTCCCAGTCCCAGTTAATTGACTGCTACTGTCACTTTTATCAACTTGACGAAACTTCTGGACTAGTAATGTTTATATTTAAAACTGGGGATGACAGCACTAAAAATTACAGAAGTCCCAGTCCGAATGCACCTCCTTCGCTATCATAACACAGGCTCATAACACGGTCATCGTGGCGCCGCCTAGAGGTTCTCGCGCTTGGGGAACTTCACAGCCTTCGAGGCAGCCGAGTCCGTAAACCAGCTCACTCTCTCACCACCGGCAGCGTTCACCATCGCACAGGGAAGCGAGCTGCCTTCGCTCTTGTCAAATATCTGCGCCAGCACGTCTTCCTTGCCTCCACCTGTCGCGACAAAGGCAACTCTCAGCCCATGCGTGACAACGGGCAGCGTCAATGTGATCCTCTTCGGTGGCGGTTTCGGCGAGTCCTCGATGGGCGCAACCCACGAGTCCTTCTCATGCAACAACTCATGGCCGGGGAAGAGACTGCACGTATGACCATCCGGTCCGCAGCCAAGCAATATAAGGTCGAAAACGGGAGTCTTCACACTATCCTTTGCAGCGAACGCGCGCCGTAGCTCATCCTGATACTGGTCCGCTACCTCCTGGGTATCATCGTCGAGTACAATGGGGTGAACGTTGGGCTGACCGAGCTGGTCTGTTGGTATCTTGTCGAGGAGCTCGGTCTTTAGCAGGCCGTAGTTACTATCTGGGTGGTCGAGGGCCACGACACGTTCGTCGGCAAAGAAGATATCCCATGAGCCGAACCTGGGCGTGTCTTCGTCTGAGCCGTCGCCGGGAGCAAGGAGGGAGCTGGCCAGGACAACTGGAAGAGAGCCGCCTGAGACTGCGACGCGGAAGGTAGAGTGTCTTGCTATCGCGGCGTTCTGCGACTGGAGCACGTACTTCCTGAGATGTTTCTTGAGCTCGCCCAGGTCCGGGAACGAGTAGAGGCTGGGGGCGCCTCCCGTCATGATGTCAGTATGGAGTCGAACAGGCTGGCTCTCCTATCGCATCGCCTTTACTGTTTATGTTTACTCTTTGTAGAATAAGCAAGCAAGAAGTAACCTTGGAAGAAGCAAAAGCCTGGTGGGGGAGTGGGGGATCACGTGGTATCTCCTTCTCTTTCTATATCAACATCAACAACATCAACATCAACATCTATGGATGGCAAGAGTTGGTCATCTACGACAAGACACTACGAAGGCACGTACACGAGTACGGAGTAAGGGGTAACTGTCAATCGTACGTTATGGCCAACTCTACCGAAATCTCACACCATCCGTTATACCCAAATAACTCTTCAAGTTACTACGTCATCGCCTCACTCAGGGTGTGGCAAGAACTTGGGGATGGAACCTGCTCTTCTCCCATTCCTATACCTTTCCTTTACCCATCAATTTCTCCCTCCATCACCTTATATCATCTATCTGAGATTTCGATACATTATCTATCCTACGTTTAACAAAGTTACCTTTATCTGCACAGAGGAGCGTGTATAAGGACGACATTATGAAGCTCGAAGACGGGATTTTCATATCTTTTTTTCTTTCTTTATATACATGCCATTCTTCCTTATTGGCCTCGGCCCAAACTTCGAGAAAATCTTTCATGCCATAGGCGCATGGCGGATTGCAAGCCTCATTAGAAGTATAAAGACGGCGTTTACCCCCATGTACCTACGCGACAGACATTATGAATGGATCAAGGAAATGCAGAGGGTAGCCTGTCAGATAGATGTACTTCGGCAAAGAGAAGTCTTCCTCAAAGCCATGGTCATAGAGTATGCTATCGAAGGCAAGGTAGAAAAACTCGAAACGCTTGATCATCTAGGTCCCAAGGGCTGGCAGGAAAAGCTAGTCGACGCTAAAACCAGGCACTGGCTTCAAAAGAGACATCTATCGTCCCTATTCGAGAGGGCACCGCAAGCGGCAATGGCTCGAGAACATATAAAGACCACCCATCGATTGAATAGAGAGAAGAAGAGGAACCCTTTACAGATTCAAAGGAAGAAAAGACTAGTAAATGCGTGTGTGGACAATGAAGGATGCTGCTCAAGGGGTTGCGGATGCTGCATGAGACCGCGGGACCATTCGCCTTCAGGGGAGCTGTATTATGGCCACTGCACACCATATTGTCTTTGCTGTGCCCGGGAGCGAGGATTTACAGGAATACCCAAGGAATATGACACCAATGATGGTATTAGATCTAGATGCTGATATCTAGACTACATGTCCTTACCATGTCTTCCTCAATATCATCCGCTATAACTGCCCTTCTTTATTCCGCTCTATGCATGCGGTTATGCAGAGCCCATAGCCATTTCTAGTAGAGGGAACAAAGGGGGGAAGCGGGCACAACTTAGCTTATCCATAGCTATATACACTCTCCCGCTCCGTGGTCCTTAATCCTTCTTCCTTATCTTGAAGTTGAAGGGGTTATCCATAGAAGATGAAGTTAGGGGGGGGAGTAGGTGTAGGGCATGTATGATCCCGTGATGGCCGAATTGGGTATATTATTTTCTCCATCGCGGTACTACGCACAGTACACGACGACAGCAGCAACAACAACACCACCAACAACAATAATCACAGCAGCAACAGCCACAGAAATGACAATGATAGCATCAGCAACATCAGCAGCGGCAGTGACAGCAGCAGTAGCAGCAAACATGGCTCCTACGCATGCCACTATCTCCCCTTACCTCGAGGCCCTCAGGCAAACCCTAGTCTCTCAGATTACCGGCATGTGGGAGCTTAAGCTCTTCCTTTTCGCTACGGGCCTCCTCGCCGTTACTAGCCTCACCTGGGGCCCATGGGCCCAAATTCTTCGCCATATAACGTTAGTTTATTATCCTTGATATTGTTGATAACAGTATATAATATTGACCATTAATAGTTGTTGTGACGAACCCCCGCCTCCAACCCCAATAATCCTCTATCCACGTTGCGGAGCCAAAAGAGACCTATCTGCAAAACGTTAAGTAATAAGACCCCTTTTAGCCCTTAGATCTAAGAGAATATAGGGGCTAACTAGTAGGATAAAGGTTTAATTTCATCCTTCTATACCTCTCTTTATAGAGGGTTTTTTTCTTTTCTCTGTTAATAGATATAATCAAAACGGTTTTCTGTTCTTTTCTTTTATGTTTTCTCCTTTACGCAAGGCTATAGACTTAGGTATACTCGTATAATGTAAGTACTTAAAGTATAGGCTTTGGATCCAGCCCATCAACCCATGAATCGAGTATACGAGCTAAACACGGACGCCACAGCCATGGAAGACCGCATAGCATTGCGTGGACGCCGGCTATTACACTTCCCAGACTTCTAGAACAGCCTACACTTCTGGACAAGGCTGATATAGCGATTGGCTGCAGCTATATGTACGTACCCTGATTCCACAGCCAGCGCAGCAGGGTCTGCCCAATAGCCCAGGCTATCCATGTCTATCTGTTATAAATCACTACCCAACACGCAAGTCTCTCCCCTGCACTTAATTTATTTCAGCCTCCAGCCTCACGGGCATACGATATGTCCTGCGAGTGAAATGTTGGATCGTGTGAGGGTTAAGCGAGTGGTCAGGGCAAGAAGACTGCCTGGTGTGGTGCCGAGTGCCTGGTCTTCTCTTTAGACTATCGATTCTTTGCATACGGGCACGGACTTGACCCCTAACATGGTTGATCCCTGACATAGGCTGCTCTAGAAGGACAGACGTCGTTGGTCGGGGGTAAATGCCGACTCTGTGCTTTTGAGGATTTCTTTATGTAACGGGAGCCAAGATAGTATTTGCGGAGTAGTAGGCTCCGAATGGAAGAATTGGATGCAACCCAACATATACAAGGAATCAAGATAACAGTAGAGGTATATTCGTATTGTTCGATTCAAGAATTTAGACTTACTCCTTCTTTCAGTGTACTATCCTTCCCTCGTGACACATATTATTTCCTTTGGCCTATATACTGCATCGTTGGGTGGTTACATCTCCATGTAAACATATATGGGTATATCCCTGTCACTCAGCGAGGGACATTGTAGCAGAAGAGAGAGGAGAGAGGAGAGAGGAGAGATTTCGACCTCCCCTTGTTCCTTTTCTCCCTCTATCTATACTTCTGGGGCATTGTATTCACTTCCTTTTTCCTCTTCCACCCGCTATGGGGTGACTGCGAACTGTTGTATAGTACCAACTTCAGTAATCCCTACTCAGACATGGTTATTCTTAAGGTTATTTGCGTAGATGGCCATTGTATCAGGATATCATGCATATTGGTTCAAACTTATCCACGCGTGCCAAGTCTTAAATTAGAGGCACCTAACTTCGTTCTGCTAATATACGTTAGTATAAGAATATCCGTATATATCAATGCTTGGACGGACGTACTATGCTGCCGGGCCATTAAATCATAACATGATGCCAGTTTGGAACTCAAATTAGAGGCACGTACAATCTTATGGCATTTGCAAAAGGAAGGCAGTATGATAGATATACCCTGTGTCCTTTTCAGGTTCCGATGACATGTAAACGCATTGTGCATTGTGTGTAGAGGAAGAAGAAGAAGAGTGAATGGTGTTTTTTGTACGAGAAGGAGGACTTCTTATTACGGACAAGGGGAAGAAGCTAGGGCTAGGGCTTTTCTTCCGCTTTGGGCCATTCTCCGACTTCACCTCTTTCACTTTGCTCACTTCAAGGAGAACTCGAGGTGTTGCTGGATATTGAGAGCATCAATTCAAGGATATAAACCGGCGCGGTGGTATGTCTACCCCTTTGCACAGGACTCCACGCCCCTTCGCAGCAACAGCGGTGTCATGGCTTCGAGACACGGGTATATTGGGTATCTATTTCGGCCTAGATGGCGCTTACAGAAAAGAGCTAAGATACAACTCACTTATTAGCAGGTTCAAGTGATTGACTAGTGAATCCAGAAAACCTCAGCTCGATGCGCAATCTCAGGGCATACCACCAGCGAAGCCATGAGCAGACGTCAACAGACCGCCAGAAACCCAATTAGCCACGGATAGAGCAGAAGTTAGCCGCAGACGGACTAAATAGCCTACTATGACCAACAGCGTCATGCAACCTGCCAGCATCGTTCAGGCGTCCCGAAACTGTCGCAGTGACCCCCGTTGAATAGCGTGTCCAAGGCCGACCACACCAAGGCAAATAAAGGCAGGGGTCAAAGAAAAAAGCAAAGTATCGCCAACTAAGGACGCAACTAAGAAAGTCAGTATCGACGGGGCTGGGCCATGTCAGGTACGACCTAACCGACAGAGAGGTAACAAATCCTCCCAGAGCCCTATCTAGACTCGCCCCGGTGCTAACGCCTTTCATACGAGCCTCCGCGGCGTAGGGCCAGACCCGTGCGTATATTTGTCTCAGCCTGTCCGCATCTCCAAACTTCATCTTCATCCGTTTTCTTTCCGCAACCTCTGCGTCCAACGACCACGCTCGTCTTCATCCTTGTTGTCGATGATCTCGATGTCCACTCTTTTACCCTAGCTAGCCTGCGCATCATCTGCAGCTCATCTCACCCTCCTCGCTCAGTACCGCGCCATTCCGCTCACGTTTCCGTTCGACCGGCACACTCGCTTATCTCGCTCCCTACGGACCTCATGAGAACCAACGTCAACGTCAACCTCTACTCTCTGATTCTACATTCGTTAAACCTACCTTGATATAGTGAATGGTGGTCGTGGGATGGCTTTGCGATCAGCCTTTCCCACGATGCGGTTGTCGGTGTTTTCGTCAAAAGCCAGGTTCACCCTTGCACCATGGACGTTGATGTTACTGCTGCTCAGTGCCATATGTTCAGTGAGCGCGCATAGCATCAGATTCCCATTAGACTCGAGCATCGCAATCGATGGCTTTCTTCCCGATCATCAATTTGGGTCTGGGCCGACGGTAGAGCTACGGACGATCGATGCCGATCCGCGCCATCCAGCAGATCTCCAACGACGAGCAGAAAGTGACTCTTCACTTCACCCATCACCTACATCTAAAAAGCAACCCAAACCCACGTCCGGGTCGGGCAGTACGACTCTACCGCCTATCCTGAGCACACCCACAGGCACAGTAGGGACCAGCATCGTCGTCGCGACCCCAACGGCCTCCGCCGGGCCACTGCCTACCGCCTTCGACACCAGCCGCAGCGACAACACAACCGTGAAGTGTTCGGCATTCTTCGATACCTTTTTATCAAACTCCACCTTCAACGACTGCGTTCCCATCTCCCTCCTTCTAAAGACATCCAGCTCCTTCTTCGCAAACACGAAATCCTTCGCGCTCCTCACGCGTACTCTCGACGCAGCCTGCAGCGCGCCAGCAGATAAATGCACAACTCTCCTATCCCATTATGCCGATATGATCGGTCAAGACGACGTATGCGGCCAAGACTTGGATCATGGGAACCCATTGGTCGTCTCAGCAAAGACGGGGTTCCTAGCATACAGAGCTATGCACGATGCAACATGCCTAAAGAACCCAGAGACAGATAACTATTGTTTTGCAGAAGCTACTTCCGACCCGGAAATGCTAGCAAACGTATATGTTTATCATCTAGGACTAGGCTATTCGTTATCTGCCGGACGTCCAGCATGTGGGAAGTGTTTGGCTGGCACGATGCAAGTATTCTGGAAGGTAGCTAGTAATAAGAAACAACCCGTTTCGGAGGTATATGTCGCAGCTGCGGAGCAGGTTAATATTGCCTGTGGACCAAACTTTGTTTCAACTGCTATTCCTTCGTCAAGTATACGTTTGAGCTCGCATTCATCGCCACTTACCCTGATATCCGCCTTCATAGCCACCGTGCTATTCTTTATATTCACTTGATTACTCCATTTTAATACCCTTCTTCGATACCTTGCATCCCCACACCTAGCCAGCCAAGCTACTATTCACGTTCATGCATTCATTTTCTTGAGGCATTTATTTTATTTATCTCCTTTCTTATTTATCTACTTGGTGGAACCGGAGTTTTTCTCGTTGACGTCGATACGACGATAGGCACGGAACGGAGTAAAAGCTCATCGCTTCCGGAATACGGACTGGACTGGACCGGATGGATTTCATACGCATACTTTATCTCATGTAATATCTACCATTTACCTACCCTGCCACTTTCTACTTTTCTTCCCCTTACCACCTTACCACACCGCCTACTTACCATCCTCCTTGTCTCTTTGTTTCCCCCTCAGCCTGATACGTATCAGCTAGGCATATGATATGATTAATGAATAAACATTATAGAATTCTTTGTCGTCTAACTCACATTGAGTATACGAGGACTGAGATGTCCGCTGTTGGCACTCTCCCCACGCATACTCTTCACACTACGCCCCGAGTCTACTCATTGGCCTCGATCAACCCTCCATGGCAAAGTAGATAAGCTGGTAGAAGGTAAGTGTTGGACGTAAACTACAGAGAACTCGGGTATAAAATCCCAAGAGGTATATTCTTAAGCTACGTATATCACATTTTCGCACCTTTGGCAGTTTTCGCAAATTCTCTCCCTTTATCTACTCGGATGTTATAAGCCTATCCACGTGAAGCATGTCCTCAGGTTAGGCATAATAGTCTATTGGCCAAGAGGCGACAGTATAAAAACGTGTATCCTTCAAAAAAGGGATAGGTGAGTTTGCCATTATTGAGTTTTCTAGTTCACGCTAGCTAAAAGTTGGTTTTCTAGCTCCAACGTCTGAGTATTAGACTTTCATAGAAGTAACTGGAAGATATGACCCTCATCGTGTGTGGATATAATTGAGGCGGCCAATAAGGCACTACAGGCCTGGCAGACGAACACTGGGTATGGATCCAACGAGGCTGATTATGGACTGCTGGTATCGTATTCGAAGGACGAGACGACCTTTACACCACAACAAGACACTCAAAAAGTTAACACTCAAAGAGCAAAAGAGAGAGGTCAGACCCTGCTAATATAGGGAAGATTCCATGGCATTGATACATGTCCTTCGAGTATACAGACTCCAACGAGCTGGAGTTGATATGTTTAAGTTTAGTAAGCGCCGCAGGAACCTTTTATACTTCGGGCGGCCCCACCCGCGGTCAACTTGCCAAGACCAGAGTCCCCGACATGTTTTTCCGCTCCGAGAGATCTTTCTGCCCCCGCCGTGTTTGAGTTGAATTTCGATGGGCTTTTTTACTAGAGCCCCTCCACCACGCGATCGACAAGAAACGCCGTTAAACCAGAATGGGATCTCCTACCCGCCTCATAGTCCTCATCTCAGGGAGCGGCACAAACCTCCAAGCCGTCATCGACAGCATTGATGCAAAGATACTCCCCGCTACAATCGTGCGAGTGTTATCCAACCGGAAGGATGCATATGGCCTCGAGCGGGCAAAGAAAGCCGGCATACCCACCACCTACCACAACCTGCTAACATATAAGAAGAAACACCCAAACACCGAGGAAGGAGTGAAGAAGGCGCGGGAGGAATATGACACCGAATTGGCACGGCTAGTGCTCGATGATAAGCCCGACTTGGTCGTGTGCTTGGGGTTCATGTACGTGCTGTCAAAGAACTTCCTGGACCCGGTTGGGAACGATGGTGTGGAAACTATAAATCTACATCCTGCGCTACCAGGGGCATTCAATGGAACTGTGAGTGGGAGAATATTCATATCTAAGCGCCTGCGTGGGTTTTTCCCCTTGTTCCTTGTTTTGCTAATCTTTCTGGTTGGGTGATAGCATGCCATTGAACGGGCACATGAAGCGTGGCTAGAAGGCAAAATTGACAAAACCGGAGTTATGATTCATAAGGTTATTGCGGAAGTCGACATGGGCGAGCCGATCTTGATACGGGAGATTCCGTTTATAAAAGGAGTCGATGAAGATATAGAGGCGCTGAAGGAGAGAATACATAAGATTGAGTGGGAGGTTGTGGTTGAGGGGATTAATATTATGATTAAGAGGCTGCGGGAGACTGGAGCCGAAAGCAAATGAAGGGGAAGAGCTGAATAGCAATTTCAATTCAAAAAGTTACTTGAATTGACTAAGCCACTCCGTAGCCTAGGGTCGGAAGAGAGTATCGGGTTTTCTACGCTAAATATGCAGTTGGTTGTTGAGGCTTGATGGGTCAACAACGGCATTCAAAACCGCTCGATTAAAGGGGGATTTACTGGTTTGTATGCAAAACATTACCTTTGTATTGGAACCGGAACGCTTTAGATGGAGGGCTGAACAATTGCGATATATACATAGGCTTAAGCATATATAAATATTGATACATCTACGACCACGTCTTAATATTGTGCTGACGACAGTTAACAACTACCTATAGTTACGAATCCGATGAACTTTGACCCATATTATTTCCCCAGACGCACCGTACGTGGGCAGGCATAGTTATATAAGAACCTACCCTTAGCTGTCAATGGTAACACGAAGTAAAAATAGCAGTAAATCTCTAGTTAGGTATCTTTACCCGAGTTATCATCTATGCCAGCTTCCATGCTTTAATGCAGTGTTAAGAGCAGTTTTATATTATTTGGCCCAACGAGAATCTTCCCACCCTGCCTCCAGTCTTTCTCCATACCATACCGAGGGCGGCGGGCTGGGAACCTCCGGAAGCTCCCCGCTAAGAAGGAAAAACGACTTTCTGCGGTTCATATCCCTCTCCTCATAATAGTAGTTATGATCCGGAGTCTCAGGCCTGGCAAGGTCAAGCGGTGTCTCTCCCCCATTGTTGGTGATAGAAGGGTCGGCTCCCGACTCAAGCAGCAATTGGACAACCTCATGGCTTTCGTTAATCCCTCGTAGTATAGAGTCGTCGCCCAGGGTTTGATAGAGCAACTCGAATATATCATAGGGTGCGTCTACCCACGAGTTTTCTTCATAGTCCCTGAAATCGATGCGCCGATCTTTCACGGCAAGATGCAGCGCCGTCCACCCATGAATGTCTTTCGAGTTGATAATTGATTTGACATAATCCTGTGAAGACGCGTGCAATTTTAGCTCACAGATAAGCTGGAAGACCTGTAGCGGATGCCCTGCCCACGCTGCATAATGCAGAGCCGTCCAGCCGTATATATCTCGGCTCGTAAGAACAACACCTGCAGCAAAAAGCGGCTGTAGACCAAAGTCCAACCTGCCCGCGCAAGCTACATGTAAAGGAGTTCGAAGAACTAGATTCACCAGGGAGACGTCTAAGCCCCTATCGACAAAATATTGAAACAGCTCTGCAGAAAATGGCTTGCTTTTGTAGCAACGAAGAGCAATATCATGGAGAAGAGTATTGCCATCTTTATCCTGGGCATTGATATCGATACCAGCAGCTCCTGTCAATTTTTTGATGTAATTATCCAGACCACCATTTTTGCAAAAGGGAGATAGGATTGATCCTCCGTCCGCAGCGGGCCTTGAGAAATCCATCCCTCTTTCAATAAGAAAGGATATCATAGCATCGAATGTCGCCTGCGTGCATTTGCAAGAATTCATGTTAGTAGCGAGATGCTCCAAGGGATTCATATTCCCATGGGAACTAGCGTTGATGTCAGCTCCCTCTTCATGTATCAGTAATTTGACATAGTCAAAATAGCCCCGAGATATCGCTAAATATAGCGGTGACTGATCAAGCTTTCCTTTATCTGAAGCATCTGCCCCTCTCCTTAGTAGTGTTCGAATGATTGACATAGGCCTCTTACAGCCAATTGCTAGATAAAGCGGATTCCATGCTTGTTTAGGGTCTGCGCCGTGACTGAGCAGGAACTCAATAAGCTCCTCAGACCCTTCCTGCACGGCAGTAGACAACGCGGTTTCTAGCATATATCCTTTGGCGTATAAGATATCCGCACCTGCGTCGATAAGATATCGGATCATGTCCATATTATTTTTCTTCACTGCACCATGTAGTGTGACTGGGTTCTCGGTTGGTAATATCTTGAAATCTGCGCCGGTAGTTTTAAGGAGAAGTTGAAGGATGTCCATCGAACCGCTGTCTGCTGCATGATGCAATGCCGTCCACCCTTTATTGTCGATAGTGAGAGGATCTCCACCCTCGACCGCCAGTAGCTTTGAGAATGCCACCAACGGGTAACTTGTAGCTGCGGCGATGTGTATAGCACAAAGTCCCTTCTCATTCTTAGCCGTTACAGAAGCGCCAGCGGCCAAAAGTATCTCTACCACCTCCAATCGGTGGTTAGAAATTGCAAAGTGTAAAGGGGTTAGACCCCGGGAATCTGTAGAGGCGGTATCGGCTCCAAAGCTGATTAGATGTTTAACTAGCTCAGCATGGCGATTTGCAGACGCCAGGTGAAGGACCGTTAACCCATGGCCATCTTTTTAAGAAAGCTCTAAACCGTGATTGAGGAGAATTTCAATAATCCGCTTATAACGGCCGTCGGAAACGTCGATGCTTCTCTCCTTGAGTTCACGGTTATAATCGTAGTTAATATAAATAAAACCCAATAAATCACAGTTAAATAAGTTTATATCTGTGGCAATGGCCATTAGAGCTGTTTGCCCGTCGTCATTCATTATGGTGGGATCGGCCCCGTTTTCAAGAAGGAATTCAACAGCGGAGGTTTGACCGTGATATGCTGCATAATGAAGCGGCCGCCATAATGTATCATTTTCAGGTTCATTGGGAGAGGCACCATGGTTTATAATGATAAACTGTAGCAAATCGATACGGCCCCAGCAGGCAGCAGCATGTATTGCGCGGATTTTGAGTCCAGTCGTTGGAATCCACTCGACCGGACCTTTTGTAGTAGCGCCGGCACTTAGGAGCAGCGTAGATATTTCGGAAAATGTCGATACAGCTGCATCATTCGACGTATCCTTACCATGCTTCGGTAGATCCAACAAGGGCGATACGATTGCATTATTCAACGCTTCCGTCCCATGCTTCGATAGATTCAACAAATGCGCGCTCTCTTTCAGTATCCTCTGGACAAGATCCGTATATCCCTTCCTTGCAGCACATTCCAATGCTGATCTATATTCCCTTGCCTCTAGCGACCTATCCTTATTTCCAATGTCTAACAGCGTTTCTGCCATTTCTGTATGGCCTTTGGATATTGCCCAACTGAGGATAGTGTTGAACTCAGACCGAGGGCCGATGGGAACCTCTTTTATAGCCTTTTTCAGTAGAATAGGGGTCATAACTGCGTTGAATCGCCTTGCAGTTCGCGCAAGAGCACTCAGATCCCATGGACCAAGATATTCACCAACGTGACAGAGTGTCTCATTCGGAAGAGCGTTGATGGTGCTAGGTAAGTCTATTGCCCGAACATCTTCGGTCGGGTTTGCCATGGCGACGTATCTATAACTAGTAGGTCAGTTAGGTCTGTTATAGAATTCCTCACCAGTCAGAACTTACGCTGAAAAGGTAGCTGATCCGGCAGGTTTTGTATGATAGAAATGTTCGCCGGTTAATTTATGACTCCCATCTTCTTTTGGCCCCGGTTCCCCCCTGTCTGTCTAGTCCCTGTCTGTCTAGTAGTCATATTGTTGTGCGCTGTCACGTTCTATATAGCAGCAAACCCCTCTTCTCTTGCTTATTTTGCCTTGTTTGTCTATAGTGCATCGCCTTGGAGAGGCATAGACGGGTCGTGTTGTAGTATTTCTTATAGTAATACTTATATACCTCCTTTGCCGTTCACGCGTTAGTCTACCTCCCTTAATAGGCATTTTTGTCGCTTGTGGTTCAGATATTCAAATAGAACCAAGGGAAGCTTAGATATGCAGTATACGAGTATAGCTAGGTCTGTAGCCCTGCGTAACAAATGGAATATTTTATTGACTTAAAAGGAGAAAATATTAAAGAAAAGAAAAAACCGTTATTATTGACATCTATTAAGAAAGGGGGGAAACCCTTTAAAGACGAGGCATAAAGTATAAAAATACAACTTTTTATTCTATTCTCTTATGCCTAAGGGCCAAAAAGGGGTCTTCATCACTTACTTAACTATTTTTTAGTGGCTCGGAGATCTGGAGCCCCGATGGGCGTTGATAATTCGATTACATTGAGTGTTCTAGCTCTCAGCGATTAAGGGAGCTTGCACTAAAGTAAGCGCCTATCCAATCAGGGACATATCACGTGCCTGCTCCCCCGTCCGGTGAATCACATGAAAGTAGCGTGTTTTTTTATATACAGCCGCAGGTAGAAATATCTGCTGACTCAGCCAAAAGTAATACCAAAATTACGGTATTTAATGGGAAATTTAGCGGGTGCTCTGGTAAATACCTTGTAAGCACCCAAATACGCTTAATTTATCTGTTTCACCGGACGAGGAGATAGACATGGTCACCAATTTACACTCTTCCTTAATCCACGACTTGCTGGATGCTCTATAATTATTATAATGTGATACCCCTGGTTTTCTGGACACTTCAGGGCGAGGTTCTAGATGTAGCCTATAGATGTTCGTATCATGATGCGAATTTTCTTCGGGCTAAGCTGGTTGAGCCTGCCTGCCCTATAACACTATACCTGCCGAAAAGGGGCATGGAAACGTGACTTGACATGAAGGCATCCATGGATGGGAGTATAAAAGCGAGCAACTTCCCACAACACGACCCTCGTCTTCTCTTCACAACCATCCTCTGTCTAAACATCAGATTCCAAAATCATCACTGAACCGTTTTTACCAACTCCATAGGCCCCATACTAGACAGTTCGAAGTCTTGTTTCCAAAATGGCACCAGGAGATAACGAGTTAGCCCTTCTGAGTTCCTGATGCATAATATACTGTGCTAACGGTTTGCTCTGTTCTTAGACGCGACAAGTTGCTCAAGACAGAATGGTTGGCCTCATGAGAGGTAGCTAGCTTCGTCAGATTTTGACGGAGCTGGCGGAACCTTCAAGAAAGCTGACTGTCAGTTGAAATTTGCTCAACTGTTCTACGCCACGCCCAACCCTAGCCTGGGGTGGAAAGAGTTGCTGGAGCTTTCCCCATGGGTAGCTGCTGTATTATTCCGGGGCTTTGCAGCTCTTTTCAAGAAAGAAACTCTGTCGATGATGGAAAGCAAGGTCTTTTGGCTCTACATATACCCCTTAGGGGAGAACGTATATCTCGGGTTACTAGAAAAATACGCCAATAAAAATGGTACATCAGTTGTGCTAAGGTGTCTTTGCGATCATTGCGTTCAAATCACATCCACCGTCCTCCTGGTGCAGGCCATAATGACATTCGGGTTTAAAAACTCGTTCTATCAACGTACCAACCCTAGTACGTTGTGGGATCGACTGCCTGCTGAATACAAGAATTGGGCAAATGAATCTCTCCTAGATTACCTCATGAGAAGCTGGCGTGAACGCTGTCACCCAGTGGAAGACTGGCCACACTCAAACTCAGGGAGTTTAAACATGTTCAACACAGTTAAATACAGTGGGAAAGGCTATAGCCCGATCTTTCGAGTCTAGTATCTTGCGGATATCATAAGGCCCTAATAATTGGCGGCGAGGTATGGGGTCTATTTTTTGATGATAAACTGGTATGTATAGAATTAGATCTGTCCTTTCGACTTCCCAACAACAACCAGGCAAAGCAAATACTAAGCATTGGCTAGATATGCTTCAAGCGATAAGCCTTATATCGTCGCCTCCTCAGCCTTGAGGATAGACAACGGCACTCCTGGCACGACCAAGAATATGGACAGCATTTATCGCTTTATGGCTAAGGCTATCAATGTCGTTTACCCGTCGGAAGGGCCATATAAGGCCATTGAGAGAAGGTGTACGGCCATGAACAATAGTTTCCACATCTATAAGATCATCCAGAACGTTGCGAAAGATTTGCTGGTGAGGCACTACAGTCCTTGTTGGATGAGCACAATGGGCTTGAACACTGGGGTATGCTTAAACGATGCATCGATTATACAGACGAAGGTATTCGAGGATGGCTACAAAAGAGATGAAGCTTTACTTAGGAATATACCTCTTAGAATTAATACACTGGATTTCTCTGTGGATGTCCGTTGTATGATTGTCATTACTTAATAGTCTAGTGCCTTGAAACATAACGGTCTATACTTATCTAGCATATTATGACTTGCTTGGCTTCACCAGATGGCTGGCTACTAATCCTAGACACCGCGTAGAGGTGCAAGTCTCGCCTAGGTAAAACAAGAACGCCCAAACGCCAAACGCCAAACGCCCAAACGCCATGTCCCAGGTAAAAAAGCACATCTACATACCCATGGAATCTTCAACCGGAGTCTCAGAGTTCCTCCTCCTCTTCCTCTAAGGCAGGAGGATCAGCAGCTGCTGGGGAAGGAGCGGCGAGCTCAGAGGCACGGTCACCGCGAAGCTCCAGCGAACGTGATTCCCTAGGGGCCAAGTCCGCCATCATGGCTTGCTCTAGGATCGAAATCCTCTCCTCTTTCCAGAGGAGTTGCCTTCTGTCGTTGTCCACCCCCTGCCGGAGACGGATCAGCTCCAACGCTTGCTCCCCCTGCGAGAGGTCCCGGAGGTGTTGCCTCACGGCCTCTCGCCGCGTCTCCTCCTCCTCTCCCCCCAGGGCCCTTCCACTCTCCCTCCTCTGAACGCCCCCGCGCCCACGCCCGCGCCCACGCCCACGCCCACCGCCGCGCTGTCCCCTGCGCTGGCCACCTCCTCGCTGTGGGCCGGAGCCCCGTACCACGATGGTATGCTCTGAGTTAATAACGATCTATAATATAGCATTAGCTGTTTGTATCCAATAATAGTCATGATTAGGAAATGCTTACTCCTGGTGCCATGGCTCTATATCTTCCGGAAAGACGAGATATCGTTTATATCAAGTTAGTCTCTGCTTATTCACGCGTTTCGGGGCCCGGATAGTGATACGTACGCGGATGTTATTCGGATCTGGACAAGGAGAGAAAGAAGAAAAAGAGAGAGGAGGAGAGAGAAGAGAAGAGAGAAGAGGGGGGAAGGGCAAAGTAGATATGTGCGAGACGCTAGAGCTACGACTAGGGCTAACCCCCTTTGGGCATGTTATGTTTCCCTGGAATCGTAAATACGGTATTATGTCCTGCTCGCTTCCTCAGTGAAGCAGCTTTGTGTCCTGTACTGTATGTGTTTCTCGCTTCCTCATGCTTCCTCATGTCCTATCTAGCAGAGGTCCAGGGAGTGTCCTCTCTCGAACTTGATACCACGGGTGGCCCTCAAAGTCAGCTTCAACAAACACAACATAATCTGTCCCATTTTAGCAGGGAGCACTCCCTACTTAGGGTGCCGAGACTGTCCTTTTGCTCATTGATAGTTAGGACCATGGCACTCTCAGTTTTGGTATAGACTTGGCCTTTGCTTGGTAGGTATATGGCCATTGAGAGTATTATATTAGCTGGGTATATTCTGCTCACATTGTCGGCGGATATAGCGAGCGTCATGTCTACTGAGATATAAACGAACCCATTAAGAATCCACCACTGGAAGTTACTATTTGGCAGCTGGGGATATCGGGTATCAAGGAGCTAAGTATAATGGTATAAGAGCTGGAAGCATTGCATAACATAATAACATCCATGTTTTATGTACAAATAAAACAATAGTAGCTTTGTATAAATCGAGATCGCTTCTCAGCATGCAACCAGCGCTATGGAGGTGATTGTTCGCTCTTCCGTCCTCCATTTCGCTTTGTCACAATCTACCAGTGCTCGTGTCTTTCGACAATTTATCTATATCTAAATGTTTGAACATGTATCAGTATTGGATTTCACAACTCGAACGAGACCATGTAGCACCGACCTTCTCCGCCTATTGTAAGGAAAGACTTTTATTCATGTTCCCTGATTGGACTATGAGGGCTACATCTCCATCCCTGCTGCAACTTTTCAGAGTAGATACAGGAATTCATTTACCCATTTCGCAGTATCGTGAGAGTGTAGCTCATTTTAACAGTTGTCGTGGTAATAGACTCACTCTACATCGATGACGTCATATCACGTGCTTAACTCATGACATAAGCATATCCACGTGATGTACTTCCTCCGGATTACTAATATCCATCTCCGGCCTCAGCTGCGACCTCAGATATCAAAATGCACGCCGAAAGTTAAAAGAAGAACTAAGAAAGAGTCATTCGCGCAAGCGCAATTTTCCCCAGGCACTTAATCCTTACCCCAGGACCAAATTAGTAATTATATTGTTTGGAGGATTCCTCCGCCACGGTGACCTGGATAATCCATATATAACGATTGAATCTCAAGTCTATTTGGTTTCCTAGCATACAGGCTTAAGCAAAGATGGCGTCAGACGACCTTGTACCAGAAACGAAAGTATTGGCTATTGCGAGTCATGTATGAGTTCCAATTATTTGCCGAACAGCCAATAGCTATGATCACTCCCGGCTAACTTCAATCTGTTTGACAATGGAAGGTAGTTTATGGGTATGAAGAAGCCTCCCATCCTGATCTTTCTCAGATAAGCCATGGCCCGTCACCACGATACCCCCGGCTCAGCCGGATTAATATCAATGAACATGTTTCGACTTCTAGTACCGTACCTATATGCTTGATTGTTCGGCTTTTAGGGACAGTAATTAAATGACTGCTGTTTTAGATATGTCGGCAATACGATGGCTACCCTTGCCATGCAATCGCTGGGCTGCGAAGTGGCTGCCCTGAACACCGTACATTTCAGTGAGGCTCTCTCTGCTATTAATACTATAACTGAAGACCCATAAGCAATGGGAGTCCTGACCGTATATAGGCAACCATACTGGATATGGGCAATTCAAAGGGACAAAGTCGTCCGCTCAAGAAATAACAACTCTATATGACGGCCTACGGCAAAGCTATCTGACCGATTTTGACGTCCTATTGACGGGATATGCGCCCAGTGCCACAGCAGTCGAAGCAGTCGGAGCTATTGCAATGGATTTAAAGAAACGAGCATCGAAGCGGCCGGGCTCTTTTTTCTGGGGTAAGCGGGTGGCAACCTCATTAAAGATGATATATATTCTAATGGGCATCGCATAGTACTTGACCCAGTGATGGGAGACCAAGGCCGTATATACGTCAACGAGGACGTGGTGCCAGCGTATAAGTCTCTCGTTTCGCATGCGGATTTAATCTTACCAAATCAATTTGAAACAGAGTGAGCCTGGACTGCTCTCCGTATTTCCTATATTGCAGTAAACAAGGAAAGCAGATCAACTAACGAAGCCATAGGCTCCTTTCTGGAATAAAGATCACCTCCCTTCAAAACCTTGCAGATGCAGTGACCGTTATTCATCGCACTTATAACGTTCCCCACGTCATTGTCACTTCAGTGCAGCTCCCTGCTCCACTCTCTTCCTCGGCATCGTCTGTCATCTCATTCTCAACAGCAGATAGCTCCTCTGTCAGTCAGGATGCCCGTCAAAACAATACACTGGCAGTATTCGGATCAACTATGCGATCGGACCGTTCCGCTCGATTGTTTAAACTCGAAGTGCCCCGCCTGGATTGCTTCTTTAGCGGAACAGGAGATATGTTTGGGGCGTTGATGGTTGGACGGCTGCGTGAAGCCGTGTTCCAGGATGCGCCTGCGCTACGTGAGACGGCTTCTTGGATATCGCCCGATAACATCTCGGCTACAGAACTTCCACTAGCTAAAGCCACAGAGAAGGTGTTGGCGAGCATGCACCTGGTGCTCGAGAAGACTATGATAGCCAGAAACGAGGAGCTGGCGAGGTATCAAAGCGAGGATGACAATCCTGACTCAGAGTTCGCTCAATTATCGGATGAGGAACGCAAAGTGGCGGTCGAAAAGAGAGCGCGTCTTCGTACATCGAAAGCAGCAGAGGTTAGGCTTGTGCGCAATGTTGACCTCCTCAAACACCCTGTGGTAAAGTTCAGAGCTAAGGAGTGGAACCAATGATGTTTTATTTCCTGTTATTCTTAATTCATTCTGGAATTTCTTGCTGGCCGTGGTAAGATGCTTGCTTTCTCTCTTTCTTTAGTTTAGACATAAATATGAACAGATGGACATTAGAGTAGAACTGAATCATTATCTAGAGTTCAAGTCATGATTCGTTTAACCTGTGCTTCCAAACCCACCAGCACCTCGTACACTTTCCTCAAGTTGCTCAACAACGAGGACTTCAGGAGTATAGATCTGGAGGGAGTAAGATGTTAGTTTCATAGGATATTAATGCAATTTTAATACAGGGATAGACTCACTCGCTCAAGTACAAGCTGCGCAACACGATCGCCTTCCTTGACTACACATGATAGAAGTGGTTAGCAATGTCTCAAATAAACAAAACCACGCAGAAATGAAAACAGCCGGACAAAGACGTACTGGTAAAGTCTTTATCAGAGAAATTAAACAGCAGGACTTTCACTTCTCCTCGATAGTCAGCATCGATAACGCCAGCTCCAGTATCGATGAAATGCTTTGCCGCAAGCCCACTGCGGGGTGCTATCCTTCCATCTAAAGCCAAATTGTCATCAGTGAATTGTGATAAACAAGTATGTATACATGAGTAACTCACAGGTACCCTCTGGAACGGCAATTGCAAGCCCCGTCGAAACTAGGCCTTTACCCTTTGCCGGAAGCACGATATCCTTTGCGGCGTACAAGTCGTACCCGGCAGCCAAGGCAGATCCTCTAGTTGGCGCGCGTGCTTCGGGTATCAACTTCTTCACTAGCAGCTGGGGGGCTGAGGCAGTGGGATTCTCTGGGATTGCCATGGCTGCGATCTTAGGCCTTTTAGCTAGAGGTGAATTCGGCAGCGACGGTGCTTGGTGCGGGATATCGTCTGGGATATGTGTGGGCGGAGGGGTTGTTTCCTTCGTGTCTGTCATTGCTTGGTACTGTTGGGTATCAGTTTCTCTTCTCTGGCCTTCAAACCTCTTAACCAAGTCGCCCTTTTCTCGCCTTTCTCGCGTTTCGGCGCGTCGATAAGAGGGGTCACGTGTGGGGTAGAACTCGGCCTGAAATCGTCAACTTCGAGTCCTTGAAACTTGATAGAGGCTTTCGTTTATGAGTTTTGAGCTCGCCAGGTCTTTTGTCGTAAAGGCAACAAGACAGAGAAATATATACTTGAGTGGAGTTATGTCGATATCGACTCCCTTGAAGCAGGGGATGTCCATAGTATGACGTTGGTTCAATACACTGTGTAAGCCAGCCCAAACAAATACTGATTGCAAGGCCTTCTATATAGAATGAGATAAATATACAAATCCTCTAATACTTCTGGCAAGAATGTTTCCTGTTGAAGTCCTATCCGCGCCGTGGGGGATCCCGGCACTTCGTGAACCACCAGACCATCCAGCATTCTTAGCCTCAGCCAACCCATGAGCCCAACAGCACACGACCACTCAATCACGCAATACCCAAGTCACGGCCCGAGCCGTATAAAAAAGCAAGATGGGCGCCGTCTGATGCTGAAAGTCTCGCGATCTCTTTCTCCTCCTCTATAGACTACGGTAAACCCGTTGTCGCAACGATGTCAGCTCAGCTCGAGCGGTTTCTGCGCGCTATCTCCAGGTAACATCCAACCCCCAACAAAGCCCATGTATAGCATGCATTTGGTCCTGTATCTTGCTAACAGTTTCGCAACGGTTCATGTCACAGGCTGCTGGGATGGATATAGTACGCTCGCTCTCTTTCCTTCCCGCTCTGACATGGCGCCGCGTCGCGAGCCTAACTGACTCCCCGTCCACCGCGTAGCATGCTCTGCTGGTCCGGCTCCTTTTATCCTCAACCGATCAAGAACTGGCGTCGACGCTCTACGTCGGGTCTAGCTATCGCTTTTCCAACGGCAAACGTACTTGGTTTCATCTGCTACGCAGTGTATACCTTTACATTCCTGTACTCGCCCATTATCCGCGACCAGTATGCTGCTCGTCATCCGGCGGCTCCGGAACCGTCTGTACGAGCCAACGATGTAGCATTTGCTGTTCATGCAGTCATACTTAGCGTGACGACGTATACCCAGTTTTTCCCGATGATATGGGGGTTCAAGGTATCTGCGTATCAGAACATAGGGCCCGTGGTTGGCGGTATCATCTGGGGATGCGTGCTTAGTATCTTCGGCGTTTTCCTATTGGCATGGTCCAAGGGCGGTAACGATGCTTCTGATTGGGCGTGGATCGATGTTGTAAGTTGCTCGTTGTGAAGTTGAGTCAAACTATGGGGGCCAGGGCTAATGCGGTTGGTTACCTATAGATATATACCATGTCTTACGTCAAACTGTTCGTGACGGTGGTCAAGTATTGTCCGCAGGTATATCTGAACTATCGGCTGAAATCGACTGTGGGATGGAGCATTAACCAGATCCTCCTGGATTTGATTGGTGGTATCCTGTCACTGTTGCAGTTGGTGATTGATTCTTCGCTCCAGAACGACTGGAGCGGCATTACTGGGAACCCGGCGAAGTTTGGGCTGGGGAACGTGAGCATATTCTTCGACCTGGTGTTTATAGTGCAGCACTACATCCTTTATCGCGGAAGGTGTGAGTCGTCGAAGGATAATGAGGATGTTGAGGACCCTGTGATGCAGCCGCTGCTTGGCTCTACAGCATAGATGTGTCGGAGAATGGCTTGTTTTAGGTATTTACTTGTTAGAATCTCGGATAATATATAACAGTAAACAACAGTCTATGTGGACCATGATCGTATAATGCAGTCATCCAGTCATCCAGTCATGCTTACGCGTATCTATCCCCCCTTTTCGCCTTCTTCGTATATGGAAGGCCATCGTACTCAACACTCATCCATGTCTACTCTATACGGGGATTGACTCAAATGAGAAAAGTACCCTCGTAGCGAGAGAAAACAATCATTGGAAGTCGACATATCCATGGATCATGTGAATTTTTTCAAATATATACACCGGCGACCCTCCGCTCCTCCGTGTCCGCCTCCGACCCTCTTCCTCCTTACTCACCGAACCAACCACCGCCTGAAACCGCCGTCCCAAGGATGAACGGATCATCATTTTCCATGATCAAAAAGAGGAAAAAAAAAAGATACGAAATTTTAAAACAGAGAATTAACATGAATAAAATCAGAAGTTCAAAAAAAAAGAAAGATCAAACCATGTTCACAAATGACTCGGGGTGAAATGACGTGATGCAACGGACAACTCCCGAGATGAGATGAGATGAGATAAAAATATACTATTAAAGAAAATACAAAAACAAAAAAAAAAGGGAAAGCAGAAAGATGAATGAGAAATGAACAGGAGAACCGGCCGATATTTGTACGCCTTCGCAAACCGTAGGTAACCAAGTAGTGAAAATGAACGAATGAGCCAAGCATGAATGAACGAACACAGTAAGGGACGCAATGGAAAGAGATAGGACGCATTGAAATAGAGTATATATATATATAGATTATATATATAATCATAACGCAGATCAAAAATCAACTATTCGCTCTCGCTCCAAAAAAACAGTATGACTATGACGACAACTAACAGTAAAATTGAACAGTGGCCGTAATGGATGGATATTTTTGTTTGAAGGGGGGTGAAAAAGAAAGACGTCAGCATTAGGCCCTTCGCCTTCGACCGCGATTAGCTCCCTCGGGCCTCTGGGCAAGAACTTCTCTTAATAGCGGATCTTCTCTGTCCTTGTCGATGTGATGGACCCGAACATGTCTATCGTTATCAATTAGCACCGCCACACTTCACGTATTATCACTACCTATACATAAGCGCCTGAGGCACGAATGATGTACAGGCACCGACGCTAAGAGTGGAGGAGTGATCGACGTACCGTTGAAGATTATCCGGTCTAGGATATCTGTGACGTTGGTCTGGGCAGAACGGACATACATATCCGGGCGAATCATGCACGAGGCCGTGGCGGATCATTTCGTTTTTTCGTTTGAAGCCCTTGCCACCTTCGGAACGTGGACAGCCTTGTACTGGACAATAGTATGGTCGGAATTGAGAGTGGACGTTTGCATGGGAGCTGGCGGGGAAAGGTTAGCATGTGTTTCTGCTTATGTAGGGCGTACGTATGGGTTGGGTGAGATAAGCTTACTTGAGAAGATATTGGGTTTGGAATGGTAGGGCGACGCAGCCTGGGTAGTTACATTTGAACATTCCAGACGACGAAAGGGAGCCTGTTGAAGGGTCATGGTGCGCGTCTACGCTTTCTTGGCTGGTTGGGTCCGTGGGGGTAGGATAGCCTGTGCTTGGGGTGTCACTGTACTGAGAGCCAGGTTCACAGGAGGATTGAGATAAAGACTGGGAGTGAGAATGGGGCTGGGACATGGAACATTCCATTTTTAGTCGTTCGGGCCAGGGAGGCTGTTGGTGGATAGCGGAAGGAGTGGATGCATTTGAGATATCGCAGGCCTTGTGAGGAGACGCCTGTGAGTATGCCGGAGTCGGTGCTGTGGACGATAGCAGAGGTGTAGGGTAGAATTGCTCTGATAGTCGTCGTATATGTGATTGTGACGAGTTGTGGCCGTGGCTGTGGGAGTGGCTGTGATTTGATTGGCGAGGAGACGATGTGACGGCTGGGTATGACGGCTGTGGCACACCATTTTTAAGAAAGTGGTCCTTGGAGAGCACCTCCGGTACGATCTCGCAGGGGAAAGATGAGCGGAACGAGGGTAGACTCTGGCATCCGGCGCTGCTGCCATCAGGAGAGTTTCCGGAGATTGTTGCCGGGGGTGAATTGAGAGCGGGTAGGGTCTGTACCCGTGAAGACTCTAGCGGGAAAGTATGTAGTTTCTTGAAAGTAGGCGGAGTTGCAAGCATGGGTCTCGAGTCTTGGAATATCGAAGCGGAGAGCGGCGATTGAGAGGTAGGATTTGAAATTATCTGGGCAACCGAGGGTAGGCGAGTAGTAGTGTTGTTATTGCTATTGTTGCTGTTGTTGTTGCTGGTGACCGGGTTTAGAGCTCCCTCCTTTGAGCTAGCAGAGGAGTGCATGGTGACTGGCGGATCTGCCGAGGGATTCGGAGGATCGGTCATGGAAATATCAGGGCGCGGAAGTGGTTGGCTAAAGTTGCTGTTCCGGGCAGCTGCGCCTCCTCCAGCTGACGACGTACCGTCATGCTGCATCTGCCTCTGCATCTGCATCCTCATCCGCATCTGCATCTTCATATCAACCTCCGCAACGCTATCCAGCCCCTGAACACTGCCTTCTTCAGCTCCGCTCGTGTGGTCGGAAGCCGTGGAGGAACAAGAAGAGGAATCCCGCCTCAGCGGTGCTTGTCTGGACTTGTAGGCAATCTCGGGTTCATTGGGAGCTAAGGACCTTAGTATTAGCTCGTCGCCTATGGATGGTTTGGGTATTTTGCGACATCGTGGACGCTTACGGTCACGTCCTTGACCTGACGGGTTCGAATAAGACCTCGACCTGGACTTGTCGACCGGGCTGTTGCTTTCACTTTTATCCGGGAGGAAGGGGGCCGGGGACTCGCGCGGTTCGTAGATGATCTTCTGTTTTTCGAGAGGCGGAGAGACGTTCCGGGCGTCATCTGAATCGTAATTCATCGTCATATCATGTCATGGAGCTGGGATTCGGCGACATATACGGAGTATGAATGGTAGATGCAGTAACCTCGGTGGAGGGTTTTTTGTATTCTCAGGACAGGCTGGATGAGTTAGTTAGAGGCCGGCCGCTGAATCGTAGCAGTTGAAGCAAGAGTGTGAGTGTGAGTGTATGTGAGAGAGTGTGGTGTGAGGAAGAAGAGGATAGAGTAACCCTCCGCCAAAACGGGGGATCAGCGGATCGACACAGAGCGAGGACAGCGGGATATCAACGCAGTATCAGGGCAGGGAACATGAATCATCGTCCGCTGAACGCAGCCAGAGAGCGAGCAGACAGAGCTGATGCCAGTACCTTGCCGGCTCTGGTCGAACCTCCAGGGCTGAGGATGGGGGACAGGAGGAGAGGAGGACGTCAAACGGAGGCTGAGGGCGAACGGCAGCGGTAACAGCCAGCCACGGTGCAGGGGACGTACGGTGAGGTCAGGCCATGGTCTCTCGCACACAGCGTCCGCTCGCTATCACGGTCGAGTGGGTGAGGTCTGAAGTCGAGGGCTGATGGCGATGGATGGTGATGAGGAAGATGAGGCTGTGGTGTGGATCGGCGGCGGGAAGAAGAACGGAAACTCACCCGGGAAAAGGCTAGCAGAGCCACAGGAAGAGCCGCACAAGTCACTCGTACTCAATATCAACACTATCACTTATTCAACACTATCAGTCGGTCGTCAGCCAGCAGTCGGTCGTCAGCAGCCAGCAGTCGGTAGTCAACAGTCGATAGTCGTGCAGTACGTGGCGTTCGGCAGCCGCATCGCAGTTATATCTGCCAACGAGAAAGGAGAAAAGGGAGAGCAGAAACCGGACGAGGCCAGGGGTGAAACGCATGAAGAACAGGACCGTCCTCCACCGTCTCTGCTCTGGCCGTCCTCTACCCTCCTACTGGCTCTGACGGCCGCTGCTGGCGTGTCTGCTCGCTGGTCTCTGCCTCAGGCCTGGTGGAGCCGCTGAGACTTCTCACTTCGGGGCTCTCTGACCGGGGTCTTAGTTAAAGGCTCTTACCTGCTTAGTTAAAGAGTTAAGGCTTAAAAGACAGCCTAGCCCGCCCCTAGCCCGCCCCTAGCCCTTGAGCCAAGGGAGGCTTCAGGCCCCTAACCTCTGGCCCTGGTAACCCTACGCAGCCGCTAGTCACGCCTAAAGCCACAGGCATCACCCCCCTAGGGGCTCGCCACCATCTCCCGATCCAGCCACGCCCGCCGCCGTCTCGCTGATCCGAGTGGCCACAGCTAGCGAATCGGTGCTTTCTTCTTCCTGGTCTTGCTTCTCCACGGCGACGAGAGATCACGGAGAGACAGCGCAAGACATGATTTAATCATGGTTAATGGAAGGGCTGCCCAGGTCTTAGTTGGGCACGAGACACGTGGCAGCCTGAATATATTGTGATATAGACGATATATACGTGATATATACATGGATTAGGTCTTGCATGTGTTGAAAGTTATAGTCGGCTCGGAGGCTGCAGGTCGAGGACCTTCTCCCATGCCTTACGCGCGAACGGGGCCATCAGACTGGCATACTCCCTCGCCCTCGCACTGCTCGCCTGCCTCAACGCATACCGAGCCGCAATCCCTTGCATGATGATCGATCCCCGAAAGGCATGGAAGGCATCTCCCCATGCCAGCTCCCGAGTTGGGTCCCAGCCCGCCACCTCCCCATACCACCTCACGCACTCCTCTCGCGTCGGCAGACCGTCCATGGCAGCCGCATCGAACCTCGTCTCTGCCGGTCCGCCGCTGATGTTGGCGTACGGCCCCGTCAGGTTGCATAGATCAGACAGCGGGTGGCCGATGGTCGCCATCTCCCAGTCCAGCACCCCAATCACCCGTGGCTCCGTCTTGTGGAAGACCATGTTGTCGATCTTGTAGTCGCCGTGCACGAACGTCGACCGGTCCACGGGCTGCTGTGCCTTGGTAGAGAATAAGTCGGTTATCTCCTTGAAGTGCGGCAGGTCGCCGACTGGTACTCCAGTCTCGATATCGACGGTCTGCGACTGGGCTTTATGGATGGTTCGGAAGGTTGCTATCTGACGGTCGTAGAATCCGCCTGACCGTCCAAACTTCTCCAGCCCGATAGACTTGGGGCTGACCCGGTGGAATTTGGCAAGCGTCTGGACCGCTGCTTTCCATCTACTCTCATTAGTACCCCCTTTATTTAATATAAGGGTTAGCCGTTATTTATTAAAAGGGCTAGACGTACAGCTCCCTTCTCTCCTGTACTCCGACCTCAGGCATGGCCGGATCTATAAATATCCTCCCGTCCAGAAACTCCATCACGTAAAAGGGCGTCCCAATGACTGAATCATCCTCGCATAGACAGATGGCCTGCGGGACCGGGACGTCCGTCTTCTCTAGTGCATGGATAATCTGATACTCGCGCTCCACCCGATGGGCGGTCTTTGACAGTAGCCTCCCCGGTGGTTTCTTGCGGAGGACATATTTTTGGCCGTCGGCGGACGTTAGTTGGTAGGTAGGGTTCGACTGGCCGAATCCGAACTGGTCCGGACATGTTAGTGACCTTCCTTTCCTGTATGAAGGCGAACACTCACCTGCTTTATCGTCAATGGCGTCTTTATCGAGGGGACGTGGGCGTTGATATAGCGCTCAAAGGAGGCCAGGTCGATGGGCTGTCGTACTTCGCCGGCCATTGTGAGTGACTTATGCTGGTGATCTGTATACCGCGGGCTCTTACCCGGCTCACGAACCCATCAGCCTGCTCATATACCCCCGACTCAACCTCGCTCCAGGCTTGATTCTCGGGTATCACTTGCCATCCCGCAACTTTTGAGTCTTCTTCAAGCCGAGGTATCTTTGGCTTATATAAGGTATTATGTAACGACTTAGGTAATATCTTAGTCATGTCTTAGTCATCCGTTGTCGGGGTTATGAGTTGGCGGCGCTAAACCAGAAGAGGAAAACCGTTGTTGTCTTGCGACCTGGCGAGCTTCAGCTTGATATTTGCATCCCGACACGAAAGAGACAGGCTGGAAGTCGCTCGAGGCCAGACTGATTGTGTTTACGTTTGGAGACTGTGTGTAACTGTCCGTCGTGACTTTTCCCTTTGACAGGATACTCTACTCGCCAGCCACGCACTTTTTTCCATCAAGAGATTATCCACTCCATTGCCATCGACGGATAGCATTACCCTACCTATAACCTAGCCTATACAGACAGCTTCACCGACGCAGTACCAGGAAGCGAATGGTCGTCTAGTCGGAGCGAGGGATCTAGAAAGATCTCCTCCGCTATCACCGGCAGCGTCGATTTGTCACACGAGGAGCAGGCTGCTTGCGACAACCTTCGCCCGTACGATAGCCAGTCGGGAATATGTCGAACCAGGGTCTGGGACCGCCGGGCACGGGGACGTATGCCTCCAACGTCCTCAATGTTGGAGATGGAACATGGGACTCGCAGCGCAATACTTTCCTGCTGCCCAATTTGATGGGTCTCAATATTGAAGCCATGCAATATAATGGTCAGTATCATGCTAGGTCAAGTATTAAGTATTTCATTATATACTAATGTTCTTATAGGGATGGGGAATCGATTTAGGAACCTTCCGGGTTACCATTCTCTTATACAGGCGCACGGAATCATCGCAGCAATAACGTTCCTTGGCCTGGTGCCGATTTCTATCCTCCTTGCTCGATTCTACTCGCGAAGTCCCTACTGGGCCCTCCGGCTACATATATGGATGCAGATACTCACCCTCTTCCTGACCACCGTGGTTTTTATACTGGGCTGGTTTGCGGTGGGGCCAAAGAGAAGTCTGACCAACCCCCACCACGGCATTGGGCTGGCGATATATGTGATGGTGATTGCTCAGACTTTCTGGGGATGGTTTATACATGGTCGATTGAAGGGGAAGCGACAGCCGCATCTTCCTCTAAAGTTAATGGTAAGATCTATATATCTACTTTTTCATGCTGTGGACATGGCTAAATTATTCATAGTTGCATCACTGGCTTGGAAGAGCTCTGGCGTTACTTGGTATCGCGCAGATTCCGCTAGGGTTAACGCTCTATGGTTCACCACTTTCGCTCTTCATTCTCTTTGCCCTAGCTGCATTCGCCCTAGCCCTTACTTATTTCATCCTCACCTATCTTCACGAACGGCGGATGGGCGCAGGATATGATCCCCGAGGACATTACTCTGGCCCAGAAGTTATTGATGACGACCATAGTCATGGGAATTTTGGCCGTCTGGCAGCTGCAGGCGCTGCGGGCGCTGGGCTGGCCATGCTAGGTGGTCGGTTACGTGGACGAGAACGGAGTCGAAGCGGGAGCAGAAGCAGGAGTAGAAGCAGAAGCGATAGTCGGAGCGGAAGTCGTGACTCGCAGAGAACACCTTATATCAATGAAAAAGAATCAAACCATGGCGGGTGGGGGAAAAAATTGCTCGGAATTGGTGCACTTGCAGGAGTGGCTGGTCTGGCGAAGAAAGTATTTGATAAACGCCGTGACCGTGATGATGACTCCGAGTCTGGTCATTATCACCCCGCGCACACTGTTACTGAAAGCTATTCCGATTCCTTGAGTCGTGTGGAAGAAGGAAGACCACCGCCTCCGCCAGCACATAGGCGCCATGGTCCTTACCACGGGGCCCCAAGCGAAGATCATACCACTGGCTATACGGAGAGCGATTACACCCGTACCGATGACTCTAGATACGGTGGCCACCCTGTACGCAATGCTCTTCTCGGAGCAGGCGCATTTGCTGCTGTGAAAAGCTTCTTCAGCAGAGGCAAATCAAAGGAAGACCGTCGAGTCGAGGAGATAAGACAGGAAGACCTTGCAAATGAGCGAATTGCCCGAGCCAACAGTAAAAGGAAACAGGGAGACAGACGCTATGCAAGACCACACTCCCCAACCAGCGAACTCACAACATCTGAAGCCGTTGCTGGACCGTCAGGCACTACTGGACGCCCGCTTCCACCAGCTGCCTCATCAATAACAGATATGGACTCTAGCCCTGGACGCAAACATCGCGGCCACCGCCGATACCCATCTACACTAGGTGCAGGAACTGCCGTCGCGGCCGCTGAAGCCGCTGGATCTTCAGGCCACAGGAGGCGAAGCGGTAATCGTGAAGAAGCATACGACTCTCCGAAGGTCACTATAAGAGTTAAGCCTGAAGGCCGACGGGTAACACTACGCCAGCTAACCAAAGAAGAAAAACGAGCAGACCGTGAGACTCGTCGTGGTCACCGCCGTCAAGGAACAGAAGGCTCTTTCTCAGACGGAGATGAACACTGGCGCAGGGTCGAGGAGCGTGAACGACAACAGGCACAGTCACTGGCTCCTTCGCAGTCACAAGCACCAGCGCAATCACAAGCACCGTCCCACTCTCATGTACCATCTCACTCGCAAGTACCTTCTCATTCGCAAGTACCAGACTCACGAATTGAGCCACCATTATCTGCAATAGCCCAGTCTGTAGGTCCGCCTGCTGACTCCATTGCCGCTCTATCATCAATACCCGCTCCACCGCCTCCGATACCCATCAGCCATGCTGGACTCCATTCACCTGGGACCGTAAGCACAGATATAAGCGGTAGCTACGCCAGCAGAAGCGGTCGACGGCGCGCGGAACGACGAATTGCCAAAAGCCAACGCCAACATAGTGTCGATTGGACATGAAAACGATACCCCAGATTAACGTTGAAGGATATAATAATGCCCCCTTTCTCTATCCATGTACATGTTTTCTAACCTTGAGGATCAATTACGTATGTCTAAAGGATATCGACAATCTGTCAATTTTCTTTCTTGCCTTCTTCTTCTTCTTTTCCCATGTTCAGTTTTCTTGACTTTATTGCAAAATGATTTATGGTATATATGCTTTTTCTTTGTTTTGGTTGCGCGGCACTCTGCTTTATGCCCCTTGTCTCTGACAGTGTTTACGTTTACTTTTCCCACGGCGTTTAGGCTGCATGGCATTTCCTACCTCACCTATCTATGTATAGTCCGTCACCTTGTCCCTTGGAAAATGGAAACCCAGCCCCATGTTTTGCCCTTCATCTTTGGTCCAGTTACTGATTCGAAGATGAATAGACATTGGTTATCACGATCATATTTGTATTATCTTACTTTTGAATGAATTCCCTATCATGCCCTCAAAAATAATCAATAGCTCCAAGTGGCGGTCGTGCCTTACGTTTTATCAATGGTAGAAAGCAAGATAGTACTTTTCTCAACGTTGAATGGAAAATAATTCTAAAAAACATGTATACAAAATCTTCAAGTTAGAGAAAACACTACTGTTTATTATTCTACAGATTCAACAGTCGAGAGAAACGGGCTTTCGTCAGGATGAACGGATATATACATCCTACAACTCTATCATTTCAAAGAAGCCTGAAGACTCTCGAGGACCTAAACAGACAAGAGAATAGTACGTTAGTACATGTTATGCTCCATGACAAAGTTAAAGCGACTGTACGTACCTCTACCTGAATCTTGGCCTCGGCAATTTCCTTCTCGCTTCCAGAGCCAGAGGCGAGTCTTTGGGCTTCAGCAAGCTGAGACTTGACGGCCTATTTATTAACATTCATTAGCTTGACTGCTACTATTTTGTTCATTCCCTTTCTGTCCACCGAAACGCGGGACGGCGAGAACCTACATCGGCGCTGAAGTCTTCAAGGGCGTAACCCTCAACGGCGTTGATGTTGAGGTTGGAGTCTGGCTGCATAACGGCGAATCCACCAGCAACTAGACGACAGAAACGTTATTAGTATTAAATTGCCCATATATAAAAGGTTGAATATATTGCCAAGAACTATCCCATTGGATGTCGAGGAAGTATGAATTGAGGATTATGGGTTTGGGAGGGTGTATCGTACGGAAGAACTTCTTGGTTTGACCGCTCTCTTCGATGATCTCGATGATACCTGGTCTCAATTGTTCGATGCTGGGAACGTGGCTGGAGAGGATACCCATGTCACCGGACTCGGCGGCAATGTTGACTTGGACGCTAAATGAGCAATAAATCGATTAATCGGTGTTCCTTTTCGTGTTTTTATTTTGGTTATAGGCGTAGGATGAAGAGCATAGCCATCGAGAGGCGAATTGCTTGATGGATTGGGGAAATGCAAACGTACACATCGGCGGACTTGTAGACGGTCTGTTCGGGTCAATTCGTCAGTTCATCAAGTTCCACGGCAAAACATGCATAAATACAGCAATATGACACTATGATAAACGGGAACAACGGATCCAGGGACTCTGTTGACGCACCTCTTTGGGCAAGACGAGGGAAAGCTTGAGCTTGTCCGCAACGGCCGTGGCGTAGGTCCTCTGCGATAGAGGGGCGCGGAGAGCGGTGGCTCCGGCTCTGAAAGCCGGTCTGGCGAAGCGGAGAGAGAACATGGCTGCAATTGGCCTTGAGATGGGCTTCAGGGTGGGATGTGAAGATCGTGCTTGCTGGCGTGAGATGTTGCGATGCCTTGAAGTCGCTGAACTTTCGGGACGTCTCGGGGCTAGCCGTTTTCGGCCGGTCAAGTCACGTGTATGTATCTGGTGCTGCTTTAGACACTTTCCGCCGTGATACTGCTATTACTCAAGCTGCAGATGTGTCTACGGGGAGATTCTTTGTATATGCTCAGGTACTAGCTTACTGTCACTTCCTGTCGTCTATAAAACCTATACTTCAGCTATAAATTGATGATATATGTGTTTTTATAGGAAAGTCGTGAAGTTATATCCCGATACGGACTAGCGCCAGCTGACAGCCAACGTAAGCGAGCTCATCCACACAAACAACTTGAAGGTCGCAGCTTTCTCCGAAGTTCATCTCGACACGACGCCATCCTTACCTCAACCGTTGAAGTTGCTGCCATACCGTCAAGATGGCCAGTACGTTCTCCTCTTCGCCCACGCTGCAATGTCCCCAAAAATCTGTGTCCCGGGGCTGTTTTCCGGAGCAGATATCCAAGACCGACCGCTAACAACGTATCTCAACGAACAGAATCAAAGAACTCGTCGCAAGCCAACCAGAACAAGAAGGCCCACAGGAACGGGTACGTCAATATCGATTCCCTTTCCTACAGCAAATTGGCGCAGTTTGCGCCGTGATACGTTCAAGAAAACACGACCACTCAGACCAAGGAGCCTGGCCAGAATGAAGCTGACAATCAATTTTGGATAATACAGTATCAAGAAGCCAAAGACTCACCGTTACCCATCCCTCAAGGGCACAGACCCTAAGTTCAGAAGAAACCACAGACATGCTCTTCACGGAACTATGAAGGCATTGGTACGGATACATTTCCATTGTTCTTAAATTGAGCTCCCAGCTGACACATTCTATAGAAGGAGGTTAAGGAGGGCAAGCGGGACTCCGCATAAACGGGACATGCATCGAATCGGCTTTTTTAAGAAAACGGGAGCTTTGTTGACTTTCACCGTGCTATCTATCCGTCATGTGTGTTATGTCGATAGAACTCTTTTCTACCTCCTCCTTTTACAAAGATAATCGGATGGAAATGTAATGAAAACAAGAAACGTCCAAATTTCAAAATTTCAACAACATCCCTTCGCCTTTTGAATCTTTTGTTGCGTTCAAAGTTCGTCAAAGTTCGTCAGACCGAGGTGAGGAACTGCTTCCGACTATCGAGAGCAGTGCCGTGGCCCGCTGAGATATAGCAAAGAAGGTAGGTTTGTTCCATTTCTATATTCACCCCCCATTTCAGGCATATGTGTGTACAGCAGCGGAGTCTTTTACGTATCCGATTGCTGAAGGATTTATTCTTTTACGTGCCGAGATTGAACCGCCGTCTAATTACCAAACACCCTGTTTACCTTCCCCATGGTGCAGAGGTGCATGGAACGATGGCTACATATTATCTATTAAATTTAAATGTATTATTTGTCTCAAGTTTTGGAATATCACAAGCTGTAATTGCAACCCATCCATTGAATTATTATTTTCTTTTTAAGTTGAGACTATCAAAGGTATCATCATTCGTAAGTGAGTTAAATTCAACCCAGATCAATGCAAATTAAATTTCCAAGCCAAAGACGCCATTGCTAGATTGTGTATTATTTGAATAGGTGCAACTCCGCCTCCCCTCCATCGTAAATTGTTAAGGAAAACCTGTGTTCAAAAATATCAAGACCGATGCGCTGGGTCACCCAATGCAGGGACGGTTTCCCCCCCAGGCAACTATATTCCTCTAACCACGATGGAAATATTAGATCATCTTTATGGCAGACCGGCTGGTAGCCATAGAAATTATCTTTTAACCGGTCCAGAGTATCATTTCCATGCTCATCCACATGCATGTAGATACTAAAGTGTTTAGCCAGGCCTGCCAACCAACGAGGTGATTGAGACTTAACAGGCTCAACTAAACATGTCTTCGGCTCGTCTTCTCTTCCCACCTCGGCCTTCAATCGCGTCAGAGAACAGTTCTTTCCCTTCATTGCTAGAATATTTCGAGGGGAAGAGTTCTCTAACAGCCGCCGCGCCCTTGATAGAAATGCCACCAGACGCATTCCCGCGAATAGACATTCCGCTATTTTCGGAAGATATACCTCGAATCTTCAAGCTCTGGCGGTCGTGTCCTGCCGAGTCGGGAAACAGTTCAACCTTACGGCTACCGGATCTTTGGGGTCCATCGCTCGCACCGTCCACAAATGGAACGGTCATTCGCTGGGCGAGCAATTCGGTGGTTTCGTCTGCAGCATCAAAAGCGTCTGATCGGCGATGAATTGTGTTGGCGGGTGGGGTTACTGAGTTCAGTAGTAGCTCCTTTTTCAGGTAGCTTGACGCAGTCTTGTTGGGGAAAAGCTCTCTTCCTCTAGAGGTGTCGTCGCTTGAGTTGTTGCCAGAGGGGTAAAGTTCCTTTCCGACATTAGAACGGGACCTATCTCTCCTATCGTGACTCGAAAGCGGGGGTCGATCGCGGAAACGTCTACTAGACGACGAGCCCCCAGCAAGTCGAAGGTCGGGGCCGTCCCCGTTGGCTCTAGACGGTGATGCGCTGCGGTCCCTAAGACGTCCTTCAGACGTTTCCATACGATCGCTGAAAAGGTCGCGGTTGTTTCTTCTCGCTCGACTCCTGCTATGTGAATCGGCACTCGAGATATCCCCACTAGAACCACGTCGTCCACGATCCCCATCGTCATCATACATGCTGACATCGAACCTATCTTCTTTCGCCTGCCCTCTCCGTCGTCGGTGTTCTCTGTCGTCAAACCGCTTCCTCCTATAATCTCCATCGCTATCACCTCGCGACCCACGGCGTCTCCTCCCAGAAAATTCGCTCCGCATCCGTTCTCTCGGATCGTGTTCCGGGTGCATCAGGTAGAAACGGCTCGCCTCATGTGCACGATGCTTCTTGCGATCTGACTTGACGGCCAGCCGAACTTGTAAAACCGAGTCTGGGTGTGAGGATAATGCCTTGGCGGTTCGAAGTCGAAGGGAAGGTGAGCTTGGCTCCGCATCCTCAACATTCTCTTGAGTGAGTGCCGATAAAGCTTTTGCTCCTATCTCCGCAGAGCTATAGACGATGTTGGCAGACGTATCGTCGATCCACTCAATGCGCTGAGGTTCTTCGAGGGTGAAATATTCAAAGGCAAATCGTTTTATATCGTCCGTAGTTAACTCGTCGACTCCACGTATATGAACCTTTTCAAGCTGTGGTTCCTCGTTTGGGCTCACTGCTTCCACCTCAGGTTTTCCCGCGATCGCAGCGGCTACGTTTAACGTAGTTGCTGGCTCCTGTAAGTGGTATTAGCACAAGGCCCCTCAGTAGTGAGGAAAGGTAGCTTTTAACCAACCAGTTCGATCGGATCGGGTTCAGGAAATTGCCCAAGATCAAGGTCCATATCTATATCCATACTGGCGTCCATTGAGCCGTTGTTCGCAGCAGTGGTGTTGGCAATGTGAGGCTGGACCGGAGCTTCAAGGAGAGCTTCACGATCCATAGTGGCGCTGGGATTGAGGTATTTGAAAGTGCTACTAAAAACGTGAGAAGAAACGGCCCGCGTTAGGCGACGTATCGGTGAGGTGCTACAAGAGCAAGTAACGTTGACAGCACCTCGAGGCAGTATAGTACTATCTTTTCTTATTGTATCACCCTCAAGAAAGCTCGTAGCTGTGGCCGCAGCAAGGCTTTTGCCCAGGTGAAGTCGCCGCCTACCGCAAATAGCCTAGCGTGCCGAATATCACTTTGCTTAGTCACCATACCTCACTCTCACTTTGTCCCCTACACTGAAAACTACGAAACTTCATCATTTACTCGGTGAATCTCATGGGTTCGTGTATCAGAAATACCATTTATGGCCTACAATGGGAAAAGATGGCTTCAGTTGCCATATTCAAGCCTGATAAATACGGAATATTGCCATTGGGTCTTACCTCAGACCTATCCTAAGAATATAGTAAGGAAATGTAAAAGGGGATATAAAGAAGTAGGCTATCCCATCAATCGCTAGCCCGCGGTATACGAGTTAAAATTTACTATCGCTGGCTAGAATATAACGACGAAAGCCTTCTAAGGAGCTGGAATGAACGAACTTTGAAAGATAAGCCCATTGGCCAACGCACCGGAAGATATTTCTTCCACTTCCAGCTTGCCCAAGAGCAGAACTGGAACCTACTAAGATCACAGGAGTCCAACAAAACTGCCTAACAACATGAGAACAACATGAGAACAACATGAGAAGGAAAGGTAGAAAAAAGAACGGGAGCAAAAAAAGAAAAACATACGACAGTCGGGATTCGCTGGTGGTCACCCACCCAACTACTAACCGACCGGCAAGTGGCTTAAGTACAGCTGAGCGGACGGGAAGCTCTGTTTTCCACTTCCTGTGGTCGTATGTACTTGTATAGAAGAGGAGTAGGGTTTTATCCCGTAGTCACTGCCAGCATAACATCAAAGATAGACGTATGGAGCAGTGTTTTTAGAATTCGCATCAATGTCCTGGTGCCTTTAGAGTGCGAGTGGGGATTTCGGCATGAGAGATAGCATTCAAGCTAATTCAAAGGTGTCCATATACAGCACACAAGATAGGAACTCGAAGATGCCTATGTTTGGTGCAGCATGATAATCATGCTGCTTGCCATCAGGCCTGGGTATAATTTAACTCTGATGTTGATAGCAGGGGCCCAGGCATATAACACTATCGCTATAGGCCGAGTGGATCTTGAAACTTGCAATATAAAAAGGCAAACATTCCCCACACGCTTCCAAACTATCATCGTAAACGCTCAATTCAGACTGAGAGCGCAAACGCATAACTGAACGGCCGACTTCCTGTAGTCCGCGTTGGAGTTAAGCTAAGAAAACTCATGATATAAAGATATTGCAGAATGCCTCATCTGCAGCACCTCGGCGCAAACTTCCACCACCCGCCCGCGACCCCAAAGCCCCCCCTCGCCAACCCAACTGTCCGTCTCTCTGTCCCTTCAACGACGTTATTTCTGTACGTCAGAATAATGTTGTTCCAGGAAGGACCCTGATGTGGGGCAGGAGCGGGCGCGATGCCCGAAGTGGAAAGAAGCCAAGACTGTGGGAAAGACCCAATCTTGACTTCAAAACTTCAACATCAAGACCGCGTCTCCAGGAGCAGTGGCAGCGGTCAATTCAACAGACATAGTCTTCTTGTCTTTGGCTGGTGTGCATGCTGTTCCTATTCCTTTTCCATTTTCTTCTCTATATCGTGCTCGGATGGTGGATCGAGTCAGCACGACCTCCGAGATCCAGCTCAGGTATCATGTTCCATTTTATGGGCTATTAACACCGGCTTGGTAGAGAGCGTGTGGCTTGAACCCTGTTCGTCGCTTGGAAAGCACTTATCGCTTACCCATGAAGGTCCTTGGCCTGGTCAAGGATGTCCCATCCTTATACCAATGACAGGCAGGCTAACTTACTGAAATAAGATGAAGTATCTCCATGGCCACTTCGGCGACCAGGAAACGGATATAATGCCATGCCAGACGGCGAGTCATACTTAATGCCCATTCTCCCTGCGCAGCGGCGAGCAACGTATGGAGGCTGTGAACGGGCGCGGGGTTGGCTCGCTCTTGACTCGGGTATTGAGCTATTATTACATACCAACCAGTAACTAGCTCGAGGTCTATTTTTGGGTTGAGCTATGCGAGTTCTTCTTAGCTCTAGGCTTGTTCCCATTTCCATATGGTCACTTGGATATTCACGTGACTGACGTGGCTTGATCTCAGGTATCTCAGGTAGCTATCGAAGGGGCGGAGCTAACTAGGTCAATGCAACCCAGGTGCCGGCATGGAGAAGCGATCTCCCCAATCGAAACCTGCAGATAGCCTCATATATAGCCGAAAGATGATATTTATCAGCGAGGGGTCAAATTCGACTTGATACTCCGAGGAGAAGTTCGCTGCATTAGCTCCTAGGCCACAATGTTACACTTGAAGTGTAGATCTCTGCCTCTCCCACATTTCAAACCCCTGAGCGGTCAGCAAGTCCTGCCGGCTCTATTGGACCACTGCGTGAGGGGAGCAGACGATGAGGAATCAACTCGCGTGTCAGTTCTGACAGGGTGGCAGACGAACTGCTTCCCCGAGCTATGGCCGCCGGCATGTCACGGGGTTTGCAGCTAGCTACCTAGATAGTTAGATACACGCCGCAGCAAATGGTTTCGCTTTCCAACCACTCAGCCTGAATGCGCGGAGCAATCAGACGATCAACTGCATCCCCGTTCGGGTTGAACGGCATGGTCGACCCTGCGAACCCCCTCATCATGATGGCCTGATAGTCAGACAGTTTGGGTGTCTATGATGCTGCTACGGCCTCGCTCTGAGCTCTACCACGGTAGGCTCAGAGTATAAGATCGCACCCCTTTTGCCACATTGTGGTGCATCCAGTTATCCTCTTTATTTATTGGGAGCCTAAGAAACCATCTTCAACTACTGCAACACATTTTCTTATATGATGGTGCCTATGAACTCGCTATATATGCCCCTTAGGGCATCACTAAGAGCAACCCCCCGAGCTAAATCAGCGATTGGGCCGGCAATCAGAGCAGCAACCGCTTTCCCCCACCAACGACCTAGCTGGGTACCTGTACGAAGAGTATCAACAGATTCCTCCAAAAGCTCCAACATTCGCAAAGCAAGCAATGCCCCGCTCGCAATTGCTATCGGAGTCGTTGCTTCTGTTGCCCTGGGCGCCGTCCTCATTGCACGGGGTAGAAAAGGAACACCAGAGCATTTCATTTCCGTGAAGTCAAGCACAGGGGTCGATCTCTTTGCGGAAACGTCGGGTGATTATTCCAAACTTCCCAAAGAGGCTGCAGTTTTTACCACAGCACCACATGTTCCACCACCGATTACGCGAGATTACCCTGTGCTTCTCCAGGTTCCGCTGACCACCACAACGAAAATGACCCAGCTGTCCAGCCAATATAAATATGAACAATGGACCTTTAATGACACTGTTCCTGGTCCGTTCATACGGGCACGAGTAGGTGACGTGGTGGAATTGACCCTAACCAACCGCGATGCAACGGGCAACCCGCATAATATCGACTGTCATGCATTTACGGGACCGGGCGGAGGCGCGGCACTCACTACCGCTGAAGAGAACGAAAGCAAGACCGGGGCGTTCAAGCTTTTACATCCTGGCCTCTACTTGTATCACTGCGCGGCAGCCCCTGTCCCAGTACACATTGCCAACGGTATGTATGGGCTCATCTACGTCCAGCCGGAAGAAGGCGGCCTACCCCCGGTCGATCATGAGTATTATGTGATGCAGAGCGAGTTCTACCATGAGCCACCAGAAGTAATGGAGAACGGCAAACGCTCCTCCGTGGTAGAATTCTCCTACCCCAACGCACTGGATGAGAACCCCAGCTTGGTTGTCTTCAACGGAAGCGAGTCGGCATTGACCCGAGACCAGCCTCTGAAGGCGAAAGTTGGAGAGACAGTACGAATATTCTTCGGAAATGCCGGGCCAAACTTGACCAGTGCGTTCCATGTCATCGGCACTACATTTTCTAAGCTGTACCGTGATGGCGACGTGGTAAGTCCGCCTGGAAACTGGGTGGCCACCGCCAGTGTTCCTCCGGGCGGTTCTACCATCGTGGACATGAAGATGGCGGTGCCTGGAACATACACAATTGTGGACCATGCCATCTTCCGTCTAGACAAGGGCGCTGTTGGCTATTTGAACGTTTCTGGAAAGCAGCGGCCAGACATTTACCAGAGTGCTGCACCACCTGCTCCATGCGTTGGATGCAAGCTGCATCCTTGAGCTTCTTCTTTTTGCCTTGAACTTCTCCTTTATGGTGATTCTTTTTCTTTTAGCATAGTAATTAGTTTTATTATTTATAATGGCGACGCAGTTCCCTTTGATGCTATTTCTCTACACTTTTTCTTCCGGTTACCGTCTTCTATCTATACACTGTGTCGACACCAAGTCACTGCTCCATCAACTAGACGGCTAGACGGCATGAACCCTGAAGATCTCCAAAACTCATAAAGAGTCATCATATTTCTACTATCGTTGTTGAGTCACTATGACATTGCGTGTATATACTTCATCCTTCACGATCTAACTGTTCCTCCTCATCATTCCTCCTCATCCACACGTAGTAAACGCAGCACTTCGACGCCAACGGCCGTTAGACTCACTCACCAAGCGGGCCACGAAAGACAGCTTCAGGCTGTGGCCATCGACATGCATCCGTTCCTTCAGCTGAACCCCCCATTTCCCCAACCCCTGAGGCCTCTTATTGGAGAGATCCCCGGCGTGCGACGTGCGATGTTGACGTAGTCCTCCGTGACGATTCGTGTCTTCGGCCGGAGAGCAAATCGGGTCGCCAGCCCGACGACTTGGCGGCGCCTTTTGTGTTCCCCCTACCCGAGCTTGCACCCTGGCTGCGGCTTGATTTTAGTATCACAGAATTAAATATGGATGTTTTGTGCCCAGTTAGCTGCAGAATATAGCTAAAGGAGCAGCCCGCTAGCTTGAGCTGTCGATCATGCTGCCTGGGGCTGCGGAGACTCATCTCTCAAGGTTTTCCAGCTTTGTTTTCTTGGGATTATCAGGATCAGGGCTTATAACTAATCGCGGGCGGTTCTCTCTTCTCGCACCGTCTTCAAACATAACATCTCTCATGATCAAAACAGCTTGATTTGAGGGTCAATTGCTCACGATGTTGTCGAACATCGACATTGCCACCGTTGGCGCCGGAAGCGCTGCCGCTGCTCTGATCCTTCTTGCTACGCTGCCAGCTTTCAACAGCATCGTCCAGAAAATTACCCATGGCTCATACACGAACCTGCAGTCACTTCCGGAAGACGAGGATGGAGAGGCGACAGACGAATCGATCTCTGCTTATTCAACAACTATCCAGACAGCCATTATCTACACGGCTGCTCTCGTCGGCTTAGTCGCCTCCACGGTCAGAGCTATTTTGTCAACCACGCAGGAGTCGATTCGATATGGAGAACTCGCGAGTTGGTTTCAATTCGGGACCTTTGTACGATTATTCTTGCTCATGATGATTTGTTGCTTAACGTCCATCTACTTTTTGATGTCGCTAAACAGCCCAACACATTCTCATGTTTTATTAACTGGTTCATCTGTTTAGGTACTCCTTCTTCCCAATGTTATGGCAATCTCATTCAAGCAGGAATATGCCAGCCAGTTCCGACTTGCTAGCTATGCCTCTATAGCTACGGTAATCCAATTCGCCATGTCAGGCTTTTTGGATGTGCGGCTTTTGACACCGGCACACTATGACAATCTAACAAGCTTCCAATTCGCCGTATGGATTATTCAATTAGTGGCCACTGCTTGTTTACTTTGTGGTTATCTATGCCTGCCGAGACGTCCAGATGTGTTTACCAACAATAAAGTGGTTGATCGGCAGTACACTGTGTCTGCGCTCTCGCGATTCACTTTCTCCTGGCCAGGCCATCTAGTAAAGTACATCGCCAAAAACCCCAGGTTAGAAGTCAACGAATTACCTGGCATGGATCACTATACACGCTCAGAGTCTTTGTTGGCCAGATTCTTAGGACGCCCTCAAACCGACGCCCTCTGGTGGCAGATCTTCAGCCTCCATTATACCACGTTCAGCAAACACTGGTTTTTGACAGCAGTTGAGTCAATTCTCAATTTTGTGCCAAAGGTTTCTATGTATTTCATCCTTCGTGCCCTTGAACGAAGACAGGCTGGTGAACATATTGGAATTGAAAGCTGGCTCTGGACGTTGATATTAGCCACCGGTTTAGTTCTATCATGCTGGGCAGGAACTTGGATGCGCTGGGTGGGCGATTCTCAACTTGCCCTTCGCATAGAAGCCCAGCTATGCGCGGCCGTATTCGCCAAGGCAATGCGCAAAAACGACGCCCGGGGGACGGAAAAATCAATGGTTGAGGAGCATGATGAAGGTGAAGGTGAAGAAGCTGGTGAGAATGATGGCGATCAAAATCCCACAGCCCAAGACGGATTAGTTGGAGTAGATCCCGAGCAGAAGCGTACCTACCAGTGGATTATAAATCTCATGGGCATTGATGCGTAAGTCTTCGGTTTTCTTTGCGAGAGATATACGAAAAACGAATGCTAACCTGAATAGAGAGGAGGTTGGTGCATCTGCTGCCTTTTTAAGCACAATTATACTCTCTACGTGCACATTTATTCTTTCGCTGTTGGTGCTTTTCCAACTTATTCGGTAAGTTAAGGACGTTACTCAAATTCATCCATGGGTAGACTAACCATTCCCCTAGATGGAGGAGTTTGCTTGCAGCATTCTTGGTCTTTCTGATACTGGTTCCGATGAATACTTGGCTATCAAAGGTTTATGCTCTGACGCAGGTATGTATTGAATTCCTCTGGGAAGCTACTACTATCGAAGACTGAAAACTGACATTGATACTAGGACCGACTCATGTCAGCCCGTGATGCCAAAACAGGGGTCATCTCGGAGGCCCTTCACGGTCTCCGACAGATAAAATTCGCAGCGTTAGAGGCAGAATGGCAGAATAAAATTATGACTGCACGACTGAACGAGATGAGAGAAGTTTGGCGGTCGTGCTTATATGGTGAGAATTAACAAGCTACCGCGTAGTATATTACTAGGATGTCTACTAAATTTCTCCATCTAATTTACAGACGTCGGTATGATCTTTTGCTGGGATGTTGTTCCTACAATGATGACGACCGTGGCACTCGCCGTTTATGCCATTTTCGAGGGAAGGCTTACTGCTTCTGTCGCATTCGCATCACTCGAAGTATTCTTTGAACTCGAAAATGCCCTTTCCATGATACCTATCGTCATTACTGGTCTAATCGAGGGCATGGTAAGTCTTAGACGAATCGAGACCTACCTTCACTCTCCCGATAAAGAGGAATACCGCGAGTCCTCTTCATCAATTACATACAAGGATGCCTCCATCGCCTGGCCGTCAGACGCTAAATCTATCGAAGATCGGTTTGTCCTTAAGAATATCAATCTTACTTTCCCAGATAAAGAACTTAGTTTGATCTGTGGTCCTACTGGGTCTGGCAAGAGCTTGCTTTTGGGCTCTATATTTGGGGAAGCTGATCTAGTTTCTGGCACCATTGGCGTGCCAACACCTCCACCTTCGCTTTACAATACCCCAGAAAATACCATCGGCCTCGACAATTGGATTATCCCGTCTGCGGTAGCTTTTGTAGCGCAGTCACCGTGGATAGAAAATGGAACTTTGAAAGACAATATTGTCTTTGGATACCCCTTTAGCGCAGAACGGTATAAAAAAGTTCTCGACGTTTGTGCATTAACTGACGATCTTCACATCCTGGTCGACGGTGACATGACTGAAATCGGTCCTCGTGGTATCAACTTGAGTGGTGGCCAACGATGGAGAGTGTCTCTGGCCAGGGCCTTATACTCAAGGGCTGGCATATTAGTTTTGGTATGTGCTATGGGGCTTCTAATACCCTTGGGAACTTTCAATCGCTAATATCAGCCCTAGGATGATATCTTCAGTGCCGTTGATGTCCATGTCGGTCGCCACATTTTCGAAAAGGCCCTTACAGGAGAACTTGGTCAAGGCAGGACCCGTATCCTAGCAACGCATCATACTTCCTTGTGCATGCCCAAAACGAGCTTCATGGTTGTCCTTGAGGATAATGTGATGAAGCAAGCCGGCCGCCCTGATGACCTGGACTATACAGAATCGCTCACGAGAATCCGTAGTACTATGTCGATAATAACAAAACCAGACCCTCCGCCAATCATAACTCACCGCAGGAGGAGTAGCTCAATTCGCGATATAGGCAGTCATTCAAGTATGGCCTGGGCATCAAGAAAAGATTCGAATAGGGAGAAACCAACCAATGTCTTTGTGCAGCCCGAGGAGCGTGAGACAGGTGGCGTTAAATGGAAGGTATACAAGGAATATCTAAGAAGCAGCGGAGGAGCTATATTTTGGGTGGCTGTCGCTTTTTGTCTATGCGGAACGCAGGCATTAAGTTTAGGGAGGGTACGTTTCATGCTAATACGATTCCTGAAGTCATTGCTAACTTGGTGACATCTATAGTCCTGGTGGCTGAAGATATGGACGGAAACCGCGAAGACCAGATCGGTTAGTGATATTATTCACGCTGAAGTCTTGATAACAAAGGCCAAAGTAGCAGACGATGCACTTTGGTTCTATCTAGGAATTTACTTTGCCATATCAATGGGCATGACGTTAGTTCGAACGTTTAGCCATCTTTTTATATGGACTGGAACTATTCGGGCGTCGAAAGATCTTTTTGAGAAGATGGCATCCCGAGTCCTTCGAACCCCCCTGAGATGGGTGGACACCGTCCCTGTTGGTAGAGTTATCAATAGGTTCACTCTCGATTTCGCAACTTTTGATTCGAAGCTCGGTGACGACCTCGCATACCTCTTCCTAGATATTCTAGATCTCCTCTCGATCGTTGTAGCCGCGTAAGGCATTCCTCCTTCCCCTACGTCATGGCTTTGCTAACGACTTGATGGTAGTATACTCGTCTCTTCATATATCCTACTACTCACAATCGTCCTATCAGGAGTATGTGCACATTTTGCGATTCGATACATGATAACCGCTCGAGAACTTCGACGGATCAAGTCCCAAGCAAGGTCACCTATTATCGAGCAATTTGGCACCTCACTCCAAGGAATCGGCACAATTCGAGCGTTTAATAAAGCAGATACGTATATGCATAAGATGTATCGCAACATCGACGACCATACGTCTGCGCATTACTATATTATCCTTTTCAACGAATGGATGACGTTTAGAACGGGGATGGCGGACGCCTTTTTTGGGGCTGCTCTAACATTTATCCTCATGTCAACGAAAGATATTGAGCCTTCTCTCGTCGGATTTGCCCTTAACTTCATGCTTGATGGAGCTCAACTGATCGGATCGGCAATCGACAAGTATACAGAAACACAGCTGGATATGAACTCTACAGAACGCATTATCGAGTATTCACAAGTCCCTACTGAGGACCACACTGGCAAAGACGTTTCTGCAGGGTGGCCTAGTAAAGGGCGAATCGAAGTTGATAATGTCACAGCTGCTTACTCGCCAGAGCTTCCGCCAGTGCTTAAGGGGCTTACATTCAGCGTTGAACCGAACCATCGGGTTGGAATCGTTGGTCGTACAGGTTCGGGGAAATCGACTCTTACTCTTGCACTGTTCAGGTTGCTGGGACTCCAGGGTGGCTCAATCTATATAGATGGTGTGGACATTTCAACCATTAAATTACATGACCTGAGGAGTCGACTGTCGATTATCCCTCAGGATCCAGTCTTGTTCTCAGGCACAATACGGTCCAATCTCGACCCGTTCAACGAGTATACTGACGAGCAGCTACAGACGGCCCTGAACCGAGTACATTTCCCGTTATTTGGAGGGGAAACCGACGTGGAGGCTGACGACGAAGCTGACGACGAAGCAGGCTCTGACATCGACCGGAGTCGAACGCCTAGTCTCGACCACGCCATTAGCGAAGGAGGGCTTAATCTTTCTCAAGGCCAACGGCAACTTCTCTGTCTAGCCAGGGCGATTGTGGCACGGCCCAAAGTTATGGTTCTCGACGAAGCGACGTCTGCAGTCGACATGAAGACAGACGCCTTGATCCAACGTAGCATCCGAGAAGAGTTCCGAGACTCGACGCTGCTGGTGGTCGCTCATCGTCTCACCACGGTGGCGGACTTTGATCGCATCCTCGTCATGAAGGAAGGCGAAGCTGTCGAATACGACTCGCCGAGGGAGTTGATGAAGGCCGAAGGTGTGTTTTGGCGCATGGTCATGGGCAGTGGAGAAAAGAGAGAGCTGCAGACGCTCCTCGAGCACAAGTAGGCAGCTGTATAGTTAGCGCGGGGGTCTGTATGGATTTGTGAGGATTATGATACTATTTGTAATAGAGGAGTGGATAGCCAGGACGCATTTTCGAGTCGTTAATATTTCTCTTCCGACCAGCCACGGGCGCATAGTATAAAACCTAGTAAAAAAGCGACTCATGATGGAAATAATCCAAGGTCGACCAAGAAATGAACTCACTTTCCTCTTCCAGCGTAGACCTGGATTTTCTTCCTTGCTCGGGGCGTTCTTCCGACATGTCTGCCCTCGTCCTTAACACCGGCAGTTATATGCCTGAACAACCAGCATACCCTGGCCGCAGAGACCCTTAGCCCCATCTCGGGCCGCCGGGAACGAAAATCCTCCAGCAAGGTATCTACATATCCGTGCTGCCAAATAAGGATGGTAGACAGCAAACGATAGTCAACGGGCCCTGCAATAGCATCCAACTGCAGCTAGTCATAACCGTTGCAGCTCCTCCAGGACCCTCCCTCTCTCTTCCTCAAGGGCAGGGGATTTAGCTATCCTAGCTTATCCGTTTAACTCGAAGTTAAGGCCGAAAGGTCGTCCAATTGTGCTGGGGGGCGGCGGGTTAGTTAACTGTTGGCGCCCACCCCCCCCCCCGAGCTCATTTGACGGAGTATCCATCTACACAACGGCGAATGGAGTGTTCATGAGGATCACGGATAGGACCTTATTGGGCATCAAAACCCTCCAGGATGGCGGCAATCAATCTCCGAGCGGCTTCACCCTGACAGCGACTGGTAGAGGAGATGCGAGCAGGCCAACCGAGAAAACACTTCCAAAACGGCAAACGCTCTACAAGGGCACGGAGTACGAGCTTCAATTTTTTGCCTTCAATGGTCTAATTTTCAAGCTTACGCCCTCGCAACCCATCGCGATCTTCGTCTCTGCGCCCATAACTCACGCCCACGTTCTCTTCGCGATCTTGACAGGAGGACGCCGCAGCGCGATCTCCTTCTTCTCCGCGCCTAAATATTTTGCATCCTGCAAGCCGCCTTCTAGTTTCTTTGATGCACCGTTGCCGAGGGTATGATAGCTCACGTCGCATCATATGCAAGGATAGCCGTTGGGAAGGGAAGGGGAAAAAACGAAATACAAAAAACCACCGAGCACTCCATATAACCCTCCGAAGATACAAAAAAAGAAAAAGAAAAAAAGGGGGTTGCGCACGTTCCGTTCGATATATTATTACCAGCCATTACAAATAATCTTGTCAGGCAGGAAAAGGGAAGGGAAGAGGAGAAAAAAGAAAAGAAAAGCCCGGTGCGCCTACAGAGATCTAGTGTTTATGGAGTATCCGTATACTTCTATCTTTTCTCCGCATTTTTCAAGTCAAGTCAGCCAGGCTACGTCTGAATCACGTTGATGTCAAGGATGCATCGTGCATCACAAAAAGAAAAGCAAACGGGTGGGGGTCCAGCGTTCGCTCTGGATCATCCCAGGTCTCATCTCTGTCTCGCTGTCTCGTCTCGCCGTCTCGCCGTCTCGCTGTCTGGTCTGCCTCTCTGTTCGGGATGGCTAACTTTCGATGTAACGCTCGAACTCTTGACAACTGTGCGCGCATCCCGTTCGTTTTTTTTTTCTGTCCGTGGCGAAGTCCCCTGCTCGGTTGGCTGTTCTGATCCTCTTTGTTCAGGCTATACTGCAGGAGACGGCCTAACTGCTACCCATGACTACTACTATACTACTACCGCTAAGCGCTACAACCCCTTCCACCGCAAGGGGACCGGGCCACTAGCAGGGCGGAAGGGAAAAGCACCGTCAAGGACTAGTTAGACAGCGGACCAAGGGATGTACTCTAATAGTACCAAAAAACCCAAGCTCGGTCTCTATACCTGCTACCGGCCATGCCGATGTGTGGTAGTACAACATTCCCAGCCCAAATTAGCGGCCGAGAGAGTCACGCCCGCCGCAGCTACTCACTGCAGTACGTGCATGCGGTAAGTCTGTCGTCGTATACATGCGGCATACTACGAGAGAAAGGCAAGGCGCTTCGCGCGTTCGTTCGCAATACCCACTAGTGTTCCGCGGTGTATGTGCTCACCCGAACAGTCGAGGGAGCCCATTCATTCAGCATCCCGTCCATGTGGATGCGGAAAATCGGGATAGCTTACTCTTGTCATCCTGTACGACGCTGCAGGACGCAAGTTGGCACAGGCAAGCAATAGTAAGTCTGAGAAAGCCCTTTATCAGATGCCGATATACCACCAACTACCCTCCGTACAGAGTACACAGTACGCTGCTGAGTCCAAGGACTGGATATGGATACGTACATGTATAGTACGTACGTGTGGCACACCCACATGGCAGTTTGAACCCCCACAGACCAGACCTCCATCCCTCGACTTGTTCGAGGGATTTGATCCAAATTATGCCTTGCATAAAAAGTATCCCTTTGATGCTAAGAGGTCGCTTCCACTAGACCTGATTCGAATAGCGAAGGGGGAAAACTACGAGCGAGACGCGGAGATGGAAGGGGGATATGCAGAGTCTAATATAAGTAGTCTTTTGAGCTTCAATTTCATGGGAAATCTTAAACTTCCCATGTTCAGTAGTAGTATTTTCCCCGCCCATTCAATCAAGCAACAAAGCTCAAGAGTAAATGGCCTATTTGTGGGGTTTGTGTAGCTATATAACCAACTAGCTAACTAATATATAATACAAGTCAGACTGATAGCCTTATATCAAAGTGGGCAACGAGGTGCAAAATATACAACAGGCAAGAAGGTAAATCAAAGAGCGAAAAAGAAAACAGGAGTACCATGGACACCGGGCAAGAGATAGGTCAAAGATGCTCTTCTCTCTCTCCACTCTCGTGTCTTTTTGACTTTTCAGATGGGATTTCCCTTTTGGTTTATCTTCAGCTCGGCCTCTTGGGCCTTTCCACCCGACTTTCTTCCCTCCCCCCAGTACCCAAACGCCGGTAAAACAAAATGAATCGCATAGGATGGAAAATAAAATAAAAATATGTGTTAAAAGAAAAGACAACGTAGAAATCGGTCTGGTCCCCGACCATAATACATGATTTTTGAATTCCCACCGACCACCGCCATTAACCCGTATAGAAATGGAAGAAAGGGAGTTAAATTTGAATAAATGCCTTAATTAAGCAATGCCTGTAGACCCATCCGAGAATCGCGGGAAGTAGAACAACAAGAAGTAGAAGGCTTTTCAAGATCCGAAATTGGTGGTAGCTGATTGTGTGGTGCTGAGATGGAGTGCTGGTGGTGTCGTAGTGATGACTGCATTAGGTGTGGCTGGTAGAGGAGGTTGTCGCTTGAATGATGCGGTTTTGAGAAAGAAGATGGTATTAACGGGGCACTGCCTCGCCGTCTCTCGTCGTAGGAAGATGCAGATGAAGATGAGGAGCGGTGGTGACTATGGTGGATTTCCACCGGGGTAGCGAGTGCAGATGGAGATGTCACTGTCTTTGGAGAGGCGGAGGCAACTGAGTTATGGTCAGAGACCATGGATGGGGGACCACCAAGGGATGGAGCGTGGGATAACTCGGAGAATGCTGGAGATGTCATGGCCGATTCGGTGGTTTGGTTCGAGTTGCGGGTGGTGAAGATTGGAGTAAGGAGTCGTCGGCCGGTGGCTGGCGACTCTGGTCGTGAGTTGCACTGTTGCCATCTTCCGCTGCTCACGTTCTCCTTTGGCAGGTCATATAACGAAGAACGGTACTCTAGCGGGCGAGGCGAATGGAGGTGCGACTGGTGGTAATCTCTTTCATCTCGTTGTTGCTGCTGTTGCTGCTGCTGGTGCTGTGGTTGATAATCTGAGATCGAGGTCCACGACTGTTGCCTGTCCATGTGGGAGGAGTGGCCATACACTCCATGCTCGGCCCGTGGGCATCTGTATTGCGTAGAAGGAGACCTCGAAGATGCCTTTTGGTATGGTGGTTCGACCCGTCCGTTTGGTGTCCTGGACGGAGAAGAAGAGGATGGGGAGTGCGAGGCTGAGCTACCCATGCCTCTACGCTTTCGATTCACGCTGCCATTCCACCAGTTCTTCACAGCGTTGTCGCTCCTGTTGCCGAGTCTCCTGGCAATCTCTGCCCACCGCTTGCCCATCTCGCTCACAAGTCGTTCAATCACGAGTCCCTCCTCAGCTGAGATCGGGTCGTGATTTAATGTTGGTTTGAGGTTCTGGTGGAATCGTTCTCTGCATTGCTTTGGTGACCGGTACTTCATATGTTGTGAGATGCGAACCCAGTTGTTTGGGCCTTGACTGCTGACCAGTTGTAGCAGGGTTTGGTCTTCTTCTGGGACCCAAGGTCCTCTTCGTTGGCTTTGAGGCATGGTGATAGCTATACACCTTTTGCACGTATGTAGATGTGTGTATGTATAATTTCCCCCACAGGCGGGGAGAGGTGAACGAGTGACGGCAACTGACTGACCACCAAAAGTAAAAGAGGGATATAAGGGTGATCGACCGTGCTATATACGGAGTGACCTCTGGTTTGAGGAGCGGGAAGGGGAGGGTATATGTAGTGAATGTGAAGAGAGATAATTGGACCAGGAGGCGGAAGAGTGAGCGAGTCAGAGGTAGATAAGATAATAGCAGAATAAGGTCCGCTGAAGCCAGGAATAAAGTCGAGTATTAAACTTCAAGCGTCAACGGATCTTGCCTAAATCAAGATTGTGATTAATTAAAGAGCCGTAAAAGGTTGGAAAGTCATGAGCAAGTCATAGGAAAAGCAAGAATGAATAAGTAGTGGAAAGGTCAGGGTGGGAAAAAAGAAAGGAAATCCAGAGAGAGTTAAAAAAAAAAAAAATGGACGACGGCAAAAAAAAGCAAGTCAACAGGTAGATAGAGTAAACACCTATCCCCCGGTCTTCTGATGGGAGCGGTAGTGGATGATGTGTGGTGGCTCGTTGTCGAACAAAGTAGTATAGGTGAGCGACTTGGAGACACACGGGACTAGTTTCATATAGACCATTCATATATATGGGCACCGTGAAAGGGGAAAAAAGAAAAGAAAGTGGCCATGCATGAGAACAGGGAAGCATATACCTGGAGTAGAACGACCAGCAGAGAGTGTGGGAAAGGGAAGAAGAAAAAGCAAAGGCCAAGCAAGAGAGTGGGAGCGAATGCTGCAAAAGAAAAATGTCCAATCGGGAAAGTAGATCAAAAGTGAAAAAAAAAAAAAGAGTTATGGGTAACCAAATTATAACAGGCCTCAAGGCAGGTTTTTCGATAAAGGCATATTAAGCGTACCTTGACAACTGAGATCTGAGATCGTCAGGTCCGATGGGGTTCTCTAGCACGCCAGGGGTCGGATATGTATGATCCAGGGGGGAGGGGAACGGAGAGAGAACAGCATATATATAAGTAGGAGAGGGCAGGATAAGAGCAAGGGTATTTTAGGTCTAAAGGAGTCAAAGCGGGAGAGACATGGGTTTTGGGTGCTTTGTCAGGGCCCGAAAAAAAGGAGGATTAATGTTCAGAAAAAAAAAATAAAAAACATGTCGAGATGGGACGATGGGGATGCATCAGGAGGGATTGCAATGACAGGACAGGAACGCGAGAGAAGCAAGATAAACGGGTGAATGGGGGGGAGGGAGCACGAGAAGGGGGAAAGGTCCGGCAGCGGAAATATCTCTACCGAAATATACGTACCAATTCCACAGCTGCGGCAGGTCGATCAACCAAATATCCGGCGGAAGTGTTGCAATGCAGTCAGGTCAGGGCCAGGGCGAACTTGGGGGTGAGGATCAATGCGTGGTAGCAGGTAGTATGGTTATACCACAGCACGATGGCAGATGCAGGTCGAGGCAAATAAACCCTGGATCTCTCCAAGGCTGCTTTACCCAGCGTTCCAATTGACAAGAGGAAAAAGAAACGAGAGAGGTTCGAAAGAGGCGAAAAAAACGAGCGTTGCAGACGAGCATCAAGGCTGAGTAGAGAGTCAGTATAAGAAGCGTCAGAGGGAGAGATCACTCACGAGCCACTCTTCAAAGCCGATTTTTGTAAAAGACAGCTTGCAAAAAAGAAGAGAAAAAGGAACGAAGAAAACCTTACAGGGGGAGAAGAATACATATATACATGTATCCAGCAGGAGGTGTGGCAGATATTCCAGATCGTGGGGATACACACTGTACATACAGCGTATGCTCTCCAAGCCAAGGTGCAGGGACAGTTACAAGGAGCTTTAGGGCTTGGAAACGATCAGCAGTGGAGTTTCTTCTTCCTCGCTCTCTTTTTACAATTTTCTGTATTTTGCAAATTCTCCAGAAATAAGACCCGGCCCACCAGCCAGGCTAGCAGGCGTAAGAGTGCGATGTGGATGTGCTGATGCCGCGAAGGTTCGTCCCCTGCCAGGCCAATCATGGGCATGGAGGCCCAGAAGCGAGGAACGACACAAGAGAAAAAGAAAGGAAGAAGCCAGAAGAGAGAGAGAGAGAGGAAAAAGAAAAGAGTAAGAGAGAGAGAGGGAAAAGCAGAGGAGTTCGGGGCCATCCCGGTCTACCTGTTCTTCTGTCTGCTTCCAGGCAGGGAAGCAGAAGGGATGGTCAGGGTCCCGGGCAGTTAACATGTTATATCCTGTATCCAGCTGAAGAAGCAGCATCAGCGGCAGCAAACAGCAAGAAGAAACAGCAGCTTGGTACCAGGGTCGACCCAACCCATCCCCCTGGACCACAGCCACGCCATGGTTGATAAAGGGCTTGCAGGCAGGGAAAATCGGATGTGTTGCACGAAGATGATACTCAACATATACCGACCCGACTCTATTCTTGGTAATAGGTTTACACGAAGCTGTGCAAGCTGCAGTATGCAAGTCGCATGACGGCCACAGGAAGCGAACGGGAGCCTCGCATTCACATGTTTCCCTTGCTTAAAAATAAAGATGGCATCGAAAGAATGTACCGAGAGAGCAGAGGGAAGAAGAAGAAAAAGAAAGGAAAAGAAGCTCAGTCAACGGCTTCAACTCTATCGGGCTCGGAGCATCTCCTTGCACACGAAAAGGTTTCGACCTAGCCTTACCCTAGTTGCTCAGCAAGTGAGAGAACAAGTTGTATAGGAAAAAGTGCCGATTATACTCTGGCCTAGCTCGATGTAACGTCTTTCTTCTGCCTTTTCCCCCCTAGACAGCTCTACCCGATCCTCGATTAGCGTTTCATCCTTGCGGGAAAGGCCAGAGGGAAGACGGCGGACCAGCGTATCCTATGGCGGACTAGATGTCTGGTCAATGAGTAATAAGAACTGATCGACGAGTGTTTCAATGCCTCGGAGGCCGCCGTTTCTGCTACCAAAGAGCAGACTTTTCGAACAGCACGCCGTTCTTATATCCCGTTTTCAGATGGCGAGGGGCTGGCTGGCTTCTGGACATATTTCCCCATCAGGGCAGTTCGTCTGACGCCCGCGAGCGAACATGATTCACGAAAAAGAAAAAAAGGAGAACCATGAGAAAAAAAAAGTGGAAAAAGGGCGTTGAGCAGCCCCCTTCGATCCCCCAACGGACGTTACCTCGCGGCACGCCACATGCAGCACAGAAAACGGTAGGTACTTTCGGTCCAGGCTGACAGAGTATACGGACGAATGATGGCGCGAAAATCGAAAATCGAAAATCTCCCATGGCTGTCTAAATTTACAGGCATATCGTTGCCCTGTTGATACTCTATGAACAGACTTGATAGATGGAATAAAAAAAAAGAAAAAGAAACCACCAGATCTCTCGTCCACGTCCACGAAAAACGAATTGAACCATCACTTTTTTAAAAAGAAATAAATATGAAAGGGCGTGTATAAATATTATGCATGGTCACTGCAAAAGAAAGATGACCAGCGGAAAAACCGTTAAGTCCATCCTCTCCACCTGGAATAAGGTACAAACGGCGATATCCTCAGATCATCCTCATCTTCCTTCCCCGTACATACTTATTGGAAAGGGGCAAATTGTTCTAAGCGAAATCTGGGCGATTTGGAATCGAGCAAGTGATCGATATACATACATACCGAGGGTGTCAGGCAGACGTCTAGTGGAGATCGATTATACGAGAAAAAAAAAAAAAAGGCGCAGATATTTGATAAATTCTCCGAAGAAAAAGCATTCATTCGGTCCCTTCTGGTCGCTGTTACATCGTCCTGGTAACGAGGCACATTATCAAAGTACAACCTTTATTATATACATCTGACTGATTACTATACGGAATGCTTAACTTCATACTACGTTTGGAAAGGCAACCTACTCCCGCTCGGTAAGCACTGCTAAGCAGCACGACGGACGCCTCTTTACGCCATAAACGAAAAAAGGGGAAAAGTCGAAAGGCAGAGGGATCAACCTCACCGCGATGGCGCCGGTTATGGATTTGCGCGTTGCGTGCGTACTTGGAACGACAGAGGAGGCTAGTTTGAAACTCGCAGGAATCAAATAGTTCGAATTTTCTTTCATCGGCCATCCCGACGGATAGGCTTTTCTTTTTTGGATATTGCTTTTTGGTCTCTCGCTATGCCCTCAGGAAAGGCTGTGGCGCTTCTAACGCCCATTCATACGCCATCAGCCATTAGCCCAGGAGGCTGTTTGATCGGTAGCGGGCGTGGGCAGTGCGTTCGCGAGTGTTTGGTACTGAATAGCCGTTCGTCTGTCACTCGTTGGCGGCACAGCGGGATGGGATGTTGTACGCCTTCGTTCCCATCGTCCAGCGACCAGGTGTCTGGTACAGTGACGGGAAGTACGGAGTACGTCCTGATGGAATTCCCAAGCGATGCACAACATATCCCTCTTCTGCTCCAAGTCCGTCGTCCGTCGCGGCGGTAGAGACGTGAAGAATAGGTTAACCGAGAGACGGGGAACTCTTTGTCCCCAGCCTGGAACGCGAGAGGCGTTGTTGGAAGCGCTGAAACGCCTTCTCGCTCAAACGCAGACTATTGTCGCGATCGCATCTCGGTCGTCGGTTGCTTGGCTGCCGGGGATTAAACACGTTCCTCTAGTCGGCGTGTGTATACGGGGTACGGGGTAGTTACTTACAGCAAGGCCAAAAAAGATAAAAAAGAAAGACTAAAAAGAAAAGAGAAAAAAAGATATATATTTGCTTCTTCCTGCGAAGTTACTCTTCAATATCCTATTTAGGCAATTCGTCTTACCCGCCCAATAGCAATAGTTACAGTGCTTGTATATAGTACCTCAGGCCTCCAGCGTGAACTCCATGCAGGGCCAGAGGCCCGAGTCCGTACTGTATACATTTTATTC